ACTCACTCACTCACTCACTCACCCAACCCCCCTTCCCCCTCCCGATCGGCCCATCCCTCACATCCCATCCCATCACCCCAGAGGATGGAAAACGGACAGCCAACCTCACCCCTCCCCCCTCCACTTCCTCCGTTTTACTCAATCCGTTATCAAACCCACCGCGTTCCCGCCAAACCCATCGTGTTCCCGCCAGACTGTCGATCAAATCCTACCCAAACACGTCGTCGATCCGGTACGGTAACGTCATGAGAAAAGGAAACTAGACACGCGTCTCTCCCACCGGTGACCACCTCGCTGTGGCCAAGAAATAAAAAAAAGTGGCAAATTGAAGCGGGTAGTTTGAGTCCGATCTGGCGACATTTGATCGGATGTTAACGGATTTCGGCGATTAGAATCTATCAACATTTCATCAAATTTTAACGGGGTTTGAGGATGATGACGGGAACAGCTGTGTCGAAGCCTAGGTAATATTCACGTGGTGATAGTATTGCTACCGGTGGCTTGATTTAATTATTTCTTATTTATTTATTTTTATTTTTTTGGTAGAAAAGCATCGCATCCACGGACTTAGTCCCCCCCCTTTTTCTTTGGCCACACACAGCAAGACCGCCCACATAGCACAAATAAGCTTCGGGCATTGCGCCCCCCCCCGCTGCTGTGGCTGCTGCTGCTGCGGCATTTCGCGGAGGTGTGGCACTGTGGGATGGCGAGTTTCGTTGACCGGCCTGCAGAACTCTGCAGCTGGGGGACGGGCGAAACCGGGTAGGTACCTAGGTTTGGGCGAGAAAGGCTGGGAGGGATCAACAAAAGGTGTGTGTGTGTGTGTGTGTGTGTTGAAAATGTCGCAAGTTTGGGGAAGGTTGTCACGTAATCAGGCAACGAAGTTAATTGGATGAATTCACATTTCAATGTTTGCAGTGAAAACCACTCAATGTTTGAAAGTGGTTAAGATCAAGTCAAAACTTGTTCTGTTTTATTCCGTGGAAGCAAATAAGTGAAGCAAATGAGTAAAGTAAATTCTGAGTGAATGACAAAAAAGTGTTCAACGCCAAGGTTGAAGAACATGAGTCTGTGTCATCTCCATGACAAGCAGGATGCACAAACGTTGATAAACATGCAAGTAAAAGTAATGCGTCAGCTGACAAAGTAACCTCAACCTCCTTCATCCTCCTCGGTCCGCAAGTCCGGGAGTGTTAACTACCACCCTACAGCAGTAACCCTCCAACATCCCTCGTCACCGAGCTGATGCAGCTTGATCCTTGATCAGCCACAAAATGGATCGGTGTTTCGGCGCCTTCTGTGAAGCGTCCAGAAAAACACCAAAGCTTAGGTCAAAAAAAGCGCCGACCGAATTCAGGTCCCGGACCATATCGCCCCTATCTGTTCCCCTTCCTCTGCTCTCATAGGGCCTCGGACAGTTATTTCTCGCATGTTGACATGCAGCCAAGGAGCCAAGCATTCCTCCGTCGTCCGCAGTGGACGGACTAAGCCGTGTGCCCGTCTGGCTTCAACCTCACTCCACCTATCCAACAAACACCGACATAGTAATACCCCGAGACCGAGATCTCCCCTTTGCATCGGGGTCTGCCACGACAGGACAGGAAAGAGAAGCGCAGAGAGAGTGCAAATAAGCATGCCGCGTCTATGCCAAGCGCTGCCAAGCGAGCCAAGTGCCCGTCGAAGGATGCGGGAGGGCGGGACAAGGCCGGGTGGTTGTGTGTTTGCGTTGCCCGCGTGGCTGGGCATGATGTTTTGTGTGTCGTCGGGTACGAGTTTGTACCCGGGCGTTATGTGTGGGATCGCTGTCACTGGGTGCTAACGGGAGCTCGACTTGCGAGCGTGTGGGCAAACCACAATCTGCCTAAATCTTGCGGGACGAGACGACAAGTCGTCTTGGCTTGCCGCGAAGTGGCTCGCTTGGTGCCCGTCGGCGCTTGGCGCGAGATGTCTTCGAATAGGGTATTGTCGGGTTGCGTGCGCTTCGACCCGTGACGCTGATCCGCCGTCTTGGCGTCCCCCCAGCGTTGCTTGTCTCCTAGTGCTGTCGACCGATGATCCGACATCTTCGACGGCCATGGAAGTGTGTTGCAGGATTGGAAGTCTGTCCGTCTCCGGTGTCTTCATCCTCCCTGGGGCGTGAGTTGATCAACCCAGTGTCGCCGCGGAATGCATGTAGCATCGCGCCAACGATTATCCCTCCTTTCATGCAACGCGCTCGAAACGGTTCAGGCGCGCGGATGACTCCCAGCTGACGGTGATAGAGCCTCTGGGTTCATGGAAACTGGGCCTGGGAGCTTGGAGTTGCTTGTGCTTTGAGAATGGCTTGCGGACCTCAATGTGCTGGACGACGGGGGCTTCAACGACGACGACTTTCTCGCTCTCGCCGATCCGGACTGACGCAGTGTCGTTGGTAATGTCCTCGAGCCGCTTCCGGTCCTCTTTGGGGTATGGTGTGGGTGTACGGTAGCGGACGGGGTTTGGATTGCAGTGCATGCGCCATCTCGATGGCGCAGTGAGCCAGTTGGGTTGCTTCTCAAAGACCCTTTGGCTCACGTCCAAGGGAGTTGAAGCGCTGGAGCTCGAATTCTTCGAGGTGCACCGAGAAAGTGTGGTACCCATGACGGTGATGTGAAAATTGGCTTGGGAGAGGATGATAGTGAGAGTGAAGCGAGCTGAGTGCTCACGGCGGTTGGCGTTTAAGTTTGGGATGTTGGTCCACGCGTTTGCGGGGTTGACGATGAAGCTTGTCGCTTTTGATCTTAGCTCCGAACCAAAGGCGTGGGAAAATGGCGCAAAGTGCCGGCGGATTGGATTAGAATAGCAAGTGTCTGAAGTGGAGCCAGAATGTGGTGAAGAGTGATTTGGTGTCGAGATGGTGTGAAGAGGGGAAAACCAGGAAAGATATAACTCAGGTTGGAGGGAGTTTCGGGGCAGACCTTGGGGGAGAAGCCAAGATACTTATTCCCCTGGCGTGTGGTGGTGGTGTAAGAGACGAGTGACCGTTTCACGGGATTGCGCCTATTGCTTGGCTTGAACGGGCGTGCTTTTTAGGTGCTTGGCGGTGATTTACGGAGCGACTGAGAAAGTCGAAGCAATGTAGATCAAGTCGGGCGACAAATTTTTCGCAAGGCGCGGTGGACTTGGCATTCTCTGTGACGAAAGAGTGACCATGGCATTGGATGCGTGGTAGGTGTGCTGGGTGCAGTGATTCAAGTCTGCGTGTCGGACAAGTCTCAAGTTCTCAATCTGCACGGGGGGTTGCCCGAACGTGAGAGCGGAGTTGCAGCGCAGTAGCGGGCCTGGGGAGGAAGGGAACACTGCTCCAGGTGCGGCTGCTGTAGAAACCCGGAACCAAAAGGAAACGGGCATGGCATGGGGACGAAACGGGAATGGAACCTTACCGCGCAGAGCTGACGGTCAGGTCGCGCCTGCTGTAATGGAAACAACCACACGCCCGTGCCCGCCGCAGATAGCAAAAGCGGCATGTTCCGCACTGGAAGTTTTTGGCGAGGTACAATTCGGAATCTCTTGCTCTTTTTTTCCTCCTTTCCTTCCACCAAAACGCACTCTCACCACATGACGTCCGCCTCGCCGCGACAGCCAAAAGGCTTGGCCTTCCGCCAAGCTGTGCATCCTCGATGCAGATCCTCTCGGCATCGATCGCGGCCCGATTTGGGAAAGTCGACGGAGTCTTGGCCGTCATTTTTTGAGCTGAAGTGTGCCCGAGGACGTGGACGATAGCCACTGGGGGTCGACGACATCATTCGAGGGAGGACGAAATACTCTTGATGACCTCAGAAACGTTTAGCCTCCATGAGGGCAGTGGTGAGGCTGTACTGATCATTTGTGTCGGGCGAATTCAGAACGATTCGATCAATCACCCTTGTCTTCCCGCTCGCCGCTCGCACAAAATTTTGCTAACGATGCTCATACTGACGCATGCCGCAATACACACGAATTATCGACGTACGCGCGTTAGGGGCTGTGATAGCTCCGTGGTGCACCCCGACAAATTTTGAAGGCCGGGCAAGCATTCCAAAGGAATACCATTGGAGTGTTACCGGGTTCTTGGCGAGGCTTGAGTTTCCCGAGGGCACCAAACACACCAGACTGTGGCCGTCTCAGATGTTTCCGGCCACCGACGACGGATTCTTGGCGCGCGAAAGACCGGGAGCGGTGCCATCTCTTTCTCGATAGGAGGTGCGATATCATCTCGAGCGCTTTGGCCGCTTGGCCTGTAAAATGATCAATCCTCTACGCCGTTTCGCTGCGGTGTTGGCTCAGGAGGAAATGGGGTCAGCTTCAGGGGGGCACACGAGCAGGCACTCCCCATCTCCAGGCCCCGGCTCGCCCGGCGTCGCCAAGCGTCATTTGCCGCCCCGGCCATGCTTGGCATCCGGTGCGCTGTGGTGGTTGAACCCGCCAAGCCGTTACGCTTGTCGATCAAGACCTTGGCATTCCGCTGCGCCCAACGCTGATTGCAACACCGACGTGGGATGTCTCATTCATGGCGGTGTTCTTTGTTTTGCGGATGACTGTAATCCGATAAGAATGCTACTCGGATGGCCAACTCTTCGAGGACGGGCCACCGAAGCCGTGGCACCGCCGGCTCTGGGACGCATCACGCAAGCAGCGCTCACTCCCTTACCTAGGGGTCGATGGATCAATGCAAGACAATGAAAACTCAGATTTATTGTCCCGAGTCAGACGTCTCTATTTTAAGTAAGCGGTAGGTTCGCAGACCCAGGTATTGCGCTGCCCCAAACCATAGCTAGGCGGGTTGTTCCCGGCGAGCATCGTCGTTGTGGCCGGGCAGAAGCTGCGCTGATAGAAAATCATATGCCTTTACGCCCCTTATTTCTTCCTCTCGGTGCTTTTCTCAGGATATTATTCAGTTTGGTATTCAAGACGCCATGGCAGCGGTCACCGACATTCAAGCGATGACGGGCTCCGGGCCGGAAGGACGAAACACGCAGTCGTGCTCGATAGTCATAGCCAGTGAGACCAGTGCTCCGTCTAAAAAGAGGAGTCTACCAAGCCCGGTATATTAGTTGCGGGAAGTATTCTGAGGCCGCTTTCCGGTTTTGTTAACCTTGGCAGATCAACAGAAAGTACGGGGGTTGTTACTCCTCCAGCCCGGCGGCTGCCCAATCCGAGGGAGTCCATGCTCTGCAGCGTAGCCGGGAAAGTTTGCTCCTCCGCTTGGTCAAGTGAGGATAGGATGAAGCGTACGAGCTTTGTAGGAGTGGAGATACCTGCTACGGTGGATTGGACTGGAAAAGGCCCTATGTTTCCCACTATGTTCTTCTCCCCAGTCAAAGGCTCTATGTCTGAGCTGAGACCTGCAGTTCACGGTAATATTTGTGGTGGGGACGAAAGTCACGCGCGTCTACTAGCTCGTCGAGTCTATCCCCGCGCACTTACTCCAGTCTAGATTCATCTCTAGGTCTTCGAGCCTTGAAACAAAGTTTCATCACGGTGCGTCTCCGGCAAAATGTCGACTCGAGGGTGCTGCAGTGATTCGGGCTCCACCCCCAGAAAATCCAGCCAAGGCCCGAGGACCCACCAACCCGCGAGCCGAGTGAGCTTTTCCATAGGGTTGGTTGATTCGGATAACCGAGAAACATTTACCTTTTCCCTCGACAAACTCTTACTGCTATGTATGTCGCAGATCGTCAATACATCCCGTCATGTTTGCAGCAGGACGGCGGACCCACTGCACAGCAGGGTGGGGCCAGCCGGAGTTGTGGGGCTATTCAGGTCCGGCGCCGGGTTCCACTTAACCCCGAAGTGCGTGTCCTAAAAAGGAAGCTGGCACGGGTCGATCACGGAGGTGGGATTTGAAGGTGAAGAGGGCGGTGAACCGGGGAGATTAGCCCCGGAGTACAACATAGGGACTATTACGCATCAATAGTATTCTTTTGGGTTAACTTGAGTAGTCTGGGAGCGAGTGTCTCAAATTCGGATCCCATTGGGTTGGTTTACTCCTTGCGAGGCGCAGAATCAATGTGGGCTGCGCCGCTGGGCCAGTTGGGCTGTCCCGCAATGCATCCTCGGTCGATGCAAATTCCCTTGAGGTTCGCCTTTTTCCTTGAATCTGTTCAAGGTGGTCTGAAATGCGGCCAGGAAGGAGGATTAAACCGCTCCCGCAGCCACGAAGCCATATTTCCCATCCGATGGTACCGCGGCCACATGGTCAGGATGAAGGCTCTCAAAGGCTGCAACGCAAAAGGAATTCGGGAGCAACTGCGCCACAGATGTTGCGAAATCATTGTTGGCGCAGACAAGTCTCGTCGTGTTGGTATTTAGATCAGACTCCCGCCACACTTCCTAGCTGAATGATCATCCCCTGGCCCATTCTTCAATTACCAGTGTAGACCAGAACCCCACCACAACCTTCATAACAAGCCACGCAATCCGTCACCAGCACGCTATCCCCTCCATCAAACCAACCACATCTTACCAAACCCACCGCACCCACACCACCACCATGCCCTCTGAAAGAGCCCAACAAGCCCAACAAGTGCTAGAACAAGCAAAACGCCGCCAACAAGAAATTCTCGGCGTCACGCCCCAGGCACGAGCAGAACAACAACGACCGCAACAGCCACCCTTCACCACGGCCGAGTCCTTCCCGCCCCGCTCGCCGGGTTTGCCCAGGGTGCAGAAGCCGCCTAACGCGCTTGTTAGCATGGCCAGGAGGGTGTTTGGACGGGGGAAGCCGGTTGCGGGTAATGGGGCTAGGGCGGAAGGGAGTGGTCAGAGGAGGTAATTTTGTGGGGTTGGTTTGGTGGGAGGTGGACAGATGGGGGTTGATAATCTGGGACTGGGGCGTTGAGTGGTGGGTCGACTGATGATCATTCAGGTAATTAGCTTGAAGGTTGGAAAGCGGGATAGAGAGCAGAGTAGGCAGGTAGTTAGTCGGTTAGGGGTGACGAGGTAACTATACTTTTACACCACCTATTAGGTATACGCAGTAATTATATGATTCTGGCCATCTTTCTTTGCAAGAGATGTCCACTTCGGACGGTGGCATTTGGACCCCCCCGAGTGTCCACATGTTGTGACCCCGCCCATACCTACCTATATAACCCCAAAGCCCGAAAGGAGCCCACGTATTTCTCATTTACATCAATCAAAGCTTGGAGTGCCAATTTGCAGCGACAAGGGGCGATTGACAATTGTTTTGTAGAGCGCGAATTAAAAACTGATTGCTGGACCTAAAGCGGTGAATGTCCAAATGTCAGCTACAGTGGTGAGTAGATACCTACCTGGGTGGGTAAGGTAATGTTCACTTCGTCATAGTAGTTAGTTACCTGTGGAAGTGAGTCCTCCGCCGATGCCCCTCGAAACTCCAAAGAATTCCGAACGATGGGCTCCACAATTATTCCTGTGATCTGTGCCTTCTGGCCCTGGATGCAATTCAATATCCCTTCACTGCGTGATGCCTCTGAATCCTCTTCCTTTTCCTCAACGCCACCAACCCCCGTAAGTGATCCCGATCCCCCAAACTCCCGCGCTGGCGTCCAACATCTCGCCTGTGTTTCTTGCAGACATTCAAGGCTTTGCTTCCTGTTCTTACTTATTGATTTGCCTGGGCGTTTACGCGCGATTTCGCGATGCGCGCTGGTGGTAACTGATTCGGAGTTTGGGCTAACAGTTATTGTAGCTGGCCGCCGCGGTTGCCCTCTCGCCTCCGCTTGCGTTTCGGTAAGACCTCACTTCGCTCTCTCCATGATTTTAATGCTTACTGACGGGTTGGATAGTCACAGTGGTCACCCGTGCGGCAGAGAACCGTGCTCTGGTGAAGCACAGGACCTAGGCATTAATCAGGTGCGCTCCGTGCGGCTCCCGAACTTCCTTATATACCTATCGGCGCTAACCAGCAGGATTTCGGCAGGAACATGGATTTGCCCAGTATCTGCTTTCTTCATCCTGCAACCAGCAATCGTGCAGCCCCGTAGGCCAAAACTACATCGCCTGGCGATATCACTGTACGCACGACCTATCTCTGCTTTATCATTTATATCCCTCAGTCTACTAACCTGCTGCAGATGGCAGAGCAAAACCCGCTAGTTGGGGGCGGCACGCACAAGGGATTGTCCCCGGCCCCCAAAACCTTCATCACTCACACCTTCCCAACCATTCACCAAAATACAATCATTGTCGCAGCCACGCACCCGACAGTCCAAACCGGGGAGCAGACCAGAGACGGTTGGTTTTTGTCGGATTTTTATGCCTTCAACTACCTCCTCAACGGCTCCGCCGAGGACCAAACGTGGCTGACGGCAGCTAAACCAGAGAGGCTAGTGGAGAAGTATGGTAACTTCCTCCACGGTTCACCCGATGGAGATCGCAAGGTAGTCCTAAGCCGCGACCTCATCGACTCGGGCATCACCCCAGTCACCCTCGTCGAGCCTGCCAAAATGAACGACAGATTTCTCAGCGAGGTCAATGAAGCATCTCTCCGGGCTAAGAAGAGTGGTTATCCGCTTCTTCTCATGGTTTTTTGTCATGACGTCCAAGGTCACTACCTCTGCCTCGACAACGGCACGCGAAAGAAGGGCATCAGTATTGTTCGGCTCAAAGCAGCCCTAGAGCCGGGTGTATCGGTCACCCTACTGACAACAGCCTGTTTCTCTGGAGGCTGGGCAGTCACCCCTGAGCTTAATACAACAACAATGGCTGCCGCACAGCCCGAGGGTGAATCAATCTCGTGGCAGATGTCGAGTAGCATGGGACGAGCCTGCGGCTCCGTGTTTGCGGGAGCTACTATCTCGACGCTATCGGACGCTTCGACGCCACTACTTGGACAGGGCAGCAGTTCGGAAGCACCAACAGGCGAGACCTGCCTCCAGCCCGAGGAGCCTACCGCGTTGCAGACAGAAACGTACAATGAGTTTTGTCGTTCCATCACGGATGTTTTAGGGGCGCGGGGACTCTCTGGCCTCCTATCGGACGACTTCACATTTAGCGCTCAGGATGACAAATGGGAATATTCCTGGACTAGAAGATCAGGAATTCCATTGGCTCATTTCAAAGAGCGCTGGGAAAAGCTGCCCACGTACCCTCACCAACCAACCGCCGACAACAATCAGACTACGCCTGCCGCCCATTTTACAGGCGGCGCCGACGCCAATACCGTTGTCGAGGAGATTACGCACGCAACGGTCCAATCACGAGTAACCAGTATGGCGAAGCTGTTTCTCGAGATTCTCTGCCCCGGCGATTGGAATATGGAGCAGAATGTTGCTGTTGGGGGTGGGCTCTTCGAATTCATTAACAACCACCCTAACGCCCCGTCTGCGTCCGAGGTTTCCGATATGATCCGCTTCAGATGGAACGCGTGTTTCCTCGTCGATAGGTTTGTCGACGATCACAACCTGGATCGTCCGGACGGCAAGATCTGCGTCCTGTGGCATGCTCAGGAGCATCCTGCGGCGATGCAAGTTAAATATGGCCGAGAGGGATGGCAGGCGCGTTATTCCCCCGTTCGGCAGGCTTTGGTAGAAGGTGGCGCGATGATTGAGCCAGCGGATCATCAAGGGCCAGTGTTCTATCGGCCTCTCACATATATGGCGACAGCTATCGCTGAGACATGTACAACCGAGGAAGCGACGAAGGGAATGGTGCGAGAGTACTGCGAGTACGTTGCGAGCATCCGAAAATTCTACCTCGACCGTGTTGTCGAGTCAACGGCTGTTCGGGGCAGGGGCCGCAAGTGGCTGGAATCTATCGATAGGCGCCTCCGTCGCTCGCTGTCCCCGTCGAAGGGTCTTCGACCTTCCACGGCGGCTCGGCCGAGCGTCGGCGAGACCGATAACGCTTCACCGGGAAGCAATAAGCTCGGGAATGCTCCCAATTTGTATTAAAGTTTAGGGCTAGAGAAATAGTTACCCCAATTTGTTCTCGTTAACTTTGGCAACCGTATTATCTTTAAAGTTGTCAACTGCATTGTCATTGACATGGTCAACAATGTTTTCCTTCAATGACATGGTCAATGATGTTTTCTTTCAATAACATGGTCGACGATGTTTTCAATAACATGTTCAACGATGTTTTCAATAACATGTTCAACTATGTTTTCTTTCAATGGCATGGTCAACCATGTTATCAGTCACATTGTCATTTGGTGATTTTTCGTTATAGTTGATCGGCCTGGGTCACGCAGGGGTACCTTGCGGACCACGACCCGCCTACGGTAAATAGTGCATCAGTAGCTGTGTCCCTCTCTGTTAGTAGAGGGAATCTGAATAATAACAATTTATTCTCACAGTTTCCTGGTCAAGGTGGTTCTTTGTGCCCAGCGCCCCGACGACGCAACCGCGAAGGCTGTTTTGGCGTTGTGAACAGTAAGGCACCTTGTATGGTGGGTAGTCGTTATCACAAGAGCTCTCAACTTCTTACTAAGCAAGCTCTAGAGCTTGAAAATACCTGTTCCCTCGGGAGGATGATTTGGAAATCAGATCAAGTTACCCGGTTGATTTGCTCGGTTCCGGCGGCATCGTTGGCTACCTGACGCTTAGTTGTGCCTTTCCTGAAGATTGATGACTCCCTTTCTTTGTTGTCCCTCGTTTTTAAATTGCCGCTAACTTGCTTCCAGTGATGTGGCCTTGAATGTCGCTAAGCATCAGATTATTGTATCCTCTCCTCTCTCAGGGGTTTAAATACTCTGGTTTACCCCAGCCCGAGGCCTGCCAATCCTCTTCACTCGCCGATTACCGCATTCCCGTTATAACTCGCTACACAACAGCTACAACGTGTCGATTTTTCATTCATCATTACCATTCTCAAGAAATCACGGGATATCAAACCAGCAAAATGCCTCCCACCGTCGTCCTCATCCGCCACGGTGAAGCGGAGCATAACGTAGACAGTGAGTCCCAATCCTTTCCCCCGGAAGAAGACAGGAGTTAAAGTGGTAAATTATTGACCCGGTCGTCCAGAAACCAAACACAATACCATCGACCCCACCCTCACTAGAAAAGGCGTGGAACAGTCGATCAAACTCACCAAGCATCTCGCGGAACACCTGCCTCTAGATGACCGAAGGATTGAACTCATCATCATGAGCCCGATGTATCGGGCCCTGCTTACTTCGTTGTATGCGTTCCCTGATCTCTTTAGGCGTGATGGCGTGCCGGTTGTGGCGGATGCGAGGTGGCAGGGTGGGTTTACCTTGTTTCTTTTTTTCCTCTCAGCACATATGTTGGGTTAATCAAGTCATTAATAATAATAGCAGAACTCTCCGCCAAACCCTGCGACACCGGCCGCCCCATCTCCGAACTCGTCCAACTCTTCCCCGACTTCGATTTCTCCGCCCTCGACCCCATCTTCCCTGACAAGACCTCCCCCGAGGCATCCGCATACCACTACAACAAAACAGCCGTACTTGCCCGTGGCCAGGCGGTGCTGAAGGACTTGTACGACCGCTGGGAGGATATTGTGGTGGTGGTTTCGCACTCTGGGTTCTTGAGGACTGCGGTGGCGGGGCGGTGGTTTGCGAATGCGGATTATCGGGTGTTTGACTTTGAGAGTCGGGAGGGGAAGGGGGAGGAGGAGCCGTATCGGTTGGTGGAGTGGGAGATGACGAGGGGGATGGGGGGGATGGGGAGGAGTAAGGAGGAGCTGGTGGAGTTTGGGGAGGGGGTGCCGGAGTGATTGGGGTTTCGTGGTGGTTCTGGGTGGATTAGAAATCTTTCTTGGGAGACTTGAGTTTGCTGCGGTGGTTTATTCAAATTATTAGAATTCTATTCTCAACGCCTGTGCAAGATGAACCCGAACGCCATACCCCAGCCTAAATGTTATAATATCTAATTATTGATGAGAAACAAGACCAATCCAAAAGAAAACGCCATGATGGTACCGAACCAACACTGTGACAACACCCATATGATCTCCTTTACCCCCCCCAGTCGCCTTCGATGGTGCCGTTGGGACCCGCGGGGGGGCCCGTTGCGCGGGTTGTTTGGTTGGTCATAGACTCGAAGCTGTTGACCTAGGCGGAGATTAACCTAACCGGTTTAGGGACGTGGCCCAAACTGCCGGTCGGCTTTGTCCTCGGTCGTGCTGCTTGACCCATTGCTTGGCCTGTTGTTCGACGGCTTCATGTTCGTGGGGAGGGCCCGTTATCCCGAGGTACTCAACGGCTGCAGTTCCCCATCCGGTTCCTCACCCATGTATCATCCAACCCCCCTAGAACCTTCACTGTGACTTCCATAGACGGGTTATTATCCCCCAAATACACCTCCCCATTACCCCCTCTACCACCGCGGGAGCCGCTATCATTGACCTCCTTGTTACCACCACCACGGAGTTCAGGGCGGTAACAGCGAACGTTCGTTTCTGGGTTTGTTTTCGCAACAGAGGGCGCACAGCCAAACCTAAACCCGTATAACCCCCCAGCCCATCATATCCACGGTATACACGACCTCCACAACTTCTTCCACCGTCCCCAACTAATCCTCCCCACGATCCTTTTCTTCGAGGTGGGTGTGTCGGAGAGGACAAAAGCGTCGGTCGAGGCGAGGGGGGACGGTTGGAGAGGGATGGTGCGCGGTGTGTGGGGTCTGAGGAAGGAGGTCGAGGTGTCGTTGGGTTGGAGGGTGAAGCTGTTGGGGTTCGGGCTGGCGTCGAAGTCTTCGATGAAGATAGATCGGTGGGAGCGGGTGCGGGAGAGCGAGGGGGGGTAGGAGCGGGACATTATGGGTGGATGAGCTTGGTGATACTTGGGTGAGGGTTGTTGTGGAAGAGGGTAATTATTTGAGGAACGGGTGAGAAGTGGTCAGGTTCGCGAGGAGGGAATCTGGTGGTTATGAAATCGGGATTCTCTTGATATCCAAGATACGATGATGCAGACCTCTAGTTGACAAGACCTCGGCCAAGTTTAAGGCCGTTAGCAACGAAACGCAGTTCGTACGCGCACTTTTGCCCCTCACCGTCATCGTGGCAGAGACGAATCCCAATAATCCACCCCCAATTCCCAGGGCGATGTGGCCGGCCACGCGCCAAATCCGATTCTTTCACAGCGTTCGACCCAGAGTTGGGCACTGGGCACCACGCAACCAGGGCTTGCTTATCGGCTGCGTGTCGATTCCGTGGCCAGTGAAGATGCTGGCTGGGCGATTCGCTGGGGCATGTCGCATGTTGCATGTCCAGTCCAATAGGGGGCTCGCCTGCGTCTGCATGCGCGACCGTTTGACGCTGCGTGGTGATAGGTTGTTTTGTTTTGGGGGTTGATTTGGGCGATGCGCCGAGCTCTAAAAAAAGTGAAGTTTGTCTCAGTCATGGAAGTGCCCAAGATCTGGAGGGTGACGTTTGTAAACGATAAGAGCACAAGAGTAGGTTGGGTAATGAATTTCCAAAATTATGCTCAAAAAACACAGAACCATCGCTTTTTCAAAATGCCCAGCCCGTGACAAAAAACCACCAACGCCACGCCATGCATCCTCTAATAGCAAAAAAGTTTCTACCATCCACTGCACCATCCACTGCACCGTGCACTGCACCGTTCAAACGCCATCACTTGATCGTTCAATCACAATCACCCCATAACTGCCCTCACACCGCCGAATGGTGCTGCTGCCCCCGGAACGGCTCGTACGCCTGCGGCGCATACTCGTTCTGCGTGGCCCCCACAGTGTGCGGGTTGTAATACGCAGGCGTCTGGGCGGCGTACGGCTGGCTCTCGCCGTACGAGTGATGCTTCTGCTGCGGCAGCACCGGCACGTCATGGATACCCTCGTGGTTGTGGCCCGCGTAGCCCGTGTGCGCGACCAGCTTGTGGCCTTCCTGGCCCGAGGCTTGGACGTACGCGCCGCCGTTTAGGGAGCCCTTGCGGTATTGGTGATAGACCACTGAGGCGTAAACGAGGAGGCCGAGGAAGGAGAGGCTGCGGCGGGATTGGTTAGCTACTGCATATTTCAAAGGGAATTTGTTGTTGTGAGTAAGGAGTGATGAAAACGTACAGGATGAGAACGCCGATAGCGATAGAGGCCACCCCGTTGCGAGCGCCGATCATGGTCAAGATGAAGTTGGCAATGTAGAACGCGTTCTGCACAATGTTGACGCCGAGGAAGAAGGGTGGCGTCAGGGTGCGCCTGGCGCGCATGATGATGCAGACGATGTCGAGGATCAGGCAGAACAGGATGATGCCCATGATCACGCACGACACGGCCAGGACGCCGTCGTAGGTGAGGCTCGTGTGGTACTCGTCGTACAGGCGCCCCACATCATCCCGAAATACGCTCAGGCCAGTCACCACGATGGCGTACAAGCCGATCTGGATGAGCATGATGATGATGCGGACGACCCAGAACGGAATCAGCACGCGCTTGAGGAAGGGCGATGAGTCGCCGATGATGTATGGGCGGGCCATGTTTCGCTGTCCAGCGTTGACAATTGTCTTGAGAGTGTTGTGGGTGATATTCGAGGTTCGGTTTCGTGGGATTTCAGTGTTTTCGAGTGGTTGAGACGAGTGAATCTTGAATTTTGGCACCGTCTGGAAACATGAACCTCCTCAACTCACATCGAAACTTCAATGGGCGACCCTGAAGTTAAATGCAGAGGGGCAACCCAGGATTTCTTCTTCACCGTCGGGCACCCATCCACATTTGGGATCATCTTGACATCCCATCCAATCACCAAGCAACGCTCGAATCCTTTGCCGTTGCCTCAGCCCTGTGGCTGACCGCAGCTCATGGGCCCCAGCAAGCCCAAGAAGGAAAAACACTGGGTTTCGCGCTTGGCGTTGATGCTGGAGCTTGTCGGATGGCAGCCCGCTATTGGCCCACCAAACGGGCATTGGGGCTGAGAATCTCGGTGCCTGTTAGCTTAACCGCTCTGGCTGCTAGCGCCGAAAATCGAACTTCAGCGCAGCGGCCCCGGCAAACGGCTGCCCGAAATTCACCACGAAAGGAACGAGCATGGAGTCCATTGATGTCGCTGCATTTTGGAGCCTGCCGATCTCACGATGTGTTGGCATTGTTTGCGGAAGGCAAGCGTGGGCCCTGGATGTAAGCTTTTGGCGTCTTAGGTAGCTGCTGAGACGGACGTATCAGGTCGTGGCTTATTCCCGAGGTCATGGTAGAATTTGGACGGAAAAGAGTGTACACTTCTTCACGACCAAAGAGAAGACAGGGCGCCGCATCTGGGGTTTATTTTCTTGGGGGACCGTATGATCGAACGTGTATGGTTTTGCCGTTGCATGAGCGTGGTACCCTGAATAGTTTGAAGTCGCAGTTGCCGCAGCCACGAAAGCTTAATATCACCGCTTTTGGCTGCTGCGCCATCCTTCACCCTCGGAAGACAGCCGAAGGATATTTGGGGCCCCTGGGCCCACTAAATCCTTCGCAGGGAGCTGAGGAAAGCGGTTTGGAATTTTGGGCAAAGAATAAATAGAGGAAAGGGAAGCTGAAATGAAAATTATGGCCGAATCCATGTTTCGAGGATAGAGTGAAAAGCCATGGGAATGTTTGTGCCTAATCAGGGCTTGATGTTATCCATTACTCCTGCCGAAATTATGTTTTTTTGTACGGAGACAGTTCCGGTGCGGGTGTTGAAGTTCCAGGGTGGGGCCCGCAATAACACAGAATTAGGTATCTGGAACTGCCTGACGTCATAGGTGATTTGAAGATGGCACTGAGAACTTGCTCTGAAGCTTTCTCACCAGCTCTCCAGAACAACAAATTTTAAACGGATTGACCGATTCTTGCGTGTTACAAATTCAAGAGCGACAGTAAAAGATCACCGAAGCTTACAACTTCACGCAACCTGTACAGCAACGCGTCATGGCAGAAGTCGCAGCAGCAGCCATCGCCGCGGAGCAGGCCGTGGCTACGGGCGTCGAAGCGGCAGCCGCCGTGGCCATCGCCGCGCCGACCTTGCCTCTCAAGATCTCCCTCACCCATCTCCCAAACCCAGCGCCTGAAGGTTCTCCGTAAGTTCTCGTTCCTTACTGAGTACACCATCCTGGCACGATAGCCAACTGACCGCTTCCCATAACACCAGTCACCCGGCCCTCGCACGCTCCCACCACACCCTCACAGTCCTCAACAACAAAGCCTACATCTTCGGCGGCCAAGACCCCTCCGGCGCTCTCTGCCCCCCCGGCATTCACACCCTCACCCTCCCCCCATCCAAAACCACGATCGACCCGACCACCGCTTCAGAGGGTACAACCAATATTAGGGACAGCAACACCCTCAACAACACGGCAAACACTGCCAGCACCTACACCACAACATACACCTGCTACCCGCCCTACAGCCTCCAAGACGCCTCCACCGGCGAAACCCTCGTCCCGCTTCCCCGCGCTGACCACGCGGCGTGTGCTCGCGGGAGGCGGTATCTGCTCATTCACGGCGGGCGCACCACCACATCCGACGGCTACAACAAGCCGGTAGACGAAGGAAATGATATCTGGCAATGGGACAGTCAGGAACTGACCTGGTCCCGGCTGCGGGGGGATTCCCAGTTGGGCAAGACCATGAGGCCGCGGTGGCGGCACTGGATGGTGGGGGATGGGGAACAGGGGTTTTTGGTTGTTGTTGGTGGAAAAGGAGGAGGAGGAGGAGGAGAAGGTGAGGGGTTAGAGAGAGAGGTGTGGATGTATGATTTTGAGTCGATGGTGTGGACGGATTTACCTGCGGTGCCCGGGAGGCCGTTGGCTGTGGCGTATGCGGATGGGAGGGTGTATGCGATTGCTAGTGGGGAGAAGGGTGTGGGTAAGGGTGGACGAACAGAGTTGGGGGGTGTGGTGTATTACCTAGATATGAAGGAGTCGGCGACGGAGAGGGAGAAGCCGGGGTCGTTGCTATGGGAGACCGTGACATACCCGGCCAACCCGCTTGCTCCTGGACCACAGCCGAGAGCGGGCGGGGCGCTGGTGCCGTTGAGTACGGGTCACGGAAGGGAGTATCTGGTGTACCTGTTTGGCCGGTCGGAAGGGTCTCCCGCTGTCGGTGCCGGGGAGAAGTATTATTCCGATATCTGGACACTTCAGCTGCCGGCTCATCGGCGGTCGGCTGCGGCGGTGAAGGACACGATCAGAGAAAAACTACCGCGCGTGGAATCAAATGAGTTTCGGTGGGCGGAGGCTGAGATTGTGCCGACGGAGCAGCTGGCGGAGGGGGGCAAGGTGCATCCGGGGCCGATTGCGGTGTTTGCGGTGGATTCGTGCTTGGATGGACGGGGTGTGGTGTTGTGGGGTGGCACAAATGCGAAGGGGGAGAAGCAGGCGGATGGATGGGTGTTGAGGTTGGCCCATGGGTATGCGGATCGTGATCGGTATGAGTGACGGGGCTAACGCTGCTGGTAGTTGTTGATGTGAAGAGAGATCATATTGTTGTGAATTGATGATATCAAAATCAGGAAGAGTTGTTTTTTTATGCTAAGATATATACATGCATAGTTAGAGGCTTCAAAATACTGATGATTCATTTTTCAGCACGAAGTCAATCAGCTCCATGCAGAATTATGGGGGCTCGGATAAACTCGCGAAACTTCGACGAGAAGTCCCAAGATGTTGCGATGCCAAGCGAAATTATCTGATCTTTTCGTCGGATCCGGCGATTGATAAGACGCTCGGGGTGGGTCTTTCCTTGCTTCCCCCACTCACACCGCGGCGCAACTCCCTCTTCGGATCATGATCCTGGATTTGGCCCGGAATTTTTTAGCATTCCTGGTTGCTATTGGTGCAACCGAGAGTCCCCTCGAGGTGTTACAGTCCCATGGCAGCAATGACAAGAGCCCCGCATGTCCCGGTGCCGGCGGTCGTTCTTGCCCTGGCTGAAGGATCTGATAAAGGGGACGTTGGCGCTCTTGCCGATCATGAGCCCATTTTTCGCATACGTCGCTTCCTGTTTGAGGAACTTCGCGTGGCTTTTATGTGAAGGACCACGAGCTTGCCTGCGTGCTCTCCTCTCCAAACCCACACCGAGACGATTCCATATACCAGCCCATTGATCCATTCACTCGTTATCCCCATTTTGGGTACATCGCATCATTATTACACCCTTACACTCGTTAAGCCATGATGAGCCGTGTTGCCGGCCTGTTCCGGCCCAAAGAGGCACCGGTGGTGGAGCAGGAGATTTTGTCCGAGAAGACCGCGGCGGATAAGGAGGCCAACGTCATCAGCCACTCCCAGAACGACAACAGCTCACCCTCGGCGGACAAGTCCCCCGACACGAAATGGGAGACAGAAGAGATACTGTCGGATGTTCAGGCGGGTATTCAGGATGTCGAGGCACTTGCGAAGGTCTGGACGAGGTGGAGTTTGATTGTGGCGTACATTACGTGAGTCTCAGCTCTTGGATGCTTCGGTTCGAGAGGGTTGGGATGTCCGACTGCTGACGATCGCCCGCAGGATCTGGTTCATCTATTTTGTCGACGCCATGCAGCAAGGCATGTCCACGACCCTCACACCGTACGTCACGAGCGCATTCAAAAGCCACTCGCTGACGGCCGCGACGAGTATCTTCTCCAACTTGATCGGTGGGCTCTTCAAGCTGCCGCTGGCCAAAGTGTTGGACATCTGGGGGCGGCCGCAAGGGTTCACGGCTATGATGGTCTGCCTGACGATCGGGTTGGCTATGATGGCCGCGTGCAACAACGTTGAGACGTATGCGGCGGGCCAGGTGTTTTACTGGGTTGGGTACAACGGCATCAGCTACACGATCTCGGTGTTCATTGCGGATACCTCGGCGCTGAAAAACCGGGCACTGATGCTGGCTTTCGCGGCTTCGCCGTATATCATCACGGTGTGGATTTCCGGCCCGCTGGCTGATGCGTTCTACCATGGGCCTGGTTTTCGTTGGGGGTTTGGCTCGTTTGCCATCATCACGCCTGCGATCTGTACGCCGCTTCTGGCTCTCTTCTACTTCAATTACCGGAAGGCTCGGCAGATGGGTCTCATCCCTGAGCGGAAGAGCGACCGGACGTTTCTGCAGTCACTCAAACATTACGTGATCGAGTTTGATGCAGTCGGGCTGCTCCTGATAACAGGGGGGTTGGCCTTGTTCTTGCTGCCATTCAGTTTGTACGCGCAACAGCCCCTAGGATGGAAGTCACCGATGCTCATCGCTTTCTTCGTTGTCGGCGGTCTGCTCATTATGGCTTTTGCGGGATACGAAAAATTCGTCGCGCCCAAGACATTCATCCCGTATGAGCTGCTCATGGACCGCACGGTGCTGGGCGCCTGCGTACTGGCAGGGGTATTGTTCGTTTCCTTTTATATCTGGGACAGCTACTTCTCGTCTTTCCTGCAGGTGGTCAACGGATTGGACATCACCAAGTCATCGTACATCATGAACATCTACAGCTTGGGGAGTTGCTTCTGGTCTATTATTGTGGGCGTGCTGATCCGGACCACGGGCCGCTTCAAATGGCTGGCTCTATACTTTGGCGTCCCGGTCACAATTCTTGGTGTCGGTCTCATGGCGCATTTCCGCCAGCCGGATGTCAACATCGGGTACATTGTCATGTGCCAGATCTTCATCGCCGTGGCCGGGGGTACACTCGTCATTTGCGAACAAATGGCGGTCATGGCGGCCACGACCCATCAGTACATCGCCGTCGTGTTGGCAATCGAGTCCATGTTCTCCAATGTGGGCGGCGCTATTGGGTCGACGGTTGCGGCCGCGATCTGGAACGGCGTGTTCCCGAAGAAGCTGGCGGACCATCTGCCAGTGGAATTGCAAGGAAACGTGACGAGTATTGTGGCATCCTTGGAGACGCAGTTGTCGTACCCGCTTGGTTCGGCGACGCGTGTGGCGATTCAAAAGGCGTATGGCGATGCACAGCGGATTATGATTATTGCGTCGACGGTGATTCAGGTGTTGTCGATCATTTCGGTGGTGGCGTGGCGGGATATCAAGGTGAAGGACTTTAAGCAAGTCAAGGGGTTGGTTGTTTAGTTTTGTGTGTAAGCGAATATGGAAATGCATAAACGACATTTGTTCACATGACTTCTTCGGCGACGCGTGAATTACAAAATGGCTCTAAGCCCCTGAATCTCCACCACAGCCGTTGGTGTTTCCTCCTACCGACTCAACCACCTTGTTGTTGCGGTAACACCGGTTACTGACAAAGACGGGCGTCCTGAACGTGACCTTCCATTCCATACCGTTCGCATCTGGCTGGTCAAAATACTCCCAGTTCCATTTTGTAACGCCCAATCCGAGACACCCTTTGGACTTGGGGAGAACGGTATCCTGGCCATAATCCCAGCTGCTGAAACCGGCTCCTAATACGGGTTAAAGTTAGTGCTGTGTCATCGCCGGGTAACTAAGAAATAGGCGGAGGAGGACGTAATACTTACCGTACATCTCAAAATCACTAAACAAAAACTTATACTTCCCCTTACACTGCCCAATCGGCGCGGCCAACAGATTCCGATTCCTTCTCGGACTCAAATCATACGAATACTCCCCCTTCTTCCACCTGCCCCCAAACTTCCAATTCATCGGATTATCACTATCCCCGGCATCACACCCATGCACCACCTTCGTAAACGCATCCAAACACTCCTCCCGATTTACCGTATCCACGTCTCCACCCTGCAGGATAAACTCCATCTCATCCGGCGTGCCCTCATGGTACACCTTCGACCGAATCCAATTCGTGTAACCCCCTCCCGGCCCTTCAACAGTAGCGCAAAAATCCTTCATGTTTGCATCCGCCCTGTCCGCCGTAACGAACGCGCTCCGCCCGCCAGACCGCCAACAACTAAACTCCTCAGTTACCTCGCACACCTCCGGCACGGCATTCAACACCTCAGCGCGTAAATCCATCGTCTTGGCAATCGCAAACGACGCCAGCGCGTTATGACCCAGCGGATTAGGGTGGAAGATCCGGCCGAAGAAATCAGGGAGCAGGGAACCCAAGCTCGGGAGCCAGGAGTTTCCGGAGTCGGAAGGGCAGCCAGGAACAGCGGGGGCAGCGCGGGGGTTGAGGGCGTGGAGGGCGGCGGCGCGCGGGTTGGGACTGTGCCAGAGGGAGGTGCGGTAGATGTGTCGGGGGATGCCGTTGGGGTCGAGGTCATCCTGGGACGTGGGTTTTGGAAGGGAGGCGCGGAGAGCGAGGAGGCGGGATTTGAGGACGGGGTCGATGTTGGGGTCGTTGAGGGGGTCTTCTTCTTCCTCTGAGATGAGGTTGGGGTGGGTGTTTGGGGTGGTGGTGGTGGTGGTTTTGGCGGTGGCTGTGCCGTTGGACACTTCGAGGTAGGTGTCTATCTCTGTCTCGTCGCGCTTCTTGAACCCGATCGGGGAACGGAAAAAGGTTTTACGGGTATCCGGCTTGAAGAACAGCAAATCCGGCTGGTACTTATCCGGGTACGCCCCCGACGACGAAGGCGAGCACATTTGCCCGTCGACTCCCTCACTCGGCCATAGATCCCAGTTGGAGAATCCAACCTTGTAGTTGACTTCATCCGCCACGTCATGCACCACGTCGCGGATCAGGTTGTTGAGTCCCGCCGTGAGCGTATTGAAGCGCTGGCGACGCGCAGTGGTCAGCGGCAAGGGGGTCGATCGGATGCCTAGCCAGGTGTAGCCGACCCAGGCGAAGAGCCCCCAGTCCTGGTCGGTGGCGCACTTCTCGTTGTCGGTGTTGAAGAATTGTGCGTAGCTGTTGTAGACGACGATGCCGTCGCTGGCCATCTTGGTGTTGAGGGCCAGGAGCATCTCTTTGATGTTAGTGCGCATGATGTTGGCGAGGTTTTCTTCGGCTTTGGCGAGGATGGTGTTGCAGGTCGCTTCGTCGTAGAAGGCGAGCACTATGCAGTCTTTGATGATGTCCACCAGACACAGGTCGTTGCCGCCGGCTGTGAGGGTGACCAGGTCGAGGTTGCCTTGCAGGGCGTTGATTTGGTTGTAGATTTGCCAGGTTTGGTCGCCCGTGCAGGCCGGGTACTGGAAGTTCTCGATGGATGCCCCGACGTACTGGCGCATCATCATCGGGTAGGAGAGGTCGTAGCGGGAACAGGCCCAGTCGTTGAAGTTGTGGAATAGACTGCCCAGTTGCTCGCCTGAGCCGATGCCGGCTGTGTAGCTATCGCCGATAGCAGCAAAGCGGCGGACCCAGGTGAAGGATGCTGGGTCCGAGGCTCCTTGCCGTCGATCCAGCTCGTTGGATGAGGGCGTGTAGTTGGCATTGTGTCGTGGGATGGAGAGCGCTGTTGCCAGATGCTCGGTGAGGAGGGCGAGCGAAACGAGTGAGAGTAGAGATATCATGGTTGCTGAGAGTCTGGCGGAGCGTGGAAGCCGCTCCTCTCCCACAGAGCCGTTAAGGAACAAAGAAGCAGGAGATGAGAAAAGGGTTGAAACAGAGGGACGGTGATGCCAAAGCTGTCTTCTGGATCGTGAAAAGTCACAACCCGTGTATGAGAATTCTCGCTGTAAGTAAAGCTGAACTCGACATGACCGCCTATCAGCCTTGGTGATAGTATCTCAATGGACGCATGATTACTTCTGATGCCAAGACGTGATATCCGGTCTCCTCAGCGCCAAAGTCCATGTCAATATGCTGATGACTACGATGCAAGAAAACCTAGCCCTACAACACCGTGTGTGCACACGGTAACACTATCGAATTAGAGTGGTGTTAGGCAGACGCTTAATAGGAAATAAGCCTCACGTACCCCGAGTTCGGGTCGTAGAATTGCAAATGAGGAGCCTGATGCTGGTAACGACCGGATGAAGGAGCAAGAAGGCCGCGCGAAAACAAGACATGTACCGATACATCTTCCGGCAGCGTTACATTACAACCGAGCTAATATTCCAGCCGGCATGGGTTGGGTAAGACCTGCCCCTTCTTTCCGGCAACCTCTAATATAGACTCCAACTTCCAAGCAGGATCTCGACCACGAGATGTCCCCAAAACCCCTCGCGTGACATCGTGAAGTTTCTCGCTCAGCCTACGCTAATGCAAGGCACGCAATAAAGTGAGCGCGGGTGCTGTGGTGGATGTGGGATGATTCAGCGCGTCGTGCTTGGCATCAGCACTGAAGAGACAGGAGAGCAATACTCGGTTCCATGTCCCAATTGGGTAGGAGTACGGATGTGATTACTATCACGTTGAACTCCAAGTGTGGGCTGGACGATACTCGACCATACAAACTGGAAGAATGCGTTTTGAGCATTGAAACTTGAGGACAACTCTTGGGTTTACCACCCGCTCACTTCCTGTGTGTATTGCGGTGCTTCCTTTCTCATTGTTGTTGAGATTGTGCATTTACGATGCTGTCGAAATCGGTGTTTGCCTCGCTTCTCTTAGCGATCACGGTTCAAGCCGGCAACAGGGCGTGGGAACCCCCTATCCAATACGCCAAAGCCGCAATTGCAGTTCGCGACCTGTCCGGTATCAACAACATTTACTCCAACGGAACCAACGTTTCTTCGGCGCACCACGCTCACCAAAAGCGCTTTTTCGGTCTCAGCAACCCCGCAACCACCGGGTCATATCCGCGACTCTGGCCGAATGGAAACATTGATGCGTGTTTCGAACAGCGAAGCCATCTGTACAACGGCCAGAACGTGGCTACCCGGGATATCTTGTACAATGATTTGATCACGGCTCGTGAGCTTTGGCGGAATGCTGGGTTGGATGATAGTACGTTTATTTCACTCCGCTAGAAGTCCAATGAACCCGGAGAGTACTGACCGATGGTGCCTAGAAAATGGAAACTTCAGGTTCACCATCCTCGGGGATGACGATCCTGGATGTGAGCGGAACCAACGGTCAACGCATCTTCTCATCATGTACGCCGGCCAAGGTCAGCGCAAGATGAGCACGACCGTGGGCGTCGATCAACCCCTGGCTGCCCCTGAATCTGATCGGTAGGTGCAATTCACTGGGAATATTGAGAATATCGAAAACTCTTCTGATTTTTGATTCCCTTTGCAGTCCCGACTCAGAGCTAGGCCCAACCATGACCCTGACCGACAACATCGACGTCGGCATGGGTAACGTCGTCGCCAACTACGCCCACGAAATGGGTGTAAGTTCTCCCCCTTCCGTCCCTTTAGACCCTCTAGTTCCAAAGCTGATCACCCTATTAGCACTCCTGGGGCCTCCACCACGAGCACCAAAACCCCAAGTGGTGGTCCGAGACGTTCACCCAAGTCGAGCGCACCAACTACTTCTTCAGCGAGGACAACTTCATCTGCGAGAACCTGCGCGATTTCGACGAGCAAATGGCCCCCTACGCCAACGACCCGGAATACATCCGCCGTGGCAAGCGTAACGAGATCTGCCGCGACCGTGCCAAGGCCAGCCGGGCCAAGTTCGCGGGCGGGTTTAACTACATTCCGATTACTGATGAGCCGGGGACTATTGATGATGAGAGGTCGGAGCCGGATTGGCAGTCTATTATGCTTTGTACGTTCCCTCATCTCCGTTAACTACTCACTCCGCGTGTAGAACTTTCTGAGTGAGTTGTTTGCTGACTAGTCAAAAAACAGACCCGAGTAATGCCGGAGGCAAGGTGGTGGGAGGGGTCAAGCAGAATGTGCTGACTAAACCGGATGGTAGCATCATTGACCCCGTTTCCAGGCCTAGTAAAAGGGATGTTGCGGGGCTGAAGAAAATGTACGGGGTCAAGACCAATTTCTTTGGGAAGTTTCTTGGAGACAAGAGCAACCCACTCAAGAACATCTTTGATCGGACGCGGAAGAAGGATCCGGATTCGGGCTGTTCGTCTTAAGAGATGACTTGAGGGGAGGCCGGTTGAACCGAGATGGGATGTATCTTGTAGTGATTGATAGGTTGATAGTAACTATGGATTCATGTTAAAAACCTCAGTTTTGTGGCATTGGTCCTGTGATGGGGAATTAATGATTGTTGAAATGTCAACGGCTGTTTAAACTCATCAAATTGTTGTGACGGCCAGAAGAAAAGGCTTATCACAAAACGCGATCGATACATCATCATAACTACTTGTTGTAATTAATTATCTCATGACGCAACATTTTATGTATTTGCTAGTCATATCAGACCATCTCATAGAATTAGACAACAATCTCTCATATGATCACATCCTGTTTATTTGAAATTGCGATGGTGGTAAACTTGGCAATTCAAAATGTTTTAATTCAATTCCTCTGCATTCAAAAAATTCACCCCTGGATAATTAACTCTATAGCTCATCCCAGTGCGTTTCAAAATCCGGGATACTAGGCGGACGCTGGCCTAGCACCGATTTTGGCCGAGACAAATCCGATCCCAACGCATTAATCAACGTCCCATCGTCCAAGTCAATCGCCCAAATCATCGTCCTACCCACGCCCCATTAATTAGCACGACCCTCAACTCCATGAGAATGAAGGAACGAATGAAGGAAACTTACCCTCCAAGACACCTCAAATTCGCATAATCCAACTTCCTCTTCAACGTCCCCGCATCATCATAACTCACCCACTGATTCGAGTCCCACGTCACAATCTGCACTGCGGCCTCCTCATCCAGCGTCACCGTCGTCCCCCCCGCCGCAATAATCGTATTAATCTCCGCCGCCGACAGCACACCCGGCGTACCTGTGCATTCTCCACCCCGCGCGCCGTCGGTGAACTCACACCCGGCGTGTAGGCAATCAGGGGATTTCATGGTGAAGGAGCGGCCGTAGAAGCCTAGACCGAGGACGACTCGGCCTGGGTTGATGTTGTTGCGCCAGAGGAGCTCGAGGGCTTGTTGGATTTCGGTCATGTTGGTGTGGGCGAAGGCATAGGGGCCGATGGCTTTAACTGTGCTGTCCCAGGTTCCGTCTAGGAGGGTTAGTTTTTGTATGTGGCTGTGGAGTGAGCGGGTGCTTACGGATGTCGTAGGTCATGATGTTGAACCTGTAATAATTGGTTAGCTAATGCGGGGGACGTTGCGTTGCGTCTCACTCACCAGTCGAGATGCGGTTCTAAGAGAGTGTGTTAGTGTTTGGTTTCTCATCAAGGATCAGAGTTAAATCTTACCGATATCCTGCAAATTGAAGCCACGAAGATACCAATACGAAGCCGGCTGCACAAGTTAGTGACAAACATTTACCAAAACACTCCTCGGCAGCCAAACTAACCAGCGTAATCGTAAGACCATAGTCCCGACCAGATTGGTTCAAACGCTCCCGCAAACGGCGCACCAGGGTCGCATAATTGTCAAAATCAGCCTGAACGCCGCCACGGTCCTCCGCAACCGGATACTCCCAGTCGAGATCGACACCGTCAAAGTTGTGCCGCCGCATGAAGGTGATGAGGGATTCAAAAAAGGCGTCCTGGGCGGATGTCGAGGCCGCGAGATCGGAGAAGGTGGTGCGGTACGGGCCCGGGTCGTTCATAGCCCAGCCGCCGACCGCTGTGTTTCACTATTAGCACTAATTACTCGGCATTGAGGATAAACCGGGGGATTCGACTTACCAATCCAAACTTTGAGATCGGGATCCTTGGACTTGAGAGCAGAAACCCGGTCATACAGCGCCGCAGTATCGGGCCCCATATCCTCGATATGAAACGTTGTCGGGTTCACCAACGCAAACGCGTAGTTGATATGGGTGTAATAGCCCAGCGGGATGTCCTCCGGCGCCATTCCTAGTAGTCTTCATCAGCCCATAATTACTCCCCATCCTCTCACTGTCCACCCAACAAACTCACGTCCACAAGACCTCCCCAAATTCCACCCCTCATAATACCCAATCGTCCTCTGATCCGCGCTCTTCCCGCCCGGGCACTGCGGTGAGGGAACAGTCTTCCCATCACAGAAATCCGCCGTGGTGCCGCAGAACCCAAACTTGGAACAGCAAACATTCAGCGGACAGTTGGTCGCCTGTGACCACTCGGGCCCCCAGCCTGGGTCGCAGTCGGATTTGGCGTCGCACTGACTGGTGCAGTTCCCGGGGGCGCAGAAAGTTGGGCCCATGCCGCAGATGCCTGTGTTCGTTGTTGGGTCGCTAGTGATACTTGTTAGTGTTGGTTAACGTAAAGGAGGGAGAGGACTCACATGGGACCGCAGCAACCGAGGGTGCATCCTTTTGTTGGGGAGCAGGTGTAATCTGGGTTGGAGTCTTGGGCGAGAATGGGGTTGACGAGGAGAAGCAGCAAGCTCCATAACAGGAGCGAAGCCTGCCTTCGGAGCATCGTGGGTTGTTGGCGTGGTCTACCAGGGAAGTTACAATCCAGAAGTTCAGTTCAGTGATTTCAAGAGTGCAAAGTGAAGAATTTGGAGAAAATGAAGCGGGAGAGTTTGTTGAAGAGTTTACTTTGGCTGGGAGGTGAGTTACCCTAACCCTGAGCGAGCCGCTGTTGGTGTAGAGGGAGGTCTCCGTTCTCTGGTCCAAGAGACGTGAGTTTTGTTGGACCCGTTGCAAATAAGATCGCACAACATCAGACGCGCCTCAAGAGCTACCCAAAAGCCAAGCAGGCCAAGCGGACGGTGTCTCCGCCCATTCTGGTCGCTGCACGTACCGGTACTTCGATGCCCTCGTTCTCACCCAGACCCACTTCAACTTACACACAAGAAAGGCTAGTCTCGAGTCGAGGTTCTCACATCAGACGAAAGTGGAAAACAGACGAAAAACCTGCAGCCCTACCCGAGGCGGGTGATAGGCATCAGTTAACGATTTTTGGTTACATCCAGTAGCCCGTGATGGAAGGGTTCTCCCGCCTTTCTTCCGCCATGCAGCCGACCCCTCAGTCTTGGCCTTTTGCTCACGATTAATAAACTGCAGGTGGCTTCGTAACCCCACGATGCGCTGACTGAGCACCACACCCACTTACGCAGGAACTCAGAATTAACCACGATGCAACGGAACGGGCTGCGGGCCGGGCGACACTATTGATTTGTTGGTTTGCCGCCGCAGCAAAATCGTGATGACGCTGGAAGAAAAGATCGCGCGCGCAGCAGCGTGTTGCCGAACACCGAGTTCAGGAATGAGTTACTGGCTTGGTATTACAACCTCACCATACTTTCGAACATGCTATTCCGTTCCTGAAAGAGACGCAATTGCTCGTGATGACTCAGGCAGCCGACCAATATTGATACCAGGCGTGCACACAGTATGAATTGAACTTGACTCAACCGAAGTAAGAGTGGCATCGTCAGAATAATTGAGGGAGGCCGTCAATATTGCTCGTCTGACCGGGCGCCAAGCATCTGACAATGCCTTCACTTGCCGAACAGAGATGTTGTGTGACTAAGGCCCGTCCCTCAACATCGTGAACTCAGGTCAAGGAAGAAGATTGAGGGCAATGAGTATCTCGGCCGTCGAGTTTAGGACGGTCCGTTGCCCTGCCTGTTGAACGACTTGTGGCTTCTTGACACTCTTCACGACTTGAATTCTGACCTCCCTCAGCGGCGTCACACACAACTTCGAGTCCGGCCAGCAAACGGCCAACACTCGGTTCTCACGATGGCCTCATTCATTAGAGCAAAAACAACACACCTGTTGCTAAGCCTCCTCCTCTTCGCACCCTTCATCAACGCCCAAGACACCTCTCCCAACGGCCCAACCTTCCCCAACATCGCATCCAACTGCAACGCCTACCACACCGTCGTCGACACTGACGGCTGCGCGTCCATCGCAGCCACCTACGGCATCACCCTCGCCGAGTTCTACGCATGGAACCCCGACATCTCCAACGACTGCGGTACCAACTTCTGGACCGGCTACGCTTACTGCGTCGGCGTAGGCCCGGCCGCGCCGAGTAGCGTGACGTATACCCCTCCGCCGGATACCACGTGCGCTTGTGAGACGAGCACCACCACGGGTACGACGAAGACAGGCACCAAGACAGAGACGGAGACGGTTACCTCGACAGAGACTACGGCTAGTGCGAGCAGTAATACAGATCCGTACAGCACGCTGCATCCGATCACGAATTACACGCTGACGGCGACGTCGACGGAGTTGGCGTTTCCGCCGACGAAAACGCAGGCGGGCCAGCCGGAGAATTGTGATGATTGGCAGTTGGCTACGGCGTGGGATACGTGTGAGAGTATTGTGTCTAGTAACTCGTGGTTGACGTTGAGCAATCTGTATGACTTTCTTTCTCTTTCCCTTGTTTTTAGAGCTGTCACTAACAGCCGCTCAAAGCCTTGCCTGGAATCCCGCTCTGCACTCTGATTGTTCTGGGCTGTACGATGGCTGGTGGCTGTGCATCAGCGTCCGGCCGTCGTCCAACATCGACATCGGGTGGACGACAACGGAAGGCAGCGTGGACATCCCGACCATCACGGCCAACTACACGCCCACCACCTTCCCAGCCATCGATCCCAGCTTTACTGCTTCCCCGACCCAACCTGGGATTGTCAGCGGGTGTCTGTCCTACTACCAGGCGAAGGATGTAAGCCAACTACCCCATTTCCCGCAAATCTCTTCTACTTGAAACGAACGGTCCTTGCTAACACGATCAGGGCGACACCTGCCACAACATAGTAGACGGCACCATCCTAACCGAAGCCGATTTCTTCGCCTGGAACCCGGCCCTCAACAACGTCTGCACCGGTCTCTGGGTCAACTACTGGTACTGCGTCGCCGGTCCCTCGGGCTACGCCATAACTGCCTTCCCCCCCACAGTCGCCTCACCCACCCTTCCGGCCCCGACCCCTCCAAACCAGATAGCAACCTGCAAGAAATGGTACCAGCGCGACGGTGAATCGTGTGCCGAGATCGCAGCCATGTTTGGGACGTTCTCGGAGGCGGATTTTAAGGGGTGGAATGTGAATGTGGGCAGTGGGTGTACGAATTTGGTGGATGGGTGGTGGTATTGTGTGGGGGTGCCGGGGACGCCGACGACGAGGTCGGAGCCCGTGCAGACAACGGAGGTGCCGGATGGGACGCCGACGTTGGAGGGGATGACGGGGGAGTGTGCGAAGTTGTGGTTTGTGGGGGGGTGAGTTTGTCTTGTTTTGTTTTGTTTCTTGTCCCGTTTGTTTTTTTGCCCGGGCTTGTGTTGGACGCGAAGGGATGTTGGTGATGTGATAGACAATGATGTTAACTTGACTAAAAGGAGCGACACCTGCCAGTCGATCGAGCTGGCCAACGGAATCACCGAAGCCGACTTTTTGCAGTGGAACCCGGCGCTTGCGGGTACTACGACAACTTGTAAGCTGGTACGGGACTACTACGTCTGTGTATCCATCGACGGGCCGCCGGTGACGATCTCAACTGTATCCACCTCGAAGACATCACAGACTAGGACTAGCACGAGCACCAGCACTACTTCACCACCGGGAACGGGAACCACGACAACAACAAAAACAACGACCGCAGTGACGACGACAACGTCTGGTGGAAGTGGACCTATCACGACGCCTACTCCGATTCGAGTAAGTAATTCCTTTCTCGATGGGGGTTCATCGGACGGGGAAGATGCTCAGGTGGCTAACAACCGCAGGACGGCATGACATCAAGCTGTCACCGGTTCTACTATGCCCAGGACGGTGACGGGTGTTGGGCCATTGCTAACGCAGCCGGGATTGATCTCAAGTAAGACTTCTTTCCTTAATGAAGTGGAATTCACGTCGAAGGTGTGATCGACTAACAAAACAAATAGTGACTTCTACGCTTGGAATCCCGCCGTGGGAACGGATTGTGGGGGTTTGTGGCTGGGATACTACTATTGTATCGGCATTGCTGGGCCGACGACGACGATTTCGGATGGGCCGCCTGTTCCGACGTAGGGTGTTTGTTTCAGTGGGTTAAGTGAATGTGTCGTGTGCTAAGGGCAGTTTGTGATAATGAATACTTGAATATTACATCGATGAGCTTGTATGACACTCCCCTTAAGAAATAATCTTGATGTAGGTATTTGTTACGGAGCTGATACTTTGAGCCCCCTTTCAAGGACAACGACTGACAACTGTATGTCTCTCATAATACCTACCTATTTTGTAGCCTTCACAGTTATTCTGTAGCCATGCCCATGGTATAAGCCGTGTCCACTCCCCCCACCCCAGAATATGTCCACATGGCCTATCCTCCTTACATTACACCACCGGCACGCCCAAAGACCAACTCCTCGGAAACTCCATCCCCCACCTCCCCATCAACCCCCTCAACTCCTCCTCCGTCCCAGGCACCACATTCACAAACACCCGATCTCCCCCACCACCCCCATCCCCCTTTCCATCCATCCTCGGCTCCGAATGCACAGCCCCCTCCCTCCCCCCCAACCGAAAAAACACCATTTCCCCATTCCCCACCTGCACCACCTCCCTCCCCTCCAACTCCTTCCCCACCATCTCCCTCACAACCTCACTCGTCCTCCCACACGCCGCACACCTCATCGTCGAACAAACATGCCCTTGCCCTCCCCCTTTTCCCCCATCCCCGTTTCCTTCCTTCTTCGCCTCCTCCAACCGCTGCGCAGCAACAGCGTCCTTCTTCGCCCGTCTCAACACCTTCCTAGCTAACCCACCGTCGGCAGCAAATAACGTCCCGGGACCTTGCAATGTGGCGCAGAGTTTCCACTGGTTGCGGGCGTGTTCGCTTTGGCGCGGGTCGAGGAAGAAGGCGTCGTCGGTATGCCAGCGGGGGTTGTTGAAGGCGGATGTGGGCTGGGTGGCGCGGATGGTGAGCCAGTAGTGGGTTGTGTTGTGGGTGCGGAGGAAGGTGTGGGTTGATTGGAGGAGGGGGAGGAGGTGGGTTAGGAGGGGGTGTGAGTTTGTTGCTGGGGATGGGCTAGCAAAGGTGTGATGAGCCCAGGTGTGGAAGGATTCTGGGAGGGTGTTGGAGAAGACGGCGAGGTCAGAGTCAGACGCAGACTCAGCAACGGGAAGCGGGAGGAGCGGGCCGCAGTAACTCCAGGTTGTCGTGCTCGTCAGCACGAGTGGGGGTGGATCGACGGGTCTGTTGAGGATGGGGAAGAAGTGAAAGTCGCGGGGCGGAAGTGGTGTCATGGTGAGGTTGTTGAGCGGCTGGCAATTGATCGAGTTGATGTGGATGTCGAGGACGTGGTCGTCTGTCGCTGCAAAACACCAAGGGATCACGAGCTAGCCGGTTCTCGTATACTTTGCCTCCGGTAGGTGTGTTTTATTCCAAGCGAAGTTAAAAAATCGTCGACACCTTCTGTTGGATTGAATCCTAGGCGGAACGAGAAAAACATGAAAAGAGCGAACGAAACTGCGTTTTGTTTAGGACCAAGATTCTGGTCCAGCGTCTGGCCCCTTGGCTCACGACCTCGCTTAGCGCCAAGCGTGCGTAAGTGGCGTAGCAAATGGGAACACACGCCGTGCTAGGATCCGTCGAGGACCCCAAAGTCAGCCACACCTGAATTCTCGTGGCACAGTGGGATTTCCCGAGAAATCGAGGCCGAAATTCGGAATATGAAAACCGGCAATTTCTTGGGTTTAATTCAACATAGCGTGGTAAATCTATTGACTCGTGTCAATTATGGCTTAAACACCAAAACTACTTCTAATTAACTAGATTGTTTGTGTTTGTGTTGTTTATTGACTTGTTCTGGTAATGAGTAATAATATTTGTCACTGTTTGGTATCAACAGATCGGTCGTTATGGTAGTTGCAGGTATATTCCGTGAACTACCTGTAATGCTTCCTGTTCGTCATACAACATCGTCGTGATAGACCTACTCTGATCCTAAGCCCCCTGATTGCTCTCCCACAGAGGCACACAATGCTACAAACTTCCGCGCACCGTCTCGCAAATAATTATTTCCCAATACTCCCAAAACAAACACACAACCACCAGACAATCACAAAAACAACCCTCCAAACCTCCCAGACCTCCCAAATATGAAAACACAATCCTTCTTTCGACAACCATTCCTCCTCACCCATCTTCTCCATCCATGTTCTCCATCCATCTTCTCCATCCACCCAACCCCCTCTCTATCCTCTCAATACCCATCACCCACATCCACCTATATACGCCCCCTCTCTTCATTCCCGCCTACCTAGGCTTACCAATACCCCCCCTTCTCCCCCTCCCCCTCATTCCCCCTCCAAAAGCGACAGGCGACCCCCTCCCCCTCATCCCCTCCTCATCCTCCCCCTCCAGTCGCTGTACAAACCGTCGCATCCTCGTCACATCCCATGGTAACGCTACCCAGGCTGGTCCTCCACCACTGTTGGGCCCTCTACCACCGTTGGGCGCGCCGGCGTGCATGTTGTTTTCTTCGAAGAGGAGTTTTATGGGTTGGCTTGGGAGGAGGGGGAAGGGACCGGTTATTATGGGGGCTGTTGTGAAGGTGGGCTCGGCTGGTTTTAGGGCTGGTTTTAGGGCTGGTTTTAGGGCTGGTTGAGGTGTTGGTTTGTGGGGTGGTCTGGCGGTTGGTCTGGCGGCTGGAGGTGCTGGGGCTGGGTTGGCTCGGTTGGGAACTAGTGTCGAAGGGTTTTCTGACCCAGGTGCTACTGGCCTGTGAGGAGCGTTGCGAGCATGACCCAGAGGAGGAAGATTAGCGCCATCCTCAGCAAACGACGCTCTTGGCCTCCTCACAACCGGCACACCACCCGACCGCTCCGCCTGCTCCCCCTGCTCCAACTCTTCATTCCGCCGTCTGTTGGCCTCTGCCCGCCGCGCAATCAACCGGGAGATGAGCCGATCGGACTGGACATCATCAGCCAGTCCACTTCCGAGATGAGGCGGTCGAGGAGAAGGTGGTCGACGCAGCGGGGTGCGGGAGGCCGTTGACGTGGGACGGGTTGTTGTCGGTCCTGTTAGTCTTCCTGTTGCTGGTCCTGCTGCTGGAGTCTTGAACGAGAGGTAGCCGGGGAAACTACCCGACAATGACGATGAGGGCGGATACTTCTGACCCTGACTCTGGGCCTGGGTATGGGTCTGGATCTGGGTTTGGCTCTGAATCCGACCCAGCGCCCGACACTCCCGACCAAGCGTCGCATCAGAACCAACCAGCCCCGGCGGAACAACCCTCCCACGAGCCCTCAACGCAGCAGCAGCCGCCTCCCGACAGTGCCGCTCAGCCGCGCTGCTGAGTCCCAGTCCCATACCCCGAGGGCGAGCCACCGGTGGCCGGGCCGTCGCCGCTACTTGGCCGGTTCGTTGGTGTTGTTGTTGTTGTTGTTGTTTCTGGACCACTCCGGCAATCCCAGATGGCCTACGTGGTGGGAGGCTGGTCTGGGCCGATGAAGGAGGCGGGAGCGTGGCCCGCGAGACGAAAGGGTCGCTGCGATGGGCGAATCCAGGGAGTGGTTGTGTCGGCGCTGGTCGTCGGGAGGAACCGTACATGGCGTTGTTGCTTGTGGTGTTGTTCGCCGCGGTGGTGCTGCCGCCGTTGTTGTAGGTGGGCGGGCCAACAGGAGGTCGAAACTGCGCCGGCGTAGGAAGACGCCGCGGGGGGGCAGGCTGTCCAACAAGAGAAGCGGGCTTGGGCTGGAACGGCGCAGGTACAGTGAGCGCTGTGCGTATATACCGATCCGGTTTGGGAACGCCTCGCGGCGGACCTCGTGGTCGGGAGGGGGTGATGGGCGCGCCGACGAGACGGTCGTAGGTGGGCGGCGGGCCGGTGGGTTTTACGGTTTTCTGTGGTGCTGTTAGGAACCGTGATCGGACCAAACCGGGGACTGTTTCTTCGCATGTCCAAAGAAGCGACACGAGGGGATGCTGTCTCGGACAGACGAGATTATCACGAGAACAACCGAGAAAAAGAATATGGACACACCTCTCCGGTAAACGGATCATCAAGGATATCCTCGACCTTTTCCATCGGCTCATCACGCTGGGCCGCCAGCGCCTGGATCCTCTCGTTGAAGGTAGCCGAGTATGCCTTGAAGTTGGCGTCGCGTTTGGGGACATCTTTGGCTTCGAGGCGTTCCAGTCTATCTCTTAGCTCCCTAGCGTGTTCTTCAAGGCAAAATACTTCGCGCCTCGGGGGAGGAGAGCACGAAGCGCGAAGAGACGCTCGTGATGCGGGCGACATTCTGTTGGTGAGACTGGAAATAGCAGCGTTCGCTAGGTCGGCAGACTACCATCAAGCACCCGCAGTGGGAGGTCTTTGTGGTTGGGTCAAGGGAAGGGCCGATGAAAGAGCCGGACGTGTCATATAAAGATGAAATATGGCAAAGAATTCGGTCGGAGAACTTACTTGAGGGCGGCCGATGATGATCGATGATGGTCGATGATGGTATCGTCGTGGACTGAACTTTCGTCCCTATGTTGGAAAAGCTCAGAGGGAGTGAAAGTGTTGGTCGGAGAAGACTGTTGTGGAAGGGAAGATGGAATTCCAATTCTCTTTGGTCTCAAATTCAAGGCGGGGAATTGTTCAAATACTCTTCCAGGCCGCCAGGTAGAGAATCCGGTACAGACAGGCTGTGCTACCAGTTAAACGGCAATACTTCGAGCGACCAGCCAGCGTACAGCGTTGCTGTGCTGTGGATAAGGGGTCCCAGCCTGATAGGCTGTTAGACCCTACCTCCACCCTGTCTCCATTCCCGCGCAAGACCTAGCCACGGCAGCGGCAGCACAACCCTCTCTTCATCCTCCCCTATTTACATCCCCTTCGCTAGTCCCAATCACAGCCCCGATCCCGACTATAATGGCGGAAGCAGCGGGAGCTACGACGATGACACCAACACAGCTGTGACTCTATCCCGGCTTTCACCGCTTCACTATAAGGGTGCCTACCTATCTATATGTAATACCGGTTTGAGAGTCGTCAGGAAAGATTCCTTTCTAGTACTGCCAATGGAACTCTGCATGGCCATCGCCGTGTTACTCCCCACGCCCGATGCCCTTCGCGCTCGCCTGGCCTCTCGGGCGTTCTGGCCCGTCTTTCACAACCCACAGTTTTGGATCTCCCGATTCGAACCTTCGGAGTCCCTCGGCCACCTGTTTGACGCTCGCCACCACCAGCCAACCGACTGGCGATCGTTTTATCTCCAGGCCAACAGAACGGTAGCCAATACTAGCCCGGACCTTTTAAACCGACGGAGGATCTGGACGCTGGCTCCCCAAATCTCGGACATTGTCGCCCTTCGCTGACGGGACCTCACATGGAACCCGAATGGTTAAACCTACCGTTTATACCCCCTCGACACCCAGGCTTCAACGTCCGAGATCCGATGCTGTGGCACCCCGAGATCCCTGGCTTGGGCAGTTGCAATGGCCGTTGCTGTAGAGGGCCGTGTTGGGTTTCGGTCCCATTCTAGGGCCATGTGGCGTGCTAATCTACTTGGGACTCCCTGAACATTCCTATGTACCATAGTAATGCCGAATATGCTGTTGGTCTGTACCAAAGTAGGTGGTTAGGCTCTTAACCACCTCGACTTCCTTCCGCAATTATCCCCGTTCATCGACACGACCGCCCATGGAGACCTTCCTCGGTCGACGTACTTGTCACAACTTCCGATTTCGTTCCCCACTTCCTCCGAAATCTCCTCGGCACCTCATCCCATCAGGGTACTCGCTACAATTTCCGATTCCGTTCCCCTACATATATATATCCTTCTCAACTCCCTTCACCAAGCCAGCTACGACCCCGCCTCGCGCGACTATTACAAGATGCCGTACTTCCACCAGGTATGCGCGCTATGCGGGTGTCAGGTCATGCCAGCCAAACCCACTGGCTCCGTCCCTTGGAATAGCGAATTTCCTTGGAATTCCAATAGTCCCCGTGACGATGGTGACCACCTACCCCCCGGACAACAACACCAGCGCTGCCGGGGACGACTATCATGCCCAAGAACAGAACGCCGCTCGGGCTCCCACCTCCGACAACAACGAGCATGGCAGCACCAACAACAGGGTAGACAGTAGCAACGAAGGCAGCTACCTCACCCACACCCCCGAGAAGAAGCTCAAGCGCACCGGCGGCGGCGCCACGAACGTCAACGCCAACGTCGACAAAGGCAAGCAGAGGGCCGCCGCCGCGGAGGAGATTAGTGAGTTGGAGGATACTCTCGCTGATGTAAGTACATGCCTATCTGGCTACCTTAGTACCTAAGTACCGTACAATAACTAACATTCTTACCACCTTATGAGAAAGATAAACGATATCAAGCTTGGCAGCGGTTTGGGTAAACGATCCGAGCGATATTGAGGAGGAAGAGGATGAGGAATAAGCCGCCATGATTTAAGGGTACGTGTCCAGGGACACTGAGCCGTGTATTATCATATCGATCCTTGCAAAAGGTCATGTTGATATTCGGGCTTGGTAATTAAGTAGATTGTATGTGGTGACTTGGGCGATGATTAATTACCGGTCACAGCTTAACCATATTGAATTACCAAATCCCATGTAACCCCCAACCGACCCTGAACAACCTTCATATCCTTCGTGAATGAATCACACTCTTCCATCACCCGTGACACCCTATCGAGAATAAGATAACCGAGATTGGCTGTCGCAATTACTGCGAAGAACCGCCCGAGATGGTGAGGATTTGACCTAGAAACATTAGCCAACGCCGAACCCCCACCCAACTCTGTGAAGCAAACACTCACCGTTAACCCAGCTACCATCCTCACTCGCCAGGAACGCCACGACCCTCGCAACATCCTGAGGCACCGCACAACGGCCCAGCGGGCAATGCTCCGCCATCTTCCGCTCAATCTCCGCCGCAGGAATATCCGGCGTACCCCCCGGGATATAATGCCATGCATTCTCCGTAAACATATCACTCTTGATCCCCCCCGGCGCGACCCCATTGACGGTAATCCCCTTGACCCCAAAGTCCGTCGCAAACGCCTTCACCATCCCAATCACCGCCATCTTACTACTATTATACAACGCATGGTTCTTCACCCCCAACAGCCCCGCCGCAATGCTCGTCATCAAAATCAGCCGGCCATTCTTCTCCAAATGCTCAAACGCCGCCTGGCCCACAAAAAACTGCGCGCGCGCGTTCAAGTTAAACACATGATCATACTTCTCCTCCGTCACCTCCTCCGTCTTATCCCACGACTCCGTCCCGCTGTTGGACATCACAATGTCCACCCGGCCGAAATGGGCCTTGGCCTCTTCGAAAAGCCGCTTGATCTCCGACACGCGGGACACGTCGGCTTGGATGGCGACCGCGCGGGCACCCGTGCCGTAGGACTCGGCTTCCTTGACGACTTCCTGGGCGGGGCCGGCTGAGGAGACGTAATTGACCACGATGGAGGCGCCGCGGCGGGCGAGTTCGAGGGCTACGCCGCGACCGATGCCCCGGCCGGCGCCGGTGATGAGGGCGACTTTGCCTTCGAGGCTGGCGGAGGGGATTGCGAGAACCATTTTGAGGTTTGAGTGTTGGGAAGAAGTAAAGCGGTTGTAATTAGTGGTGGAAGATGTGTGAGTGGTGTGTAGTTTGTGGTTTTTGGAATGGAAACCAAGAGTGCAAAACTGGCTTGAACTGAAAATTGAGTATGGTTTGGAAGAAGCGGGAAAAGTGCAGTGCAAAATACTCGTGGGCAAAGGTTCCTGGTTCGGGGTTCCGAGGCCGTCGGAGTATCGAGGGGAAGGGCCGGACCACACAGCGGGATTCCCCTGCCTTATGTCCGGGAGCTTCCAACACTGCTCCTTCCCGACGGGAATTGAAAAATGGCAAAATAGAACTAGAAGGAGCGAATTTGGATTAGGTTTTGAAAGATTGTCGTCGGCCGGCGGGTATGTGCATGTGCGTTTTGTGTTCCTTCCCGTCTAATATTGAAGCTGTTGCAGTTGCCACAATTCAATCGCCGCTCTCGACTCGATTTACACTTTCACACAACCCAATTGTTTCCACAAACTAGAGAATGCACACTCCATTGAGCCAGACATTGTTGAAACTTCAATTTACAATCCTCAGGTTCCATGCCATCATTTCCAAAACTGAGTTGCGGACTATGGCGTAGTTTCTCTCGACCAGAACACGGTGACCTGTCAACACCGTTTCCCGACAGGTCATTCAATCCACATTGTCCGGCCTTGCCATTCCCCTACCTTAGGTATTAGCAGGAGAACCACGGCTTCGTACTTAGGCAAGATCATCAAATGGCGCAGACCTCCGTGCAAGGTATCGTGGAGCACGACCCTATTCTTAATTAATTACCAGGTATGTCCTGGGTGGTTTAGATCACCGTAGCGTCACAATTTGGTCTCTCTAATAGGCTGGCTCATACTTACTGCGCATTTACCATGGACACACAAAAAGTGCAGAAATGCCCCGGAGTAAACATTGTTAGGTAGGGAACCTCTCACGGGGTTTACATCCTTCTAAGTCCCCGATACAGCGGAAACAAAACAACAACACCGGTAGTTACTACCAGGTCATTCATGGTAATATTTGGAAATGATAGATGGATCGATAGCCTCAACCTTATCCGCATTTATCGCAGACACGAGGACTTCATATTTGTCGGCCGCAAATGGATCGCTACGCTTAGTTCGGAAATACCGACAAACTTGAACAAGCCCGGCCACATTCCCCGAGTGATCTCGCACCCAACACAACGGCAGAAGAGGAGCAGGAATCCCGATAGACATACACAGTATCGCAGGAGTCAGGACGCCTCTTAGTTATAAGAATCTTGCGGTGATACTCCGTACCCTGTGATTGTTTGCCTCGAGTCAGGCCCAACCGCAGCAAGGCCGAATGTGGCTCTTCGCCTAACATTCCTAATGCGGCCGACCGTCAACACCATTGGTGGATCGATCGAGTGTCTCACCAACACGCAGGGGCAAACCGCGCCGTCTCGCCGAAACACGCAGCAAGGAAAGCAAAAACAACAAAACTGTTGAATGAAAGCGCAGACACAAAACGCGAGCCCTCGCCGTTTTGTCGGTGTGGGAGGGCTTCAATGCGGGAAGAGCGTGGTCCAATCCGAGTGGCAAACACGTTTGCTGGCGAGTGGGCGCGGAGGACGGGCAATCTCCAAGCGCCAAGTACCTGGGCTTGGCAACCCAGTCGATTCGAGTCCACGCATGTGTTGCGTCTGGCGTGTGAAACATCGCGATCCCGGGAACGAGGCGCGCGCCTGAGCCGGAAAGAAAAAATTGAAAAATGATGCGACCTCGGCTTTTGCGGCCTTGCGACCCCACAAGGAGCAAATCCCAAGCTTGCTGCTCGTGTTCCACCAGCAGAAAAGGACCAAAGGAGCAAAAAATCCTAGGGTCAGGCACAGGCCGCTAGGATGACGTCGTGTCAGCCGAGACCCACGTCGTGTCGCGCGCCAATCAGCTGAGCAAGGCTGCGATCGGTTGTCCCTGGCAACAGTCTGCGACGGTGCTGGTAAACAAGAATGCGCTGCAACCCCCAGGGTTAATTCGCCGATTTCAGCACCCTGGCGACTCAATTGCACCCATCCCATACTTCTGCCGCTACCATCTGTCAATTCATGTTCTTGGAACCCTGAAGAGTTTGAACAACATCAATTATATTCTCACGGCGAGGAGAAGACGTCGAGGTAACACCCTGACCGCCAGTTCCGTCAGGGAAGCCGTTTTGCCGCGTGGTGAGACTTCCAATCTTTACCCAAGTTCGATGCTCTCCAACCCGCCCCTCATGAGCGGGCATCATTCGCGGCAGCGCCAGCATCGGCGCCAGAACTCAACACCATCCGCCTTCGACGCAGTCAAGATCGCACCGCTGCCAAATCTGCAACAGCGTCGCCCCGTATCTCACCGCCGCGGCCTCAGCCTCGACACCCGAGCGCACCACCAACCACTAGCCCCCGCCCCGCCAACCGGCCTGCGACAAGAGTATGTGCCGGTAGAGGCCACGACACCGCAGAATCTGCTGCGGCAGCCAGGTCACCAGCAACGTTCGGCACGTCCGGCACTAAGTCAGGCCGCATTCGCGGAACTTGAAGCGGCGGACAACTTCTTGGTCTCGCCGCAAGTCACACCGCAGAGCCGACGGTTCACCAATGCCATGGCAGCGGGCCAGGGCCAGCTCCCCGACCTATCCGGCCTTCCCTTTGATACCTACGCGGGGGCCCCGGCCCTGTTCGAGCGTTCAGTCAACCGGCTAGGCGACCACAACATGGAGCCCAGTCAGGAGTTTGACTTCTTCGCTCCCGACAGTGCTCTATCGACACCGAGCTTTCTGACCTTTCCCGACTCGAGCCCTGGTGGCTTAGGCGAGGGCTGGGGCTCGGAGAGTGAGACGGCCAGCACATCGCGAAAGTCATCCCGGCGGGTCAGCAACGGGATTATGAACAAGGCGGCCAAGCTTGATGCGATGGGAAGCGGATTCGAGGGTGCAGATCGGCCATGCACACCGAACAGCCAGATCGCCAGTGGTAGGTCAACTGACAGAAAGCTACACGTCGGATGGGAAAGACTAACGGATTGCCAAGATTACTTCCCGCAAACGCCGGTAGAAGCATCAGTGAAGCAGGAAGCGACATCACATCACCCTCCAAACCGATTCTCCGAGGGCTACGACGAGTCTATGGAAGAAACCCTCAAGCCGATCCGTATTAGGAACCCGAACCGCGCCTCGGGCATCTTCCAAGACCTCCGGCAACAAGCAGAAGCCATGGCTCACACCCCGCCACGCGCAGGCAACATCCCCATGGCGATCAACAACCAGGCGCTGCGAACACCCGAGTTTATGAACATGCGCAATATCAGCGCCGAGTTCAGGAAGATCGAGCGCGAGTTTGGCAGCTTCCCTGAGAGCCCCATGGATGCACCGTCGATGTTCTCGTTCATGAAGTCTGACAGCTCCATGGATGACAAGACCCCCTTTCCTGCGCTGTCCCTTGAGGGCAACGACATTCCGCATCTAGGACCCCCTTCCCCGGTCAGCGGGACACCATCTCGGCGGACCTCTCCGCATCATCGCCGGACCGAGTCCGTGGCCTCAGTAACCAGCGCGGCCAGCATCGCGGATATCAACATCGAAGAGACCAAGACGGAAACGGGCGTGACCCTCGAGGAGATCTCGGCGTTTATCCAGGGGCCCGACCCGACCGACGGCAAGTGGCGGTGCCTTTACGAAGGGTGCAACAAGCCGTTTGGGCGCAAGGAGAACATCAAAAGCCACGTACAGACCCATCTCAACGACCGACAATACCAGTGCCCAACATGCAAGAAGTGCTTTGTCCGGCAGCACGATCTCAAGCGGCACGCCAAGATCCATACCGGTATCAAACCGTACCCGTGCGAGTGTGGCAACAGCTTCGCCCGGCACGACGCACTTACACGCCATCGACAGCGCGGCATGTGCATCGGAGCCTTTGATGGTGTTGTCCGCAAGGTGGTCAAACGCGGGCGGCCCAAGAAGATCCGGCCCGACATGGACGAGCGGCGCGACAAAGCCGAGCGAACGCGACGCAAGAACAAGCTCGGCTCAACCAGCTCGGCCAACTCAGCCTCCAGCCAGTCCGGCTACTCGGACGTCTCAGGCGCCAACTCGCCCAACAGCCAGCACGACTTCGACGGCCTGCTCGACGACGACCACTTCTCGGACATCCTATCCTCATCCATTGCGTCGCTCCCCAGTGTCACCGGTGCTGATGTCATCACAACAACCACCACTCTCGCAGCCCTAACGGCTGCATCCTCACTACCCCCAGCCACAACCACCATGGCCGACGTCTTCCCAACACCCACCACCACCGCCGGCCTCTCTCCATCAGCCATGAGCTCCTTCAGCAGCACCAGCACCTCCTTTTCTCACCACCACCAACAACACCCCCAAATCCACCACGCCCACCACTATCAACCTCCGTCCCGCCCCCAATCTACAGCCAGCCACTACGCAAACACCACTCACTTCAACCCACCGCCCAATCATCATCATCACCACACACCCCCATCGCCGACCAAATCCCTGCCCCCTTCCTCCTCCCAACCACACCCCACCCACATTCAATACACCCACGCCCACCCTACCCCACCAGACGATAACCTCTCCTCTCCACGCTCTCCGCCGCCCTTCCTGCCCGCATCGTCCTCGTCGTCGTCTGACTCGTCGTCAGCCGCGTCGCGGTTCTTTGACCTCGATTCTGGGAATGGGGATAGTTCGGGCATCGCGGGTGGTCTTGGGCATAGTGTTGGGACTGCTGGGAGTGGATGTGGCGTTGGTGGTGGGAGTGGTGGTGCGGCAGAGGAGATGTTGTTGCTTCCTGGAGCGGGAGTTGGTGGACAAGAGGATGAGGATGGGTTTGATCCGGTGAGTATGTTTACGAGTGGGGAGGATGTGTTTTTTGGGACGGCTTGAGGGCTTGCTTGCTGGGTTTGCTGGGGTGTGTACGTTGGGGGGGTTACATGGGTTTAGGTCCTTCGTTTTGGGTTTTCTTTTGTTTGGTTCATTTTGGGTGTGGTTGGTGGTTTGACTGGATGGTCAGATGGTCAAGTAGCCAGACGGACAAATGGTCAGATGTTGGATAGGGGGTATACCGGTACGGTTGGTCTTCTTCTCGGGGGGTGTACAACAAGGGTTTTCAGGATGTTGGCTTGCGGATAACTATCAGGTCTCTGGGAAGGGGACAGGCTTCTGGGAGATTTCTTTTGTTTATTTCTGTGGTTAATTTTCCTTTGTAACTATTTGACTTCACATGGTTTGGTTATAGCGTTTTTCTTTTCTACTTACTTCTGGGTATCGGACTGGGACGGCTGGCGTCCTGGATGGGATACCTTACTTTTTGTGGCTTGGATTTTCTTGGAATATACGATTGTTCTTGGATTAGTTGTTAGTGTGTGTTGAAGATTGGTGAAGTGAGAAAGTGACCATGGTAATCAATAGTTGAGTGTCGTGGTGAGAACGACTCACATTTGTAAGGAGTATTAATTAATTGACAAACACCATTAACGTGCATTATAAGCGAGTGGGCCATATAAGCGAGTGGGCCACTTTTCCATGTAACGCGACACCTATTCTCAATTACCACGCCGCAACATTAAGAACCAACTACAATTACATCGGAAACAGCTGAATCAGACCCTTCTGCAACCTCCTGGCACGTACGGGCATTATGGCCAGGCTTGCCGCATACACCACAGCACCGAACCTTCGTACGAGCCCCCCCTGCACTACCACTATCCGGCTCCTTTTCTTGCGCCACCTCCCCAACCACGGCCTTCTGGTCCAGTAGATCCTTTACATCTTATACCGCAAGTGATCCTCCAAGCTATACACGTGTTCTTTTGGCTCTCCGGCGCTTACTGAGTGCCTCGTTGGCCTTACAGAGCAAAGAGACCTCGGAGCGTAGGAGAGCCACCTCATACATTACAGCTATCGTACCCTTAGTAAGCTAGTCTATAGCAGCTAACATCGAGGTTAGGGAGCTGTTTTAATAGTTGGCAATACAAGTCTTGATAAGTGTTGACTACAAATCGGCTTCTCAAGGGTTGTAGGGTATCTGGAAGACCCAAGGTTATATAGTGCCAGGCCGTAAGATTAGTAGTGTTGATGTAGAAAGCTTGATATCTAGCTTAGAAAACACCCTCTCTAGATCGTATAGAACAAGGCCTATACCTACGAAGCCACCCTAGATATTGCTCTTAGTAATAAAGGCGAAGAAGGCTATACGAAAGGCACAGAGGAACTCAAGCTTACTTACATAGTTGATATATATACGTATCAAGTCCTTGATCTAGCGGCTATATACCTGCTTCAACGGCCTAAAGCAGCCAATATCAAGTGGCTAAAGGAGGTAGGAGGAATATAGAGGCATATAGAGTATAATAATATAGTTCTGCTTACAATAGAGCTTAAATTCAGTAGAGTAATAGCTCTCGTGGCCGTCGAGGATCAATAACCGATATTTGCCCTTTGCCCGGGGTACTATATAATAGTCGAAGTGCTTGATCCAATCTAGGCCAACTATATTGGTAGTCCAGCCGTTATCGGTAGTCGTAATACACCAGTCGGCTGGGAGGTTACACTCGGTATACCAGTTGGCGAGGTACTACGCGGCCAAGATGATAAAGGGGGGGATTGTCAAGGGCTCAGGCCTAGGGCTATGAGCAGTCGTGTTGGATCGTGGCCGATGGCCTCGGGTTGACGTGGCGGGGCTGTCCCTCTCCCGAGGCACTCGCGAGCCGGGGCTGTCCCGGACCCGGCTCGGAGGTGGAGCTCGAGGTGCCCGACCCCTGAGCGCGCACATCAGGGGGGGGAGGGACATCAGGATATAAGGAGCCATGAGCAAGGCACAACCCCAAGTAGTTCTCTTTCTGCAAGCTTTCTCAATTAACATAATAAACGCCTATCTGCATTCCGCCATAGGGCCAGTTTCTCACAGGGATGGCCCAGCCAAGGGCATTAACACCCTATATCACTGTTGCCCACTTGCGGTTGCCAGGCTGGGCTAGCTTTGCCTTACTACAGCCATTCGAGGTCGTAACTACCATACCTGCGAAGATAATACCCATCATAAACCCAGTCTCGTCAAAGTTATAGATATCGTCCTCTACAATACCATACTTGGCCTTGACGTTCTATACAAGGGCAAACCACTCGCCAACGACCTTCAGGTCTTCGTACTTTGCCCTCTGGTAGTTGTATCTACGTGTATAACGTATTTGGAGCTCTGGTTGGTGTTTGACGAAGTTGGAGGCCCAGAGCTTACCAACAGGGGGTATATCGCGTATCTGTAGTAGTTAGTTGGCCATATCTTCTACACCAGTAAGCCTTGGTGGAAATACTCGCTCAGATAGCTCAATTATATGTTGAACAATAGCCTTCTCTTCGGAATCGGTGAGCCAGCGCGAGTTGGGCGTAGTATCGCGTCGTACAAGTCGGCCAGCGTGTCGTCGGGTTAAGGTCATACAGGGGACGTTGTAGATCTTCGCTGCCTTTCGTAGGCTTAGATTTTCGTCATTTTTAAGAGCCTCGAGGGCCAACAATACGCTGGCTTCATTTGAAGTACCAGGCATTTTAGGTTGTAGAGAAAATTGATGTTAAGTATGGAAGTGGCGCGTCGCGTGGAAAAGTGGCCCACTCGCTTATATGGCCCACTCGCTTATAATGCACGTTAATGAAGAAGTACAGATAAGGTATTGCTCACCACCGGAATATCCCCTAGGTCCATGATGTCGACTCATGAATCACTTCTTAGTCAAACACAGTGCTGGGTTGCCTTCATTCACTTGTAATTACATAATGCAATAATTGTCCCGTATAATTGTCAAAAACACAAAGTTCCGAACGTTTTATTGTTAAGGAAAGTCAGGGCTAGAAGAAGCGGACGTCTTCAAGGAAAATGAAAACCTGGCGATTAACATTTCCATTCTCAGATTCTTTCGTCAAAGGTAAACTTGGTGATTGCCATTCCTCTTTCGTTTTCATATTTCAACAACAATCAATGGACAGTCTCCACAATAACGAGTGTCTCTACTCTCACACTAATACAATACCCCGCGACTCCAATCCTCAATCCACCGTGTGAAATACATATGCATATATGCACAGCGTGGCTTTCTTAATGCTGCCCTGCCTCCCAATCACCCGTCTCGAATCTATCAGGGAGTATTAATATTTAACTCAGGATAGTGGTGAGCATACCGCATGTCTATCTGCTCTACAACGAGTAATTACCTAGCAAACAACATGAACTGGGAAGCACTTACAATCAACCCGTTGCTCACCACTGGAGTTACTAATACTTCAAGATGCATAACGTCCCCTCCTAAATGGCCCCTTAGTCCAACACTGCTTTAGTACCTTATACCACTATACCATGTGCACCCCTTCTCAGCTAAACGCCCCACCCAGCAAGTTTGGTTATAAAGTCGACCTCCACTACGACCGATTCAAGGAAAAGCAAAAAATTGAGGGAGAACAGTGCAACACCCAGGTTCGAACTGGGGACTCTGCTAGGACCCTACAGAGACCATAAGACCCTTACCTGGTCTTATGTTTCAAGAACCTCCTGGCCCCCGCAACGTGTTACCACTACACCACATGCACCCCTTCTCAGTTGAATTGCCCGTCCTGCAAACCTAATTAACTATAACCCCACTGCGCTCACCGTAAAGTCAACCTTTCACGTACCGTGTGAAGACAGCGGATGTGTATATATACACGGCTCGACTTTCCAAATGCTTCCTCACCACCCTTCACCTCGACTCTACTACAGAGTAACCATTAACCGAGGATAGTGATGAGGAGGAAGTGCTTATAACTAACATCCTGTTGCTCACCACGGGAGTGATTACTGCAAGATTTATAATGTCCGCTCCTGAATGGCTCCTTAGTCTAACTGCCTCAGTTGGACCTTGATTCCTGCCCTCCCATCACGATGCCCTCAAACTCCAACCTTTCACCGCCGTGTGAAGACAGTGTATGATTTACGGAGCGACTTTCTCTAATTCTAAATGCTGCCCTCAGACTCCAACCTTTCACCACCGTGTGAAAACAGTGTATGATATACGGTGCGGCTTTCTCTAATTCTAAATGCTGCCCTGCCTGCCTTCCAACCCATTGCCCACCACGATTCTAAATAACTCTTCTAATCAAGAACAAATTCAAACCTTTCCCAACCCACACCACGGAATTCCAACTTCTCTTTCGACCATCCTTCCTCACACTGGCGTATCTGAACCGACAAGATGCACACCAACTGGTACGTGAAGGTGTGCCCGCCCTTTGGTCCGGGCCGCTTCACGCCCGGTGCCAGTCTTGTGGAAGAATTCCCCCACGGCGTTGATGCCGACGTCCTCGTTCTCGGCTCTGGCGACCTACGCGATGTGTTATACACAGCGTTTGCGGACAAGGGACTACCCGAGCGCAAGATCGACTTCACCATCTGCGACGATAACAAATATACCATCGGTAAGATCGCTAGATTTAATTTCGTTTTAAAATCTTGTGGCCGGGCTCGCTGACAAAAGGTCAATAACATACAGCTCGCAACGTCCTTTTTCTCACACTGGTACTGGACAAACAACTTGACATTACTGAGCTGTGGGAAATCTACTACGAGATTTGGATCGTCCAGTCCGACCTCAAGTTTGTGACCGACCAGTTGGAGAAACTGGCCGACCTTTCGGAGACCCAAGAAGCATGGCGAGACAGCCCCTATGGCGCGACGCTGCGCTTCAGCGACGATGACATATTGGCGTCGCTCCATGAAGTTTGGGTTGGATGCACAGTTACCACAACTGCAGAGGATGCAGAAGACGAGGTTGACCTTCAAGAGTTGTTCGGTCAAAGCTTGTACATGTCCCGCCGCCACCACGAAAAGGAAAAAGTGGTATCCAAGCAAGACGTCTCGCGGTCATGTGCTCCTCTGGCGGCAGATCTGGCCGACGAGATGATATATACCACGAAACTGCACTGGGACAAGATCCACGTACAAGACAAAGTTGACGAAGCTAGCGAAGGCGAATCTCGACAGCCCAACCCCCTGTTCCTCTTCCCCATGATCACCGCGCCGAACATCCTTCAGTATCCAACCAACCCCCTTCTCAGTTTCCACATGGCAACCGCAGAAATCAACCAGAGCCTGTCCTCTCCACCCTATCTCGGGGGAAATCCATATCCAGGGCTCATTTCAAACCGGACCGATATGAAATGGGAGTATTCGGCCTTGATGCAATTCAAGGCTTGGGTTAAGGCTTTTGCTGAGGCTGCCCCAAGGCTCACCGTCCGCTTCTCCTCGGCCGATTATTTTGCCTTTTGCCACACCATTCGACTGAATCTGGAGTCGGGGGATCTCTGCGCTCAACACTACCGCGCCAATACCAGCTTTGATCTACTCGTTCTGTCCGAGGCGGAATACGGCGCTGAGGGAACCGCCCCCCGGCAGTTTGATGTCATCGATACATCCATCCTGGCTGGCCAAGTGAGCCCGCTCAACCTTCTAGTCTCCGCCTCGGGCCTCCTCAAAGACAAGCCTTCCTCGACCATCTACACGACTAACTATCATCGCATGGGACACGAAGACGACTTCAAAGCCATCCTGGCCGGTCACACAACGGAGCTGTCCATTCTTCTGGGCCTCGCTCCTCTGGAATACTGGACCAACGCCAGGGCCATGTCGCCAGCCGACCAGGTCTTGGCGGTATGGACGGAGAGGGCAACCACAGCACAGGGACGGGAGACACTCTTCAACTTCCGCATTGCCTGGAAGCTCATCAAGCACATTGTCGGCGCTGGCACCGGTACCGTGACCGTCACGCCCGCATTGGGGGAACACGCCATAGCCCGACTCATGCTCAAGGTCTACCGCCATATGTTTGGGCTTGCAGAAGTGTCCCCGTCAGTTGAGAAGGCAGAGACGGGGACCCTCCTCAGAACCCTCGCCAAATACACACCGCGTATGCAAAACACGGCTACAAGTTTCACCGCCCTTGTTGACGCGGTGTGCGATCAGGCTCAAGCCGATTCGCAAGTGGTTTGGGGACAGCTGCTCCTCGGTCTCATGAACGATCCGAACTGGCCGAACCCGATGCGGCGGTTTGCCCTGGGCTTGACCGATACGGAGGTCCCGAACCCCATGCAGGAGTTTGCCATGGTCTTGATCTCCAAGATCCACCCTTCCTTGCGCACGTTTTACCTACCTGCACCGTCGGCCGACCGCCTCACGCGCACAATGTCCTACCCATGGGACAAGTGGTCCGCCCGTCCCGAGCAACTGGCCATTACTTTCACCGTGCCGACTCGTGTCTGGCACCCAATCAGACTTCACCCCGGCCCGATCCCGCTCAGGGAACGCGAAACTTCCGTCGCCGCCTTCTTGGGCATGCCCAACCCCCACCCCTGTATTGAGAAACCTCTCAGGTGTATCTGTGAGGACATCCAAGTGGGATTTGGAACGATCTCGGAAACTAAAGGCCGCGGCGAGGAGGACTTTGCTCTTACCATCGAGGAAGAGTCGGCCGGTTGGGGCTGTGACGAGTCCATGATCGTCTCCTTCTACCTCCCTACTGACATGATAGAGAGGTTCCAAACGTCCCAATACGCGACAGTCGGCATCTTCGCCCAGCCCCTGCGACTCACCGACAAGGGCTACATTGCGTTGCCTGGTTACGAGAAACCTTGTTATGTGCTCGCCCTGAACGACAGAAAGAAGGTCTTCATCACAAAGCATCGGCCCAACCAAGAGAGCCGGGAGGTCTCGGAGCACTCGCTGCGCCAGACCCACAAGAACAACGCGGCCAAGAAGGAAGGGGGAAAGGCCGGCCAGGAGAAGCCGGAGCCGTTTGCCATCGGCCTCAGGGCCAACTTCAACGATGCCGATAGCAAGATCGGGACGATCACCGCCCGCGTCGACGTCACGGCAGACCCGGCCCGGCGACTCCTGGCCGACGGAGGGCTCATCACCCTCACCCAAACCTCCCCCTTCGCGTTCCAACTCACCCTCGGCACCACCGAGAGAGTCGCCTGCCCGGTCTTCTTCCCCGCGCCGGTCCTCAAGCGCGGCGACTGGACCCACATCGCCCGCACGTCGGGCTACATCGAGCTCGTCGCGCCCCTCGTCGACATCCCCCGCGAGTGGCCCCCCGAGCTCGACACCTTCCTCCTCCCCACCACGGCGCCCTCATCCTCGTCGCGGTCATCCCCCCCCGTGACGCTCACCATCCACAACCTCAACCTCGACGTGTTGCCCATCCTCTCGCTCGCCGGCAAAACCCCCATCCGCCGCTCCATGGCCACCTTCACCTACCTCATGTTCTCGCCGCGCGAGCGCCAACTCCGCGACCAGTTGCAGGCGCTCGAGGACTCGGGTGTCCAGCGCCCTGTTGCTGGTGCTGGTGCTGGTGCTGGTGCTGGTGCTCGCGCGGCGTGTGGGAACTCCCCTTACTCCGCCCGCCTCGCGTTCAAGGAAAATCTCTACAGCATGTTCATGCTGGCCACCGGCCTGCACGGTGGTCAACCGACGAAACTGTTCGCGCTGTCAAACACCTCCCCGGCGCGGGGGATGCACATCCTGGTTATTGTCAGTTCCGTGCGGCTTGACGTGGCCGGGGGTGGAGGTGCTGGGTGTGGAGGGATGGTGTTGGATGCGGCGGTTTTGCCGATTACGCGGGAGATGATGGAGGGGGTTGGGACCGGGGAGGAGAAGTTGAGGGATAGCGGGATGGAGGAGTTCTTGTTGCTGCTGCGGTCGCTGGACTGCTGCACGATGTTGGTTGGGGCGGAGGAGCTAGTGCTGTGGAAGAAGACGCTGCCGGCGCTGGCTGAGCGGTGTCGGACGTGGATGCACCGGGACGGCGACGCTTGCGAGTATGTGGCCGCGGGAGGCAAGGTACCCGTCAGCGTGGTGGAAGGGGAGCAAGTGCTATGCAGCTGCGGACAGGGCCAGTTCCCCAAGGACTATCTCCAGCTGCCCGGATGGGACACAACGGCCGCGCGGTATGCCACGCGCGTGGCCATCAGCCCTGTGTACGCCTCGGCCCTGGTGGGGGAACTGATCGACCCGGCGCTGGCCGAGGAGCTGGCCGAGGACTTGGTCAACAGTTGCCGGAACTGCGGGAAGTCTGCGCTGCTTGTGTGTGAGGAGTGCAGGGATGTCAGATATTGCTCGACGGCGTGCCAGATGGAGGACTTGGGCAAGCACAGTTTGGACTGCCTGGACAAACGGATGATGTCGATGATGGAAACGGCACAGCAGTTGAAGAAAGAGGCCGCTGAAGGAGGTGATTGATGCCTTCACTGCCTACCTACTTGGTGATGGGGGCCAGCTATCATGGTTTGGGGGTCACAAGTTTGGTGATCCAGACTCTCAGAGTTTGAGAGTTTGGGAGTTTATAAAATATAGTGTACCGGTATACGATGTAATTAGCACGAAAACCATGCTTACTACACTATGTTCAACCGCTTCTCATAATGCCGTGGACGTGATTACTACATGCAGTACAAAGTAGGTAACCCTGTCCTGTCTTATGGATAATGGAATCCACACCAACAACGACACGACACCAACAAAACAAGGCCTCAAGGTCTGGAACCATTCAACAGAGCTCGGAACCCAGCTTTTGGCGAAATGAAGCCTGGCCCATGGATCCCTCGCGCCCTGGAAACAAAAATACTTGCCAACCCTCCTTTCCAAATTCTTTTTGTGGCAATACGCAGTGGGGACCATGACGAAAAAGACCGTTCTGGAACGCGCCGCGAGAAATTCGAACCGAACGGGTGTTTCCGTGATGCTTGTATCGCGAGCTGAGAGGCTGGTGAGGCTGTGCAAGCTGGAAACCGCGTTTTTTTTTTCGTTGTTATTTTTTACACGGTACTCTTTTCGGGAGCTCGGTTGCCAACTTGAGCTCTGTGCGGAATGTTCGGCGTGGCAATGCTGGCTTGGCTTGCTTGCTTGCAGCTTTGCCATGCTAGCTTTGTGACATTTGTGTCCACACACCACAATGCACTGTCAGCGGACGGCTTCCAAATCCATGTTCTTCCGCTGGACAGTCCGAACAGAACACGTCAAATGCTGGGCAAAGAGAGAACCAGATGTGTTTTCTGATTGAAAGATACCCCGCCTGGGGCCTCTTGGGCCAAAGGTCTGGCCGTTTCTCGCCCTTTTCACCGCCAAAGAGGAAGCTCGGAAGGACGGAGCGTGGCCGTTTCCCCCACCCTTCCCCGTGTTTCTTGTTTCACGATCCTGGCCGGGGTCGCTTTTGCGCCCGGAACCTCAAAGTACCACAGTAAGGCCAAAACAAAATGTTTCCGTGGGGGAACACAGCAAATGGATAAAAAGGCAGCGGTCCCTTTCTTTCTCCCTCTGTGCTGCACAGCCAGCCGGTTTGCTGAAAACAGCCATTCATCCGGTGCAGACTCACAAACTGTTTGGGCGTTTGCTGGACACGGTCACATTGAAAGGAACCGGAAAGAGGGTGGCGTGCAGATAAATCATGTGGTGGTGGAAGAAAACGCAAATTTGTAGCCCTGCTTTATTGATGTTGGTAACTGATAGTTTGCATTACACGAGCCTCACAAAGTGAGCCCTTTGCCTAACAATTGGCATTCCTTCACAACAAACGAGGGCAGCCAGGACTTTGCAACCCTCCGCAGCAAGCGATCGACGGCGCCCCTGAAATTGGATCGGGCTGGCGCGTTGTTGCCGGCCAATGACCAGCTGTCGGCCCTTTGCAGGTGGGTGGCACACAGTGTGATTGGCCTATCGTGCCGTGTGCAGGCTCCAGCGCGCTAGGCCCGGTGCGGTTTGGCGCCAGGGGCGGACCTGCGGTGCCTTGCTTTCTGGATGGCCAGGAACGGCCAAATGACAGGGGACCTGGTGGAGGAATGCCCCAGCGTCATCCCGAGGTCCCCAGTGCAATTTCGTTCTCGCTTCCCCTGTGGCTTCGTGGGACGCGGCCTTTGTGGGTTCGGGCCCTTTCTCCCTCCTCATCTGACTTCGACCTTGCAACAAAACCACTTGTCACTCCCTTCCAGTCACTCCTTTGAGCCATAGCATCGTGTACGTTCAGTCCACACTCTCCACCCAAGCCCACGACGACTTCGGTCCCTTCTTGCCTTGCTCTTCCAACCTGCATCGCTTCTACTCAGCACGCACGCGTTGGAGAAGTCAGGAAATGTCCGCTCAGTTGTAGCGCCAGGTCGCTGAACAAAGAACGCAGTAAAACAGGCAGGGGGTCGACGACGAACTGACCCCAACACTCGTTCAACCATTTAACACTCGTTTCACTTTTTGCCGAAGCGAGCGCCCGTTCATTCATTTTCCCACATCGCGCCAACCCAGCAGCGTGTATCAACCTCGATAACGCGACAAACCCCCAACAATACCCGACTTGTTTTGAAAGGACGCTGTGAGCCGCTCGCTGGTCGACGACAGCCGATTGATTGCCGCCGATTGAAAGCGACTCCGACGAAGCCGAGAAACCCGCGAAAGGCACCAGACCTTCCTCGATATCCAGTTGAGAGGGAACGTATCACCGACTCCCATCACCAGATTGCCTTGTCCCCGCGACTCGGGTTTCCACACACAACATGAAGCCGTCAATTTTTGTCGCCGCGGCACTCGCCGTGCTCGCTCAGGCTATGCCGGATAGCTCCAGGACAGCAAGGCACAACGGGATTTTTGGGCGATATGTAAAGGGCAAGCAAAAGCCAATCACCTCGCCTGAGCTCGGTACATCAACAGTTCAGGGCTGCTTCAACTCCTCGGGCAGCCTTGTTTTCCAGAAGACGTTCCAGTGGAACAGTATTGGCAAGTGCGGCGATGAGCTCTGCCGCCCAAAGGGCTTCCCAGCTGGCGCTACGATGGGCGGCAACCAGTGCTTCTGCGGGCAAAAGTACCCGCCGAAGGAGACATTGGTGGATCCCTCCCACTGTGATGCTGGGTGCACAGGTTTCGGCGAGGATTCATGTGAGTAGATCCGGGACCGAAAGGTCGAACAGAAGGACAGCAAGCGATTACTAACTCTCGCATAAGGTGGTGGCCCTAATTTCTGGACCGTTTACAACACTGGTATCGATCTTGCGGTGGATTATCTGGATATGAGCGAGCTTCCCCACTCCACGAGCTCTTCGTCGAAGCCGACCCAAACTGAGGTCAATCCCGAGAAAACCGTTGTTGTCACCCAAAACCCAACCAGCACACCGAAAGAAGATGATAATAGCGGCGGCGGTGGCCCTAACGTGGCTGGGATTGCCGCTGGTGTCGTCGTGGCTATTGTCGTCGTGGCCGCTCTCATTGGTGGCGGCTTCATCTACATGCGCCGCAAGCGAAACCTAGAACTTGAGGAGGAACATCGCCGCAATGCTGCTGTCAACGCCTTCATCGGCAACAAGCCCCGAAGCAGCGGTGGCACCTCAATGGCTGACGCGCGGATGGACCCCGTCATGGCCCACCGGAGGATGAGTGACGGCAGTATTGCCGATAACGAAGATTACTCCAGGAGGATTCTTCGCGTATGTCTTGACTTGTTCTCCCTCCCGTCTTGTACTTTATTTGCTAACTTTACACCAGGTCACCAACGCATAAATGCGACAGCCCCAGTTATTACGACAAAACGAACTCGCCATCTATTACACTTTTGACATCAGCAGCATAACCGGCGTTTTGGGGAAGGGCGGTGGGGGGGGAAGGATACTCTACAACAAATCCTGTCGCACACTTGGCGGTGGATCGAACCAATGCCATCGGGCGAACGAAACCTACCTGGGGGCGTCTTTTTTTCCTTCTTTGTTCTCTTTTTTTTTTCCTTTTTTGTGACCTTGGTGTGGACATGACCGGCGGCCTCGGTTTGTTTCACTGTGGCCTGTTCTGGTGTGCTGCGCCGCCCTCTCCCTCTCTCCTTCACTACACTTTTTAGACCAGTGCCGGAGGCCCGACGCCGACCCTTTTATGCGGCTAGACCTTCCGGCCTCACAACTTTGTTCGGAACGAGTCACATTCAAATACCAAATGGGAACAAAATCCACTTTCTCGAGGCCTTCCATGTGTGTTCGCCGTGTCGTTGTGACTTTAATGTGGATTAGTTCTTACTGATCAGACGAAGCTGGCTAAACCTGTAAGCCAAATGTTGGATAGCAGAGTGAACAGCGTGAACTTGTCCTCCTATTTGGTCCTTTCCAATCATCTTCGCCAGCAACACAACATCGAATTCACTTCTACGGCGGTTACTCCTGCCCTGAGAAATATGATTAACCATGACAGATTACCTAGATACGAACAAAGGTATTTTTATTTCCTTCCTCATGCCATCTATCCCCTCCCATCTCGAACTGACTATGCACACATGCACATCCAAGATCTCAACCCTGCGCTTGGGCGATCTCCCTCCCCAGCCACAACCAACACGACACGGCATGAATGATCTCCTAGCAAAGCCGCAGCAAGTGCGACAAGCGGACAAACCTTGCTACAAACCTCGCTCCTCATCAACCAGGTCAATCGGTCGGTCGGTAAATGGCCTGCCAGAGAGGGAGAGTAAGCAACCGGGCGGGTGAGCGAGCGGGCGGGCAAATCCCCCAACGCCTTGGTCGCGCCCTCCCTCGGTTTATCCATCCCATCATCCCATCTTTTGTTTCTCTTCTTCTTTCGTTCTTTGTTTCGGTTCTTTCTCCTCCCTTCCGTTCCCGTCCCGTGCCTTCTAAATACCTTCCCGGCTGTGCCCCCTTTCCCGGCATACCCCCACTTTACTCCTCATCTCTTTTGATGCTGTGCCGCTTGCCATGTTGGCGTCGGGTCAACCGTTATTTTGGATCCGAGCCCCTCAGCCCCCTTACTTTGTCGCGAACCCCGCGTAATAGCGCTGTCCATGATAATGGGAAATAGGACATGGGAAACGCAAAACGGAAAATGGGAAATGGGGAAATATGGCCGGGCGGGAAAAGCCCAATTGTGGGATGGTTTGTCGATCCCGATTGTTTGGGGAGGGCCGATTACCATGGCTGGGTCGTGTTTTGGGTTTTCGGTCACGCTTTTCAGGGGAGGCCGCTTGGGGGTCTGAAGGAATAGTTACCTACCTTAACGTATAAGAGGGCAGAGTGCGAACTGTGGGGGGAAGTGGATGATGGTGAGCTCTGACTTGGTGTTGCGACGAAGTCAGCCATAATGTTATTGCCAGCACATAATACAATGTTTAGTGCGTGTCGTGGGAGCGATCAAACTTTCACAATTCCACCAGCCTGGCTTCCCCGCGCGTGATCATTTCCAACGCCTCGTCTTCTCATCGTTGTCGCGTGACTTGGGAGGCAACCAAGCTACTCTGTATTTTTGGACATTTCCTCGAGGTCCCTTGCGTGCTGCGGTTTCCTTGTTTCATGTTGACAAGCAAGGGCAGGTGTTTGCCCGAAAAGGGAGGGAGTTCGGCTGGATTGTGAAACGAAAGTGCTGCTTTTGCCTGGTTGGGTTGGCGTGCCAAGGACTGAGGGTGGTTGTCTTGTTTTGTGTGGTTGCAGGGGGGGTTCTTCAGGTTCGTTTGGGGGTTAGGGTTGGTATGTGTCTGGAGGATTGAACCAACTCAACTGCGACAAGTAATTGAGCCTTTGATGGTGACACTGTTATAGGATACAGTTGGGTGCTCAATTTCATTTGGGGCATTAGTAGAGTCTGTCCGTTGCTGCGGTGAGTTTCGCTCCCGGAGATGGAAAACAAACTCCTGTCTGTACGAATCCATGGGTGATAATTGAAGTTGCTCTTTTTAGTTCATAGAAACACAATAACGGTGAGATAAACACAAACAGCATCTAAAATCACTTTGTAGCCTCTTCATACCGTCCATCAGGCTTAGGAGACGCTCTCAAAGTGTCCAGCCTGGGGAACGAACAACCGGCATCATAGGGTGCTGTAAATAGTTGAGATAGAGTCAAGGAATTGAGAATCGTATTTTCCGCGTCTTAATTATTTCCAATAATGCTCTCGTAATTGCATCCCCGAGAAGTATTACAAACTGTATCATATTGAACAAGTTATCAATCGGAAGGACGTATGGGAAAGGGTAACTTGTATCTCAACCAGTGGCATGGAGTGTTTCTTATTTGTTGATATGGGTTTACAATTTTCTTGAAGTACATAATTAGTATAGTGAAAGAACAAGTTTTATGTTCAGGTAAACGGAGGACCGTTTCCTAGATTGCGGAACCAGAAAAAAGTACAGAATAATATTTTTAATCAACTAGTTAATTGTGTCAAGACCTCATCTTCCACTCAGAGAGACTGTGGAAACTCAATATTTATTTTTCTCTCTTTCTCTTTTGGCGTTCAGGGGTATTTTGGTGATGGCAATGAGCGGGTCGCACGGCAACCCAGGGTGTCGGACCCCTTGCCGATGTTAGCCGAGGCCCTTGAGAATGTCATCCCGCAGCAATTGAGCAGAGACATCTTTGCTCCTTTCCCGTTGTTCACTCCCCCCTCCCTGCAACCAACCACCTAACATGCCTCGAAGATTTACCGTGGCGCTCAATGCGTCTACAGCCCTACGCTTCGGCCGGTTAACAGCCCGCAATGCACGACGCTGCTACTCATCCGAAGCCGCGAAACCCGAACCCGTCCTTCGCGTGACTGAGCTCCCCGCACCGGGCTCGGGCCATATCCGCATCTTGGAACTCAACCGGCCGGCCGCACGCAATGCCATCTCTCGAGAGCTGTTGTCGTCCCTCCGCGAGGAAATTGACGCGGTGCATGCGCAATACGACGAAGCGACGGGCGAGGAGATCCCGACGCCGTCGTGGGAAAAGAAGTTTGGGGGGATAGCGGGGGATAGCGAAAGGGGTCCGACGCGGGCGCTGATTCTGGCGTCGGCCGTGGATACCTCGTTCTGCGCCGGCGCAGATCTGAAAGAGCGGAAGACGTTTACTCAGGAACAGTACGTTTGGAAGACTTGCTACACAAACCCCTCGCGGCCATAGCTTACTGACTGACCTTTCCTTTTTACACACAGAACCGCCGCATTCCTCCTGAACCTTCGCACGACCCTCACCTCCCTCTCAACCCTCCCCATACCAACCATCTCCGCGATCTCCTCCCTCGCCCTCGGCGGCGGTCTCGAGCTCGCACTAGCCACCCACTTCCGCGTGCTCAGCTCCAACGCCATGGTCGGCCTCCCCGAAACCCGCTTGGGCATCATCCCCGGCGCAGGAGGCACCTACCGCCTGCCCGCACTCATCGGCATCCCGCGCGCGCGCGACCTGATCCTGACAGGCCGGCGCGTGTCAGCGCCCGAGGCCTATTTCCTCGGTCTGGCCGACCGGCTGGTGGAAATCGCGCCGGAGAACGAGGAGCAGGCGAAGGTGTGGAAGAAGATGGAGGAGAAGGAGAGGGATAAGATGGTGTTGGATTTGGCAAGGAAGAGTGCGCTGAGTGAAGCGGTGCGGCTGGCGGGGCAGATTTGTGAGGGTGGACCGATTGCGGTGCGCGCGGCGATTCGCGCGGTGGAGGAGCCGAGGGAGCTGGTGGAGAATAATATGTACCAGAGGGTGGTGAGCACTGAGGATCGGGATGAGGCGTTGCGGGCGTTTGCGGAGAAGAGGAAGCCGGTGTTTAAGGGGAGGTGATTTACATGTGTTTGGGTCGGTTTGAAGTTTTAAACTGAGGTGTATATACAACTCGTGGAATCCCGTATGGCCTGCATCTCATGCGTTGCTAGAACTATCCCACATAATTACCAACCCCTCACAATTCCGCGGAAGATTGTTGATTATCTGTTCCTCTATCTTTTCGTCTCATTGTTAGCCCAAGTGCCCAAGGAGCTCTGGGACCCACTCTGCTGGGAAGCCAAGAAGCTCAACCTGGAACTCATAAGGAGCTATCTTCAAGCTTCGATTTGAATCCGAGAAGAAAAAAGGTAACTCCGCTCCAATAATGATGCCGAATTCCTGCCATGGACCTTCCAGAATCCTTGTCTCCGCCGTGGAACGTCATTGGACATCCCGCCACTTGCAAGTCGTGGTTGCTCCTGCATCTCAGGTCTGTTATTGACCTATGACATCATCACCTCCAAGCAATGTGAACGGGAGCTTTTTAAATACCAACCAAAATTTCCAACAACAACCACCATCAAACCCTCAATTCATTCCAATTCTAAGGAAAGAACACCAGAAAAACAGACACAAAAAACCTACTCAATTCAAACCTACTCAATTCAACCTCAAAACCCATCAAACCACCAGAACAACTAACAACCACACCCACCATGTCCGCCTTCACACAACGAACCGCTACCGTCACCCGACGCCTAGCAACAACAACCACCTCCTCCACCACTTCCACCATCCTCCCCCGCGCCGCCCTCAGCACAACAGTGCGCCACAAAAAATCCGCCGTCGATTCCGCCAAGGAAACCCTCAAGTCTGTCGACCGCAAGGTCTCCGACAAGTTGGTAGATGGCATCAATATTGGCTGTTCGTGCCCCCCTCCCACTTTTCTTCCATTGGGTAATTAGTTACCAGAAGAACAAAAACTAACACATTACACCTCACAGCGGCCTACGCAGACAAAATCAAGGAAGCGTCAGAAGACGTGAGCAAGGGCAAAGTGACGGGCAAGGCGTCGGAGTTGCGCGGCGAGGTGGCGGGTAAGGCGAGCGAGGTTGCTGGTGAGGCTAAGGGCAAGGCGTCGGAGTTGGCGGGGGAGGCGAAGGGTAAGGCGAAAGAGGTTAAGGGGGAGGTGAAGGAGAAGTTGTCGTAGAGGGGGGGATGATTGGGGAATGGGGAAGGGTGTATGATGATGCTAATGGAGTTTTGAGAGAGGTCGGGTTTGATGACTCCAACGTTGTGGGCATTCACTAGCCATTGTTTTTTCAAAAACGGTACAAAGGCCGGGGATATTGTGAGAAGCCAAATTTAACGTCTTCACGAACTTGATCAAACTTGAGTTTCGGTGGAAGAATGTACCGGCACCAACAGTCCCCACCAACGTAAACCCTCCTCCACCTGTCCAGAGAACCGGCGAAGGAGACCGAAGGCAAGACAAGAATGCACTCAGAGTGCATGGTACCGGCAAGGAAGGTGTACGGGTGCGAGGAATCAGCCCCCCCACCAGCTTGCTTTACCTTCTGAGGGGCAAGACAAGATCTGAGGAAAGTAGCGCCTCTGCACCTTTCCCGCCTTCTTCCCCCTCTCGGGGTTTATTCTACCGCTCGGAATACAGAGCTGGATCAAGGATGGGTCTCGCCTTGTGCTCCACCAAGCCGTGCGGAAGATTGGAACGGTGTTTTGGGGCAGGGTAGGGGATAGACAGTCGGGGATTGAGGGTCGGAGGGAAGGTTGGGAGTAAGGGTTGCCTGCCAAATTACACAATTAAACATGGTGGTCTTCATTCATGTCCCATCCTCGTAGAATCGGTCGTGCTAGATGACATTAGTAGCCCGCCGCAGAGGAGGGTAACAGTCCTACAATAACGGCCCCTGTGGTAAAATGTTTCCCCAGCGATTCCCCCACTTCACCGCCCGCAACGCGTGCTTAGCTCTCCTCGAAAAACACTCTTTTCCCTCCACTTTGCCGTTCATGCTCCAGTTGCTCCAACTCGCGGTCAATCTCCATGATATCCATCAACTCCTGTTCGATATCTCGTCCTTCGACCTCGAACTCGTCGTCCGGTTGATCAGCCGCATAGTTGAGATCGTTGATAAACATCAGCCCCTGTTGGCTCGACGGCGCGGTGTCCAAACCACCCGCCACCCCGACCTCATCATCTTCCTGACCTAGCTCGGTTGACGGTAGCACCACGTCCATGGAATGATCAAACGATCCCTTATTCGACCCGATCACCCGTGGTCGGTCGCGGAAGAGCCCGCTGCCCCCGCCTACTGTCCTGCCGGGGCGCGAAGCAAAGCTGAGGTTGAAGGAGACGTTGGCGCTCTCTTGCTGGCCAGGTGGTGGGTAAGCTAGGATGGCGCGCGTCGGACCGGCTTCTCCGCTGCGTGGTTTCCTACGGGCACTGAGAAGACGGCTGGTTAGCGAGGTGGTATCTGCGTCTTCGTTCTCGTGGACAACCACGAGGCGGCTTTCGCCCCGGAGCAGAACTTCGATGGGCAGGCCTTCCGTGTGGTTCGGGGTGCCCTCCTTTGATGCGGAGCCGTTGGTAGCGGTAGGGGTGCGACTCGGCTTAGGAATGGCGGCCGCGCCTGTACACCGCTCGCCGAGGAGCCCGGCGGTAAGGTCTGTAAAGCGGAGCATGCGGGTAGGTTGTGCGCCGCTCCAGAGGTTGACTCCACCGCCGACAGCGCGGCGAAGTTGGGAGTCCCAGAAGCGGGAGATGATAGGGATGACGGAGACGATAGGGTTGACACCGCCAAGCCAGAGCACGGCGCTCTCTTCGCTCAGACCAGCGCCTTCTGAGGGCAGCTGGGTGACGGTGACTCCGCCTCGCGCAGCCGCGAGCCTCTCGTAGCCACCCGTGGTCACGGAGGCAATGGCGTCGCGCCTTGTGTGGGGGGTCATGGGGACGAACTCGCCGGCTGACCCTGGCGTAGCGGATGACTTTTGTGTTCCGGGCGCACGGAGCGGGCTGGTTCCTTCTAGTTGGCCGGAGACACAGAAATTTGTGATGGCGGAGCCATGAAGGGCCGCGCTAGCTTTGCTGAAGAGTCCTCCAGAACCACCGGCTGATGGGCTCGCACCGTCAATATCCCAAATACCCCACTGACCGTCGGCTAGAAGGGCCAGAACGGCACGGCCGTGAGCAATCCACTCAGCACCAACCACCGGTTTTCGTGTGGTCGACGTGGAAGGTCCTCTGGCGAAGGGAGCATAGAGGGACAGAAGCCAGGAACCCTGGGTCGGAAAAGGGCCTTCTGATGCGTCATCTGAGGGAAGTGCCGCGGTGGCATAATCGTAGATGCGAACTGCCTGGGAGAAGGTGGTTGTGAGGAGTTGCGTTGTATGTGTTGGGTTGAAGGCAAGGCCGGTGATCGGAGAAGGGAGAAATTCGGTTTGGAACGGCTCGACGCGAGCTATGACACCAGGTTTTACATCCAGCGTTACGTCCCAAAGACGTAGTATGCCGCTCGATTCTGGGGTATGAGCCGCGACGATTGCGCGGGAAACCGGCGTCGCCTTTGCTGCTGCGCGGTCAACTGATCTGCTCCGCGAACCCTGCTTTGGCTTGACTAGTGTGAGAGCAAGTCCTCCGGAACGGCGGCTTTGGCCGGCCAGCAAGGTCATGGTTTCACCCCAGACACCTGTTCCAGCGTTCCCCGCCAGCAAGCTCTTGCGGAGTTCGGGCCGCGCCTTGCTCTCGTGCGACGGGGGGGTTAAAGGGAGCGTGACGAGATAGACATCGGTAGTGGCGCAGGTAATTGCGAAGACGAGCTTGCTCTTCAGAATGTTGGCCCCGTTCCAGGCGGCTTCTTCGGCGATACTCGACGGCATTGGCAAAACGGCGACATTGAGCACTGCGGTCCCAAACCCAAGATCGAGAGTTTGGGTAATTTCGGGAGTTGAGGCGTCTGTCGCTGCGACGTCGTGGAACTCTGGCTTGTCGACGAAAGCTGGGATGCTGGGCGCTTCATCGTCCGAATCAATGATCATGACTGCATCGTCTGACTTGGCCCCGTTCCGCTTTTCGCTGGTGGTTTGTTTTGGCGGCTTCAGCCTCTGGCCGCCGCGCCAAACGATGGTGACCCCGTTTTCGTGCCCATAGATGAGGATAGTTGCGCCCTGTGGCGACTGAACTGGGTAAGTTTTGACATCGTGTATCCGGCCATCGAACGAATATCTGCAGACGACAACAATTACTAGTCAGCAAGCAAGTTACATGCATTAAGGGTTTCTGCACCATACGTGTGCTGGGTGTTCTGCGCCGTGCGCCGCGTCCTGGGGGTGGGTTGCATGGCCGCAACCGCGGAAATGTCGGTAAAAAGGAACGGACAGCAGATTTCTGAGAGGTTGTCGACAGGAAGGCCGCGGTGTTGCAATCTAGGACAATATTTCGGGCGGGAGTGTCGCGATGGTAAATGTGTCTGTTGTCGATGGACCTAAAGTAAACCATTCTAAAATTCGCGGCTGCTGGGAGAACGCGAACAGGGAGCTTGGACCAAGTGGGCCCTGAACAAGCGCCGGGTTGGCTTGAAGTGGGGCGGATCCGTGACCACCGTGCCAACGACAACAACACAATATTTGAGCGTTGAACTGGCACAAGTCAATGGGAGTAGTTTGCGCAGTGCAACGACGTTATGTCCTACGCCAGGGAAGAATGTTACGTGCTGTTTTGGAGCGTCATAAGTCATTTCGGGTGAGATTAGAGGTCCATTTTCGCATGTTTACCTGTCAAGATGCCAGCTCAGGGGCAACTTCGAGCGTCACGGAACACAGAACAACAGAGTTTGTATGTGACGGGTATTGAACCAAATGAAGAGGGAATGGGAAAATCAGGGGGGTAAATAGCTAAATGGCTAACAGCACTCACTCGGTATAGCGACAAGTGCCTGGGTAAGACATGAGCAGTGGTAGGACATTGCAAACAAACCTAATACCAATTTGCCCCCTCTAACTTTGGCCCGACACGGATATGTGAAAATTACAAAAAGCTCACCGCCAAGCCCTATCCCCATCCGGAGGGATAGTGGTTGGTGGTTACGAAAATCCTGAAAACTCAAGATTATACTTCGCTGACCTGGGAATCGAACCCAGAGCCATTTCGATTTACGACGGAATTGGCGGGACCAGACCTGCCTCCCAATGCCGCTGAGCTAAACCGGGGTTGAACTGAAATTGGGAGGAGGCGGTGACAGTGAGAGAGCAAACTTGGGTATATATGTGCGGCTGTGGGAAGGAAGGTACGGGAACTTTTGGTCCTGAGCATACTTCCACACATGCTACCTAGTCTGACTTCCTCGCCCAACGGATCCAACAAGGCAGGAAACACAAATCCTTCATCATTCATGTTTTCTTTTCCTTTTTGAAGCGCCCAAAATGTGCATGGCGGCCATGACCCGTATCTCGTTCCGCCGATATGATCGTCCTTCTCCTCGGGCACGATATTGGAGATATTGAGGATTTGAGCGAGATTGGATAACATCAGAACGGATTCCGGCATTCGAAGAAGCGACTTTTCGGGACCTGGGACCTGGACAGCTTCTAGTGGTTCGGACGAGACCATGCCAGAGAAAGAACATGGTACGTCAAGCAGGATGAGGAGGAGTGATGGAACTAAGTGAAACTGTCTAGATTAATCGGTTACTTGTTTTATACCTGGTGGCTCCTAGAGGTACAGACACTGGTTTTAGGAGTATACCGAAGTAGAAAGCGAGACTTCTAATTCAAGACAAAACTCGACTAGGCTAACCCAAAACTCCTTAACGGCATGGAACTATAGCGCCATTGGTGTATACTCCAACCTCACGACGAAAGCCAAAACCATAGAACGCCTCCCGCTCCAATATATCTATCCCCCCAACTTCACGACAACTGCCCCGGCGGCCGGTACTGCCTAACCGCTATGGAGAAATCCCCAACCTCCTCTCCCCTCAGAACCAACACTTTCCGTGGATCATGATAGATCACATCCCACATGTCATCCCCACCTCTCCAGTTCGCGGGGTAAACCACTCTGACAACGCCTGCATCGCCACGGGCCTGAAACGGCGCGCGATTACGAATGGGGAACTCGTACCACGGCCCCGTGGTGGTGAGAGTCAGCCCCTCGTTGGGATAGTTGTGGAAGCGATGGGGGTATGAGCGGTGGTCACTGGATTGGATCTGTTTGGATTGGAGGGTGAGGCGTAGTGCGTATCGGGCTTGGCTACGCACGGTTGAGGCGGGGATGTATCTGTCGGGGTGGTCTGGAGGTAGGCCGGAGCAGGAGTACTATGGAGAGAGGGAGTTTGCGTTAGGAGGGGGCTGATTTGGAGGGGTGCAGGCTTGGTATGAGAGTGATATGGGAGGGTAGGGTAGGCACCTCGGATTCTCCGGCGGTGGGTGAACAGATCGCGGCGCGGTGTGGGTGGATGAGTCTAAGGGGCCAGAATTTCCCGTTTCCTTCGCGTGCAACTGCGTTCCAGCGAAGGGATCTGCTGAGACGACTGGATATCTGGAGGGACTTGCGTTGGATGAAGGTTGATAGACGGTGATTGCGGGGATTTGGCATGATAAGTGTAAGGTGTTTTGGTATGGTATATACGGGCGAGTGAATATATATGAACAGTCCTGTGTCCAACCTTCACAATTGTGGTCTCTCATGCCCTTTTATACCCACATGTTATCTCATTTAGCTACCTGTTCCTCACAGTTCTCCCGATGCTTGTGTCTGCTGAAACACACTTCTCTTTGTGTCTGTAGAGTTTCTAGAGGGAGCACAGGGTCTGACACACCAAGTCCTTTGACGGCTGGTCATACACTTTATGTGTCACACAATTATTCATTTCGCTCCGGTGTTCCATTTTGAGCCCCGACGTTCTTATGCTGTTGGCATTGAAGAGCTGGCAAAATATACACTAGTAGTGTTTGTTACAGCCCTAAAAGGGAGTTGTACGAACAACACGGTGCTATATTCCATCCCTCAGAGCTAACTACTGTCTTATGACGCGACAATATATCCACTACCTGGTGGGCCTCTCTGAGAATGTTGTCTTTGCGCTTGGGAGACGGAGAAACCTCCCTTGGCATATCGTCACTTGGTAGGAGGGTGCTTGTTGGGAAGTACCAAGTGCCATATTAAGACCGTGTTTGAGGTAAAGGCGCACATACGATGGATAAAAGATTCTCAATTTGGCCCAGAATGAAGTAGAAACATAAGTTATTCCTTTCTTTGTTGCTCAGTATGCCCGCATGGGTGTGGGCACGAGACTCGTGGGATTAATATGGCAGGGATCTAAACCTCGACTCCATCCAATCAGGAAACAGCGTCAGTGGTTTAGTGGTAAAATCCATCGTTGCCATCGATGGGCCCCGCGTTCGATTCGCGGCTGACGCATACTTTTGACTTTTTCTCTGTTGCCATGACAGGTGTGACAATTGTGGCAGTTCTCATCCTAAGCAAGTGTGACATGAAGACTTTAACAACAAAGCCAGGTAATGCCAGTTGAAAGAAACTTTTTAAATCTACACCCACCACCCCTCAACTCGCATGCCCCTCCAAAGGCACCAACCCCAGCGCCTCCCAAAACTCCCTCCCATCATACCCCCTCCCCAAAACCTCCACCGACCTCGGCAACCCCTTAATCCCTTCCTCCCTCATCAACTCCCACACCCACCGCGCCCTCTCCTCCTCCCCTTCCCCGCCTTCCCCATCCGCCCACCCAGCAACCATCCCCCACCAATCATACACAAACCCATCCGTCACCATCCACCGCTGTCCCCTCCCAACCGTCTCCCATTTCCCTTCCCCGCCTTCCACGATCGCCACCAACGCCCGCGCTACGTCGAGTCCGTGAATTAGGTGCAAACTGGCCTTGCCGCGGAGTAGTTCCTTGGTGTGGGCTACGCGACGGGCCCAGTTGCGGGGGCTGCGGGATCCGCCCCAGAGACCAGATAGGTTGAGGACACAGCCGCCGAGGGAGAGGAGCTCGGTTTCGGCTATGGAGCGCGGGGTGGTGGAGATGGGGGAGTGGCGGGTTTTCCAGGGGTCGGTGTTGGTGGTGTTGGGTGCCGTGGTTTGGTAGGGGGAGCCGGGCTGCCAGATGCCGCTGCTGCCGAGCTGGATGAAGCGGAAGGGAGTGAGCGTGTGGGCCGCTGCGGACGAGCTGGAGGTTGGAGTGAGGTGCGTGGCTGTGTAGGCTTCTACGAGGAGCTTGGCGGGCCCGGTGTCGTTTAGGGGGAAGGTGATGAGGATGTAGCGGGCGCGGGGTAATGAGGCGATGGCGGAGCGGGCTTCGTCCTCTGGCGCGGATGGATCGAACTTGAAGGGGATAGTTGGGACGTCGGCGACAGGACGGCCTGTTGTTGTGGTCGCTGCGAAGGTAATTTTCTTGGACTGGAGGAGGGGGATGAGGAAAGTGGCAGTCCAGCCGGCGCCGAGGATAAGAAGGGATATTTCCTCCATGTTGCGAAGGAATTAGGGTTGGAAATCGGCTTGGTGATGAGTTAGGAACGAGGTGCTGGGAAAATGATGCCGAGATTCTGCTGTGTGGAGCGTCTGTGGCACGTCCGGATATAGTGGCGCTAACCCAATGGGGAAATATTCACTGCCTATATCCACACTCCTACCACGAGGATATCGGTTCACGGTTCTTTACTTTTGACTAATGGTAAAGATGACTTGAGGTAGATTTTCTAAGGTTTTTTCATCCATATTCTTTTCTTTTTCTTTGTCTCTTTTTATTTTCTACCGCCTTTGTAACGAGTCTGACGACTCTATGCGGCTTGTCAAGCTTCTCGACCCAGCTCTTGCGCAGGCAGACAGAGGGAAGCCGGAATTAGGTAGGTACTTGCAACGCAATAGAGCGGGATCTGGCCCCGGAAAGTACATACAGGCATAAACGCCATCATTACATTGACTGGCTAGTTGATTTCAAATGCCTCCGCTCCCTGGTCTCAGTACACGTATATGAAGTCCTCATTCTTGAGATCCCCCAAGTCCTCAAAACCTCTCTCGCCTACATTATCAGCGGCCTGATTCAAGACACCCTCATCGTTTTCAATCTCCCTGTTATCCATCATACTCAAGTCAACAATCTTCTCCGGCTTCCCCAGCGCCACGCGCGCCTTGGCATGCTTGACATTCAAGACCCTGATCCAGAGCATGCCCAGCCCTGTCAAGACGGCCAGCGCAACAAACAGCGCTAGGTTAGCCGTCAAGCCGCGCGTGTAGCGAGGTTTCTCGTCGGTGCGGAACAGCAGCGGGCCGATGATGTTGCCCGTGTTGGAACCGATAAAGAGCATGGCCGTGGTGACCTTGCGCTTGGTGTCGCCGCCCGTGTTTTGGCCGGACCACGAGTAGATGAGCGGCGAGATGCCCGGGTAGACAGAGATGATGTAATAGCCAAAGAGCAGCACGGCACGGTCGCTCGGGGCGCGGCCGATGGCTAGGAGGATGGAGCAACCGACTATGGGGCCGACGCAGAGGAGCATCAGCACGGGAGCTTTCATCCGGATTCTGTCGGAGAGCCAGGCCCCGCCGAGGGTGGCGATCAGCTGGACGGCGCCGAAGGGAATGTTGAAGAGGATCGTGGTTAGGCTGTCGAAGCCGAAGGACTGGACGATTAGGGGGCCGAATGTGGAGATGCCGCCGCTCGGGATGCTGGCGTTGCGTTAGCGTTCGCAGTCAGTTAAGCGTAATTACGTCTTTCGCCGTCTGGGTTGTAGGATGGGGGGCGTACGAGATGACAAACATGAGAGAGAACCAGAGCCAGGTCTTGACATCTAGCATGGCCTCCCACACGTGTTCCCACTTCCAGACACCAGAGCCGATACCCTGCTGGTTCATCCGCAGGCGTTCGATGGCGATCAGGCCATCATCACCCTTCAGAAACTTGGCCGTCATGGGCGAGTCAGGCATGAAGATGCTGCGCGACGCCAAATTGTCAGCCATAGAAACACAGAACAGTCATCACCTCTCACTTTCAAGTGGTATCAACCATTGGGGCTGAGAGTAGGTATTGGGACTCACAATGTGACGATGGACCAGGCTAAGGTAAGGCATCCACAGAACAGGAAGATGATCTGGTAGGGGTGTAGAGTCGATTTGATATGACTGAGACCGTAGGTCAACAAACTACCCACCTGTGACACATAACGTTTGACCCGTCAGCAACCTGCACCAACTGTATACATAGAACGCGTCTGCCAGGGGAAGGCAGAGAGAGGGTGGGAGTAATCAATTACGGTATCTTACCATGTTAACGACGCCCAACATGCAATACCACGCGGCATTCCGCGTGGTCTGCTCTCGGCGTCTGTACCACATCTGCACGACGGCAACGAACGTAGGAGCTGGATAGTGCGAGGGGTTCCTAGTCAGCTAGGTACCTAGGTAACGACACTTCAGACCGGGGGAGGGGGTAACTCACCAACAGCAGCCTCGAAAATACCGAGGAAAAGTCGGGCGGTCAAGAGGCCAGTGAAGTTGTGCGCAGCAATCATCCCGCAGAGGATTGCGCCCCAGGCAAAGACCATGACGGCCAAGAACTTGCCGATGGGGAACTTGACCAAGATGTAGGCGACCAGGGGCTGGAAGACCAGCTGGGCGACGTAGACGACAGACCCGAGCCACGAGTACTGGTCCCCTTCGAGGTGCGTATCGTCGATGAGACCGAAGACGCTGGCGTACGAGAGGGTATTCTTGTCGAGGGACTGGAGACAGTAGATGAAGAGCAGGATGGGCAGAATCCGACGGTCGATTAGTTTCGCTACACGCCGGCTGTCGGCATGCGAGACCACGACTTGATGGCCCGCCTTGCCCACTTGCTTGAGGAAAACGGTCGCCTTGTCGAGGCCATGAGACTCGGCGGCATCGTCATTGTGGTCGATGGCGGACTTGGCTGGGCCGGCCTCGACATCCCTATCGAGATTTGAGGTGGTGTGCTCATGGTGGGTGCGATTGGGGCCGCTATCTTCTTTGTCGATTGAGTCCGTCATGGTTGAACGGAGTCCGCGGATAACGCTGTCAACACAGACAAGAGATGGGTGAAAAGAGAGCCGGTTGGCCCACCTCAACTCATGATCGGTAAGAAAGTATCGGCACTTCGGTCGCTCCGCGGATCCCCGTGTTCTTATATCTTATAGCACGGGGCATGGTCCATGGACGGCATGGTCCTCGGACGTGACTTGACGGCTTTGTAGGTGAGACCGAAGCCAAGCCGTAACCCCATGGGGAGAGCGAGACACTTCTCCACTTGTGCCAAGCATGCGGGGGAGCACATGGCAACTCGGTGCGGAGATCGACCGAGATGGCCAAGAACCATGGCAGGGACCAGGGACGGACATCACTTGGATATGTCCGAGTTGTCATTGTCAGTCTCGTGTCAGCACATGATGATGGCCGGTGAAAGGCAGCAGGTCCGAGAGGGGGCGGCTCGTTACGGTGGCCGAGGCTGGGGGACAGGGATCGGATTTCGGCTGCTTTCTCCGAGGTCAGACCGTTTGGGAGAGAAGGGGGCGTTTGTACAAGTTTGATTGGACAATCGGGCCGGATCCGCAGCCGAGAGTCGAGACCGCAGCAACTTCTCCGCACCCTTCAAAGTTTCTCCACGACGGCGCTCGCAAGTTGATGGCTTCCCAGGTGACTCCTGAGTGCCTGCTACCCACCTCACTGCATAACCAAATGTTGCTGGGGACCATAGGCTATTCAACACGGATTTCAGAATGTCCGGCAGGACCCGTGACGTTACCCGTGGGCCGTGAAGTTCCCCCGCTTGGTCGACGCTCCATGGCTCCAGTTTCGCGGCCTCGTGGGGGTGAGGGGGTCGCCTCCTGTTAAAGAGGGGGAGACACCCGTGTCTTGGACTCATGTTGCTGAAGCAGCAGCGAGGAAATCCAAAGATTCCAAACACCTTTCCCCCCTTTCTCAGTTCTCCTCGGTCTTATCCTCGCGCCAGCTCCCTCTAAGCTTACAGAGCTAGTCTGAACGGTCTGAGTAGTTCATCTTTCATCCTTCATCCTCATCCTTCAGATAGACTGTAGCCATGCCGCCTCAAAAAGAGCGTATTCCCTCCTCCTGGGCGCTCAGTCCGTCACAGCAGGACGGACACAGCCCATCGCTGAAACTACACTCCTCCGACCCCTCCCTCCCATTCGAATTCTCCTTCGAGGCCGTTCGCCCCAATGTCTTCAGGACCATCTTCCAGTCCGAGACCCACCCGGTCCCGCCGTATCCCAGTGTCCTCCAGATGGAGGCGAAACTGGAGGGCATTCAGCCGACAGTCACCTCGACAGACAAGAGCAGGAAAATCCAGATGGCCGACATCACAGCCAACGTCGATTTCGCCGGTGAAACACCCTTGGTGTCCATCTTGATCGAGGGCCAAAACTTCCCCATCCTTCAAGACCTCCCGAACAGGGGCTACGTCGTAGACGGCGAAGGCATTGCCCACTACACGCGCTACAACCGCAACACCCTGCACGTCGGCCTAGGCGAGAAGGCGGCTCCCATGAACCTCTCGGGCCGCCGCTTCGAGCTTTCGGCCACCGACAGTTTCGGCTACGACGCGTACCGGACCGATCCGCTGTACAAGAACATCCCTCTCCTGATCAACGCCACGCCCGAGGGCTGCGTGGCCACCTTCTCGACGAGCCACGGCAGGGGCCAGTACTCGATCGGTTCCGAGATGGATGGCATGTGGGGGTTCTACAAGGTCTACCGGCACGATTATGGTGGTTTGGAGGAGTACACCATCGTGGGCAAGACGCTGAAGGATGTCGTGCGCACCTACGCCGACCTCGCCGGTTACCCTTTACTCGTGCCCCGCTGGGCATTCGGCTATCTCTCGGGCGGCATGAAGTACTCGATGCTCGATGAACCACCGGCGCACGAGGCCATGATGGAGTTCGCGCGCAAGCTCCGCGAGCACGACATCCCTTGCTCGGCCCACCAAATGTCGTCGGGCTACACCGTCTCGGCGACGCCGCCCAAGACACGCAACGTCTTCACCTGGAACCGGCATCGGTTTCCCGACCCGGAAGGGTGGATCAAGGCGTACCACGAGCTCGGCATCCGCTTGATTGCCAATATCAAGCCGTACGTGATCGGCAGTCACCCGGACTATGAGAAGCTCAAGGCGGCCGGGGCGTTGTTCACGGATCCGCGCACGGGAAAGACGGCTGTTACGAAGCTGTGGAGCGCGGGGGGTGGCGAGAGCGCCGACGGTGGTCACATCGATTTCACCTCCAAGGCTGGCTTCGACTGGTGGTACAACGGGGTGAAGGAGCTGGCCCAGCAGGGCATCGACTGCATGTGGAACGACAACAACGAGTATACCATCCCGGACGACGACTGGCACTGCGCGCTGGACCTTCCTTTGCTCTCTCCCTTGCCTAATGTCCCCATCCCACAGCCGGGGGTCGCTTCTCGGAAGGTCGGCGTCTGGGGCCGCAACATGCATACCGAGCTACACGGCAAGGCCTCACACGACGCCCTAGTCGCCGTCAACCCAGACACACGGCCCTTTGTGCTCACGCGCAGCGCCACAGCCGGGACGATGCGGTTCGCAGCCAGCACCTGGAGCGGCGACAACGTGACCAGCTGGGCAGGCATGAAAGGGGCCAACGCGCTGTCCCTCAACGCCGGCATGTCACTCCTCCAGTGCTACGGGCACGACATCGGTGGGTTCGAGGGCCCTCAGCCCGGTCCGGAACTCCTGCTGCGGTGGGTGCAGCTAGGCATCCACTCGCCGCGCTTCGCCATCAACTGCTTCAAGACGGCCGCCGACAACAACAGCGTCGGCGACGTCATCGAGCCGTGGATGTATCCGTCCATCACACATCTCATCCGCCGCGCCATCAAGCGCCGGTACGCGCTGATCCCGTACCTCTACGCGCTCATGCTCGAGAGCCACCGCTCCGCGACGCCGCCGCAGCGCTGGACAGGGTGGGGGTATGAATCCGATCCGGAAGTGTGGACGAACCCGGCTATCACGGACGGCGAGACGCAGTACTGGCTCGGCGACGCATTGCTGATCGGTGGTGTGTATGAGTCCGGGGTGTCTAAGGGGCGTATGTACTTGCCTCGGGCGGCTGATACCGAGAGCGATGAGGGGTACATGAACACCAACGCGCCCTTCCAGTACCTCGAGGCGGGCCAGTGGGTCGACATCGACGCCGAGTGGCACGGCGCGGGGATCCCTGTGCTGGCGCGCGTGGGGGCTGCGATCCCCGTCGGCCGCGACGTGCAAGTGCTGTCGGCCGGGGAGAGCGAGAATGTGGCGGATCTGCCGCGGGACGACTACCGCGGCGTGGAGATCTTCCCGCCTCGCGGGCAGAGCAAGGCCGGGCAGTGGCATGTGACTGTTTGGCGCGAGGATGACGGCGTGTCGGCCGTGGGCAAGAACCGCGTGTCGTCTTATGCGTTGGCGTACACCGCCACGGGTGCTGCGAGCGCCGCGGGCGAGATCCGAGTCAGGTTTGAGAGGGATGAGTCGTCGGGGTTTGTGGTGCCGTGGAGGGCCCTTGTGGTGATTTTGCCGCCTGGCGATGAGCGGAAAGTGGTGAGCGACGACGGAAAGGTTGTGGTGGAAATTGGAGTGGATGAGCATAGTAGGAATCGTTTCGAATTGCAGGGGTGATGTTGCGTGTGACTGCACGTGAGTGAAGAGAAGAATTGAAGAAAGTCAAGGGGCGGGTTATATCCGTATGGAATACCAAATACGTAGTACCTACATAGTAGGCAGTCATCAAGACGAATCCAAAGAACCCTCTGTGGAGAATGAATGTCTTATGCCGACCGAGTCCAGAACTGTTCGATGAATGGCCCGTAAGCCAACAAATCATGTAACTACCCCAGCCGGGGTCTATACACTAGGGAGAAGGAATCATGCTTGGCCGGTGAATGATTCCCTGAAAAGTTTTGATGGTTCTGGTCCAGGACCCGCTAAAATTAATTTCATCTGCCGGGCCCAGCGCCATGTGTTGAGAGTTCCACTTCCCCGCAGCGTTCCACTTCCCCACAGAGTCCCCCCCTTGCAGTTTGCATTCCAGTGTCCACCTGCGGGGTAAGAGTTAAAAGGAGAAAAACCCCACAACACCGACCTGATGGGCAGGATTGACATCCGTTCCTCGGTCGATCCCGTTTATACATGTACGCCGATATCTTTAGATGCCCGAGTCCACTCCACCGGCGCGCAAGAAACGGATTCCGGTATGTTTACTCCGTACTATTACTCCACCTCGACCGACTCCGGCTCCGACCGGGCAAAAACAGCACTGTGTCAGCGTCGACCGATGATGGCCCAGTTGCGTTGCTGATGTCTCGATTTTCCTCTATAAGAAAGCCTGCGGGTCCTGTCGAGTCTCCAAGGTGAGCAGAACGTTGTACTGTATTAACTGTGATACCCGGCTGTTCTTACATTGATCATTCCACTCACTGATCCTCTAGGTGAAATGTGATGGACTGCGGCCATGTTCTCGGTGGGTGCTCACGTACTCCCCTTGCGATGATGAAGCTTTGGAGACGTGCAATTCTGATTAGAGCTATCACAAGCTGTCATACCCTGCGCAAGGTCTGCGAATTTGTGGAGCGGCCAAAAGATCCCCATGAATCGTGAGACTCCTGACTCCTCTACCACGTCAATGATCAAAGTCTTGTACTAGCAGATACTGAAGACATGGGGTAGAAAAGTAGAGGCCTTGGAGTTGGAAGTAGAGGGGCTGAAGGCACAGTTGAACAACATGACCTCCAATTCCCTACCGAGCCCTAGCACCTGGCCTGGGCCGCCTGGCATGCCCGTTGGGGACGCTGGGATGAGTCTCAGCCGGCAGAGGCACGATGACATTGCTGTTGTCCCAATGGGCAGAGGACAAGTCACTACGGGCTACATCAGACCACCATCGCCGATATCGTACGGCGGGGGCTCACGAGGGACCTTTTCTTCCCTACACGGTACTACTCCGTCAAGCACTGTATCCCCGATTTCCGACGTTGCTGGAGGCCCAATTCCGATTCCGATTCCCGACGGCTCCCGGCTGGCGCAGGCAGTAGCAACCGCGTCGGCAACTGCATTTACAGGCTCTCAGAAGAAGCGGAGCAGAGCGTACTTCGAGGCTGGGACACCGCCCACCGTCCCGGATCTCGATCCCATCGGTGCAGGCCTGATGACAGTGGAAACCGCCCAGTCGTATTTCCACACCTTCTTCTCAGGCTGCAACCGGTACGTGCCCGTCTTCGACCCGCTCCACGACACCTTTGAGAGCGTCCGCTCCCGCAGCACGCTTCTCTTCAGCGTTATCTGCTCCGTTGGCTGCCGCGTCATGACCGGCGCCGAGTCCCACCAGACACGTCGACTGGGCCTGCACGCCCAGCGGATGGTCAACGTCGCCGTCGCTGCCCCAACCCGGCGCTGCGGCCTCGAGACCGTGCAGGCGTTGCTGGTGCGCGCTTGTTACACCCCTGAACGGTCTTTGCTGGTTTCAGTGGCCACCCGCATGGCCATAGAGATGGGCCTTCCGGAAGCTTATGGCGTGCTCAGCACCTGGTGCGTGGCCAACGCCGCCAACCCAAGAGTTGGGTCTTCCTCTTCCGACGGAGCTACCGCCGACGACGGCGATACCGGTGCGACGCTGATGCGCAAGACCCGGACGTGGCTGCATCTCCTGATGATGGGCCAGATCTTGCACGTCGACGCAGGCGGGGCCCCCGGCTTCCGGTTTCGAGGAGCCGGCGCCGCCCAGCGCTGCCGCATCCTCCTCAACAGCAACCCCTTCTCCACTGACATGGACCTGTACCTCTTCTCGCAGGTCGAGCTCAACGCACTACGCACCCGCATCCACTCCGCCCTCTCCCACTATTACGTGCGCACGCACCACGACGACGAACACGATGACGACGGCAGTGCGGACGACGACGAGATCATCATGGGCATGGTAGCAGACGCGCGGATCGACATCAACGTGTGGTTCGACGACTGGACGCGCATCTACGAGCGGCACACAGCCCGTATGCCCTGGCTCGCGCCCAACCTGGCCGTGCAGCGCTGCTGGGCCGACAGCATGGCCATGTGCGCTGCGCTGCGCACCGCGGGGATCGAGAACGTCCGCGCCATGTCGGCCACGCAGCGCGCCATCTTGCGTATGGCTAAGCGTTCGCTGTGGCAGCATCTCGATATTATTCTCCAGGAGCCGAGGGTCTATCTGCGGAGTATCCGGTATGCTATGGATTTTGTGTGGGCTAAGAATGCGTTTTGTTACTTGCTACTCTTGAAACTGGCTCTTTTGTTGCCGGACGAAGATGAAGATGAAGGAGGGGGTGTTGGTGCTGTTGGTAGTGGCGGTGGTGGGGAGGAGCTGGTCGAAAAGGGGCGGATGCTCGTCGAGGAGCTCAGAAAAGCCGGGGGAGGTCTGGATAGGGATAACAAGGATCGGCCGGCGGCACGCAACAGCACGAGCAGCCTGTACTTTCATCTCGTGCGGGTCAGTATCGACAAATTCAGTCACGCTATACGGTCTCGGTCTGGGAGGGGCAGCCAGAGCCAGAATGGTCGGTCTGCCGACGACGCCCAACATGCACAAAACGGCGCCGCCCACAGGGGGAGCGGACACGGGCACGAGGAGGGATGGCCGCCAGACGAATCCCAAACCGAGCTGGAATCGTTTGTGCCTGAAGAGTTTGTGTTCGAGTGGGACTTTCCAGGGCTGACCTTTTTTTCGTCCCCTACACAAGAGACCGGCTGGCTGGACGAGCTGCTTGCTAGTAGTGCCTTTGACGGGTCTGGTAATACTTTCTACAGCTTGGGATGGACGTCCATGGACCTCAATTTGTTGTAAGAATAATGAGAATATATCAGTGTTCCCCCACGGTCGTGCGGAATCCCCACTAGCGCGACACTTACATAGTTGTTTGGTACCTAGGAGCGTTAGTCCCATAGGCTCCTCGATAATCCTAACAATTATAATGCTATAGGAGGGTAGGATAGGGTCCAACAGAGAAGTTAAAGACAATGTCTTGCTCGGACATTTCCAGGAGGGCCTAGGACCTAGGCTCCACAATATTAGACAAGAACAATTGGGATTTCGAGAGACCAACCTAGTTAGTTAGATAAAGAGACGAAATGGTCTTATATTACGCCTGAAATAGGGCCGGAAGTCGGCTTGGTGGTGAGTTAAGAATGGGGTACTGGGAAAATGATACCAAGATTCTACTATAGAGGGGGTCTATAGCACAAAGTCCGGATTACAGTGGCGCTAATCTGATGGGGAAATATTCCTCCTACCATGAGTATATTGGCTTGGGGTTTTTAATGTCTGACTGATTGATTGTAGAGATAGGTTACATTTCCTGGTGCTTTTATACCTTTTCCTTTCTTTCTCTTTCTTTTTCTTCCTTTCTTTCTACTTTCGATGTAATTTCCTCTTTCTGCGTTTTCCTCTTTTTCTCTTTCTCTTGTCAGGGTGATGGAAGATACTTCGCCTTGCGTCGTGGTTCCTCGAAGAGGCCAATTCGAATCAGTTGACCCAATGTGCCCGCTTGCGTCATGGCTGACGGCGGAGGAGTCGAGTGTACCCGAGAACTCCTCCATAGCCTTTTGGATGGTAGTCCGGATCACCTCCGTCATGTCGCCTTGGGTCGAGGCCCCTTCCAGCCCGACATGGAGGTGGTTTTTCATGTCAGAGGTAAAACGGGACGGATGATCTTCCTCCAAGAACGCGCGGAACTCGCTTACTGTCGCCGAACTGGATAGGTAGTGACTCTTGGTAGACGTCATGGCGGTCATCGTCTTTTCGTCTCGAACGTCAGCACTCATTCTCAGGGTGATTCTTATGTCTGTATTTGGCTTACATGGTGACGGAATCTTGTCGTCCGCAACATCAGGGAAAAGGATCCGGAAAACGCGGACCCATTGCTCCTGGTCAGTGAGGTTTTCTCCCGGCTCCTTTGACATTTCCTCCTGAAGCTGGGTGACACGCATCATCTCTTCATCAGGCGATAGCATCCTGTCCTCGGGTTCGGTTGCAGTTCGGAGGTGCTCACAAACCCGAGGACCGTCGCCAGATGAGACTAGGCAAATGGTGCACCGCCTTGGATGACATGCATAGATGTGCTCTCTGTTGAAGCCAAAGGTTAGCACCCGAACGGCCCAACCGCAGTCGTGGTATTGCGGACGGTGGACTTACAAGATCCGACGCATACAATCCAAGCCCCCTTTGCATGAGTTGTTGAAGTTCTTGCTATTGGGATATCTCTTGTAAAACGGGCATACCAAACATCTGGAAAACCTGGATGCGGAATCCTTCCTCTTTCCTTTTTCGCCGTAATCACCCACCCGACGACCCTCAGCCTCATCAAGCGCGCGATTCCTGTGGAATTCGGAGGTTGGACGGCTGAGCTTGATATGCGGCTGTAGGAGGAGCAGTTTAAGGTCATCGGTGTTTGCACTCGTGTTTGCAGCGTCAAAGCCAGGGAGCGAGACCGCTATGTCTGTGTAAAGCCTTCTGGATGTAATCATGTGCGCATAGGGCTCGCGCTCATAGACGGCGATAATTACTCCATGCAAGCAGCCCTCGCGGACCACCCACGCCCCGGACGTTCCTGTGGCTGGTAGGTAGTGTAGGAGTTAGACCTGCCGGTTTCGGGTGACAAAAAAAGACTGAAGATAACTTACAGAGTGGAGCAGACAATTCAATCTTCCTGGTCTGTACATATTCTTTTCCAAATCTGATGTAGGTTTCATCAGGGAGAAGACGGCCTTCGATGGGATCTGCCGCGTTGGCAAGAATTTGGACAATGTTAAAGAAGGGACCCCGAGATCTGTCGAACCACTCCACGGTCTGGCGGAATAATCCTACACCTGTTCCCTCTTTTCCATACCTGTTTGGCAGGCTGACTGATGGGGGTATTGTTAGCAATGCGAAATCAGTCCGTTTGGCCCGAAGGGATGGATGATGGGCGTCTGTGTGCAGATCTGACCACCACTCTGTTGATTGGGAGTGCATTCCCAATGTCCCTCGGCCGAGGAAATTGACTGGTCCTGTGGAGGTTATAGGCACCCATCTCTTGACGCTACATGGGTCCCTGTAGCCTTGGGATCCAAGCCCACCCGGCGGCAAGGCAGACGAGAGTAATGAATCGGAGCCACAGCAGAGGTGCAAATCGTCCGTGCCGTCGTCCCCAGACTCGGAATCAGAGCCATCGCCTTCGCTCGGGGCAGATTCAGATTCAATTTCAAATTCATTTCCAGAATCCGAGTCAGAATCGGACTCGGCCTGGCTGTCCTTGAGACTCATATCCCGCCTAGCCTGGGCCATGACGAGAAGTTGGTGTATCCCATGCGCCGTAGTGAGACCAAAAGGTGTGATTTTCTGCTGTGCCTCAATATCCAACATGCCTCCCAGCCTCGAGAAGCGTTGAACGGGTTCGAGGTTGTTATGGAGGAGAGTGAAGCAACAGAGCCTCCCACATCCGGAGCCAGCAGACCCCTCATCATCCTCCAGGTGAATGTGTAACCGAATATTGTTCGAAATGGAAGAGGGCAAGGGGAAAGGGTGCCCGAGGTCCAGGTTGTCCAGGAATACGGACGTGGGCGGTAGTGACGTGGCGAGGATTGGGGCTCCTCTGTGTATTTCGATTGCGTACCTATTAAAAACCCGCAACCAAGTCAGCTTGGCCACCTCTTTCTGGATCTTCTTCCTGCAGTATTGGCTGCCACACAGAATCCAGATGGCGGGCGATAGAGTGATTGTCGTCGCGCCAAATTGCGCGGTGCCGGACATGCGTAGGTCCAACTCAACGGCGGAGTCTTTTTTCTTTCGTGACATGCACTCTTGCACAGGGATCAGATCTAAAGACAGACGCGTCTTGATGTCTTCGTCCCACGTACGAGTTGCGACTTCGGGGCACTTGATCTTGGTGTGAAGGCCATAGTAGAGATTTTGATGAAAGAAGACCAGATCCTTTCCTTGTGCGGAAATGTCGATGGTAGTTTCCCAAGTCTCTGTGTCCAAAATGCCGTTGCTGGCAGTGTTTTCATTGGCGGTCGGAATGGTTTGGCCAGGTGATGAGGATATCGAAGTGGCAGGCGCTGGTGCCGGATGAGCGATGACTTGAAGAGGATCTGTACCCCTCCCAGCTGCGACCTGGAAAAGTGGGTTGTTCCATGGTTCGACGGATATGATGGGAAACGGCGCCTGCTGCCTTCTCGAATCGTCCCGTGTATCGCGGGCAATGACCGGTGGGTGAAGCTGCGACATCGTCGCCAACATCACATACTAAGAGAGAAGCTGATTACTGAGATGCTTGGAATGGGGGGTGAAAAGAATTCTCAAACCAACACTACTGGGACTCGGGAGGAAATGAGAAAAACAGTGCAAGTATCTCGGAGCCTTGCTTGGGATTGAGGGGAGGGGTAGAGGGGGGCGGAGCTGAAGAATTGTTATTGACCCCCGCCGCAACTGCAGAAGCCTTCCATGCCGTCCAATTAGCTCCATTTCCGACATCGTTCAAGAGCAAGAGTGTGAGGCTCAGCCACCCCCCTGATTGGGGTTTTTCCCGGGGAGAAATGTGAGGTGCGGATGGCTGTTCCTCATGGTTTCGGTGTTACAAAACTCCAAGAAACTGGAATATTGTTGCAAATAAAGATGACGCCCGACGAAAAAGGTGTTCAGATTCTCCACTATATATGGCCAAACCTGTCAGAACAAGAGCTGTCTGTTAATGCTGCGGATTACGCCAGGATACGGGAATACCTGTCGGGCAAGGGCAGAGCCCTAGATGCCCCTTCGAGCACTCTGAGTCCGCTGTCGCTGGACGACGTACTCGGCGTAATCGACGACATTCGGCGTCTAAGTGCTGCCTCCAGGAGATGGGAGGTTGTCCAAGTCGTCGGCGAGAAACTCCAACACAAAAATCTCACCCTTCCTGTGGTGTCAAAGGCGGTAGACTTGGCGGTGAGCCTGTGGTTGACTGTCACCGTCCGATCAACCGCCGATCTGCTCCATGCCAACTTCCCAATGCTCGGATGGGCCGACGACCAGACTCTTGAGGCCGTGCTGCAATCCGCATTTCAATCGCCTAAAGAAGAAACGCCCAAGACGGTAGCCACCACTGTCGAGATTAAAGGCGACTTGACGATGACAAACCTAGTCACCAACTTCGGCTTCAGTATACGCTGGACCCACAACCTCATTGAACACCTCTCAATCGACTGGGTAGGAAGGGTCATCACCGTCTACGAACACAAGATTTGCCTGTGGAACCATCTCCGGTTCAAAGATTCACCTCTGCCTCCCCACATCCTCGAGGAAGCCATCGACACCCTAAATCTGCTCTTCCCGTTTGGGGATACCGCCACAGAGACTTTTCTCAGAAAACATGGCCGCACCTTCTACGGCCTCGGCTATTTTGGACGGCGGAGGACTCTCAAAATCGATGACTATTCGTACTGGCGCAAGAGGATCGAGGAGCTCCAGAAGGTTCTCGATGGAACACCGAGCGGACTGCAGCAGCTCGCGCTGGACAAGAACCGCAGCAATGTGCTTGCGTTTACCACCTTTTGGATAGCCACCGTCGTTGGGGTCCTGGCGGTTATGGGCTTGGCTGCCGGGGTCGCGTCTACGGTGTACGCCAAGAAGCAATACGACCTTGCCCTACTACAGTATGCGTTGTCACTTGCTCAGGCCTGTGCTGCACCGGGGGCAGCAGAGCAACTGCCAGAGTTTTGTTCATAATTAGAGGATGTATTCGCCGGGCACTCTTCCGTACAATTTGCGTGTCCCAAGAGATTTTTCTTGCCATGAGACCGCTCTTGTTCCTCTCTGTATGTAGCATAGAAAATGTTGTATTACGGGGTTGGAGGATGCCCATCCTACAAGAATGCCATTTTCATCCTGTGCCACGAGGTACCCCTGAATGCCAAGTCTTGAATCGGGCTTCACGGATAATTATGGTTATGTACTACCAGCAGTACTTTCAGGGCATTTGCGCTAGGTAGTCAAGGTTTATAGTTATTGATACTTACTAGTTTTGAAGCGTTCTTGGAACATTTTCGGCATTGTACTATAAATCAAGGTACTCCTTCCTCTGCCTACTTTCCTTGCTCTGCCTACCCTGCGGCTTCCTACCCGCTTTAACGTTTAGTACACGTACCTCCACCCCCTCTCATTCCCGCAATGCTGAGACCACCCCTCGACCTCATCAAGCCTCCGATTCAACTTGGCAGCCCTCCACCGCACCAACAGGGCCGAGACGACGGTGATCAGACACCCGACCAGAATCAACCCGCCACCGAGCCTGTAAAAGGGCTCCTGGCTCGTCGGAAAAAAGTAAGGGCTGAACCAGTGGCTGGTCTGGCTGACACAGTTCGCGATGGCGATCAGCGCGGCCTTCTTGCTCCTGGGTGCGGGGACGACCGTCGTCTCCCAGGAGAGCTGCAGGTTCAGCCCGTTGTACGTGCCCAGGATGAGGAGGGCCAAACCGAAGTAGCGCGCCCCGACGTTGAGGGTGCTGATTAGTACGGAGCAGCCTACGGCTGAGGCTACGATGGGCACGATGATGTGCCAGGTTGATTCTTGGTTGCGGCCTGACGACCAGGCTAGCATGCAGGCGGCCGCGTAGGCGACGGCGTAGAGTGGGGCTTGCACGAGGTAGGTCGTGAGTTCGTTGAAGTGGAAGGTTTTCATGATCTGTATGACGCACGTAGGTTGTCAGTCAGTCATCTGGAGCTTGCCAACAACCAATCCCTTTGGGCCTTGTATGGAGGGAAGAAGGGAGAAAACTTACCGAAGGCAAGAAGTCTTTGAACGACTGCGCCGTGTCAAGCGCAAAGTGCATAAGGCAGAAGAACCATGTAAAGGGGTCTTTCGCAGCATCCTTCAGCCCGTCCCACGTGCCACCGACAACTTCCTCCTTCCCACCGTTGGAGACCAGCACGCGGTACTGAGCCATCTCCCTCTCCTGCTTCGTCAGGAAGCGCGTGTTTTGAGGCCAATCCGGGAGGACGAAGTAGGCGCTCAGCGCTATGGCTATTGAGGCTGCCCCCTCAATGATGAAAAACCATTGCCACGAGTGCAGACCCAAGGTGCCCTTCATGGTCAGGATACCCGCCGCCAGAAATCCCGAGAGAATGTTGGAGATTGTGTTGCCTGCGTGCCACACTGCCATGCGCATGGGGTTTTCTTCCTTGGTATACCATGACGATGTAATCAGCGTGATGCCAGGGAAGAAAGGGGCTTCCGTCAGACCGACTAAGAAGCGGCAGACTATGAACCCGGCGCCGGTGGTCATGGCTGGCATGCAGATGGTGCACACGCTCCAGGCGAGCATGACGGTGGGGAGGAACCAGCGCGGGCTGCTCACCTTGGCGAGCAGCATGTTTCCGGGTAGCTGGCCAAAGAGGTAGCCGATGTAGAAGGCTGAGATGCCCGTGTTCCAGACCGTGTCGTCCATATGCAGGTCGCTCTGTAGCCCGGCTAAGCGGGCATTGGAGACGTTTATGCGGTCTAGGTAGCTGTAACATTGGACCTCAACAATGAATAAGTTTTATCCGGAAGGGAGACTTCATCCAAGACCAAGACATCAATGCACTTACGACATGAGGAACATCAGCGTGATGCAAGGCATCAACCTCCAGTCGATGATCTTGACGACCCTCTTATTCAGCGCGTCCATCTCCTCCGTGCTGAGATCACGCAGCCTCTCGAAGCGCGCCTGGATCTCCTCAGGGGTGATGACACCCCTTGGCTCCGTGGCATGCTCCTCGAGCTCGACATCGATCTTCTCGTCGGAGAGCGCCATTGTGTTTGTGGTGGTGGAAATCCCGCGCAAGCAGTTGTCTGGAGTATCGAGGGGACAAGAGAGAAACGGAATGAAATGGCGAAAGGATGCCGATGCTCTGCTGGGCTGGAACTGGCCATGACGGGCACTTCTTTATGGTAGTGGTGCTGGGTAGGTATTGGGCATATCACTCTCACCAACATAAATACCCCAATACCCCAATACCCCAGGGAGGCAAGGCAGTCGTGAAGCTAACGGCCCATGCCAACGGCGGGGAAGGCGGAGATGCCGAGGGCCTAGTGTCAAGATCAAAATGCGGGGGTTACAATTACATCCCGGGGCTGACCCTGCACCATGGGTCAAGACGATAGGAAGAGTCAAGGGTTTACCGCCTCCTGGGCGCTATGTAGCATCCCACTATCCATCGGGCTGGGAGAAAATTCAAGTGGACAATTAGAGGGCAAGCGCCGTCGGGGATGACAGTTAGGTAAGAAACTTCTTTTCTCCAGAGTCAATTTCTGCGGCTTACCCAGACACTGCGTTCGGTAACAGTGTAGTAAATAGGACTAAAAGAGGTATATTGGTGATACTCAACGATGTCCGCTGCAAATCGCTTGTTTGCCCTTTGTTCCAACATTCGGACCGTACCTGGAGATTTAGGTAACAGACCGAGGCGGTGGCGTGGCCGCGACTTGCCGTGTAATTATCCCGCGGGACTACACGGGGCGTGGGGGCTTGCACCCACTTCCCGCGGCATTAACTACGGGCCCGTGGAACTTCAAAATCGATCGAGAATACCCACGGGCCCACCGGGGCTCGTACAAAGGCCCGGCTCGGTGTTGTGGTGTGTGCGTGCTGCAAGCCTGGCCATAATGCCCGTACGTCCCAAGAGGTTGCAGAAGTATCGGATTCAGCTGTTTCTGAAATAATTATAGTTGGTTTCTAGTGCTTTTTGCGGTGTAATTGAGGATGGCTGTACTAGAATAATAGGGGGTGTTTCGCTGGCTTATACGTCTCGCTCGCTCATAATTAATCCGTCGAGCATGTTAGTTGCTGATGATAGCCATTCAACAGAAGCAATCGCTTAGGATGTGATATTGGAAGGAGGAGGATTCTGTCTGTCGACCGCATCGTTTCTTTGGCCCGAATTGATCAGAAGGAACATTCAGAACCATCCCATCCGTTTCAAAGACAAAAAGTATGGGGGTTTCTATTCTGGGACCTGACGTCGTCTAAGGGTATCTGCACAGGCCGGGACCCCTCCCATCTAACTAACATGGCTGATCCTGCGGCATCAAAAGTCCACCACCACGTTCCCCTCAAACAGCCTTCTCGCTGTCCTCGCAACCTTGACGTACTCGATTCCCACTTCACCGCCATCCTCATACCTCGTCATAACGCACGCGTCTATCAGGCCGGAGCTGTGCTCGATGACGACTCTCCGCTCACACCCAAACCCGACTAACTTCTGCTGTTGCTGCTGCCCCAACGTACTATCCTCTTCTTCCTCGTGGGAGCTGTCAGAGCTGCCAGAGCTGGCAGGCGGGCTGGGAGGAAGTTCATAACCCTCCCCTTCAGCGGCGCCTGGCGCGCACCGGCCCGATAGCTGCGCTGGCACAGTGCCAGGCACGCAGAGCGCGGCGGCGAGGCACACGGCGCCGGTGAGTTGCAAACTGGGGTGGACTTTGCCCATGCTGTATGCCCGCGCCTTGATGGTAACGCTGCCAGTGTTGCCAGCGCTTGGGGGCGGCGGCCAAAGCAGCATGATTTTGGGGGTGCCTCGCACAGCGGCCGCCTCCTGGGTGCTGCTGGCGAGGCCGAAGGCGACCGCCCCGGCACGGCGAACTGCCTCGACGGCGGCGAGCGACTCGGCCGAATCGCGGGGTAGAGCTAGAACGGATTGGGGGAGTGATACAGCGTCGACTAAGATGAATGGGTTGGCTGCATCGACGAGTGAGACACGAACTGGAGTAACTGGAGTGACCACCCCGCTCACCACCCTGAGCCCAAAGTCGACGAGCAGCTCCTGCGCCCGCCTGCCGCGGGACGGGAACAACGCGCCCGTCATACTCCCCGCGGGCTCGACAAAACTGAGGTCGATCCGCGACCCGTGCCCTTTGAACCCGCCGATCTGGCAGGCCCCCGAGGGGTCGAAGCGGCCTTGCTCGTCGACTGCGACGGACTCGACCAGCAAGCGGCCTGTGTTGGTGTTGTAGACGCGGACGTCGACCCTCCTCCGCCTCGGCCCTTTCTTCCCGTCGCTTTTGCCCTCAAGGTCGTTGTCGTTGAGGAGGAAGTCGACCATCCCCTCGTCCACTGCAAAGGGACCGACTCCGCTCGCTATGTTGCCGCAGTTGCCGGAAAAGTCCAGCCTGCCGCCTTCGAGGGGTACCTGGATGAAAGTGTAGTCCACGTCTACTCCGGGCCTGCTGGACCGGCTGACGACGGCGCACTTGGATGTCGTTGAGGTGCCTCCTCCCACCCCGTTCAGCTGACGCGCATCGCCGTCCAGGGAGCCGAACGCGGCGAGGATGATAGGCGCCCAGTCTGCCTCGTCCGCGGGAAGGTCGTCGCGTCGGAGGAAGAGGCCTTTGGAGGTGCCGGAGCGCATCCAGACCGAAGGGATGCGCCGGCAGTGTGGTTGTGGCGGTTGCGGCCTCTTGGTCTGGTTCGGCATCATCGCTGTGTGTGGTAGTGGGAAGGGCATCGGCGTCGTCGTCAGGCGGGAGAGGTCGTGATATCCGATCGGTATGTGGGGTACCGGGTGTCCTACCTCTAGCGCGGTGGCTGATGTTGCTGCTGCTACAAGGCGACTGGGTCGTGGTGTGCGTGAGAACATCTGATGTCAAGAACCTTTGGCGGGGCGTCTCGTCCTGTTTCGCTCTTCGTCGCACGACGTGGCCGAATGGTACTTGCACCCGAGGGCATCTTGGTTATATATCGTGTGTATACCCGCACACTGGGGTCGTCCATCTAGGTACCTCGGGTGACATGGGCTGTGGAGTTTGCCCCTTTCCCTTGCCTTGTGTGAATCCCATACTTTGGGACTCCGAGGGACATGAGCGACAGAAAGTACATGTCGAGGGGCGGGCATCCCTGACAGTCACTGCCTTTCTTTGATGCTGCTAGTGGGAGCGCTCGATCGGGATGCGGGATGCCCGGCGTGAGGTCGGGGCTTCTCAAATGCCGCGGAACGGCTGAGAAAATCCCGTCTCCAGTGGGTCCATAGTCCCACTGTGGAGAACGCTCCACCGACAATGCTGACCGGCATTCCAGGCCTTCCCAGGGCAACAAGACGGGACTACATAGTACCAAGCCAAGGTACCTAGTTATTCCACCAGTTGTCATCCCATCCGGCTCTATTGAAGCCAAACAAAGCGTCCTCCGGCAGCAAATCATCAGTGAGCAGCGACCCGGTAGCCCAGCCGTTCACACCCTGCTCGTGCCTGAGGAACGGCATCGGCACATTACTGTACGACTGCTGCTGCTGCTGCTGCTGCTGCTGGCGGTGCGGTTGCATGGCTCTTACCCCTCCTCCGGCCTGGAAGAACTGCCCGTTCGGTGACATATTCACCACCCGTTCAGTCATGTAAGTGGTCCCGGCTGTACCGCTACTAGTTCCCCCGCCGCCTTGCTCGGTCTGCTGGTCCTGCATGAAGCTCTGAATGATGGCGTCCAGGTCGATGTCCGGTAATCCGTTGCGCTCCCCACTCGGCTCCATGGAGGCCGGCTCCTCGTGCGTCAGAATGGTTGTCGACCCATCATCCTGAGAGGAGGAGTCGGCACGGTCCCAGGTCCGATAAAGCCCAGTGCTGCGTGTGTTCCGAATCGGTGGCGGGCTAGAAAACTGCAAGGGGCCGCCCGCTGCACGCACTAACCCTCCATCACCACTCGTTGTTATAGCGCCGTCGTTCGAACCAGAACCAGAGCCTTCGCCAACCGCTTCAGCAACAGCCTCGACGGACGTCTCTCTCCCTATAAGCTCAACGCTCACACTCATCCGGTCCGCAAGGTCGATGATGACCTTCCTCGCCTTCCGCACCGCCCAATTCGTCTCCTGGTTCTTCTCCAGCACCGAGAGACAGGTCCGCAGGTTGGTGTGTGCATCGGAGCGGGGGTTCTTGCGCTGCGCGGCGATGCGCACGAGGATGGTGGCGCTGACGTAGGTCGCGTAGCTAACGAGGTAAGGCGCGCTCTTGATGGAAAAAGTGTGGTCGTAGACCCGCAGCAGGTTGACAATGCGTGTAGCTGCTGTTGCGCAGGCTGCGAACGCCTCGGCCACGACCGCTGGGGAGTCCGAGTAAAGGTGGCCCTCCGACACGAAGGGTCGGTTGAGGAGGATGAGGAGGACGTTGTACATTGCCCTGGCGCGCGCGGGTTTGTGAGCATACATACCGAGACTCGAATACGGTAACTACCTCGCGCCCCTATTCAGGGCAGGGACTTGACTTCTGCAACGAGATGACATGTGGAGGCGGCACTGCCTTCTTCCCCTTGCTGATGGAGCTGTAGACAAGATGCTTGGGCAAACCCTCGCGCCACTCTTCCAGCTGCTTCCCTAGCGTCTCCCTCGCCGCGCACAGCTTCGCCGAGCCTTTCCTAGCGCTCTTCTCCGCGTACACCTTGTTGATGATCCTGTTCATGATGACGCACAGCCTGCACAGCTCGCTGAAGGTACTGACGCTGTACGCCGGGGATCCAGGGTAGTTCCCGGCGTAGTCATTGTAAGCAAACGGCTTCCAGTGCTCCAGCTCCTCGAACTTGTCGTTGAAGAGCACGGGGACGTGGGTGTGGTGGTCCTGCAGGCTCGGGGGTCGACCTTGATACAGTGATTGGATTTTGTCCACAACAAAGGCGCCCCAGAAGACGCGCCGGTGGATCTCGACATCTTCTTCCGAGAGGCCGTAGTTGCCGTTCACGAAGCCGCTAGGGGCGACGGGGCGGTCGACGTGGATGCCCAGATCAACTATCATTCGGAATGCGATGCCGGCGTACAGCCAGGCTGCGCTTCGCTCGTCACTTAGGGCGAAGAGAGAGTTTGTCATGATTAAAAGGGCCTGAATCGTGGTGATCTCGGGCCGGTCGAGCGCCTCGCCCAGCAGCTCCTTGACTCGCAGCCGGAACCTCCATCCGGCTGTCCGCACATCGTTTTTGTCCCGCCGCACCTCCAACCTGGGGCTGAACTTGGACGCGCCGTAGTAGATTGCGTTGAGGAGCAGCTTGGAGAAGTACTTGCCGCCGCAGGCCATGTCCCGCATGAAGGCAGGCCTGTAGGTCAGCAGGAACGAGTGGTGCTGCCGGTTCCAGTGCAGCGACAGCAAGTGTCGTCCTAGCTCTGGCTCCACGCCGTCGAAGTCGAGCTTGCCGGCGTCATAGTTGATCGCCTCCATCTGGAGCTGGTGCGCGGCCTCGGCCATGAGCACCTTCTCGACCAGCTCGGGTGGGACTATGCGGGCGGGAGCCCCTCCTCCTCCTCCGCGGGTCCCGGCGGGCTCCTGGAAGTGGGCGCTCGTCGGGCCATGGTAGTTGGTCCGGAGGGGGCCGGAACTGGTGCTGTAACTTCCGATGGCGGCTGCAGCTGCGGCAGTGGGACCGGGGCCGGCCGGGTTCGGAGGAGTTCTGATGAAGCCGTTCTGGCCGTCGATGCCGCTAGTGGTGGCGGCGACAGAGTGACTGGTTTGACTGAAACCGGCCGGCCGGCTCTGCGCCACCACTTGCCGGGCTTCCGTAGATGCTTGCGCGGGGCGGTCAATACCGCTGGCGCTAACATCATGCTGATGGACTTGGTCCTCATCTACCGCCAACGGCGAGCCGACGGAAATGGGTGTTGTGGCCCGTGGTCTGGTGCTGGCCGTGGATGACCGGGGCTTCCGCTGGACGTAAACGCACTCCTTGCCGTAGGTCTTGCAGTTGCTACACGTCGGCTTCTCGGCGTTGCACTTGATCTGGAGATGGCGTCAATGACTCAATGCTGGAGACGGCCAAATGGGGACAACATGCCACGGATGAAACCGGACTTTGGGAGTTGCCACGGCATATGCGTACCTTCCGGAAGCGGCAGAATCTGCAAGCTGCCGTGGCTCGGCGGAGTCGCTTCAACTGACCATGTTCCGCTTCCATCTCGTCATGTACTCTGAGAAAAAGGGTGGCTTGGCTCGCAGGCAATTTCCTTTCACTTCCATTCCGTTTAGATAGGCGGAAATGGGAAAGCGGTATTACAATTCCGGCTCTTGACAAAAGTTTCAGCAGGAGCGTGGTGGCCCGGGTGGGACACCGGGAACGCTTAGACCACCCGCTAACTCCGTTCCGCGGAATTCACATACACTGTACATTAGTTAAGTCCGTTCCGCGGAATTTTGCGCCAAGCCTCCCACTCACTTCTCCCGTTCAAACAGACGACGGCATGGTGTTCACGTGCATTTGCAGACCTTGACTAACGATAGTACATATCCTGTGGAAGCGCATTGTTCCGTCCACTTGCAGCACCCTAGCATCTGCCTGGATCGTAGCCGCGCTCCCAACCCTAACCCCACTGTCCCAAACATGGCCAATCACGTGACCACACCCGAGCTGGCTATGTTGCGGAGCCAAGCCATGCTGAAGGAGTCAACCCCGAAAAAGGTCAGCCACCAACAGGAGAGGCCATCTAAGATTCTAAGTCAATACTTGACATTTTAAACTAATCCCGCCAGCACTGCAGCAACATGTCCCTCCAATCGTTTCATGCCTATCCGGGGCCGTCGCCGGCGCCGTTGAGGCTGCATGCACCGTGAGTTTCCCAAGTTTTTAACTGTTGGTTCGCCCCTTGCCGGCTGCCACCACCTCACGGGCACAGCAGTACGCAGCAATTACATAGTAACTCTCCAGCCAGTACCCTTTCGAGTTTGCCAAAACCCGACTGCAGCTTGGGTCCTCCCAATGCGGGCCTCAGATCTCCAACCCGGTATCGATGATCAGGCATCTCATCGCCAGCGAGGGCGTGCGGAGTCTCTACGTTGGGTGCTCAACACTGATGGCGGGCACCGCGCTCAAAGCGGGCGTGAGATTCCTGTCGTTTGACGCCATCAAGGCCGCCCTCTCCGACAATGACGGTCGCTTAACAGTCTCGCGCTCCATCCTCGCGGGCATGTTCGCCGGCTGCGTAGAAAGTGTGACAGCCGTGACCCCTACGGAGAGGATAAAAACCGCCATGATTGACGATGCAAGGGGGGCCAAGAGATATCGTTCCGCCGCGCACGCAACTGGCCTGCTAGTTAAGGAGCAGGGCCTTAGTGGGTTGTACAAGGGCCTGGGGTCGACAACCATGAAGCAGTGCGCCACATCCGCCGTGAGGATGGGCAGTTACAACACGATGAAGCAGGCGTCACAGTCGTATGGCTTGCCGCAGAACAGCGCCACGACGTTCGGGATGGGGGCATTGGCCGGGACCATCACCGTCTACGCCAGCCAGCCTTTTGACACGATCAAAAGCAGGACGCAGAGTGCCCGGGGGGCAAGCACAACGACGGCCGTCGCGAGTATATGGAGGGATGGGGGCGTCAAGGGGTTCTGGAAGGGAAGCACGATGAGGCTCGGCAGGCTTGTGTTTAGTGGTGGTATTGTGTTTACTGTGTATGAGAAGGTCTCGGGGATACTGACACCGATGATGAGGTAGCTTCAAAAGCATACCTGTATAGCTCTTGAATAAGCTGTAGCAACTGCAGCTCCAAGCAGCTCTCACTCATAGGGCTCTTGCTTGGCCCAAGAACTACTTCCGTTGCAAGACTTTGACTGGCGCTTCATACCCAACCTTGTTGGAATTAATTACACATTGAGAAAGCAGGGAACGGGCGGTTCGTCTCATTCATCGGGGCAATCCCATATAGTTATTAGAGGAGCCAGAGAAGCCCTAGGGTGCCGCATTCAACCAACAAAATCTCGCAGAGGTAATTGCGATGCATAATTATATTACCAGTGTTCCTTCTGCTTTTGGCGTAGTAGTCCACCCAGCATTCAACACACCAATTACATTTCGCAGAGCTTCCCACGTAGCCACCACATCTTACAGAACTTTCAACACGCCCAGTGCCACCCGCCAATTCTTCAACACACCTACCACACCTTCAACGCACCCACCGCATCTCCCAAAGCCTTCCACACGCCTATCGAACCTTCAACATATTTACGAAACCGTCCACCTGCCAAGCTCTCAATATGGGAAGCCATACCGCGATATATCCCCAATGACCCGCCTTCTTCACACCGCTACAATCCGACGACCAGCGCCGTCGTCCAAAGTTGCCAACTACTGTGTAATTAATATTAATTGCGAGGAGGATGGGGCGAAATATGGAGTGCGACAATACTATCACCAAGCTTCGTCTCACACTTATTGTGGTGGGCCCTGGGCGAGGGTGGCACAGGCGAGAAATGTTTTGTTTCTACGCATCCTATTTGCATCCTACTGGAACGGCGCGGTCTTAAGTCACCGCCACTGCATTATACAGATGCCCTCAATTATTCCTGGTTCCAAGCTACTCCCTCTCCCCAAATTCTGCATCTTGGACACGGCCGCTTTGTTGGGCTGCGAGCCTTCTAGAGTCTATTTTGCCTTGACCCTAGCAATAACAGGCTTAAAGGGCTTGATCTTTCCCCCCTTGATGGCAGCAGCGCTGGCTGCGAAACCCCTCTGTACCTTGGCGTACATAGCAGGATTCCTGAGTTTTAGGTCTTCCCAAAAATCGTCCTCAGAGCTGCTAATGGCTGTGTTAGCCAAGGCGTTAGTCACTTGCTGGACTGCACCGTGGTGGGAAAGATGTTAGCACCAGACCTGAGATGGAGAATCTTTGGGGAATGTTGGGAGGGTGTACCATTTGTAGTTGTTTTGCGAACCGTTGCCTTGGGAGCTGATGCACTCGCAGTTGACTGGGTAGCTGATGCACTAGCAGTTGACTGGCTAGCTGTTGTACTAGTCGTTGACTGGGCAGCCTTCTTGCGAACAGTTGGCTTGGGAGCTGTTGTGCTAGTAGTCGACTGTGAAGCTGTTGTGTTGACAGTCGACTGGGCGGCCTTTTTGCGAACAACTGGCTTGGAAGCCGTTGTGTCAGTAGTCGGCTGGGGGTTGGTGGATTTCTTCATCGTAACTCTCGTTGGCGTTGGTGAAGTCAAAAGGCAAGATGCGAAAGTTGTTGGTTTAGGAAAGGGAGTGGGTGTCGGTTGCTTAGACTCATATTAACAGGAACTGAAGGAGTGTTAAGTACCTAAGTGTTGGTATGTTACTCGCCTCGGATCGGGAGGGACCGACCTGAGAAGGGGTTGTCGGAGCTGTTGGGAGTCGATCTCAAACTTCAAGGCTGGCCCGCAACAATGGTCAAACTTAAAAAATAAGCCCAAGTCCATCGTGATCTCTTGAGAAGGAGTTTCATCGGCGGCGTGGCTTATCTGGAGTGTTGGCGGGCGATTTCGCGGGCCGCCCAAGGAGCATGTTATGGGGGAAATGATTGGGGGCGTAATGATAGTTTCATAGTTGGGATTCAGCCTCTCTTGTGATCCTCAAGGAGTCTAGGCATCCTACAAAATTTGGCTTACATGGATGGGACACTCAGCTTAGTCAGGCTGGGCAGCAACCACCAAGCACCAGATAGCGAACCCCAAGACACAGCATCTTGGCATAGGTAAGTGAACTAGCTCCGTGGCCAGTCCATCCATTGTCGAGACTCGAGACCCTGACTACGACGTCCATTTTCGAACCGGTAGTCCCGTGTACCTTCATCCAGGAAGTATTGGGACGGGCATAGGCCTGAGTGTCTTCATCTCTCGCCTCGAATGCCTCACGCTAGATGCATACTCGCTTGGTGTTGATGCCCTATCCCTCGCTCGAGGGTGCCCCTCTCACCGGGGCTTGTTCCTTTGTCGAATGACGGCCCGGTCCGAAGCCAGATCAGATATCTCCAGGCGAATATCAGCCCCTCCGGGTCCGCAAAATGGAACTCCTCTGGAAACGCCGCATCGGTACTGGGCCGCCGTTTCAACCGCAGCTTGTCGCATTCACTGGGTACCCCGAGACTTGAAACGGCGCTAGGAGTGGAGGGCGCGTGGTTTCACAAAGCTTAGACTCCCTCAAGAAGTTTGTTAGGAGGGACGGACAGACATGGGGGGTGGTATTTCATATAGAAAGCCGCGAAACCATACGCCGTGGGAGAATCTCGAGTCAATATCACACATCAGACATCACAGATTCCCGCAACAACTTTAGCTTTCACATATCTTGCAACGACCATACACACTCTAGGATCAACACAGCGCAGCCACCCGCCCCCGCGCCAACACCATGGCTCAACGTCACTTCTGGGATCCAACGGAGGCCGCATCTAGCCGGATCATCGTCGTTGATGAATTCTCCACTGATGCCCAACAAAAGAAGAAGGAAGCAGCGGTCTGGCACGCCTGGGAGCACATCCCGCGGCCTTACTTCCCCGATCACGCCCCTGTTGGTACTGATCACTACGCTATCGAGCGTGAGGCGTACCGCGGCCCACAGGCCAAAACAACCGAGCACATCCCCGATGTTATCGTCGTGAGGGTCCGCCATCCTCCTCCACCGGCCCAGCCAACCCCTGGACAACGCCCTCAGCGCTCACAGGAGCGGGATGTTCTCTGGATCGAGTGCAAGGCACCAGTTGAAATGGCGCCCCACGGATGGCACACGGTGTTAGGCGAAGCGACAGATCGCCTCGCCTCGGCACATACAAACCGCGAGGTCTTCTTAATCCTGGCCATTGGCATGAAGTGGATGTGCTTTGTTTGGAATCCCGCCGCACCGCTTCCCCAAAATCAGAGGTTGAGACTCCGTATGGCCAACAACGCAGGCTTCTGGGACGATATCGACACCCGGATCCAGCCAATCCCAGCCGCTGCTCTACCAGGCCAGCGCCATATCGTCAATAACGTGATCGAGACCAATTTGGCGTATACCCTGAACTACTGGGACGTCAACCCGACCACCAATTTGCAGGCTCACCTGGGCGACTTGACTCTCCTCGAGAACCTCTTCGCCATCATCCAGAACCATCAGTACGTCGGATGGAACCCGGCCCACTTTTGAAATGTTATATTCGCCCCTAATCACACTACTGATGTCTTGGGCATGTGAATTACGTTGGAAGGGGGAGAGCTCAGTCTGGGATTGGAAATGAGCAGACATTAAATATAGCACTACAAAAAGAGTATCGGGGTCAGCAATTCAGCCCAAATTAGGGGTGGAATAGTGACTTCAAATTTATATTCTCCCTGTAATAGCGGTATCTTTTTATCTTACTTGTTGTTCCTTTTCCTGGAGTGACCAGTTTGGAGCCTTTCTGAGCGTGTAATGAAAAGAAAAGTCAACGCCCAACAAGATAAAAGAGGAGAAGAGAAAGAAAATAAACGAAGGAAATATAAAGAAAATAAGGAGAAAGAAAGGGAAATAAAAGAAAATAAATAAAAATATACGAGAGGATATTTTTTGTCGTTACATTGCTGGAACTCAGAATATTCTGGCACTCGGAGGTGTGAAATTGGGCCAAGCATCTCGACCACTAACTCTGGCTGTTTTGCACATGGACTTCTGAGGTCCGTCCACAGGCAAATGAAATCAGAGAAGATCCATGGCACTCACACGGGTTAATGGTACACTGTAGGCAGTTACATGAAAGCCCCCTGCCAACTTGCTGGCTCTGGATTTTGTAGGATTTAGCGTCCCTCACCCTGGCCACAGCCCCGCGGCACAGGTGGCGGCCTAGTGCCCCTCAACTCCTAAAGTCAGCTCAAAAAAATCACAAGTTTCACAACCCAACACCCGCAACTTCTTTACAACAACAGAACGCTCATCGCGATTGCAACGCTTTTCACATCAAACACCGCACGGTCCAATCCACAAATATTATTCGTCACAATGGGCTCAACCACCCTCATCCGCGGGTTCAAAATCTCAGTCGCAACGTTGGATGCCTTCCTTCGTGCCAACAACGTTTACGAAACGTACGGAACGCCGCCCTTCTACAAACGCCATCCAGACGAGGACCCTATCTCCAAACTCCTCTTCTCCAAGATCTCCCAGCACGACTCGGACGCCGATAAGAACAAGTTCCGCGTGCTTATCCCTCTCGTTGAGGGCGCCGGCCGTTGCACGACAGCATATGTCGCCTATGCATGGGCTGGGGTGCTGGCACACCGCGAGATCAAGTTAGACGAGGACCTTCCGGCCGAGCTTCCTAAGGGCTTTGAGGAGTTGCGGCAGGAGATTCTGGGGTATGGAAAGGATGTTGCCGATGGGGAGAAGATTGCAGATGAGGGGAAGCTGGGGTTGTATATGGTGGTCACGTACGAAATTCGCGGCGATTACGGGGACGCGTTGGATCATACCGAGAGCACGTATTAGGTCACAGATCATACTGCAAGCCTTGTGGCGGCTACGACGAGAGGATTTTGCAGGTTCATACCTCCCTATCTGAGCTAATGATGAATATAAGCCAGTGGCGAATGTCTACAAGGACGTGCTTTTCTCTCCACTACACTTGATTTCTAGGTACATTAACAAACTCATGATAGGCAACACTTAAAAAAGCTCTAGAGTCCTTGCAGCACTCGCGTCTATATAAAACGACAGAAACCTCCGTGTTCGAAACCTCCTTCTCAAAGGACGCCCGGCTTCTGTCTTAGCAGCCGCCCAAATCAACGGCCAGAAGCCGCTCATTGACCAGGTTCCCCTCTACCTGCTCACCCCCATTTGTCACATACAAAGTCCGTTCCTGTTTCCTACTCCCCCTCCCAAACGCAGCACTCGTCGGCTTCGACAGCTTCTCCGTATCATTCACCACCCACTGCTCCCCGCTCCGCAAGTCCACCCTCACCAAATAACTCGGATGTGCCGCCATCCACACCGCATGCCCCTCTTTCCTACCCCCCACATTCTTCCTCGTCTCAAACGCAAAATCATCATACTCCATATCCGCCACAACCCCTTTCCTCGTCGCCAACACCTCCCCGTCTCCAACCTTCCCACCTTCCGCGTCAACCCTCACCCGTCCAAACAATCCCTTCGCCAGGTTCCCAAAATACACATACCCCTTCCCATGTTCCACCCTCGCCTTCAACCCATTTATCCCCAAATTCTTCCCCGACTCCGTACCCGTGAGTGTAAATAGCGCAGCATCCTCAAACGCGACATCAACAGCCCCAGTAAGCACATCCACCCGCCAAATCGCGCCACGAGCCGAGTCAGCAGCGAGCAGAAGACGCGGGTTGGTAGGGTGGCGCGCGAGGCCGTTGATAACCGTCGACTCGGCGATGGTGGTGACGAAGTTGACCTTGGGGCTACTCGTCGGGTCTAAGAGAGTGGTTGTGAAGTCGACGGTCCAGATGGCTATGGAGCCGAGGGCGGCGCGGCCGGTGGAGAGGTCCCAGGTGCCGGTGACGAGGGCGAAGATGTCGGGGGTGATTTCGGTGATGCCTGTGAGACCGGTTGCGTTGGGGAAGGTGTGGAGGGCTGGGGCCGGGGGGTTGGTGGTGGTGGGATCGATGGTGAAGAGGGAGGGGACGGTTACGGAGGTGAGGAGGAGGTTGCCGTTGGCGCGGACGGCGATGTTTTCGAGGAAGGTGTTATTGGGGAAGGTGTGGATGGTGCGGATGGGAGGGTTGGGGGGTTCTGGTGAGGCGTAGGAGCCGTGTGTCGCGATGGCGACGAGGAGAGCAGAGAGGAGACCCTTCATGATGGCTAGGTAATTAGGAGGTAAGGTGATGAGAGAATGGCAAGCGTCTTCCTCCCACGCATTAGGAGGATTATGATATTTATTTCCGGCATCTTGAGGCGAAGTAATTGGGATTGGCGGGCTGGCGTCTGCTGATAGGCGCCATCATGGGCAAAAAATGGGACTCTGGAGCCAAACAGGATGGCGGTGGAGATGTTCGCCCGTAGGATTCGGACGTGTCGTCAGCTTCTCCATGATATGCATCACTTGAAAAAGTTGTACGCAAGAAAGAATGAGAATGGGTTGCTTCCGTCGTTAGGCATCCAACCACTGTTGATGCACCAGCCCTTCAACATCCCCGGCTCAAGCTCAATCATATTTCGCCCAAACTCGCTGAGGGAATGCCCCCTATCCAGTCCTATCCAGTATTATCTTCAAGAAGGAGCTTGTTTTTTTCCGCAAACGTCTCTGGACATGTGGTCATCTCGTAAGACTAACGACAGAGGCATGTGAATGCTGGAACGTGGATGGCCCAAGATTTCGCAAATCCCTGAAGTTCCGTCATGTCTCGGAACAGACTCACCGCCCAATAGGAACCATAACATCGATCTTCACAGGTCCGTACTTACAGCCAATTACCTTTTTGCCTAGAAAGCTGATCGGTTAACCGTGCCGACCACGATGACTGCGTTGTATTGTGTCCCGGGAATAACGCAGGATCAGCCACAGTGCTACACCGTCTGGAAAGTAACATTGCTGTAATTATAGCACGAGTGACCCCAGCGGGCCAGCGGGAAGAATACGAACGACCGTCGAGGGCTGCAGTTGTAATGCCATCTTCAAAGAAGGCGCAAAGAAGTTACTAGGAGTATATCTAGGGAACTTAACTCAACGGTGGCATGTAAAAACGAAACAAAACATACGACGAGACAAAAGAGGAACTTCGAAGAACCAAAAAGAGAAAATAGACAAAAAAGATAACGAGCCAAAACAACATTTGAAGGGAATGATAACCTGGGGTACTTGCAGTTTGAGTGCCAGCTCTAGCTCTAGCCCTAACGCTCGTCAGTGATGCAGTATCCATGTACAGGTCTGTTAAGGCGGCGAGGAAGCCATTTGTATCACAATGACTCACAATCCAGCAGTTGTCAATTAGTGAAACGCTTGCTGCTTGTTTAATGTTTGTGGGAAGAACAAACACATTCGATTTCTAGATCGGGAGACGGTATATGGGTACGGTGTAGGAAGTTTTTTCATCAACATAGGTTCTTATGGAAGCAATCCCAGTGAACTTATCACTAACATCAAGTTTTTGATTAAGATGCACATAATACATAGATCCTCGTGAGCTCCCCATAATTACCAACTAGGCTTTAGCTTCATTTATTATCCAGAGACCGAGCACCTCCTCCATACCACCACACAACTTTCGCCAGCATCAAGTACCAACCATGACTCACCCACAAGACGACCTCGATGGGAGAGCCTCCAAGGACCGCAGCAACCCGGATCAGGAGCCCTCTAAGAAAGATCTGGCGGAACATGCTCCGGCTGCCAAGGACAAAACACCCCCTATGACCCAGGAAATTGTCGTCCAAACACTTACCCGAATTGTCAATGGAACGGGAGAAGGGTTGTCGGACGAGGAAAGGGAAATCGCCCGGATGTTGAAAGAGATCTCGACGCTGGCCAAAGCGGTGGCAGCAGAGCGCAGTGGTGGTGCTGCAGAGCAGGGTTAGATCGCACATCACTTAGGAGGTCCAAACATCAGCGGCTGACTTTTAGCAGACCACGCAAAAAGCACGTCACCGGATGGTGAGAGCCCTTGCATGGGCAACGAAGATACAGACGGGATGGGTAGCTCTAGCATCGAACGGAAAAAAGAATAAGCGTAAAAGAAAAACGGGCCTCAAATCTTCACAACCTCGTTATTCTTCAATACTACCCTACAACCTCCTACCATACTGGCCCCTGCGCAGGGTTCTCAGCCCAACATACACCTTGGTCTAGCCGTTCCTTTACACAACCACAATTTCTTTCTCCATAGGCAATCTCACAGAAGACCGCGAAGAAGAGGGGCAAGCGGAGTGATAATTAAACCTAGAAATGGTGCATGGGGGGGTGAGTAACAAAGTGGCAATCAAAGACTAGTGGGTTCCTGTCCAGTATTTTGGGCGACTCTAGAACTTATCGACGTGGTTCTGAAGCCGTACGAAAAGGACCTTGCCCTCGAGGGGATGTTGGCGGGTTATGATTCAGGACGTAAGTCCACGAATAATTCTCGATGATAATTACACCTGCTTTAAAAGCCCGTGTTATAGTTTAAGAGCCTGGGGAAGGTGACTGTCTTACACTAGGTCCGATACAGGCTGGTCGAGAAGCCTAGGGGTGAAACATTGGTTTTGCCTGTACTGTTAGTTATTTCCCGCCCTTGAAAATGTGGTTGTCTCTTCACCGTTCCTATTGCCTGCCCGTCTCCTGCACTTCCGTATGTTTAAAGGGAGGCTTAAGAGGGTAACTCCCCTGGTGATTTTTCGGTTTGTTTGGGGCTTTCGGGCTCGCTTTCCCATTGCCGGACCCTCTGTACGGAATCATAGGTTCATGAAGAAACAACCGACAAGTTACTGTCACGCCTTCCGCATATGCAGAGAGCTATTGAGACGATGTCCCTGAAAGCGACCACAAGCCGGTCGCGCCCCAGCCAAATGCGCGCAAGCTACGAATAGTTGTCGGCTTTCCATCGTTGTGCCGGTGAGCCGGCGAAGTTGGAAGTCTCGACCATCGAGGGGATCGACAACGCATCAGGGGCAAACGTCACTGTGGCTTGCGCTGAAGCGTGAGTGGCGGAGTGCAGTTACAGTGGGTCCCGGCACGCGTCTTTCCCCTCCCCCTCGCTTGGCAACAGCTCTCAATGGAGTGAGCGGCCTGGTGGCGTCTTTGGGCGCCCTCGGATGAAGCTGGCTGGGAGCTCCAACAGGAAACCCAATCTGGAACGTGACAACTTGAGGAATTGTATTAAAGCTATCGTATGCCGCAACTTTCCAGAGCCTCTTCTTACTTTGGATTCATATTTTTTGCCGTTTCCGCGGTGCTCATCGGCATATTCTTGAACCCCAAGAGCTTCGGCCCACTTACGCCAAGCATTTACACGCAACCAACATCAACATCAACACCGCAAGCAACCATGGGCGGCGGACCAGCCGGCGGCTACCGCTCGGTGGCATACTTCGTTAACTGGGCGATCTACGGAAGAAAACATCGCCCGCAGGACCTGCCTGTTGAGCGGTTGACACATGTGTTGTATGCTTTTGCGAATGTGCGCCCCGACTCGGGAGAAGTATACATGACCGACCAATGGGCCGATACCGACATCCATTGGGAGGGCGATAGCTGGAATGATTCCGGCACGAACCTCTACGGTTGTATGAAGCAGCTGAATCTACTCAAGAAACGGAACCGGAACCTCAAGGTCCTGTTGTCCATCGGTGGTTGGACCTACAGCAGCAACTTCAAGCAGCCTGCCTCCACGCCTCAGGGTCGCCAGACCTTTGTCAAGTCGTCCATTGAACTCGCGAGTAACCTCTTACTTCAACCCCCGCCTCCCCAGCGATTTCCAGGCATAAGAACTAACACACCTTCCCCAACACCAGCTCTCCCGCCTCGGCTTCGATGGCCTCGACATCGACTGGGAGTACCCGCAAAACGCTTCCGAAGCAGCCGACTTCGTCGCCCTCCTCGCCGAGCTCCGCGCCGGCCTTGACGAACACGCATCCACCGTCAACGCCCCCCAGCGGCCGCACTTTGAGCTGACCGTCGCCTGCCCGGCCGGCGCCCAGAATTACAACAACCTCGATATTCCCGGCATGGACCGCTACCTCGACTTCTGGAACCTCATGGCCTACGACTACGCAGGCTCGTGGGACCGCGTGGCCGGCCACCAGGCGAACTTGTTCCCGTCCCCGCAAGACTCGGCCCGCACGCCGTTCTCGACCGAGGCGGCCGTCCAGGCGTATGTTGGGCGTGGCGTGGCACCGCACAAGGTGGTGTTGGGGATGCCGTTGTATGGGCGGGCGTTTGAGGGCACGGAGGGGCTGGGCCAGCCGTATAGTGGCGTGGGCGAGGGTACGTGGGAGAATGGCGTGCACGACTACAAGAAGCTGCCGCTGCCTGGGGCGGAGGTGCGAATTGACTACGACGCTGGTGCGAGTTACTGCTATGAGCCGAACCGCAAGGTGTTGGTGAGTTATGATTCGGTGGAAATGGCGAGGAGGAAGGCGGAGTATATCAAGCAGCGGGGGCTGGGTGGTGGAATGTGGTGGGAGAGTAGTGCTGATAAGGAGGGGCCGGAGAGTTTGATCGGCAACGTGGTTGAGGTTCTGGGGGGTCCGGCCTCGCTTGAATGGCGGGAGAACTGCGTGACCTACCCATTCACCAAATACGACAACCTCCGGGAGGGCTTCCCGAATAATTAATGTAGCGGTTGGTTGGGACGGGAACTTAGCTAAATAAACTAGGTAGCTAGCTGCCTGCGCTGAGCTGCATGTCCAAAGTTACTTAGTCTCTGAGACACCCGTGGCGGGTTCGTCACCCGACATCTGTTTGATGGCATCCCAAATTGCATTTTCCTTGCCTTGGCTGAGCTCGCATATGCCCATGTCTTCCTTCTTCTTAAGGTACATAAACGCCGATTCATGTGAGACCGTTGCTCATACCAGACTCCGTGCAATCATGTTCCCGCCCCGAAACGCCCGTCCCGATGAAAGCCATTTGTTTAGGAGCTCTTCTCGAAGACGTAGGTAAGGTGGCACCGGCCACAGTACTGGCGGTCCTGCATCGCAGCCATGAAGACACCGGCGCCGCACTGAGAGGAACGAGGAGTCAGCTTTTGCGTCCCTGGAAAGATGGGTAGGGACCTTCATCAACTTACGGTCTCGCTAGGGCACTCGCGGCGGAGGCGCTCAATCTTGCCATCACCGTCCACCTTGTAGTACTTGAGGACAGCGAGCTTGGTCTTCTTCCGCTTGTGCTTGATCTTCTTGGGGGTGGTGTAGACCTTCTTCTTCCTCTTCTTGCCACCACCACGCAGGCGGAGCACAAGATGGAGGGTGCTCTCCTTCTGGATGTTGTAGTCGGACAAAGTCCGACCATCCTCGAGCTGCTTGCCGGCGAAAATCAGGCGTTGTTGGTCAGGGGGGATGCCCTCCTTGTCCTGGATCTTGGACTTCACATTGTCGATGGTGTCGCTCGACTCCACCTCAAGGGTGATAGTCTTGCCCGTGAGGGTCTTCACGAAGATCTGCATGGTGCCTACTGACAAATGGTGAGGATGAGTTAGACGCGGGGGAGAAAATTTCAGTGAAGCCAAACCGGCGCGAGCTGGGAAAGGGGTTCTGTAGGCAGCATTCAACCCGAAACCACGCCCATCGATATTTCCAACCGATGCGTGCAGCATTCGAGCCCCGTCGCCGCGAACGCAGCGGAAGCAGGAAGCGGTACCATAATGAAGAAGAGAGGAATTGGGAGGCTCGCGCCGGCTTGCAACATCGTACAGACGTACCTCGACACAATGTCTTCCTCAGCAAACTGCAGATGTGAAGTTGCGCTTGAGGAAAGAAAAGGTAGGAATTTGAATTGCGCCGCTTGAGAGAAAGGAACTTTTGGGAACGCCCCACTTTCGCTCGGTGGGTCACCTGACTTTGTGCCCGCCTTAGGGCAAGACCGAAAGCTTGCCCTCTCCTGCTGGTCCGGTTTGGATCGGTGGGGAAATTTCGAAGTGGGTCTCCCCATTGGTTAGGTTTCCAGCACCAGTGGAATTTCTAAACTTCTCGCCTTTCACTCACACAACCTCTTGGGAACCAACACACTGAAGACACCGTCAAAATGGTCAAGAAGAGAAAGAACAACGGCCGCAACAAGAAGGGTGAGACTCCATTCCAGCTGCAATCAGATTTCTCTCCAGACCGACTAACCAACCGATCAATTTGCAGGCCGCGGCCACGTCAACCCCATCCGGTGCTCCAACTGCTCGCGATGCACCCCCAAGGATAAGGCCATCAAGCGGTTCACCATCCGCAACATGGTTGAGTCTGCGGCTATCCGTACGTTTCTTCGGGCCTCTCATGGCGACGACCCGATCTCTTTCCTCGACGATCCTCGGCTGCGATACGGTTTAGCTGACTCGACGATGTGTTACAGGTGATATCTCGGACGCCTCGGTGTTCTCCGAGTACACGGTTCCCAAGATGTACCTCAAGCTGCAGTACTGTGTCTCTTGCGCCATCCACGGCAAGATTGTCCGGTACGTTTGTCCGCGTGGCGGGGACAACCACAGTTGCCTTTTTGGCGACGTGGGCGGCTGAGAAGAACCTTGGTCGAACCTCCGCCATTAGTTACCCCTCATACCTTCGATCGAGAACACCGCCCCCGGCTGACAGAAATCTTTATAGTGTCCGCTCCCGTGAGGGACGCCGCAACCGTGCTCCCCCCCCGCGTGTCCGCTACAACAAGGACGGCAAGAAGGTCGCCCCCACCCAGGGCCCTAAGACCGCTTAGGGCGACTGATTCCTTTCCTGCTTTGGCGTTCTGAGTTGGCGGCATCTGGTACTGGGCGTGGTTTTGATGGTCCAAAAATAATGAGATCATGATTCGGCTTTGCATGCCAAACCTGGCAACCACGGGAATGGGAATTGGGGGTTCCTTCAGCCCAATCGGCCTCATAGAGCCGTAGTCACCAATTCAGATCACTCTGTTGTATGCATCATCGGTTGTTTCATTTGCCGCTGCTACAGCGGTTAGTCTGTGGACTCTACAACACATGGTTGACTTCGCAAGATGGAAGGGCGCTCGTACTTTTGCACTACTGCGGTACCGAACGCTCTACGATGCACATCTCCGAATCAATCGGGCCTCTTCAGAAGTCCGGAATCTCCCCTTTTGGCATTGTTGAGCACGACTATATACGCTTGGTCGATCACGTTCATCACTCGAGCCATTGCTGTCTTAGAATCCTCGCCCGTTGCTGATTCCCCCGACCTTTCCCATTCCAGGAAACATCCCAGTTCTCTAGTCTTTCACTCCGTGGAACGCACTGCGCCTTGTTCCCCTCACCCGCCGGACTTCCCGTGTCACCCTTCTGTGCATCCGTCCCCTTTTATTATGAAGCCATGCGTCGCAAACCACGGCTAGGACTGTGGCGGGTGATATTCAGGGGAGGAAACGGCCAAACATCCCTGAATCGGCCCTGTCTTTCGGTGGGCGGTTCACCGACGGTGAGCGCTCTTATCTCTGCGCTGACGTGACCCTGGATGCGAGCGATTACATGCAGGGCGGATGAAGTCTCTGAGCTTAACCCGGCGGCGGGACAGAGTGTGAAGCCGATGCCGCCGGGCTTGGACCCTCCAATATCGGGGATTGGTCGGTGAGGTTCGGGTGTAATCTAGGAAGGCGTATATGACTTTCTCTAATCTGTCATTCCGGTGGCCTGGATGAGCTGCCACTCTGGCCAAGCTATTTCTTGACACCGTCAAGCGTCCCGCTCCGTCCCGAAATTGGGCCAACAGCCACCTGAGCTGCTCCACGCGTGTCTTCTGAGTCTCTCGAGACCGGTCGGGCCAGCTCTGCCGGAAGGTAGTGGTCACCAAGGCCAGAAATGTGTGAGGCTGAAGATCGTGAACAGGGCGGAACAGTACCAACCACTTGCAGTACTTAAACCAGTGATGACTCCAAGCCTGCGTGATCACAGCGCTCCAGTTGGCGTTGCTGGTTGCCGTAGCCGCACCGCGCTGTAAAAACAACTCTATGATGTGCACCCACTTCTTAGCGTTCTCGCGCCCCGGTACAGTCATGACGTCGGTCACCAAATCCTCCTGTAACACACTCAGAATCGACTGCCCCCCAATGTCACTTAATGGGGTCTTTTCAAGTAGCACTTTAACGGCAACTCTCACTCCCTGAATCCTCGCGTGCGGCGTGCCTAGCTGCGATGATCACTGGCAACCGCTTGGTACATTCATCCTGTTGGGCATCGCTAACGGGAAGAGGGTTGGCGCCAAATTTGAGGAGGAGTTGAATCATTTCTGTAAATCTCCAGCTTGCTGCAATCTGCAGCAGAGTGCGGTCGTGCCTTTCCGAGTTCATGGGGTTGAAATAGAAAGATGCTCCTTGTGATCTAGGTACGGTGGTCGGCTGTACTGCGTTGGGATCTGCGCCGAGGGCTAAGAACTTATTGGCTAACGAAAGACGCTGACCCAGGGAGTTTTGGATGTCTTGTTCCTTTTTGGCACGCGCGCAGTCGCTGTACTCGCTGTAGTCGGTGTAGCCTGGCTGACCAGGAGTCAGCGAGTACAACCGATCCTGGCGCTGACGGTTCGATAGCTTGCTGTAGATGGTGGGCCCCTCGTGCTCACACAGCACCGCGAGGGCACGTTGGTGAAATACACAAGTATCTATCCGTCCGTCCGCGAGCGCCCCAGCATAAAAGTCCACGAGCCACTCTGCATCGCCGAACTGATAGCTCTTGCAGAGAATCTCTAAAAGTTGGCCGAGTACTGCGTCAGGCGGTCGGACTACATCAAGTAAGAGTCTTCCAGCTGTCCTGATGTTTCCTCCCGCAGCAGCAAGGTGAACCGCCGAGTTGACGCCTGCGGACTCATTCAAGTACTCGTGGAAGCGGTGTGTCTCAAGGAAGAGTTGGCAGTTGGTGGCCGACCCTATCCATGCGGCATTGTGGAAAGCGGTCATAGAGGGAGTCCAGTCCGTCTCGGGTATGGGAGGTGTGTACCGAGTGGGGTCGGGAACTGGGTATACTCTGGCTCCAACGAGACCCGAGATGCCCCTAGCAACTAGGAGGCGGACGGTGTCATCGTGGCCTTCGCACATGGCAACGTGGAGGGCCGTCCAAGCAACTCGGTTATGGTGTGGCTCTACCTCGCAGTACAAATCATCTATACCGCTCATGTCAGGGGGTCACAGTCACATACGCCGTTACACTGAGCATTGATATTTGCTCCGTGATCGAGGAGCAGCTCGAGTGCGGCGTTATCACCCCTGAAAGCCGCCACATGGAGAGGGCCCCAGGACCTACACGACGATTAATTGACCATTTGTTAACTATTCATGCCTTTCTAGGAGTGAAAATAAGTCCAAAATCGCGTACCAGTAGCGGTGATCCCTGATGTCACCCCATATTTCATCAATGCCGTGCCACAGAGAGAGCGCGCTTGGGAATTGGTTAGTCATTTCCTCAACAACCAAATCCAGATTATCGTATGTTATTGCCGAGTCGAGTCTCTCTTTGCGTTGATAGGGCCAGATGAGGTTTCGCTCTGTACGGCAGCCGCAGTATTCCTGGCGGAACACTTCGGCAACCATCTCTCTAGATATTAGACGGGGGTATAGATCGTGACGCCGGCCCTGGGTAGAGAGAACATCGCGCAGCCTACTTCGCAGAATACCCGACAAGAACAAGAAGTTGGGATCGTTGCCGTTCTGTAACATGTGGCGGAGCAGCTCGTGGTTCCCAGCCTCGACCGCCCAGAGAAGAACTTCCTTGGACCTCTTCGGGTCGTTGTGCAGGCCTGCCCACAACAATGCATTGGCGACAACGGAGAGGCGGCGATTGGTGAGTGTGAGCGCCCAGAGCTGTTCTTCCCCCATTCCAGCCATCACCTGCAGGAGGAGCTCCGTGGGGAGGCGCATCATGCCAGTTGTCTCGCCCAGCCGTAGGGGAATCCGGGAGGACTCGGCGCTCGGCGGTACGCCTTCTGTGCGGCAAAGTGTTAATTAGCACTTCTGGCTATGAGTCGGAGTATGTCGGGGGGTCAGTTAACACCGTCAGAGTTACAGGAAAGGGGGGAGACGAGATATCCACACACCTGTGTTCACCATTTGTCTTAATCGAAGGTATTGGTACTCCCAAATGATTATCCGTGTGTTTTACCGACGTAAACAACAGGCATGAAGAAGTGTGCACGTATCTAGCCAAAAATACAGTCAGCTGTTCCTCAACCCCTCTGTTGTGCTATTATTTGGGTTCTTTGTGATGGGATGTGGCCCACGTGAGAATTGAATGACTAGGAGCCTTTTCTTCCCTGTTAGCTAGGCTTGATCTCATTGAAGGGGAATGCCTTATTGTGATGACATATGGGAAATAATCCGGTCTGATCATGGCGACCACGAGCGCTGCGGGACTGCCGGACGGGTCATGGAATATGCACTCACAGGAATGACCACACCGTTGGCGTTTGAATAGTTGTTGAATTTGGTAATGGAGAAGTGAAGCCCAGGGGCAAGGTTGGGAAATGTGATTTAAGCCGCGTCGAAAGTTTGGGCGGCTACGGAAGCGCCCAACAAAGAATTTCGGTCACGCGCCAATTTTACTTGTTTTATTGTTAAACGTGCGAACAATTGAACGGGACGTTGGAACAAAGTGAAAAGAACAGTACCTGATACAACACCCAAATCCACAATGGTAGACGAAAGAATACGGATGGTAGAAAAGAGACATCCAACTAAACCGCTGATCGTTGACCATATGGCAGTTGTGGAAGGCTGGCAACAAAATCACGAGAAAAAGTTGAAAGCATAAGGTCGAATGTTTGTAGATATCCTTGAAGTATGGAAAAAGAATCAGGGATTTAAGTTTAGAGACGAGATCGGAAATGGGGAAAAATACCACGGAGAGGGAGTTATTTCTGTTTATTTTTGTTAGAAACGTAGCAGCAAAAGCTTCGAAGAGAACATACCTATAGACGTGATCCACATATGGACGAGCTTATGGAAACGGCGGATTCAAGACTCGTATAACGCTGGATTGGTACGTGAAAAAAAAAATGATCCAAGACCGAGTGAGTTGATGACTCGCAAATGACTTGGTAACACGGTCTAAAAGCTGAGCGCAACGAACCGTCCGATCCTGATGCTGATCAAAGATATGATGAGATAGATGGCCGAGAACCAGATTTCGCGACCTCCTACCAAAAAGTAAAATAAAAAGAAAGTCCCTGTGAACTAAGCATAACTGATCCTATTGGTAGAAGATTAAGTGCTCTGTGCTTTCGGTGGCAGATTCTAATGAGAAAGCAGAAAGAAGCCCGTCTGAATCTTGATACACCAGGTGTCATGCCTCGGGCCCATGAGCCGGAGTTTATATAGAAATTGGTCCAGCTGGTCCAATGTCCCAGAGATAAGAAGGCCATCCTCGGACTGAGTCAACCACCTAAGTCAACTTTTTTTCGAGCAATAATAATCGCGACGACAAGGTACCCCAGAGAGGTGGCCTTTAGGTGCGCTAGTCCCACAGTACACAACGTAGCTGATAGTCCGTGCCAAATGGTGATTTTTTGAACTAGTAGACCGGTGCCATCGTAATAATGTTTAGAGGCTCTTGAGGGTGTCTTGGGCCAGGGGCTTTGGTATCCCTTTTGCAAGCGAGAAGATCAAGCGCTCGATCCTGAGGAAGTTTGGGGTTATGATGCTTTGTGGCGCATGAAATGATTCGATGAGTTTGTTGAACGTTAGTAGCGTGTTGAATCCATCCAAACCTTGGAGAAGCATCAATATAGGAGGTAATTCGATGATTGAAGTTCCTCTCATTGGAGCCGTTTACGTACAAAGCTAGGGTTAGGGTTACCATCTGGAGACGTGACCTCGCGGAGCTGCACGTGATCTTCCCCTTTCCCCCGCCATCTCGCGCTTGTGGACTGCAGGCTGCGAGCTCCAACCGACAGGCTTCGATATTTTTTTTGGAAGCAGCGGGGCCTAAAGAGATCGAGCTCACCGCAAAGGTCGCCATCCCACCACACGTCCTTCTTTCCTACTGCAATCGCGCCTGGAGCTCTGTCTCGACTAGAAGAACTCCTCCGAATCGATAATCCACGCCAAAATGTCGTTCGGCGGCCAGACACCGACGATTATCGTCCTGAAAGAGGGTCCGGAACCCCTCCTTTTTGTTCCCTGGTAAACAAGCCCCCTGCTGACCCGCCGCTCTCAGGAACCGACACCTCGCAGGGCAAGGGCCAAATTGTTTCCAACATAAACGCTTGCCTGGCCGTGCAGGCCACGATCAAATCGACACTAGGTCCCTACGGCGGTGATTTGTTGATGGTGGATGCCAACGGGAAACAGACGATCACCAACGATGGAGCCACCGTCATGAAGGTGTGCCCATGAAACCACCCTTGTCTCACGAATACCTCGGAGGATGCTAACCGCGGAAAGCTCCTGGATATCGTCCACCCTGCAGCCCGAATCCTCGTCGATATCGCGCGATCCCAAGATGCCGAAGTGGGCGATGGGACAACTTCCGTTGTCGTTCTTGCCGGCGAGATCCTGAAAGAGATTAAGGAGCACGTGGAGGGCGGTGTCAGCTCACAGATCATTATCAAGGGCCTGAGGAGAGCATCGACGATGGCTGTGAACAAGATTAAGGAGATCCAAGTTAGTACAAATGAGGCGGATAGGAGGGATACGCTCAACAAGTTGGCGGGTACTGCCATGACGAGCAAGTTAATCAAGCGCAACACGGAGTTTTTTACAAAGAGTAAGTTACGTTCCGCGGTGTTGGGGTAGGCCCAAGTTTATGGCTAATTGTTGTTAGTGGTTGTCGACGCCGTTCTTTCCCTCGACCAGGACGACCTCAACGAGAAATTAATAGGAATCAAGAAGATTCCCGGCGGCTCCCTCACGGACTCTCTCTTTGTCAACGGTGTTGCTTTCAAGAAGACGTTTTCCTACGCTGGGTTTGAACAACAACCGAAGTCGTTTAAAAAGCCCAAGATTGTCTGCCTCAACGTCGAACTTGAGCTCAAGGCCGAGAAGGATAATGCGGAGGTTCGTGTCGAGCAAGTCTCCGAATACCAGGCTATCGTCGACGCCGAATGGCAAATTATCTACAAGAAGCTGGAGGCGGCATACAAAACGGGCGCGAAGGTTGTATTGTCTAAGCTACCAATCGGTGACTTGGCGACGCAGTTCTTCGCAGACCGCGACGTGTTCTGCGCAGGCCGTGTCTCCGCCGATGATATGGAGCGCGTGGTGCAGGCGACTGGCGCTACCATCCAGAGCACCTGCTCTGACATTCGCCCGGAACACTTAGGCACCTGTGGTAGCTTTGAGGAGCGGCAGATTGGTGGCGAACGTTTCAACTTCTTCGAAGACTGCCCTGAGGCCAAGACATGCACTTTGGTTTTGCGCGGTGGTGCGGAGCAGTTCATCGCCGAGGTGGAGCGGTCACTCCATGACGCCATTATGATCGTCAAGCGGGCGATCCGCAACAAGACCATCGTCGGCGGCGGTGGTGCCACCGAGATGGAAGTGTCGGCGTACCTACACCGGTTTGCCGACCAGGATGTGCGCAACAAGCAGCAAGCCATCATCAAGAGCTTTGCCAAGGCGCTCGAGGTCATCCCGCGACAGCTGTGCGACAACGCCGGCTTTGACGCCACCGACATCCTCAACCGCCTACGTGTCGAGCACCGCCGGGGCAACACCTGGGCCGGTGTTGACTTCCAGAGTGAAGGTGTCACCGACATGATGGAGCGGTTCGTGTGGGAGCCTGCGCTTGTCAAAGTCAACGCTATTCAGGCGGCGACTGAGGCGGCGTGCCTGATTCTGGGTGTGGATGAGACGATCCAAAACGAGGAGAGCCAGGCACCACAGGCACCCGGCAAACCGTTGCCGCCGGGAGCGGCCCAGCGTGCGTTGCGTGGGCGTGGGCGTGGTATGCCGAGGCGGTAGATGTGATAAACTCGATATGAGAAATGAAAAATACCTGTTGGTGATACAAACGATGGCTCTATAATAAACGTGATAAACGGCCTGTCAATGTTTGGCGCACCCCCGGTTTCGATCTGAAGGCCTGACCCTCCGCGGTCCCCACCGAGTTCATGGAACTTGAAGCCCGTGATACACTTAAGCTTTATGTCCGAGCAACTCTGTCTCACGCCTGGACCATATGTCACTGTAAAGCATGACAAAAGAAGGGCAAATAATTCTACCCTTGTTCCCGATACGGGCCACTTACAGCAATGCCCTGCGTCCTGGGTCCTCGATATGCCTGCATGTATCGATGTGAATCGACAATAGGTGTGACTCTCGAAAAAAAAGAAGTCATTTTGTCTTATTTATTTCCCAGTCGCCAAACAAATCAGTAAAGTTCGCGGGTAAACGGTATTTACGTAAATTAATTAAGTTCTGATTTGTTGCTTCCAACCCCAAGCTTCCTCTTGTCCGTCATCTTCTTTACTTGAAGGTCTCAATACTCATCGCCACCTGTGCCTCCTTTCCACCATCATCGGCTTCTCCCACTGTCAACTAAACCTGTCAACACACCACCCTTTGCTACTCTCTTAGCCCAGACCTCTCGCCACTGGTATGGTTGTGTTCCAACTCATACTCTTCCCGGGCGGCGTCCATCCACCCCACCGGTTCCAGACCTATCATCACTCTCCCCTACGTGCAGCGAATCCGGATCTGAGCCTGAGGGTGGAGATGGGCTTGACGACGTTGGCTGATGATGGTTGTCCAATGAGGAGTCCATATCGGCATCGTCGGCGCCGTGTGAGCCGATTAACATCTCGAGATCGAGGTCCTCTTGGGCTATTGCCTCGGTTTGGGTGTGGTGTATTTGGTGGTGGTCATGTGGATTCCCATCTTGAGTGCTTCTTTGACCTGTGGGGTGCACGTTGTCTATTTGGTGTGGTGTGGCTGGCATGTGGATATCTGGATGATGTGGGTGCTGGTTATGGTCATGGGTGTGCTGATGATCCTCCCGCAATTGGTTTCCATGATGTTGCTCTTGTTGTCCCTGGTGCTGCAAAGTATCTGTACCAACAGGACCGATCAAATCGGACCCTGTTCTCGCTCCTACGGATAGAGCGTGATCCACGGCGGCCGGATCATCGTCCTCGTCATCTGTGACTGCGGCGTTAAGTAGGGCTTGGAAAGTCTCCACATCGGCGTCGGGGTCTGGGTCGTGATGGTGGTGATCGTGATTATGGTGGGATGGCGGGGAAGGATGAGAAAATGGGTATGGGTCGTGGGCGTGTGGATGATGATGATGGTGATGATGGTGTGTCTGATGGTGGTGTAAGCCAGCGGTGGCCGTGGACTGGGCGATGATTTGCGGGTCGATGGGCTGAAAGTCCGGGACTGGTATTGGATGAGGGCCCGCGTCGAGACCTGAAATCGTGACTGGATGGCCTGATGGTGGTGGGTGATGGTGAGGGTGGAGCGACTGTAGCATCGGATTGTGGGCATCTCTGGTCATAGCATCATGGCCGGCCAGAGGAGCGCGGGTTGGCGATGTCAGAGAGTGGTGGTGTTGGGGGTCTGAAAGTATGGAGATAGCGCTGGGGTCCGCGAAATGGTGGTGAGAGGAGACAGAAAACGCCGAGAGCGGTGACGGATCTGAGATAGACGGCCTCTCGCCTCCCGTCGTAAACTCTAAGGCAGGGCCGGGGGCTGACGGACTCGGGGACGCGCGCTTGGAAGCAGAGCCAGAGGCGGGACTTGGGTTCGCCCGTTTTAGGCCGTTCATGACACCGGAGCCGAGAGAGGGCTGCATGCCTGGAGCAGAGGTTTTGTTCGCGTCTTTGCATTCAGGACAGTTCCTGATCACGTCCGAGACCGTCTCCTTGATACGGCTCCAGTGGTACCGCTCGGCAATGGTTGCTGTGGTCTTGTTGATGCCGCCATGCGCTTGGTTGTGCACCATCCTGGCGATTTCGTACTGGCGCTGGGGGTCTGAGATGACTTCTTTGTCCTTGAGCATCAAGACATCGCCGTCCAGGAGCTTGTAGTGAGTTGCGGCACTACGCAGCCTACTTTTCTCGGCTCGATCAGCGCCGGTGGGATATCGGCCGTACTTGAGGTAGAACTTGATCTTGTCGAAACGCTCTTCACTCACAAGCTCCTCACCGCCGACACCCCCCGCCGCATCGCCTAGATCGCGTCCGTATATGATAGCGTCCACGAGGCGGTCCGGATGGCTTTTGAGGTTACCGGCCCCCTTGACACGCCCGATGCGCTTGAAGCCTAAACCGTCCCAGAGTTTGCACGAGGCAACATTGGTCTCGTACACGAGGTTGAAAATAGCGTACTTGTATCCCAGCTTTGGGGCCCAATCCAGGTACGATTCACCCAGCAGCCGGCCCACGCCGCGGTTACGGGAGGCGTCTGTGACAATGAAACCGGCGTTGGATATGTGGCTGCTGCGGCCGGGGTAATTGGGTCTAATGTAAAAGGTACCGAGGCACTCCTTGGACCAGTCCATGCCCTCAACGACCTCAGCGGCACTCTCGAGGTGGCCGAGCAACATGATACCACCAAAGTTCTGAAACCAGTACGCGGCAAATTTGGCGGGGGTCATGGGTTCTAGTATGGGGTAGGTGTCACCACCCTCAATCTCCTTGTTGAACTGGTCGCTGAGATAGCGCAGAAGAGACTCGGGTACATCATCCCGCGAAGCAACCGGGACGATCGTCGCAACCGTCAGGCGGTCACGCAGCGTCACCTGGCGGGGCTGGATGGCGGGCGGTACGGCCGGGTTGGCGGGGTCCGGAAACGGAGCATCCCCCGAGACCCGGTAGATGGTTGGGGTGTCCGGATCGTTGATGATAGCGGGCATCCTGTCCTCTACGTAAATGAGTTTTGCTAGATCGAGCTCAGCCCGCCACTGCGCTTGACGTTAGCTGCGAGACAGGTGCAGAGACCTCCGCGGTCCCTGTGATAGCACATTCATATTAGCTCCTGGTTTATCATGATTTTTAGCCTTGACGACGTAGTTATTCTCGTCGCCGGCCCCAGGCGTCCACGAGAAAGTCGGATGGGGGCCTAAGAAGGAGTGCAGCACATGATTCCCACATTACAGCGGGTAGAGGTACCCGAAACGAGGACCGGCACTCTTCACACAACCGCAACGCGCACTGGATGCACAGAACCGAAAAGGCTTGGTTCCGCGCATACACCCACTTTCGCCGACAACCCGGCCGGGCCGCTCCGCTTGAAGCTACCCAGAAGGTTCGGATAGTCTAACAAGAAGTGCCTGTTTCGGTGGCCCGTACCTGAATCTTCCCCCTTGTTCGTGGCCCAACCAAGCAAGGCACACCAATCAGTGGTGCGAAACAGGCTAACAGGGTGACGTGACGGAAACGTGCGTTTTCGTTGCTGTGCTGAAATGTTCGTGGTGATGATTTGTGCCCGGGAGGGGAAATTCGCCAGGAAATTTGCTGGACTGGCCATGGCATGGATCGGCGCCTGAGGTCCGGAACAGAGACAGGCGCAGTCGCTGAGTCAGCCAACAGGGAATGCCTTTAAACATGGGCGATTTTCGGCAGGTCTTGGCATCAACATACAACTCATGGTATTTACTATGGTACAAGATTGTGACTGCGGCAATGGCTTATAGCTTCTCAGGAGGTTGTCCCGGCATGCCCGTGATCTCCCGCAAAAGCTCCTCGTCGGTCATGAAGTCTTCCCTTTGGAGCGGTTTCTCCTCTAATATGCCCGCCTCCTCGGCAGCCGCCTTTGCCTTGCTCGCCGCCCTTGCCTTCTCATGGGCATCGCTATCGATATATTTCTGCACGTCAGAAGGCGTTTGCCAGGTTAGAAGCCCGTCACGGGCCTTTGCTAGTCTCCGTGCTTGTCCACGCTGCCCTGCCCGGCCGAGAACCCCAGCGAGGAGAGTGATGGACCGCAAACTACTCATCGGTAGGTTAGCTACAAAGGTACGCGCAGGTCAAAGTGGGGAGGTTGAATGTAGTGAAAGAAGGATATATGGCGGCGCCCGACTCACCTATCGTCGTTAGCTGGGATTTGGTACGTCACCCAAGTTGGGTCAGCATCGGTGTCAATGACCCCAATCGTCGGAATGTTCGCCACACCACACTCATGCAACAACACCTCATTCTCCAGCGGGTTGAGGCAAACCACCAAATCCGGCGCGATCGGCCGGCGGTCGCGGACATGGTCCCCGAATCCTTCTATCTCTTGGTCTTGCGCGCCCACAATCTTCAGCGGCGCGCCGGCCAAAATCACATCCCGATTTGTAATCGCACCCGGTGTCCACCGTTGGAACAAGTGACATGCACCCGCTAGCTCTGCTGCTCGAACGACGATCGGCATGTGGCCATCGCGCGTGCCAGCAATCAGGACCAACCCCCCGTGGTAGGAAACCTCCTCAACCACACGGGCGGCTCGCCGTAGGTGTGCCTGTATCGTTTCTAGGCTGATGATATGGATTCCCGCGCGTTCGCCGTAGATATAGCGCTGGTTGCCCGGGTTCCACTGCGATACGTGGTGGCCCATGTGGCATTGGGCGGCCATCAGCATCTCGAGTGTCGCGTCCGACGGGGGGTCGAGAAGGTACTGGTCCGGATGGTAGCGGGACTCGACACGGGAGCCGATGTTATGGGTGACCGCTCGCTGTCGCTCATACTCGTGGTAGTTGGCTTCGATTTCGGCGAGCCGTTCCAGCCGGGAGGTTTCCTTGGCGGTAGTAAATGCATGGTTATTGCTGGTTCCTTGAAGGGAATCATCGACGGTCGGCGCTGCTGTATCTGTCGTTGTTGGCGCTGCGAATGCCCTTGCTATGGACTGGGATAACGGTCGAACACATGGTCGGGAGATCGGTGCTGCCAGCGCCCGGCGGCCTGAATTGTGTCAATCGCCGGAAATATGCATTCCAAATTGGAGATGTCCACGTACCATACCGTGCGCCAAAATTCCTGAGAATCATGGCGGGAATACTAATGTTAGAATCATGTGGTCCAGACGATGGTGAGGATTGGCGGGCCGAGCAACTTTTCTCAATTTGGTGTTGAAGTGGCCCGTGCGATATTAGGTTGGGATATGCCCCACCTTTCTACTGTTCTCCCCCACCATCCATCCTTGTGGGCTTGGTATTTATCGCGTGGTTGACGGTTGCAATGGGGACGGTGACAATGCATTTCTTTTTTTTAATGTAGTTGTAAAAGTCTGGAGGGATATGTTGGAGTCGCCATCAATTGTTTGACAGAACCATTCAGATAAATGCAGAAACACGGCGCAGGCTATGAGATGGGTTATGGAATCAAGAACTCGGGCAGGACAACCCCTCCATACAAAAAGAAAATATCTACGACTCAGGAAGGTGGCTTTTAGCCTTGCCTCCCTCGAAACAGGGTTGGGAAGGTCTATTTAAGAAGAAAAATAAGAGGCGTCGTAATTCCTCAAGCCCAACGCAAACTAACATCCCTTTTGTTCCAGCTTTCCAGTTGCCTGCCCTCAGATATCCCTGCCCGTCGTGCACCCGGTGACTAACAACCTCATCGGTTCGACGACAATCTCGAAAGCGTAAACACGCCCACAATAACCACCGCTAGTACCGCAATCGCGCCTGGAAGCAACAACTCATTCGGCACACCCGCGACCAGCTCCTGCTGCGCCTGCTGGTGGTGGTGATGGTGATGCCCAGTTCGCGAACGCCCATGCCTATGACGGCGCCCGTGCAACGAAGCATCGTCATCCGAGTCCTCACTTTCCTCTGAGTTGCTCTCGTCCTCATCATCGTGCGCATGCCGGCGCCTCTCACGGACAACGGAGGATACCGGCGGGGTGGGAAGGGCAGCAGGCTCTGGGGCAGGGGCGACGGGGGGTTCTTTAGGATCGTGCACAAAGAGGTCCACCTTGTCGCGGTGGCTCCGGCGGGCGAGGATGATGGCTTCGAGAAGATCCTCATCGGTCGTGATAGACACGGTGTCGCCATCGTTGTCGAGGTAGCTGAGAGCATATCCTCCTGACACTTCGCCATCCTCAAGGACGGGAGCACCACCGACGGCGTCAACCTCAGAGCCAAGCTTGGAGGTAACGTGGGCGACAAACTCAGCCATGCCATGGGCGGCGGTCACTTGGAGTCGGTGCACGCGGCCGCTCGGGGCTTTGAACTTGAAGGGGAATGGGGTCTCAGCGGGAGAAAGTTCGGGGGTAGTGATTCCGATAGCGCTATGGTGGGGGGATTCGACACCGACATGGCTGGCGGAGTCACCAGGCGCAACACTATCTGTCAAGTGGCGCTCGCTACGCATGGTGTCGGGAGACATCAGCGATCGGGTAGGATGTGTGTGATGGTGCGAGCCGTCTCCAGAAACCATGGATTCGGTTTCGTGGTCAAGAGAGAGCCAGAACTTATTCCACGCGGGGCCTTCACTGTCGCCCGTGCCCATAGTGTTAATCTGCTCTAGCGTGGCATATGTGAGCTTGAGGACGTCGACCATACCGACGATCTCGCCGCCGTCGTTCATGACCGGGAGGTTGAGGTAGTGGCCATCTGTAAACCGTTAATCATCCTGCATAATCACAGGGTCGGAGATGAGGATGTCGCCTTACCATGCATCTTGCGCAGGGCCGCCTGGATGCTCATATCCATGGGGGCAAAGTCGGGGTGTGGTGTCATTACACGGACAACACTACACGTCGCTGGGTCGAGGCCCGGGGCAATCACACGGAGGACGACGTCCTTGCTAGTGAAAATACCCGTAATAGAGCCCTGGTCCGTTACCAAGACCGCAGTGGTGTGGTTCTCCTTCATCATTTGTGCCGCTTCCTTGACCGAAGTCCGCACGCTCACGGTTGTGGGCGGCATTCCGTTGAGCACCGACTCCAACGTAGGGCCGGACATCTTGGACCGCAAGGCCTCTACGTATTGGATGATTTGCTGGGGTTGGCTGGTTCCGAGCTCAGACTGGACACCCTCGAGGGCGTCGTAAAGCTTCCTCGAGGAAGAGTAGGCACGCTCGAGCTTCTCCATGGCGTCGTAGAAACACTTCGTAATATCCAACACACCGGAAATGTCTTGGTTCTCGTCCATAACAGGGAGATGGCGGAAACCCTTGCGGACCATCAGGTCCAGCGCATCGGTAGCACTTGTATCTGTCCGGGCACACAGCGGGTTCTTGGTCATAATGTCCGCGATTGTAACGTGGGTCGGCTTCAGTCCTGCGCCCACAACACGGAACGCAAGATCCTTGGCGGTGAAGATACCGGCAATGCGGTCATCGTCATCAGTAACCAGCACGCAGTCCTCACGCTTGGCTGCCATCAACTGGGCAGCCTCGGCAACGGTGGTCTGCGGCTTGATCTGGAGGGCCTGGCTCGGTTTGAGGGCGAGAACGGTGCCCGGCGGGGCCTTACGAGACTGGCGGGCGCGGTTCGTCAGGTGCTTCTTCTTGGAGAGATCATTCTCCATCTTCCGGCGAATAGCCTAAGCGATCATAGTCAGTGAGTGATATTTTTCACCATCCAAAGAGTAAACTCCAGGCCCCAAGAGGACGCCATTTCGGCCTCTTCCTCTGATCATGGTCGGGCACGCACCTCATCTCTCTTGGACTGCTTCTGGCGACTTGTGCTGAGAGCCGAGGCGCCCACCTCGCTGCTGGGTGTAGGTGTATTCTCGAGCACGGGCCGGGGGATGGCGGACGACTGCCCCGGGTGCGCCGAGTGGCCTGAGTGCCCCGCGCTCGCCGAATGCCTATCGGGGGTGCTGCCGGGGCTGTTGGCAAAGGGGATTGAGCCGCGCCCCTGGCTACGACCGCCGCGGAGAGTGCCTGGGTTTCCTGACATATTCGCTGGCGGTGTTGGACAGCTCTTGACGGCGTGTGCAGGTGGATGGGTGCGGAGATAAAAGTTGCGTTTCTGTCTGCGCACTGATCGACCCCTCGCTCCGAGTTTTGCGTTCTGTCGGTCAGTCGTCGAAGCTGCAAGCCGCGGCCAATGAAACGGTGGATCGGACGGCCAAGGGAGAGCAGGGCGGGCGGACAAAGGAAAAACACGGGATGGGCTTGGTCAAATCGGGCAAGGCTGGCAGGAGACGCTCGGACCACTGGCGCCCAAATTGCTGCCATTTCGGAGCAAGCCGCTTCCCAGCGGTGCCAGCACATCAACTGCACCACACTGCCGAGTGTACATAGTATGAGTGTATGGGGGGGTTGGCAGAAGACGGACCAAAGGCCCTCAATATGGACATTTCAAGTCGTCGGATGAGGGAACACAGCTAAAAACGAGGAAAGGTAGAAGCCCCCAAGCTAACACTAAGTGTTAAATACTCCCCATGTCCCCCTGGCAAGCATGTATTTTCACGTTCTACGTTAACCCTAACCCGTTTTCCCAAGAAAAGTTACATAATGGCCTTCCCTCTGTTTACATTGCCTTCATCCATCCCACGCCTCACACCCGACAATACGCAGGAGAGCCTTAAGGTCAAGATCCATGTGGGAGGCCCAAAGTGGACTCCCCCACCTGCCCATTGCAGACACCCCGCATGCCTTTTCGTTCCCCTGCCAAGCTCAACATTCTCAGCAGCCGAGAAGCATCGAGTGAAGGCGGTCAAGCGGGTTTCAGCGTTTACCCAGGTAGTTAACGAATTGACCCGACCGTATCAATGGCCTAGGTTTTCCTCCACATGTCCATTAATGTGCTCGCAGTGGCCGAAAAAGGCGGCAGCCCAAATCCCTGAATAACTAACTTTCTTACAAAAGGGAAAAAGGACTAAAAAGAATATACCAAAAAAATGAATAAAAGACGGAACAAAGTAGATCAATCAAAATCTATTACGATGTCATCGAATGTTAATGGTTAGACTTAAGCTATCTGTTTTAGTCTGCCGCTCTTAGCTTCGGCCTCAGCGAGGGAGGTTCTTTCTATGCATCCAGGCCGACTTCCTCGCCATAAATAGCAAAACCATTGGCGGTTGCTTCCCGGGCGATGTCCCCGGCTAATGGGACGCTAATTGGTCCAATATTTGAGCTTCGGAGGCTCAAATTAATAAAGTTATGCTGTGGATCGATATGATCGAGAGTTTCTCAACCGTTACAAATCACGCATGACGTAGGGGCGCCGTTCCCGAGAACCAAGTCGCAGATACAGGCAGTGGCGTGCTAATCCCGATTGCAACTACCTCATTTTCCCAGGTGCCCCCTTGAAATCGGTCTGTTCTGTCTCTATAGGTGTAACGACCGTCAGAAGCATTCGTACACCGACGGGCTCGAGGCGAAAACGTCCAGAGCGCGCGAACGGCCTTGCTTTTGCGGCAATTGCGTCGTGTGTCATGTTGCCGGCCACTCAGGTTCCTGTCAGCATGAAACAGGAAACAACGTTGGTGACATCCTGCTCCAATCATCCGCGGAACGTTGCAATTACAGGATCGCTCTGCTCGGGATTCCGGTGCCGTCTGATTCCACAGTCAGGCAATCGGCGGTCCTCGTTGGCTGGCGATTTAGCAAATGTCCCTTGAGACGATGGCCCGTTCGATACCCCTGACCGGCTGGGAAGTGGGCCTTTCAACGACGTCACCCGCCTGGATCTCCGATTCTGGTTTTTTTATGGGTAGACACCTCGCTGTTCGGTGTCGGCCCGTTCGATAACAACTTCTTGCGCGTTTCCAGAAAAAATCTTTTAAGAACAAAACCCAGGATCGGTCACACCGAAGGGGTTTTTCCCTAATTGCGATTCATAAGAAAACCAACCACATCCCCATCAGTTACAGCGGCCCTCTCGACTTCCCCACAGCGTTAACACACCTCCACGAGACGGCAGCACACGACAGCGCAGCGGCGCAGATTGTGGGCGTTGATCCCTCCCGCCCCCACGATCGACCCTGCCGTTGTATCGGCGATTGGCGCCGCAGTGTGATTCGGGTCACATCGTTGGCCAACACAAGTTTGACTTAAGACGCCTACCATAAGCAAACTTGACGAAGTCCATGGAACGCGAGTTGGAGGGACCATTACTTTTACCAAAAGAAACCCGATTAGAGCCTTCAAACGCCCCAATTAAGACAGCGACCGACCTCAATTTTGCAAGCCAAGCACCGTTCAAATACCCGACGCAATGGCCGTCTTTCCGAAACCACGGGTAGGCGTGCCCGTTACGCCAATTGGGTCATTTACAAGCACCCTCAAGCGGACAGTCGGACTCCTTGCCAAGCGCCAGGACAAGGACTGCCACCCACAACCTGACGTTGACCTCTGTGCAAGACCTTGGATCTCGTCGCAGCAAATCACTTGGATTATCGTTGGCGTTGTGCTGTATGTTTTAGAATCGCCCTTTTGTTACTGATTAAACCCATGGATAACCTCACTAATACAACTTTTTATAGTGGTCTCGTCCTCGTCGTCACAGGAAGCCTCCTCCTGTACTTCCACCTCCGGCGCAAGCGGCGGGAGAAGAGCGAGGATATGGAAGACCGCTTCCAAATGGCCGACTACGGACTGGATGAAGTTCCGGCAGTGGGAGCGGGGCGGAAAGAAGGGACCACCTCAAGCAGCAACGGTTCGCCGGTCGGGTTTGGCCGACGTTCTCGTGAGCCCCTCCAAACGGGCTCCGAACCCAAATATCCACCACCAGGGCATCTCCACGACAGCCACCTTGCGCCTTTTGATGAGCTTTCCTCTCAGTCCGGCGACAAAGGCTCGTATCCGCCAAGTCACAACCCTACCCGGTCTCAGCGGGAAAGCAGTCAGCCGAGGAAAGCGACAGTGGAGGATGAATGAACGAGACAATGGTTTTACAAGGAATACATGAGCATTGAGAGCCTTATGATGCGCTAAATGAACAATAATGATTGGGCATGGGTTTACGAGGACGGAACATGTGTGGTTTTTGGGTGTGCGCGACAGGACTGCATTTTTTTACTGGAGTTGGTTGCCATTTGTACATGAATTGGCTGGAGCCGACTGGACTCGCCAGGTTTTATGTGTGCGTTATTTTTCCATGGGTAGGGCCGAGAACCCATTGGGCTGTATAGACAACAAGGTCATTGCAGGCACTCTACATGTCGTTTACACTCCCGTCGAAGCGTGGGGATGGATCACTTGGAACCACAGCGGGACCCGGCCAAGACAGTTGCTAATGCCGAGACAAGGTAAGATCCAGTCGCTGGACCAGCCTAATGGACGGACGTGGTAGCCACATGCTACGCAGACTGGTTCCTTGTATCTGCTGGCTGACATTGCGAGTAAATAACATAGGTTACAGATTGCCCACCCCTAGTTACCCAAGCCCAACTACTCTCCCAGCTCCGATCATGCCTTCACTGCGACCCCTCGTCGTCAAAGCATAAGGAATCCAAACTCAACCTCCTCCCCAACCCCATCCGCAGCCCCATCCCGCCGTCGGCCCTCATCTCCCATGTCCGCCTCACAGCCCCCCAATACACCTCCCCGTTCACCCTCGCGTGCGCACAATGTTCTGTCCGCTTAAACCGCACCATCAGACTCCCCAGTCCGCCCCCTCCTGCCGTATTTCCCTGTTTCGAACTCTCCACGCCGTGTTCATGCACGTCCCTCCACCATACAACGTCGTCTTCCTCGCCGAAGAGGTAAGTCCGAACCAACCCACCGTTGTCTGTCCCATCCATGTTCCACTGTTCCCCCGAAAAATCCCACAACTCCCCGTCATTCAGCGCCTTCCTGGTCTCCGAGACAATATCGTTCTCGCCGTACTGACCCCGTACATGCAAGCCGATCCAAACGACGCCGACGACGCCATGTGCAAGGCCACGTGCGAGGAGATTAGCCTTGCCACTACGTACGTCTTTCTCTTGCACTTCGTTTGTCCCGCCCGATGTTCCGTCGCCGACTCCAGAACGTGTTCTTTTCCCGGACGAGCCGCCGGGCGAATATCCCGGCATAGCCCGTGCAAAGGCTGTAGTCATCCTGGCGAAGGAGGGTGTACCAGGGGTGGAATCGAGGAGCAAGGCGCGTACGGGTATCTTTGGGACGCCACTGCCATCACCGTTCTCGCCTTTGCTTTGTGCAGCGGCTGTAGCAGCGGCCCGATATGCGCGGGCTAGGAGGACTGCCTTATGGGCGCCGCCTTCGGAGAAGGCGTGTAAGAGAACGGAGGGGGGTTGTCTGTGTCCTTGTCTTGGGTTCCTCTGTCGTTCTGTGGCAGTGGTGAAGGAAGGGATAGCCGCTGTTGCCGTGGTAGATACGGACCGAGAAGAATATGGTCTGGACAGGACCGAGGACGCAGACGACATGGCTGACGCCGACGTCGACCATGTCGGCGCGTAGGTGGGATAGAAGTATTGTAGGGGGTCTTCCGCCTCTTCGGCCGCGTCGTAGCCTGACCGCCATGACAAGAGATAATCAACAGCCGGCTTTAGTGAAGCGAGCTTGTGGGCGGTGGAGTGAAGAAAGAAATCGGCGACCATGGTGGTGATGAGCAAGATAGGGACGCCAGGGTACAGCGCGTTGTACTCATTGGTGTACTTGGCGACGTGTTTAGCACTAGCGCCAGTCCAGGAGGTAAGGATGATGACATCTGGTGAAGTGACCTCGCTGGAGTGAGTGCTACTACTGTTGGTTCTGGCATGGTATGTTGATGTCGGGCTAGGCGGGTGTTGGTGAAGAGGGACGCTCGGGAATGTAGGGGTTTGGTTTGTGTGATAGATGTTGGTGCCAGAGTTGAGGTGGGGTTCTTGGAGGTAGACAGATGGCCCCAGGCGGATGAAGCCGGGAATTGAGAAGCTCGAGGTTGGTTTGCCCATGGCTGTAAGTGCAGTGATGAGTCGGCGTGAAGGTCGCAGGCGTAGTTAGTCGGCAAATAGCCTGGGATGACATGCCTCCAAATATACAAGCGGGTGTCTCGCGAGGGGGTTGGCCCAGCCCAATTTGTTTGCACCCACCCGTGATCGTTCCCGTGGGGCGACCTTAGAGGCGCTTATCACATCACAGACCCCAAGCCAGGGAACGCCGATGTGGAATACGGCGGTCTTTAACGCCGCATGTCCAATGATTAAGCGACATACGGATACCGTTGTTTTTACCGCTGTGCATTCCGTTTGCGGAGGTAATGTCACCGGTATCGACACAATTCCGGTCTTCATCACATGGTCTACCGTATCTCAGCCACGTTCTTTATTTACTTGTCAGTTACGTTATCCGGTTCCTTGTTGAATCGCTCCTTTGATCAAACTTGATGGGATTGTAAAGTAATAGAGCCTCTCACAGGCCATCTTTACGCTGTGGTCATACAGAAGGAGCCAAATGTAAGATACAACGGTCCTGGGGGTGGCTTGAAAGTTTCACGATGCTGGGATCGTAAAGCTTGGCATCAGCTGCAATTTCCGAACAATCGCCGTTTAACCCCGCCGTACTCAACGGCCCAGCGACGGAGTAAGTCCCGTCGCAATCAGCCCAGTCTGTCACCAACATGAACACCCTCGGTGGCAACGCGGCATCAAGGACCCCATCGCACGCGTTTCCCCTCTTTCATCACCTTTTTCCCGGTCTGGGCATCCGCTCTTCCTTCTTTCCTGCACGGGACATTCAAAGATGGTGTTTCGAGGGTGGTTACAGCGCAAGGTGACCTTGATTCCTTTCAGCTAATTCAGCCCAATCTTCGCACCAACCACGATGCGCAGAGGTCGGACGGAGACTGTGGCTATGAGGCGTATCCATGGAACTCATCGAACAAATTGACGGTGCGGGATGGCGCAGCCCAATGCCGGGCGGCCGTATCCGCGGAGCTAAGAACTCAGTCTGGCATTCCCGCATTGGTGTGGGTGTGGTGTGGTGTGGTGGGGTGCGTTCTCTGCGGGAAGGGACACAAGAGAATTCGGCCGTTCGCCCCACGTGTTTTCTAGCTAGTTCCGCGTTTCGGCGGAAGTGAGATTCTCGAGTGGGGATTTCGCCCTAGTTATATTTCTCGTAGCCTAGATTTAGAGGCTCCATAATAACCCGATCTCACTCATCGAAAACGCTAAAATCGGAAATACCCGTCATCCAATGATTCCCTGGAATCACCGATTCCTTATCGAGACATCGTTTCCTTGCGGCTTCCGATCGATGCAGAGAAGCAGCATGGATTCCTGGATTCCTAGTTCGGCAGGTGGGGGCTGAGGGACCGAGCTTCACACCACATCCGCAGCTCAGCGGCGGCTAATCAGCGCGGGGGGTGACCCGTTTTGGGCAAGCCGACCCGTCGCTCCTTCAGATGTGCCGCTTACAGCGCTTACTCTGTATCGGAGCTCGTCAGAAGAAGGGCAATACGTCCAAATACGCAAATGGGCCCGACATCGCCCACAAATACGGATGCCATGCTTGTCTGACCTCGTTGGGCATTTGAGCGCCGCGGGTTTAAAAAAAACCCAGCTAAGGTGAGAAGTTGAAATTTGTAACTCCACAACACTATTGCTCGTGTTGTTTCTCAAGTCCTTGACCTAAAGCTAGAAGTAACGAGATGAATTTCAAATGTAGGGCTTTGCCATGCCGTCTTTTTAGATCAGGACAAAAAAGCTGCGCTCTTTAAGGCTCAATAACACTAATCTGACCTTCCTATGCGCAACTCGGGGATCGTTGTGCCGCAACACTTGACGTGTGCTCGGTACCTCCGAATTTTGCAGCTCCCTTCCATTGGCACAAATGGTTCATGAAACAGCGTAACTGGCAGTGCAATGACCCTTGTTTGTAACGTTGTGTTTACAACACCGAATACATGTTGTTTATTCAATACGCACTTGTGCAAACTGCCAAGACCCGCACGCACCAAAGTGGGTGTGCTAGGCGGAGCGAGCATCTTGAACACACCAAAACACCGGTGAAGCTCCCAGTGTTTCCGTCTTTCCGTGGTGTGGCAGACCACATCGTCACCCCGCTGGTGATACATGAGTGGCTATGCAGTGGAAGGACTGTGAAAAGTTGGACTAATGCAGACGCAACGAGTTGCACCAGGACCAATTATTAGACACGATAAGCGCGGTGGGTAACATCGTCTGCCAAAATGGATGGTCCGAAAGTCCAAGAGGTGGGGTCATTTTACGAGGTACCCAACGAACATTGAGGGTGTGTTCACTCGCTGCCTGATTTGTCAAACATCGCCCGCTCACACTGGTCGGAATCCACTAATAGGGCGGGACAAGGGTTCCGCGCCTCAATGCCCCACAAGAATTCCTTTGCCCGAGAAACTGCACGTATTGACCATGTTTACTGTTCGCAAGAGAACTTGCTGTCAGCTGAACGCAGCAATGGTGGACTTGGCGATAGTCCGATGGGGACCATGCCGCCATGGAGCGCGGCGCAGGAATGTGAAAGTCGCCCACCTCGGAGGTCAGGATCCGTCGTGATGCAGACCGGGGCCCAGTCCGCGGCCCGTCAGGCACATCGCTCGCCCCCATAGCTTGGCCAACAAGTGATTGGATACTGTTCGTCGTGCAACCGGTGATGTTCTAAGACTCTAAGCGAATAACTAGTGGGTACCGAGTACCGACACTACCGGGCAGATCGTTAAGTATGGATGGCCGTCACCCGTAGCATCTGATTTCCCTAAGATTCAAGAGGCACGAAAAGCCTGCCCTCCGACTTTTCTCCCTTATTCTCTTTACACATCTGAAACCTTCCATGAGGTTGGGACGTTGAAGACTACAGTGAAAAGCTTCCCGCATTTCATCTCGTAGTCGTTCCTTCCTCTGGTGAAGACTTAATTACTTGCTGCTTGCTTTCCCACTCCAGCAGTCAGCTCGGTCTCAAGTTTTCAACTCGGTGGCTCCTGCCCCGGCGAATCAAGCAAAATGGACCCTTCCCAAACAAACCCAATTACCCACAATCAGGCCATGTATTCTGCCATTATGGAAGGAAGCCACAGCTCAACCTCCATCGGCTCTGGGGAAAGCCACTCATCCAACATGGAAAAGGGACTGGTACAGGAACCAGAGTGGAAGCCTGGGAAGCAGGAGTACGCTGTCATGCTCACGCTTGCCGTCATCTCTCTCATGGTAGCACTTGATGCGACGATTCTTGTTTCTGTTCTTCCAGTATGTTCTCCCAAAGAAGAGAGGGTCAAGCAATAATCACTGACAAACTTCCACTCCAGACTCTGGCTGTTGATCTTCAAGGCACCGCGACTGACGCCTTCTGGGCCGGTACCTCGTACCTACTCACTTGTGCCGTGTGCCAACCCTTCATTGCTGCCCTGTCCGATATATTTGGTCGCAAGGAGATGCTCCTTGTTTCCATCGTCCTCTTCACCCTCGGCACGATTATTTGCGCCCCGGTCGCCAAGACCTTTGCCGTCCTCTTTGTTGGTCGGTCCATCCAGGGCATTGGAGGCGGCGGCATCATCACGATGGGCCAGGTCATCTTCGCGGATATTGTCCCGTTGCGGCAGCGGCCCAAGTACTTTTCGCTGGTCATGGCGGCTTGGGCATTGGGTAGTGTCCTAGGGCCGTTTGTGGGTGGGTTGTTTGTTGAGCATGCGACGTGGGGCTGGTGCTTTTACATCAATGTAAGTATGCCTCGGGGTACATGGTGTTGCACCATGCGGCGGACAATTAACCGGCGTTTCACAGCTGCCTTTCTGTGCCATCGGCCTCGTCCTCGTCCCCATCTACGTCAAACTTTCAACGGCCAAGTCCTCCCTAGTATCCAAGCTCGGCCGTGTCGATTGGATCGGGGGTTTCTTCTTCATCGGTGGTCTCACTAGCTTTCTGATCGGAATATCGTGGGCCGGTGTGCAGTATGCGTGGAACAGCGCCGCGACAATCGCCCCCATGGTGGTCGGCGTTGTTAGTATCGTCATCGCCATTTTCTGGGAAATATACGGCGCACAAGAGCCGTTCCTTCGACCTTCACTGTTTCACTCAGCCTCGGCTATTGCCACATATTCCTGCGCCTTGTTCCAAGGTTTTATTGTATGTATCCTACTGTTCCACGTTGACAAAACTAATCAACTAACACGTTGATGACAGCTTTTCTGTGCTCTTTATTACCTTCCCTTCTATTTCACGGCTATTAAGTTCGCGTCGCCCACGATAACTGGTCTGAATATTTTTCCGATTACGTTCTTCCTTCTCCCCGGAAGCATCGTTATCTCGTTGATCACCACTCGGATTGGTCGGTACCGATGGGCCATCTGGATGGGTTGGGCTATCACAGCCGTGTCTGGCGGCTTGTTGGTCCTCCTTGATGAAAGCACCCCAACTCGTATCTGGGCTGTCATATTTGCCGTTTTCGGTATTGGTAATGGCATGGTTCTCACCAGCGTCAATATCGGAGTTCAGGCCGTTAGCCGAGTTGAAGATGCCGCTCGGGCCGCTGCCATGTACGCCTTCATGAGAACGTTGGGAATGTCGCTTGGCGTGGCCGTTGGTGGTACCGTGTTCCAAAATGTCATGAGCAGCAAGCTTCATGAGCTGGGGCTGCCTGAGGAAATTTCCCACAACTCCGAGGCTTTCGTTCAGGTGATGGCGGCCCTATCGCCGACGGATCCAGTCAGAACTGGAGCTATTCTAGCTTGTGAGTCCGGCCCATAATATGTTTCGAGGAATTCCGTACTGACTTAGCTAGACATTGCTGGATTTCACGGAGTTTATTGGGCGCTTACTAGCGCCGCCATCGCCTCCTTTTTCATAAGCCTCATCATCAAGCGCCACAGCATGGATAAGTCGTTGGAGTCCAACTACACACTTCGCGGGTCTCAGAACCCTAGCCGCCCGGTGATAAAGGCTGGGCCATCGCCAACAGCCTCGCAGGACTGGAACAACCCTCCCGGCGCTGTTAGCTACAATGGGTATGCGCACCCGGAAGTTGAACAAGAAACTGTGTACCCAGAAGCATTCCCGGCTACCCACACCTACACAGTGCCAAGTACAATGCCCATGGCCCCTCAAGAGCAGAACCTTGTCGGGGGGACCCATCCAACGATCTCACGGATGGAGGAGCCAATTACTGCTTACTACATTCAACCGGGCGGTAGGATCGTCCCGGTGAACATTCTTCCAGAGAACCAGCAAGGGGGGGAGATATCGGGCATGTCCTTGGGAAATCACGGGTATGATGCGCGATATAGTAATAGTGTATGATTTTTAAAGATGGCTTGATGAAACGGAAGGCGTTGTTGGCGTTGTTGGCGTTTGGTTGGGAAAGATACCATTTGTTCTTTACGTGTTGGTTGTATTTATTTTGTAGGCAAAACGTATTGTAATTAATTGATTAATTACCCTAGGAGTGCGAGAATCATGTTCAAGTCAAGAAAACTAAAAGAACGAATGATGAAATTCGTTGACGTTATAAATTCCATCACATCAGTGTGTTTTGGGATCAACATAATTATATGCTTGTTGCATGACGACGATCCCATGAACCTCCCAACAACACCGCAGGCCCTCTTAGAGAGGTTCCTTCGACGTCGCGTTGACGTATCTTTCTCAGTTGAACAAATCAATTTCTGATACTCGTGGGTATCGATATGATGGCCCAGTGTGGCTTGGGTATGTCATATGGGCGTCGATGAGCTCTTGATCAACGAGATCGGTCGAGCCTGGGAGCTGTTTACAGTGGGGAGATACTCTCCGGATTGCATAACGCCACCTGGCTGAAGGTTTCGGGGTCTTCCGTCTACATTCGTACTTCACCTAAGAGGTAGGTAATATATGCACGCCACGATTCTGACAGTCAAAAGCAAGTCTATTAACACCAAGGCTGTAGCTAGAACACATAACATATGAAAATAACCGCTTGTCAACCGGCTTCCCTGCGACCCCCGACCTTATTCCCCCACCCGCGTCAAATCAACCCCATGGTATAACCTAATCCAGCAACAAGGAAAAGCCCCACGACCCTTCCAAGCGCACCAGGGACCGGGACAGCGGACACAGCGCCGCTAACCTTACCGTCCCCCACCCCACCCTCCGAATCCTGCTTCACGTTACCCTTCTTAACCGCCTCCACGTTGTCCACAAACGCCACCCACGTCTCATTCTGTTTGTCCATCGACTCCCCCATCACCGCATCACACAGATCTAACACCTTACCCTCGTCATAATCCTTCTCCGTGCAACTTTTGAGCGGATCCGACTTCGACGACTGGGCCGATTTAGTATCGGCCAGACACGCCTGGGTGGTGTTGGCCCACAGCCAGCCAGGTTTAGCGTCCCCTTCTTTGGGCTTTATGCAGAGGCAGTCGAAGATGGTGGTGTTCTTGCCGGAGCAAGCTTCCGCGTCGGAGAGACGGATGGCGATGGCGATGGGGTACATGCAGTCGACCATGCAGGGGGGAAGGTCCTTGGCGAGGGCCACGGGGTCGCCGAAGGCGCCTTTGACTTTGTCGGTGAAACCGCGGGCGGCGTATTTGTTGGTTGGGACGGTGGAGGGGTTGGTGGAGGTGGTGGACGCCGTGTTGGTGTGGGCGGCCGCGAGGGGCAGGAGGAAGAGGAGGGAGCGTGCGATGAGCTGCATTGTGTTGAGGGCGAGGAGATGGGCAAGGTTGGAGCAGGTGAGATTGATAGTGAAGTTGGAGTTGGAAAAGGAAATAGTAGTTGTGAACTAAGCGAGGCGATATTGAGCGTGATGGAGATGATGGACGGTTTGATGAGGAGAGCAAGATGAATGGGTTAGCCCAATCTCAACCACATTATATAGACATCAGAGATCTTGGCGATCGCATCAAGAAATGCCGCCAAGGTGTTGACATTTTACAATGTAGAGGTCAATTTTGTGAATTTGGCCCCAAAGAGAAACAATCACTCCTCGGCCGAAGCCCCTGAACCATGCCCGGGCCTGATAGCCGGAGCGGGTGTAGTCTGTATGCGGTTGTTGAACTCAGTCTCGTCTCATGGCTGCATACACTGGACGGCCCTGAAACAGCCTCCCGCCAGCAAAACGGGCAACCTTGAACCAGCAGTTAACCAATCTTGCCCCCAACGTGGTTCGCCGACGGCCGGTCTCCGGCCGTCTTGCCCGGTCGGCCGGCGGGTGGGGCCGGAGTGGGGACTAAGTGGGTCCGGTCTCGGCCCGAGTTTTGGGCAGGGGTGCGGCTCGCGAAATATTTTTGGTGTTGGTGCTGTTGGTTCACCACAGCCAACCAGAGCGCGTTTTTACCATCGGGCTGGAGAGAAAAAGGAAAGTGGGTAGGAAAATAGGGCAGGGGCTTGAAAAGCTTGTGTAACTTGAGCGGGATGGGAATCGGGACCTCCTTTTCTTTTTTTGTGGTCGCGGCTGTATTGTATGTGTATGTATTGAGACACAGAGGCAGGGGATCAAGAGCCGTGTCGCTTCAATCTCAGATTGGGTACTGTACGAGCTCGCGTTTCATGACTGCTTTTATTTGAGCTACACACCTTTTAAAGTCTTTACAATCCAACAGGCCGTACAGATAGACTCGCAGGCGCTGGGCTACAACACTAGATATCTAGTTACAAGTTAAAGGAATACATGGTTTTGTTTAGATATCCCCCCCTGTGATATCCTTTCCTAAACAAACTCGAACGATGTGGAATGACTCAGTCATATATCAAGATTCGGGGTCATGAATATGCAGAATACCTGCCCACATGGGAGACCTAGATAAGCTGTCTGGGACCGTGGCCAAACAATGCCGCGGTCGTTAGAGTTTAAAAATATGCATGTGGCTGCTGTTCCCTCCGAGACGTTGACTTATCGTTGCGGAGGTTGGTTCAAAGAACGCCGGCTCGTAATCGCCAACCTGTGATGTATGCGGTTAAATGGAGACGGCGATATGATCCTAACGCCCGAGGCCATGCTGCATATCACAATAATATCGGAGCACAAACGTGCTCGCACTCCAGACTCTTTTAGAGCAGCCTAGAGACCCGAGCTGCTGCTCCCCTCGACACTGCCTGTATCGATGCCCTTGCGAACCGGCTTCGGCGCACCTGGAATAAAACGCACGTCGACGAATGGTTCCAGGTGTGCCAGAAACGGGAGGCGGCAATAGGACTTCCCACCGCGGTGCTTGCAGTCGGTGTTCTGGCAGACATGTCCGTTGACGCAGCCGCTAGCACGACAGCCACCACGCCGCACGCAGGGCTGCGAGCGCGCAAGCTGCCAGAGGGCAGGTAGCAGTTCCGGCTCGATTGGCTCGTGGTCGTACTCGCAGTTGTCGCCGGCATCGCAGGCTCGCCGAAGCTGAAAGCTGTTGCAGACGCGGCGCTTGTCAATACGGCTCTTCAGGCGGGTGACGAGTTCTGGTTTGACGGGGCGGAGTAATGGGTCGAGCCGGTGGTTATTCACGTTGACCATGACTTGGCCGCGAGGGATGCTCGAGACTTGTGGGAGATGAGACGGGTGGGTGTCGGGGGAAAGTGATGGATTGTGTTTAGCTGCCGACGGACTCGGTGGGGAGGACGTGTCTGAGTGTTGATGGCTGTTGTTGGTTTTAGGATCGCCGGGTGGGTTGACATGCAGTAATTTGCAAGTTTTGCCATAGCGGCATTTGCCTAACGAATAGAACAGGCAATTGGTGGTTTTTTGCTCATCCTTGTGTGTTGGAGGCACAGCAGATGGCGTCTTAATGGGAGAGGCAGGCCGGCCAGGCCCTGAGACCGGCTTAACAGGACTCGCGTTCGACCCGTTACTAACAGAGCGGTATGCCGCGGAGCTATCGAGCGGAGCGTGCCGGAAGACACTGCGGAACTCCTCGATACCCATTCCCAGCTTGTGGAACTCATCGTGAAAGCGGACACTTGGGGTATCGATTAGCGTAAACTTGGAGCTATGGCCCATGTAGGGCGTCAGCTCGGAGATGTAGCCGACATCGTGGCAGGCAGCGAAGTAGATGTGCTTGCATTGGCTGTTGTCGGCGTAGAGGCGCAGCATGGCGCGGAGCTTGAAGTCGGCATTCTCCTTGAGTTGGCCGGCGTCAATAAACTCAGTAAGGCCGTACGACTTGTTGAAGCCAGCGATGAAAGGGGCCATTGACCGGCTATCGGCGCCGACGACGCCTGTCTTGGAAAGTACCTTGGACAAGCCAAAGACGTTCGCGTAGATGCGAATCATCACCTCGCAATGCTCAAGACCTTTGCGCCGCAAACTAGCCTTAATCTCATCATTAAGTGCCTGTGCTGCGGGTCCGCCGCCCTCCGAACGCTGGGACAAGTAGGTGTCGTTGAAAAGGTAACCATCACCGTCCACAAGAACTAACACGAAGGGGTTGCGTTCTTGGTCTTTGGCCATCTGCTTGTACTTTTCCCGCGAGTCACGTTCCTCCTCATAGTCGCTCTTGAGTCGCTTGTAATTGTCGATTAAAACTGCATATTCCTCGAGAAGTTGGGACAGGGCGTCGTTTCTTTGGTAGGCGGCGAGCTTGGCCGCAGCCTGCTCAATTGCTTGGTCGCTAAGCATCGCAGCAGGTGTGGTTGATCGTGCATGCTAATGTGGCGGGTACGGGTTAGTCTGAACTGCATGAGCCAGGGGAACATGATCTCCGATGCATGTGGAATACTTCCATACCAAAATCGAGCGCAAAGTGAAGCGCCGGGCAAAACAATGGGGGCGGAAAGTAGTCGCAGTCACGGCTGCCCATTTGTGCGCAATTGGGAAAAAAGTACGGAACAAACAAGTGCAGAAGAATAAGGAACGAAAACCAAACCAAACGGAGCACGGGTGTTTTTTTGTCACGACCAAGCTAGGGATCAAACGGATGGGAGTGCCACACATGAAGAAGCGGTGTCCTAGGGCGAGAACAAGGAGGCCCCACCCCCCACCATGCCACGTCCCACCAATTGTTTCCCATTTGTTTGTTTGCCAAACCCCACCAGAAGCTCTCGGAGCTTAGGTACCCAACCTAAGACAAGAGAGACATTGGAAAGCCATGACCGACAAAAAGAACAGACAGGATCAATGACTTTGTGACCTCGAAGTGCTAGGATGACATGGGACAGCTGAATGGTCCATTCTTAGACAATTCCTCAAAAACTGGCACTAGATCCCTAGCTAATATCTTTCTCCATCGACCACCAGAACTGACTGTTGACCTCCAGTCCCCTTACAACCCCCCTAAAACACCCTCAACCACATCTCCCAACATCCTCAACCCATAAAACCTCGCGACATTCCCATACACCCCCAATCTCCGCAGCACCTCTCCCCTGCCCACACTTTCCTTCCACTCACCACTGCAAGTACAGTGTTCCATAAACTCATTCACCCTCAACGCACCACATCGCGCACACTTCAAGTCTTGCGTCGTCCATTGCAAGACAAGTGCCTCCACTTCCCCAAGCAACCGCTCCTCCACCTCGTTGCGGTCATACTCCGCCTCGCAATACGAACAACGCCAGCTCCAGCCCTTGTCCTCCGCATCGGCTCCGCCGCCGTTAGCAGAGGCGGGGAGTAGGTCCTCGTCGCGACAGAAATCGAGATCACGCGCCATCGTGCAGTTGTCACAGCTGACTTGTGGGAGGCGGAGAGATTCGGAGGGGTTCTGGAACGCCCCGTCGCGAGAAAACTCGCGCACATCGAAGAGGGCAAGGAGCTCTTTGCGGAGGAGCCGGGCCTCGAGAGTGATGTTCTTGTCCAGGGAAAGGACTTGCATCAAGGACTTGACGAGTTCAAGGACGGGGTTGGCGGTACTGCTGGATTTGTTGTTTTTGTCGTTGCGGCTGTGCGATAAGGCGGATTGCGGGGTGAGATGGGACAGGTGAGAGCCAGGGAGAGATGGGAAGTTGTAGTCGGCCGCGAGTTCCGGGTGAAGGAGTTCGCGTTTTTGCGTGGCGATGAGAGAAGTGATTTCCTTCTTGAGAGGCTTCTCGAAGACCTTACCAAGAATGATTTGCCCGGGGGCGTCCTCGGCCAGACCCGCGTTGCCATTCCGGATGGGGAGTTGGGTCAGTCGGGGAGTTGCGGTGGGATCGCTCCCTGTCGCTGGCCGCTTGATGCCGTGCATCAGCTCGACGAACTCGACAACCCAGTCCCGGAAGATGGGCTGGAGCCGGACGGGGAGGAACGCAGCCATCTGCCAATGCATGATAGTCTGGAGGTCTTGTTCATCCCGTTCCATCACCTGTTGGCAACCTTTGCCGCCGTAGTTGAACTCGTCGTACCACACTAGGTAGTCCCAGTATTCTTTGATCTCCAGATCGATAAAGTGGAACAGGGGCTTGCCTTTGATGCTCTTGAGAATGTACTGGGCGTACGCATACGCGTTTCCAACCTCGGATTTGGTGGTCTGCAGCAGCAGACGGTTGGGGCTTGCGAAGATCACTTGCGAGCCAACCCGCCGGAAATCCGCCATCAGCTGCAGCAGAGCCTTGCGACTCATCATCTGCACGTAGTAGTGCAGCGCTCGGTCGTAGAGACATGATGCTGGCGACTCGACCCAGCGGACGAGGTGTTGCACCATAACATCGGCCATCGTTGAGCCCTTGCAGGCTTCGGCCCACCAAGACTTAACCATCTCTCGGAGGACTTGGACGCCGGCATTGGCGAATGCATTCTCTGAGAACAATGACTCACTTCCATCCGCAGCGCCGTCACTGGCTGGGTTGAACGATATGCCGTCGGCGCCCTCTAGTTCGTTGATGAGAGAAGACGTAAGGATGGTATTGATGGCGAGGTTGCGAACTTCAAGGTCGATACAGACGGAGGCAAAGGTGCCGGGGTTGTTGACAGATGGGAGCTGGACTTGCTCCAGCGGGCCGGCCACATCGTCCTTCTCATACCCAGCGTGATCGGGCCGCGGGCTGTTAGACCACCAGAGAACAACATTGTTAGCCTGTAGCCGCCGAGCATAAGCGACATCGATCAAGAACCGAGGATCGTCACGCTCCAAGTTGCACAACGGGACGTCCCCGTATTTGGCCAGGGCAATTAGGTGGTTGATCCAAGACCCGAGACTGAGGTAGTGGTTCACCAGACGCCGAGCAACCACGGTCTGCCAACCCAGCGGGGGGAGCGAGCTGTCAGCCTGGTCGTACCGTAACGGCAGGACAGGGAATTCGCCAAGGATCGGGATATCGTGAACCAGCAGGTTGCGTTGTGATGACTGAATCACCATCATGGTCGGCCCCGACTCATCCTTTTTCATCTTTTTCACCACATCACCAACTTCGAGGAACGCCTTTCGGCGGGTCGTCACTTGTGTGACTTTGAACGCCAGCTTTTCCTGGTATGTGAAGCATTCTTGCCAGTTGGAGTCGTCACCCTCTTCCCGGCTCCGGCGTGCGAGGAAATCCAAGTACAACTTGGAGATGTTGGGCAGTTCTTGGCCACCATCCTTGCTCTTTTGTTGGATAATGATATGCGCCTGATCGCCGGTGGTGGAAAACAGACCGAAAATCTGGCGCTCGCCCGCACTGATGTGGGAGAGGTATATGTATGACATGCGTGCTCCATCCAAGTAAGGCTTTGGCTTTGCAGGCTTGGTTAAGCTGGAAAGATCGAATCCGTGGTCGAGACCTTTGCCGAGGACGCCAGGCTGGCCTTCATCAATGGTACAGTGATTGCCAAGTTGAAGAACCGCCCGAAGGTTGAGCGGGAGCTGCTTCTCGTACACACCTTCCACACTGGGGTGGTTGAACAACAACGAGAACTTCTCGGCTTCTGCAAAATAGGTCTCCTCGGGAACGCTGAGCTTAAATAGATGGACAGACGAGTGGCCGTTGGGCAGGGTATGGTAGACTTGCTCTACCTGACAACCGTTAACCTCAATATCCGGTAACTCTTTGCTTTTAAGGTTGAGGAACACCTGGCGAGGAACGTTGACCTTGACGTTGTGAATTTTGCCGTCGATCAACACATAGGCAAGGACGATGCCGGGATTGTCCGAGGCCCGAAGCTGGAGGACCTGCCAGGTGTTTCGGAAGGTAATCTCTGCTTGATTCCTGAACGTCTGCTGGATGTTCCCTTGGATGTTCTTACGCCTGTCACCAAACAAGTGTCTCCGTCGCGCGCGAGCCTGCTTTTGGAGCTTCCACTTCAATTTTTGATACTCCAAAAACTCCGGGTAGTCCTCGCTGGGAGACGGCATTTTCTTCGGCAGCGCCGCAAATGGGTCTTGGTTTTCCGCCGGTTCGGGAGACTTGCGCTTCTGCGAAGATGGGGCCTTTTGGGACGCAGAGATGGCAGAGCTGACGGTTCTGGGCTTCAGAAGCGACCCAATGTCTTCCAGATCGCCTAGACGGCTGCTATTGGGGGTAGCAATTTCTTCCAATGGACCGCCTTTCTTGGATGTCCCAAACAGATCCGTTAACTTCTTTTGCTTCATCTTGTCATCCTTGATGTTGATCCGGCGCTGAAGCCAATCTGGGTGCGGTACACGCGGCACCGGGTTCCGGACCTTTTGCAGCGCGGCCGGAATCGTGATGAGCTTTTGGATGACAGACCCTAGACGTTCAAGGTAGTAATCCCAGTCCAGGAGGGCTCGAGGGTCGGTGTCCGCGGGCTCTTCCTTCAGCCACTTCTTGAGGTACAAGCGCTTCGTTTCCTCCTCAGCGGAGAAAATGGCGACTGGCACGGCACGCTCCGTGACAGGAGCACCCTTGGGCCGCGCGCAGATGATGAACTTGCAGTTCAGACCTTTGTCTTTGACCATACCCTCGCCCAAGAAATCGGCCAAACGCTTGGCTGTTGTGATGGAGGTCGACTTTTGGCTCCCGTATTCTTCCAACGTCTTCGACATGCTGCGGTTCTCGGAAATGAGTTCCATGAGCTCCTCGTCGGCAAGTGTCGCGCCTTTGCTGTGCAACACATCAAGCCATTGGTTGGCAACTTTGGCGACAGCACCGTAGCACTCAGCCAGAGTCGTGCCCTCCAAGAAAAACTTGAAGATTTGCTGCTGGAAGATTTTAATGAGCTTCAGCTCACCCCTTCGCTTGACCTCGAAGCCTTTCAGTTCTGCCAGAGTGCCGTCATCATTGAAGACAGCGTATCTTTTCTTCAGATTTTTGTCTTCCTCTTTCGAAGTAGGGAGGACCATCGCTTTGTAAGGCCCGTCGACTTCGAAAAAGATCGAGTTGTCGCTGTGTGTCTCGTACTTGAAGGTTGTGGGGTCGACCAACGTCTGGTATTGGTGATTCGTAAATTTGGCGTGAACCAGGTGGTTCAACATGACACAAGGGTAGGAGATTGTGAACTTCTTGCCATTTTTTAGCTTGAAGGCGAAGTTTTCTGGGAAAGTCGCTGGTAACATGCACCAGATACCATCTGTGTCGAGTTCCAACGGACGGCCCAGTCGTTCCACCAGTGATCTCGCCAGCTGAATGATGGTGGCGCCTGTCAAACAGGTCACGCCAGCCATTTCCATGGAATACCACCGAGACCCCTTACGCATCACGTAGCCGTAAAAGGAGTTTAGAATGACCTTGTGTGCCAACTGCAGGGAGTCGAACAGAACAATCATCTTCTTGGCGCTCTCGACCTCCGAGGCAGCCGCACCCGAACTCTTCAACGCGTCTGTCTTGCCTTTCCAGACTTTCGCCTTGCCCTTGTAGTCATACCGACGGTCACGGAAATCTCTCACAGTGTTAATGTAGAAAGGATTCTCGCGCTGGCAAATGATGGCTTCTCGCACGATGGTCGTCGAGTCGCGAATCTTGTGGTAAACCTTTTGTGAATACAACTGCATCCGCTTCTTGGTGAGAGTGGTCTGTTCGTCGAGGCTCAGGTCCTGCCATGAGCGCACCGGACTGTTGGCGAACTTGCCTGGAAATCGTTCATTTTCCAGAGCGTGCCTGATCATGTTGTACTCGTCCCGCTTCGCCGGCAAGTATTCGCCTCTCCACGCCCACGGCATGCGCCTGTCGCAGGTCTTCCCAGGCCGGTTGAAGTCGCAAGCCGCGCAGTCTGACTCTGAGATCATGGAGTCAGGCTGCAACCGGTTGGTAGTCATGATGTTGGGATACATGGATGCCACGTCGAGATGGTAAATGAGGGGTTGTTCGTTGCGGTTTGGTGTCTCCTTGAGGTTCAGCAGCTTCGCTGCTATTTGCTGTTTCACTTCCTCGTAGTTGGTGACATCGTCCATGGACTTTTTTTCCTCGACCGTGATACTGAACGTAAGGGCAGCGTCCAGATCATGGAGTAGTTCGTCAACCGCCCCTGGATCAACAGCAAAATTCACGGGAATATCCGCCCGAAAAACGCCGGCCTCGATACTCTCGACGTGCCCGCCAACGTATGTTTCCGAGTCCAGCAGATGGCCGTCCCAGAAAGCTTCTTTTGGGGCCATGTGTTTGTTTGGGAGCACAATCTCCTTTTGATATGCCTGGACCATCAGAAGCATCTCGCAAAGCGTTCCGGTACCCTTTCGCAGAGTGTCGTCGGGCCCGAGCGGTAAGATGGTGCAGAGTGAGAAGATGAATGGGTGGACATATTTCATGTACAGGTAGTACGTCGCCACGGCGTCGGAGACGGAGTACTCGGCAAGTGTCTGTGGGCGCTCGCTGGCGTATGGCGTCATGAGTTCGGGGTCAAGCTCGTCGGGATCGTACCCGAGTTTGGCGACGGTGACAGCTTTGAGACCACGACTCCCTTGAGGAAGGTAACTGTCACGATTGACCCAATGGAAGCAGTCCATGTGCACACTGTAGTTGCATTTGTACTGATCCTCGCTGTCCTTCCTCCACCCAATCTCATGGTACATGTCTATGCCGTTGACGCTGGCACGGGCTTCCACAAATGGCCAGTCGAAGAAGTCGCCGTTGTATGTGGCAATAACGGTCGGTCGTGCCTCCTTGACGTGCAGGAAGAACCGTTCCAGAACGGCCTTTTCGTCGGGTTCATTGAAGATCATGAAAGGCCCTGGGTATTCTGGTTTTGGCGTGTAGTCAAAGTCGTCAATGTCTTCTGAGACAACCTCGCGGTTGGTGATAAGGAATCCTTGACCGTCAATCATATAAGAAATCATCATGATCTGGTCAACAGCCGCATCGGGGAACTTCAGGGGAGCTTTGCATGTCTCAATATCGAAGGCCATGACGACGGGATCTGCAGGCGCCAATCGCTCTCCGTTGCGAAGGATTGTCGTTATTCCATTCTTCGCCTCCACAAAATACCAATTACCGACTCGAATGTCTGTGGCGTGTTAGCATGGGTAGGCGTAGAACGCCATGAGCTAGTCTAACGCACCCAAGTCTATCATTACTCGTACGTGATATGGGACGTCGTATTCCCGAATGTCAACAATAAAATCGCTCGCTTCGGTTAATGCTGGGTTGTTTCGTCGATCGTCTGTCCGGGGCTCGTCATCAAAAAGATCAAAGTTACCGTTCGCTCTGTTCTCTGTGTTAGCACTGCAAAGTCTTGACGCTTGTTCGATGCACACACGTTGCGACCTCGGCATATGTGTCCATCGCATCCATGCCCTTCTTGTTCTTCTCAGCAATGGGCATGATATCCCGTCTAGCAGCCATCAAATCTTGAACATTGTGAAACCTAAGTTCGACAAACGTTCTCCGGTACCCGAGCAAGTGATTCGGCATGTTGAGATCCTCCTTCTCCACCCGCCTGAGACCCTTGACGACGCCGCCTCCGGGAACCCTCTTACACCACTCCTCCACCTCGCCCTCGTGCCCTTTGCGGCAGGCAATCACAAAGTACGGCTCATATTCCACCGTCGCCTTGAATGTCGCGCCATCCTCCTCAATGAAATAGCAGTCCAGGGCAGCCCGACCCCCGCCGCCGGGTACTCGGGGGTCATCAATTGATGTGGGCTGAATGTTCACCAGCCAGCCTTCACGTTTCTTCCCTGCATCATAACGCGCAAAACCCATGTTCTCATCGATCTGATGCGCAAGGGCAGTCCGTTCCCATTTCTCGTCCATAGACGTCGCTTCACCTCGGGCGTTGGACGTGGCCGCGAAGGTCTTCGTTCGGGGGCCATGGTAGGCAACCTTCCCGCCACGGCGGTAGCCTTGTTTTGGTCGTCGAAGGGATGTGTTGGGCATGGCCGGTTAGGGGTGGGCAGCGGTGCCCGAGGCTGCTGGAATGGGAGCAATCGTGGAGCCGAAGCCCTCGAAGCGGGCAGCAGCGGTGAAGAAACGACTACCGACAGGACACCAGTATGGAAACAGGAAGAAGGTGAATTGTTAAGAAATTAAACTCATGAAAAGCGTCGTAATTCCTCCAGTTTGCTCATGAATTCGTGAAGTGACTAAAAGGGGTTTGTGCTGGGTGTTGCAACAAACTGCTCTGAGTTGTCAAATCCCATTAAACTGCTTCCCTGCAAACGCGCTCAACGCGACTGGCCGACGCGACAACGCGACCTTCGGCGGGGCACAGTCGCAGGGGTTGAGAGCACCTTACCCTAACCCTGATTCCGGGCAAAATGCCCCGCAATAGAGGTCTTCGGCAAACAAGGGCCCAACCACGGATTGAATCCTGCGAAAAGAAACAGCAGTCAACTTCCTCTGCCCCGAAGGTACACTTGTACAATGAAAGGATCTTGTCCAGCGTAGCCAATTGCTAATGTAAAACGATGACCTAGTTTTAGCCCTTCCTTCCGTCGTGTGTTTCCTAACAGCGAGTATCCGAGACCTCCCTTGGTCTGTTTGCAGTCGCTTGTCTCTGATCAACTTTTGGGCTTCACCCGCATCTGCCATGTCAACCTCACAACCACCGACGCGGAGCGAACTTCCCGCAGATCCAAACCGATCGTGGATTCAACAACCAACTACCCCCTCCACAACCTCACCCCAACCACCACAACCACCCCCTCCCACCGAACAATCCTTAACCGACGGCTCACAACCTGCTTCGACGCGTCCCCGGCCCCGGCCCCCAACCATATCCGAAGCGGCGCAGACCATCAAGCCCGCCGACTTCCTAACCTTCCACCAAGCGCCGTGCGCTCGCACCGGCCTGTTAACAGGTATCGGTGCGGGCGCGGCCATTGGTGCTGTACGATGGATTATGGGCCTGCCCATTCCGCGCGCGGCAAACTGGGCGGTAGGCAGTGGGGTGTTGGCAGCGGTCGGACAATATGAGTACTGCCAGCTACGGCGAATGCAGGAGCGAGAGAAGGTGAAAAGGGTGGTGGAAGTACATGCGGCGAAGCGCGCAAAGGAAAAGAAGGAGGAGGATGAAAGGAAACGGGCAGTGGAAGCGGAGGGGGCGAGGAAAATAGAAGCGGAAAAGGAAAAGGGGCGAGGCTGGAGGCTTTGGTGAAATGTATAAAAGTAGGGGGTGTATGATATTGCTGTACATATGAAATGGATAAAAGTTGGACAGGCTAAGGAGAAGGAACCATGTGGACAGGCGGATGCAAGCCACCAAGAGTTCCCCGCAGACAAAGTGTTCTCGTGTTTCGACAGCTATATCCTTCAAAGGAAAAGAGAACCCGCGTTGCAACGCCAAAAATTTACAACAAAAGAGATTTGCTGCTTGATGTTCAATCCAACCCATACAGTACCCACGCGACCAGCAGCTTAACACCAATGCGCCAATCCGAATAATGGATCACCTCAAATACCATAACTGGGAAAGGCCAAGAGAAGTAGCGCGATCGATCCAAAAACAGCCGCCCATCAGTGAAAAGCCAAACGACACGACAAGACATCATCCAAAAAACGCCGGGTAACAAAGAAACGCCCAAGAACCGGAGCCCCGATCCAAGCCCGAAGCGACGCCATAACAGTCGATATATCCTAAACACCAATCAACTCCCCCACTGCCGCCGTTACAGCTGCCTCTCTTTCTAAAAATCTCACCCTCCTTCGCTCCTCCTTCGCGACCTTCTTCTTTTCAATCACGCCCGCAGCAGCCGCTCCGGTGGTCGGTCCCGGCGCAGGGCTCGCCCCGCGACGGCGCATGCTCCTCTTAGCACGGGCGTCGCGCTCCTCTCGCTTGCGATACTCCGCTAGTTGCTGGCGACGGCGCATGGTACGAGCGTAAGCGATGGCGGGGGTGGGTTTGAACCCGATACCGTTGATACCTGTGCCATCATCATCCGAGTCGTCGGGATCGTAGATGGTGATTTCGTCGTCGTGCCAAGTGAGCGATGCCCGAAGGGGGTCGACTATGTTCGACGGGGTTGTGGAAGTCTTTGTGGTGTTTAGTTTTGCGCTTAGAAATGGGGGGGTTCCGGCCCGTTTCTTAGACGATCGGTTGCGAGACTGAGAAACCGGCTCTGCGGTCACCGGTGGAGGTGTGGGTGGGGCGAGTGAGGGCGCTGTAGTGGAGGTCGTCGAGCTGTCGTTATCGTCGTCGTCATGGGTGCTGGTGTTGGCTATGGTCTCCGATTGACCAACAACTGCCTCATCCAAAGCAAGCTCGAGCGGTTTCGGGGCGATCGGGCTGGCTCTCTGAATGGAAGGGCGGCGACGGGGCAGGGATGGAAGGGCAGGCCGGCTCGGAAGGGTCTCAACATCCGCCATATGGACATCCGGAAGCTTAACCCTTTTGCGAGACGCATCTTCATTGTCGTTATCCACCGTCGCCGAGTCCATTGACATCCCAAATCCCCCGCCCCCACCTCCAAGCGCCAGCCCTCGAAACCTGTGTGCTACACGTGTGCGTGGGCTGTCGTTTCCGTCCTCGGACGGCGAATTGGGGTCAAATGTGAATATAGAGGCCGTGTTAAGCTTGAGAGCGCCATCTTCGAGCATCTCGCTACGTTTCCGCTTGGGTGTCGTGAATGGTGAGTCGGACATCCTGGCGGCTAGCTGCTGATATCCGATGCAATCAATTGCGGTGCCGAATTCAGGTACGCAGGGGAACAAAGCTCGGATCGCGGTTCAAAGAATTTCGAGGGAATGTTTCCAAAAGTTTCAAGAGACGCTGGTTAATAAAGTAAAACAAAAGCCCGAGCGGAGGGCAGGAAAACGACGCTTCTACAAAACCACTTTGTGGCCTCCGACCCGATCTTGTTTCCCGAACCTTGGGAGAATGACCGGCCAATTCGTTTGTCTCTCCGAGTGCAGCACAGTGCAGGGGCGTGCCGCATTCAGCAGGCCAATACCCATGGATCGTCAGCCCCAGATAGTGGATCGGCAGCAGTTTCCACACGGCGCGGGCCCCGCTTTCACACGTCAGATGCCCCGCCTGTACGACTTCACCCGACAGCCTCGATCTCCCATTCTCATTGTGAAGGCGGCCCTCCCATCCCAGAGCAACACGGTGAAAAGACTGCCACGTGGGATGGGCACAATTTAATCCTCGCCCAACAGCCACACAACTTCAAAGAACATGCCCAACGCGAACTATAACATGCTGAACAAAGCATTTTCACGATTCTGCAACATCGGCCCGACCCCCACCAAGGGGTAACCGGCGCCACGTCTTCCAGAAGCCTATGGGTAATGGGCTGCTGTTCTTCCACGTCTGAAACGATAATCCCACTGCCTTATCTTAGAGATTTATTTTCGCAATTTTACATCATACTCCGTGTTCCAAATTTTCCCCATAGCCAAGAACCGTTGCGCCGAGATGGCTCACCATTGGACAGGTCAGTACTCGAACGATCCTCGATTGTGCTTGCCTAAACAGCTCATCTGGCGACCTGCAGGAGCTTCCATACCACAGGCCTCGACACTGGCAAGATACTACTAAAATGAAGATACCCAACGGTCGCTTGAATGTGAAGAAAAAACGCCAGGGGCGTTGGCGGGTGTCACAAATCCATATCACCTAGAAGCCAATACGCAACTTGCCGCTTCGGCCCGGCTTCTCAAACATCAGTCCAGTCCTCACATAAGTTTCTGCGCCGTCCCTCAATCTCCCTTCGCATTAATTCAGATATTCTACTCCGATTTCACACTATGAAGATGTACCACCTTCCCAAAGTCCTCATATCATCACCTTACCTTGTTCCTTTCCTCCCTTCCTCGGCCCCCTCCCCCGACGCATTTCTCTAATTATCTGTAACCGACCCAAGCCTACAACCCACATATCTCTCATACTCTCGCTACATAGCTTATCCGCTACATCTCAAACTCAGCCTCTACATTCCCGAATCTGAAAGTCTAGTTAGAAGGCATTGGAACATCGGAGACGATGTAAGCGAAAAGGCTAACGAGTAGGCTGAGATTTTGTTCAAACAACCCCCTCAGGAGTTATAAGCAGTACAGTTACGTCTGGAGAAGCTACTGGCACTCTCCTCATCCAGTCACTTAGCACACATCTCGAACCCCACATTTTTCTCACTCAGTTAAGGAATATATGATATTTTCCCACAGCAAGGTGAGCTTTGCTTTCTAGTTCGTGAGAGCGCGGTTCAAGGTGCTACAACCCACACTTTAAAATTGTACGTTCAACGAAGAAAATGCCAAATTAAAATGTAGTAACAGATACGGCTCTGTGATGACCATTGGCGTTGTATTGTACTTATCTCGGACCGGCAAAGAATGTAACCTTTGGGTAGCCCTGGTCTTCTTTGAGACGGCGGCAACAGCATGCTTAGAAACGGGCCCCCTTTTCCCACATATCTATCAATCCTGAGTGCTGCTGAAAGTAGTGAGCCACCATTTGTTCCTTTTGTAGCAATGCGGCCCAAGCCTTTAGGTTGAGCCCGTGGAAGTTGAAAGAATGGGTCGACCCCCATCCTATCCATACGAACCAAAGTTCTAAAAGAACTCATGCCAATCTAGGACTTCCAAATGTGTTGTATATTGAATTCAAATGCAGTACCGGACCCATTATCCTCACCTTCAACGTACCCTTACAGCGGAATTGAAAGGGGTTGGTGTCAGGACAAGTCCTCAATTTTCCTTTCGGTTACACCAGAAACTACGACCACTCTTTGAGGCTAGGGGAGCCGGTTGTGAATTTCCAACAAGACGGGTCGTAAAAGTACCACTCTCAAAGGGTGTCGGTCGTGACCGGCATTGGGAAGAAATATGACTACTCGATGAACTAGAAAGTAAAGACTGTATTTTTTCTTTCTTAAACCCGAAGGGGCCCTAAAAAGGCATCCAGTGCGAGCTGCAGGTGGTGCCATATTGTGAGGGACCCACAAGATCACCATTGTTGTTGAGGATGCTATTGGAGATTTGGAGCCTTTTGCCAGACCTCTCTCGTCTACCTTACCAATCACCCCAACCTTTGCGCTCAGTCACCATATCCTCGGTGCTTGAATAAGTTAGGAATACCCGATAACCATGGCCCCCAAAGTGCTTTTTGGAAGAGCGCTTTGCCTGAAACAGTGCCGGTAGCTAAGAAATCCGGACCAAAATCACCCCGCAATGAGCTAGGGGGTTCGAGTGCGCCTTGTGCACAGCCACGACCATGTGTGTCCCTTCCGTGTTTGGCTTCGGCGTTGATTTATGTACAAGTTCATCCAAACCAAACCATGCAGTTTGAAGCCATTAACGGTGAATGAGGCTCTACAAGCGCCCGCCCTAGAGGAGAAGTCGGGCATGACACGTCAACCATGAAGCATGAGGCACAGACGGTCTTGCCGTCAAAACATACACTTCGGAACCATCTCAAAGCTAGGTTGGTTGAAGTGATGAAGGCTTCACTCAGCTCACCTCCTTCACACAAGTCTTATTCCTCCCACCACGGCACCTTCTTGTCTCCTAAAACCAAAATCTAGGGCTACGTACTAGTTGTCATAATGCCAGCACCTGGCGTGGCGTCATGCATCATCCGCTTCATTTGCGCCGTCCCCACGGGGTTGTCTGGTTTCAACAGCCTGGTAGGCTACATGGGCTCAAAAGATTTAGGCGACATTTTTGATGTGATTCCCCACGGCAGAGACTTTCTCAAGGGGATGCGCATTCTAGGCGGTGCGGTGAGCTGTTCCTGTTTCCTGTTGCTACGGCCTGACATCCTCTCTCATGAGTACATGGCCCAACTGCTGACTCAATCTTGACCTTGGAAGGGAATCGCCACATTTTCCTGGAACTTCCTCCAATTTGGAACATCTCCCTTCTGTCGCGGTTACTTACTTGCTTCGATCGGGGTGGTCGATCTCGCCCTCGTCATTCCGCTCATCATAGGAATTGCCTTGGCATCAGGGTTCCTACCTGGCGACTATGGGCCGTGCGAAACGGCGTCAAACTGGAACAATGGCACTGACGGCCGCAACTTCTTCGTTGTTGCAAAGGCGAGTGGAAACTTTTCAGAGGACGATGACGCGAACGCAATCTGCCACAAGATAGTGGAGGGCTGGATCGTGAGTATTGTGGTCGTGTAAGTGCACAGCTCGAGTCATTTCCTGCAGTTTCTCCTGGATTTGAGGGAGGAAACTCACCCCTTTTTTCAGCATCATTTACATCATATGCGGCGTTTTAAATGTTCGTTCAGGCTGCGTTGGGGAGAAAGGAACGAGGGTTGAATTTGGTTCTACCTCTCAGTATGATCTTGACGGCTTCCCATTGCTTTGGGCGGTACTTCGACTCCCGTTTCGACTCCCGTTTCGGTTCCTGTGCTTGGTCTTCCGGATTTTCCGAGGGATTTATATCTTCCCGTCCCGCTACACTATGAAATACCTGGGTAGGCAGAAGCGTGCCAACCGGACCGTGGCACATCCCAAAGGCCACGAGAGGCAACAGGACTTGGATCACAAACCAGCCCGGCACTTTTCACGTTTACGCTTACCCATGGAGTTGACGATACTGATAGTAAAGGATCTCCATTATACCGATCTTGCCAATTTGCGCCACACTTCATACCACTTCCGGGCTGTCTTTTTCGGCGACAACGATCCAATACAGACGGCTAGAGACCTCCAGGAATTCGCTTGCGCCGACGGAGGCCCTTCCATCAACTGTGAGATCTGTAAAATACAGACGTGTCAGGTACAGCCGCCCCGATGCTTGCCAGACAGTGAGACACCATCACTGACCTTTGACTAGGGCTGCCGTCATCAAGCTTTGATCCCCCGCTCCGAAGCGTTCCAGCACCTCACCGGCTGCCAAGCGGCCTGTTCTAAGTGCTTCTTCATTCACAACTGCGTCAGCCGCCCCCAGCCAGCCCGCCCAGGTCAGAGCTGGAACGGTGGTCGGAGGTTCCGAGGCGCTTCCTATGGGCTTTCAAGAGCATACAGCCCCACCGAGCCGAGCAACAGTTATGGGTCACGGCTCAGCCAAGCCGAAGATATGTCCCGCGAGGAAATATGTCACGCCTGCTTGAACCTACCGAGACAAAAACAGACTGAGATACGGGATGCGACGAATCTGGCCGAGATTCAGCGCCAGGCAAGGTTACCGATGGCGTGTTTCCGCTGCCGGAAGATGTTACCAGCAACGGGGGTTAAGTGGTGGGTGAATTCACGGACGGGGGAGGAGTGTAAGTGGTTTGGACATCCGGGGTGGACAAGAAAGAATGAGCGGGATTGTAGGCCTAAGGTCACACACGGTTAATGGTTGGCTGTGAAGCATGTGAGTGTGGGGGACAGCGGGTATTTGTTACAACTACATGCGCACTTAATTAATTACTAAAAGCAAACACCTGGTTATTCATCGTCCCAAGCGCCGTTCCCTAGCCTCCATCAATGTGAAATGTATCGACGTTTTCACGCCGTGTCCCCCCGCTTAGGCGGCCGTATGCCATCATCCTTCTGCTGATCCATTCCTCCCGTGGCCCGCCGTTCCGGGCAGTTTGCTGGATATCGGTATAGTGCTTCTATCGTCTTGTCGCTCACTGGCGGCGGGGCACCGGGTTTGAGCGTCAACTTCCCACTGGTCACCGTATTCATACTAACGATATAACCGTTATCAGCAACGGTAATCCCGTGCTTCTGCACCCGCCCATCGATATGGGTGGCCATGACAGGCCTGTTCCGTCCCTGCACTCCGAGGTACCGTCCAACTGTGGTGTGGGCTTGGGCGAGGACCGGAAGCTTTTCTCGCTGCTGGTTCTCCGGGATGCCGTCCGTTGCAAACTGCCTGATTTTGATTTCGGATTGCATGTGTCCCAGCCCAGCTTTACCATGGCCGGTTTCAACCCACATGTGTCCTGGGGCCGGAGTTGCCATGGGAACTTCGCTGGTTGCAGGTACTTTCCACGCCCTCACAGTTGCGTTGGGTTGTATCTTTTTGCCGTTGGCCTGGATTTTTTGGATGATCCGCTTTGTCTCTTCGCTACGTGCCAAATGTTGTGTTAGACCACCGTCATAAAATTGGATTTGAGCTCCGTACCTTTGACTCATGGTGCTCTGATGGGAGAAAGCCCTGCAATGGAAGGCGAGGAGTAACGATCGGTGGAGTTGTTGGGACTGCAGGTGTTCATTCGCCTGAGAACTGCTTTCGCGGATGATACATGAGGGACGGAGACAGCAAAGGGTTCATCACCGTGAGGTCGCTCATCAGTTATTAATATCCCGTCATTGCCGCCGTAGAATGGACCATGTCTACAGCCCCCATGTATTCAGGTGGCCATAAAGCTCTCGGCCCACGCTAGGGCGGTTAGCTACTGGTCGGCGTTGAACCTCAGACGTGATGAATTGTTTCAGAACTTCGCCTGAGTCGTTGGGGGCCGTGATGCAGCATCTCAACGGCGCTGAGACCTCACCGGCTTCCGCGATCTTGCGTGGATGGATATAGCCGCGCGGCATTGTTTTTACGACGTAGAAAATCATCTCTTTCCCGTTGGTATCATTCGTTGAGAGTGGCGTTGCGCATGCTTCGATTAATTACCTCGGCGCCTCCATGGTACCTTGCCTTATAGGGTCGTCGGTCAGGTAGCCCAGTATCTCGAGAATATGCAGGGGGTGACGGGCGTGTGTTTGGGTCGCGTTGGGGGATCAGTCACAATGTCCGCATAACGTACAGTGCCAACAGTGGGTGTGGGTGGCAGGGCTGAATGGGCGGCTAATAGACATGACTCCTTGCAGCCGTGGTCACCAAAGCGGTCCAAAGGTGGCTGAGCAATCAACCTCTGCTCGCCGGGCCTCTATTTCTATGCTTGCTATCCATATCTCTCATTCTTCCGATTCTCCGACACCTTCAGCTCCTACGTCCAAAAGTTTTATTTCGGCTTAATCAAGTTTTTCAGCCAAACAGAATCAACCGCACTGTCGCCTGAGATAAAGTTAAAATGGCAAATTTCAAAACACCTATACTGATTTCTGCCCTCGGCAAAAACGCGAGCTCCACCATTTCACGCCTTGCTTTTCATACTCCTTACGGTCTTGTGGTCGAGGAAACCGCCGATGGCGTTTTCGATGTTAGGCTTTCCAACCCCCCCAGCAACAGCGAACAAGCGACGAAGTCAAATCCCAGCCAGCCGGGCTACCGATATTATTTCTGGCCGGACTACCAATTAGCTTTCGTATTTTATGAACTGGACTGGGCCGGAAACCCCGAGGACGAATCGCACGTGGACGACGAGGTGTTGGAGGAACGGTATGGCAAAGTGTGGTTCCAGGCACTGGACGACTGGGTGAAGAGATACGAACAGGCTTTCGAGCGGGAAGATTGCAAACCCGACAGTCATGAAGCGCTTTTCCCGGATCCGACGGACCGCCTTGCCTGGGATCTGGACCGCGTGTTATTGGCGGCTTGGCTCGCATTGCAGCCCGGTGTGGACAGCGTGGAAGTGCAGGATGACGGTGGAAGAAAGGAGCTGCTCTTGGAAAAGGAGGGAATTGGAGAGACTTTGGGAACGTATTTGCGGGGGTTGTGAGGGCTTGGTATACACGCATAACAGGCTTTGAAGTTGTGATCACACGAGACACCGACGGTGTGTCCCTGTACCAGTCTAGAAAGTGTGTGATAATAGAGAGCTTACGGTTGAGCTTTGAAGAATACCTTAGATGGTGGTCACCAGAAATGACCAGCGGCTACCATTGAGTTTGGCGTCTCGTCTCATGTGAGTGTCCAGTTCCAGGCCATTTAGTGAAGCGTCAGTGGTTTAGTGGTAAAATCCATCGTTGCCATCGATGGGCCCCGCGTTCGATTCGCGGCTGACGCACTCTTTTTCTTTCTCCTTTGAACCATTGCATTCCCATTAACAGGTATTATCCATCATTACTTCATCGACGCCTCCCCGGCATAACAGTCCCCCACATATCCTTCTTCTGCATCGCCGGTTGCCAATACTGCGTGTCGGACTCCCACCAACCTTTATCAATCATAGAGGCATTCCGACAGTTCGGTCTCTCGTGCGACTCCTTGTCGCCAAGCGGCCACAACGGGGCCCAGCAGACTTCGTCCAGCCCACATGCTGGGCATTTCTTCCACTTAGTCCACTTCAGCCTGTTCATAAGCTGTTGGATGATTTGTTGGGCTCTGGCAACAGAAGTGTCGTTTGCTGCGGGGTCCTCGGCGAACAAGTTGCGAGCCTCAAATAAAGTCGAGCAGATATCTCGTGCAACTGTCTCAACAGCCGTGAGAATCAAGCCATCTTCCAGCGTCTGTGGCGAGGCAGCAAGGGTGTAGAAACTAGAACACCTGTCGATAGCCGCCTCCGAGCGTGTTTCTGTGTCCTGTATGGAATAGTCAATGTGCGTATTCAACGCCCCATTCAACTCAATCCGCATCGTCTCCGCATCGTGCACCCCTTCCGCCATGTACCTCAACCTGTCCGCGTACCGACTAACCACCATATCCACCACCCCCTGCCAGTCGACCGCACCCACGTTATTACCCCCAGTCCCCTTCCCCCCAGTCCTCTCCCTAACAACCTCCTCCACCCTCCCCCGAATCGCCCTCAACTCCTTCCCCCCAACACCTACCAACCTCGGCAACCCACCACTCCCCCTCAAATCCAACCCCTCCCAAAACCACGCCGACACCATACTCCCCCAATCCACCCTCACCCCCCCGGCCCCCACCCCCCCAAACCTCTGCCCAACCGCCCTTACCAACCCAAACATCCACCCCTTCCTCCCACCATCCACATCCACCTCCGACTCCAGCCCCCCATCAACCTCCGGCCGTCGCATCCCCTTCCCACTAACCATCTCCATCTCCTGGGCAAAATCACATTTAATGACCTCGAATCCGGCTTCCATACGCAGAATGCCTTGGAGCCCCCAGGGAGTGACGATGTCGCAGAGGTCGAAGGCGCGTGGGTATTCGTCCCAGATGGAGGAGTTGGGACTGAGGCGGAGGAGGATGTCCTGGGTGTCGAGGGTGCCCATGTCCGTGCTGCCGGCGGAGGTGCCGTCGAGGTAGAGGAGGGGGATGGGGGAGGTGGTGAGGTAGCTGAAGAGGTAGCCGTGGGAGTCGTCGGTTGTTGGTTTTGGTGGTTGGTGTTGAGAGGAGATGGGTTGCTGTTGTTGTTGTTCTGGTTGTTGGTCGAAAAGGAGGCTTGGGGTGTGCGCCGGACGTGGATGGGCTAAGAGTTCGGCATGTTCGACTTCAAAGGCGAGCCATTCTGGTCCTTTAGGGCCTTGTGGCTGGCGCGTGCCGTGGTGGAGGAGGACGCCGGGTGGGATGGTCACGACAAAGGAGGACATGCCGTTGTGGTTGAGAGAGGATCCCCACTGGCGCATGGCTGAGTGGATCGCGTTGAAGATGTCGTAGGCGTTTCGTCGGGCGGCATCGTGGCTTGGTCGGAAGGCGTTGTTGGGTGTGGGTGTGGCGGAGGAGAGTGTTGCGAGGGCTACTAGGCCGGCGCCTGTGAGTCGCGCAAGTGATGCCATTGTGACGGGGATCGGCTGGGTCCCTCCAATAGCGCCAAACTAGGTCGTGTTCACTAACTTTGGTTATGGAGATAATTTCGAAGGGAGAACGCTGGTTCTATCGTTAAGTATATCCCACAGGCGGTGTGCCTCGACACGCTGGCACGGTATGAGAAGAACAGGACACGAGTAGGAGTAAATCCCGAGAAATGAAAGCGGAGATAAACATTTTGAACCCATCGAACCATCGCCAAGCTGACAAGACCACCACCTGCTGTGCCAAGGATCGCCGGTGCATATCACAGCGATCATGGTGATCCATTCGTGGGGCCGGTCTGGGTGGTCAAGGTTCGTGAGGCGAAACCGGGGTCTTTCAGCCCCTCCTCGGTGGTCTGCCGATCGTTCATGGTTTTCCTGAATGTGACCAGGTGCAGACTTGTTGTTCTCTTTTCATTGGTCCCACGACGCTGAAATGCAGCTATCGCGGAGGAACACTGCATGTTCAGGTGGTCAAAAGCGCGAATCACCGTCCCATCGTCCGAAAGAAGGAAAGCGTAGGTACTCGGATATGCGTACCGATGTGGGTTCTGTAACAGATTGAAGGCCCAGAACAAGAGTTGTTGGCACAAATACCTGTTCATGAAGAAATTCATTGGAAAAAGTCGTTGTGGAAATATTGCCAACTCTTGGTTATCTGCGCTACCGAATCCGAAAGATCTCATCCGGTCCCCTCTCTGCCCCTGTAAGCGCTTCCCCATTCATCGCCCCATACACATACGCATCCCCCACAAACTCCATCGTCCCATCCCGCCTCTGCCGCAACACATACGGCACCGTACTCCCATAAAACACACAAACCACATCCCCTTCCTTGACCCCAGGACACCCAAGCCCCAACAATCCAGTACTTGTCGCGATATAAGGCCGACCCGAACACATGTTCTTCATACCAGACGTAAATTCCAACAAGAGAGCATACTCTTCCAAGGGCAACTGCTTCCGCCACATGCGCAACGCCTGGTCCGCAAACCGCTCCGCGCCGTCAGGCAGGCCCTGGAAGCGTTCCGGCAGCGGGGCATCTCCGGACTGGATCTGTCGGAGTGCTTCGCCGCGGAGTCGACAGCCCATCCAGAAAGTGTGGTATGCATCCAGGGCGCGGCCGCGCATGGGCATGGGCGCGGGTTCGGAGGGAGCGAATTGTTGCTGCAGTGATGTTGTTCTTGGTGCCGCAAGTAGGATGTTAACGTGCAGCCGGGGAAACTGTTCCGGGCCGAGACCAAAGATCTTTTGACACAGCCGCATGCAGTTCTGTTCCCACTCGCGTGCGGCATCCCCGTACACGTCGTTGTGTTTTGTGTTTTGCGTTGCTTCGGTGAAGGCGGTTTGGGGGATGATTTCCGTGATGGTGTCGATGCGACAGCCGTGTGCGGTGAGCTCGTCTTCGGTGATGGTGCGCTGGACAAGGTGGCGCGTGGCGGGGGTGATGCCGGCTGAGAAGCGTCCTGGCGTGGCTAGCTCGGAGGCGAAAGGGGCCGGGGAGTTGAAGTTGGGGACCCAAGAGGGAAGCCCATCGGGGTGGTCCTTAGATGGGGCGGACGAGAGGAAGTACCACTCTGGGTCGTTTTCGAGCATGGTTTTGGCGAATTGAGCGTAGAGGTGCCACATGTTGTGACTGGGCTGTGAAACTTGGAGGTTGGCCATGCGCTCCCGGATGTGTCGAGGGGCGACACCCATGATGGCGTGGACGCGGTCCGGTGCCATGGTGACTTGTCGTGTGCGGGCCTCAGCCACAAGAGACCGGAATGCCCCCATGCTGAGGCCCTGCATGATCTGTTCAAGGGGGGCGTCTCCTAAACGGAGTGCGGAGAGGTTTACTACGCCGATAAGCGCGTTGGTCATCTCGTCTTCCGAGGCCCCTGGGAGTTGGATCAGATCCAAAGAACCGTAAGTCAGAATTTGAGACGCCAGTTCCACCAGCAGGCCAAAGTCCACCTCCCGATAGCCACACATGACTACCAGCTCCCTCGCCAGGAGCGCCTCTTGGACAGTCCATAACCTCTTGAACCACGGCCTCATGAATAGATGGCCATACAATTGCCCATGATCCGTGTTGATCAACGCTGGGACATCTTCTGGCACATCCTCCCGTGTCTCTGTAGCTTGATTTAACGCAACCACCTCCCGCAGCATCTGCGGCATCTTCTCCAGCGCAACATCACTCCCATTCGACGTCGGGCCTAGCCAGATAAACACCTTGGTTGCCTTGGAGTAGATCTCCCCCATCCGGTACATCTGGTCCAGTTTCTCCGCGCCATCCGCTTGGTTGATGCAAATTTGGTCGATCCACAACAACTCCCTAGATCCGGTCGCATTCTGCGACGCCTGCACCTGGTTCAGCACTTCCAGCACCGTCTCGGAAATACTGAAACTTTGCCGATCCAAGAACATCCCGCGCCTCGCACTTGTTGGATCCCAGCAGTATGATACCGCAATGTACGGTGGCGGATGGCTAAGAGGATGCGATTCCAGGTAAGCCAAGGGATGTGCTCCCAAGCCACCAAGGCGAAGGAACCGCGCATGGCCGGTCGGAAGTGGTTGGTAGCGGTGCGTGGTGGGCAAGTCAAGCGGGATGTGCGCGAGTTCGGTGTTGCCTTCGATATCCCGCCGCTCATGAGTCTCAGACACGATATCGCGAGATTGGCCGGGTACGAGGCGCGCGTTGCCCATGGATAGTGAGTCGATCCGGATGTTGTCAGGAACTGCCCCGAGCTTTTGGGCCATCTCGGCAATGATCGATTCATGATAATCTGGCGGCATGCCCGCGAGACCGGCGCAAGCATAAGTGCAGACATGCCAACCTGGAGGTGTTACTTGTGGGACAAACGGCGCTTCATTTGGTCCTGCTGTTGTTGAACTTGTTGGAGGTGAAGGGTTGCGAGTCGGCGAGGACTGGCCATTGTTCTCCTTGTTTTCTTTACGGTGACGGCGAAAAAAGCGGCGCATTTTCTTTCAAAATTGAGTTTCAATGTGGGATGCCAAAATCAGATGCGATTGCGCCTTGGTCTTAGTTGTCTGCAGGATGCGGGGTATAAAAGAAATGAGTTTTTCTTCGACTAGACCAAGCTTAACGATACCGGGACGACGATCCCGCGCTGTCATTTGACAGCCTCAAACTTGGCTGCGTTCAGCCCTCCACTGATTTGATGCTCTGGGCCTGCAGCCTCAATTCCGCCTCGTTGAATTCGTCATCCTCGGTCGGCAGCTCCATGTAAAACGTGGACATCTGCGCAGCCGCGACTTCGACTTCCCCTTCCGACTGCAATTCAAGGATGTGCCCACCACGTTGTCTGTCGTCTGTAATGAAATGGAAATGGTCCCCGGCCACATTGACCCCCATGACATATTGGGGGCATCGGAACCCAACGATGGTACCCGTCACATTCTCAAACGTGTGCGTTGTCTGCCGTGAGCACACGTCCACCATCCCCTCCCGCGGCCGGATTTGGCCACCTGCAGTTCTCACCACAATCTTCCGAAACACACCGTCCAACCTCACGGCCAAAAAGTGATTCCGTGCCTTGGGAAAAAGTCCCGTCAAAATGTCCTCAAATGCTTTTTTACTCGAGATCGTATCTTTCGATGTAACCTCAGGTTGAAATCGGGTAACGGTCGCAAAAGGCGTCACCGTTTCTTCTGGGTCGATGCGCAGAACCGACCCATCGCCTTTCATCTGGTAGACCTCGCCATCGAGCACAATCATTTCGCCGTTCATGTTGCGGAAGGTGCCCAACCCGTGGTTGCCATGTTCGAGAACGCGGGAGATCGGCGTGCCGTGTGATGCGACACCGTCCACGAGGGCAGATATGATGGAGTATTGGTAGACTTCGTTGTCGGCCATTGCGATTGTTGTAATTTTGGGGTAAAAAAAGACTGTAAAATGAAGATTGGTGATGTGTGAAGGAGTCAAAGGGACGCTGTTGAAGATATCAGGACTTGGGCATCCGGGATTGGTCGTCGCTTAATCAGCTTGCAGGCCCCTCTTTGCAAACACCGTCCTGTCGCGTCTCCTCGGCATCACCAAATCGGAATACGAGAGTAATCGGGGACAACTAAACATGTTTTTCTTGCCATTAATTATGTTTTTTATCACGAGGGCAACGGCGATCCTGTAACGCGAAAGAAATGTCTTGGACGTGGCAAGCTACTAACGGTCCAAGACCACAACATCAAACGGACGGTCGAGGTTTCCGTTCGAGATGTTTCTCCTGCCATGTTTATATTGGATAGGGGGTATATTCACACCGGATGCTAATGCACACCGCTACCGCTTCAGGAATCCGGACGCCCTTCGCAAACCTTCTCAATCCAAGTCCATTTCTTGCCTCATCATCGGCATGATCTCCGAACCGCCCCAAATACTCTTCCTTAGACCGTACTCATTTCCGTGGTAAATCCCCAAATACGTGTATGCATCACACTTGTACGTGATTTCCCTCGACATATCCGCTGGGACAAGACCCAAATTCACCAACCCAAACAATACCCTTCCAACATCTGCAACATCCGTAAAGTCCACAGTATATACGCATATCAGACGCGTTGGATTTTGTCCTATCCCCGCAGTCGCCACTTTCGCTCCGGTGCCCAATTGTCCAGCCTCAACCCCTTCACATACCGTCCGCCACACTTCATTGACCTCCTTCTCATGGGGGAAGAGCATCCACTTTGCTTGTCAGCCCTTGGACGGATTCAAACAGAGTGCTGTAGCTAGGTATTTACCTTTCCACTAGTAACTCCCGAGTCTTTCGCAACCTCCATGATCCGTTTCCGCAACCTCTCTCGTAACTCTTCCATAAGCTTCGTCGTAGCCATATTCCCACGATCTTGAGGAGTCGACGTTTCCACTTTCGCTGCAGCCTCTCGAAACCCCGCTAACAATTCCCCACCATCACGGAGGAAAGCATCCAAATCGGGTGGGCTCTTTCGATCTTGAGGCGTGAGATGAGGGTTGGTGATCCACAGCCATGGTGGGAGAAGATGTGATGGGGTGGCCGAGGCAAGGTCTCGTGGCGGTAGGCGCTGGAGGAAGTGATAGAGGGGTTCGTTTGGTTCGCGGGTGAAGGATATGTTTGCGGTGGTTTGAATGTCGGTGCTGTAATGGCATTTATCCATTTCTTCTTTGTGGCCTGTGGAAGCCCGGAGATCGATGCTTCGTTGTCTTGGAGGCGGATTTAGTGGCTCGCCCGCCCAGGCAGAAGTGTCTTTCTGCTTGAAGCCTCAGCTGATTGGTGGGTTTCGGCCCTCAGTATGCGTGCCTATTGTGCTGCTAATTGAAACCCCACTTCGTTTGACTGCCCTTTGACAGGTCTCTTAAATCAGTCAAGGAGTGTTGGAAGATATCCATGATGTGGTGGTGGTGCAGTAGCAAGACCCGAACTCTTCGACTAACCCAATCACCCAAACAGGTTGATGACTCCTGGTTTAGCTATCGATGCCGGAGGACCTAGGTAGCGAGGTACCTTACCTAATTATGCATCCAATGATTCCCTGGACACGGGTGTCGCTCGATCCTTCCACGGCTCATGCAGTAGGCCTCTGTGCATCGGGCAAGTCGTACAAATCAGACGCGGACATTGAATCACTTGCCGACAACATAAGCCCCTCATTTAACAGCTACGAGCTCGTCGGAGTATCCGAACGACCCTGCCATCACTTTTCCGTCATCCTCGTTTCGCTCTACAAACCAGGTTGGCCACACGGGCCCGGATTGCACAGCACGTAGAATCAGCGACATCATGGATCTCTCAGATGCGTTTCTCGAATGCCTTTGCGGGACCAGCAGGCACAACCAGGTCCTCAACGTGAATAGCTACCGCCTGATCACTGAAAAGCCCCCTCTCGAACCATCTCCCACTGCCACTCTCTCTTCGGCCCCCTCTCAAGACAAAAATGCCATTCTTGCTAGCCAAATAATCGACATCATCCGGACGGCCTCCCGGTCCTCGCCCAAAACCGACCATCCCAGCCGCGACATCACCCACGACCTCACCCCCCTCATCGAAGACACCACCCCAATCCGCGCGGAGGACTGGACGTCCTACCTCACCGAACGCGTCCTCCGCGCGCTCGAGGAAACCATCAAACACGTTGCCGAAGAGCAGGACACGTGGGGCGAAGCCCTGCGCGACGCATACGGGTATGCCGTGGAAGCTGTTCAGGCTGAGCTCACCGCGCTGTGGGAGCATACTAAGGAGCACCCGTACGAGACAGTTGTTATGGTTCTCCTGACAGTGTTAGCGCTGGGCGTGCTGGCTCGGCTGGTGCCTGTGTTTGTGAGGGTGCTGGGGTTTGCGAAGGAGGGGCCTTTGGAGGGTGAGTGTTTTGTTTCCAGTCCTAGTGACCTGTGGTGCTGTGCAATTGCTAATGGTTACGATACCAGGGTCATTCGCGGCCTGCTGGCAGAGCTTATATAAGGGACATGTACCAAAGGGATCACTATGGTCCTTTCTGCAGCGCATGGGAATGACTTGGGATTAATGGAAGACTGCAGTGGAGATAGGAGACGGATGCAAGAAAATAGCACACGTCTCAGCCCACCCAGGGTGACTTGAATACATAACTATCGTCCACGCTGGTGGCTAGATTCATTTAATACCACCAACGGCTTGGCCGCTCGGGCCTCCAGCAACAGCATTCTATCCACCAACTTCTGAGTGAGCGCGCGTTGTTGACGTAGGTCCTTCTCGAATCTATCCACCGCCCAGATCACCGTTTTCTCCAAAATCCTCATCCTCTCTCTCATCCCTATGGTGATGATGGGCGGGTTCCGTTTCTCCGCGCGGGGCTTCGCCTTGTTGCCCTTTAAACACAATTAGGTTAGCTTTAAACGAACTCGAGCTCAATATTACCGTCATGAATGAACCCCACGAACCTTATTCTGGGACGGCGTGGCTTGGTTGGTATTGTCACCGATATCTTGTCTGCTTCCACCGGTCCCTGCTCGTTCTTTGGCACCGCGACGGTGCTGTTTTCTGCCGCAAGTCTGGCCTGGTTGCGCTTCCGCTGCTGTTTGCGTTTGTTTGCTTTATAACTGAGCTTCTTCGCCGGTTTCGTCGCCATCTTGTTTTGGACGAGGCTCGTTGCTTGGGAGGGAGGAGACTCAACAATATTCGTCGTGGTTGCGGCCGGTGACTTCCTAACGGGGAGGAAAGAAGGATATGAACAGTGGCATGACAGAACTAAAGAGGATATTAGGAAATAAACAACAGTCTGCCTACCTACCTATTGAACCAAGGGTGAGATGTGATAATAGTTATTGTAGAGCCCCACCTTCCTAATCAGGAAGTGTAGACAGCTTATACAACACGGCTGTGTCATGATGTAGTTCCGGAAAGCATCAGTGACATATATCTGTGTTCTATTAAATCCGTTTGCACTGGGATCTCTCACTGTTTGTGCGGGTTGCTACCTATCCTGTCCAGAGACTTTGTACACTTGATTTGTGGCGAGACAGTGCATTTACGGCGCGCGGGCCGTGGATTTTTCGCGCTTCACAACCCCCAAATCGGGCGGGCAAGAACGCGCTCGATTTCTGATATCACGCGCCGCCGACCATGAAAATTCTCTATTCTTCCCATTTGGGACTTATTCATAACTATTCAGGTTCTATTGTTCCCAATTAATCCTATTGTATGCCAAATCAGCGCACTCCGGAACCCCACTCCTGGCCGAGTATAAATTCCTCCCCATCCTTCCACCCACAACCTTTTCTCTTCTTCCCACAACAACTTCTTCTCTCCCTCCCACACTAACTTCTGCTCTTCTTCACACAGCAACTTCCATTCACAACCCAAACTACCAACCACTTTTAGCCAAGATGCCCTACTACAACCACAATCAACGTCGACAATACCAAGCTGCGCAGGCGGCGGCTCAGGCAGAGTCGGAGCACACCGCTGGAGGCCCGGTAAGTCACTTTGTCCATTTTCCTTTTTCTATATTCTGTTCTTCCCTTTTCTTTCACCATTTTTTTCTTTTCTCTTTTCCCTACTCCCCCCACCCATATTATCGCTAATGTTTACTGAATAAAATACAGGAAGAAAACATCATGGACATTGACGATAACCAAGCCACCGATCATACTGGTGACGGTTCCGCTCTCGCTGCCACGACAAGTCCATGGATCTTTCATGCTCCAGACCCAGGACGTCTTCATACACATTTGTCCTTCCGTACCCCATTCATCACACACCTTCGTTCTTGGTATCGTTGCTGCCGGTACAATCTTCTGGGCATGGACCGCAGCTTGCTTGTAAATACCAAGAAATCGCACCCTTTTCCCGCCACCCGATCTAGACCCATGCGCTGGACCGATCGGTGGGACGATTTTTGCGTGAAGAGCTGGCTGGCGGGGGCGTAAGGCAAGGGAAACCTCCCGAGCGTCCGGTTCTAAAGGCCGTGAATCTTCTGATTCATTGTTTGTCTCAACGGAGCCACCCGTCAGTTGCCCATTTGAAGAGTCTCCAAGCCACCTCACGGTGCGGGTCGGTAACCGTTGCTTGGCCGCGCGGTTGCATGGGCAGACCGTCCGACTCTGAAGAACCTTCTGGTTTAACAGTTGTCTGTTGGAGATGCAGCTTTCCGACGTTTCCCTGGTTTTTATCTTTTCTTTGACTTACTCAGCTTTGTTCGCCCATTGGTGACTCGACTTAAGGCTGCAGACGGTACCACAGAAGTCGTATCCAACAACCCTGCTGCACCCTTCAGCATGGAAATCCTTGAGCAGGCCCGCGCAAGCGTCGTTCACAAATTTTCCGCAGGTGGCACGCTTCCGCAGCTCCCTAATGAATATCAAGACGTGGAAAGCCTCCTGGAGATGGCCATGAGCGAGCAAGCGTCCGCGCAGGACACCTTGGTCCTCGCCATCGCTGCGCTCAGGCGCCTGCATCGTTATGTCGAGACAAGCTGGGATCACGCCTTCGAGGGCCAACGCGAAAGCAACAAGTTTCACTTAACGCAGTGGGAGCATATGCGGCAGTTGTATCAGCGTATCCGCTCCATCGAGCACAAGGTGAACAATGAGGGAACGGGACCCAGCTCGGCCGCGGACGCGAGTCCCGGTACTGACAGCAGCCACACTGTCTTCAATGTCCCCAACTATCGCTACGAGATGTTGGAGCAGAAGGTTGCCCAACACGACGAGGTTATCCAAGCCGTCCGCCGCGAAGGGCACAACGCCAACCCCAGTGGCGACGTCATGGACCGCGCCGTGGCGCGCATGAAGCACGTCAGTGAGGTCCAGGCACAGGACGCCATGCGGGAGTTTGCCCGCGCCGACGCGGCGCGGGCCGCTCAGGTCGACGGCTTCGCCGACCAGCTCGAGGAACAATTACCAGTCCTCAAACATTGCTCCGAACTTCTTCCTCGGTTGACTGAGTGACTGACTTTATTCATTTGTGTAGTTTACTTCCCGAGTCAGGGAGCTTGACCTCCCTGACATGGAGTAAAGTTTTTACGCGTTGTTAAAGGACCGGGCAAATCGTTATGTAATTTTTAGGCGTTTAGTGGGAATGATACCCGAGGTGGCTCGCCGGTTTGCGTCTCACAATTGTGGTGGAAGACTTGGTCGGGAAGCCCAATCTCGCCGGAATTCTTCCGGTTGCTGGCGTTTGGTTTTGTCATTGAAATAAACTCAGACTTTTTTCTTCGGGTCCCCCTCCATACTTTTATCGACGAAGCAATGTCTCAACTTTCTTCTCAAGGTCCCGCACCTCCCCCAACAGTATCCGTCCAAACTCCATTACCCTGGTGACATCATTCTTGTATTGGTCCTCCAGCGTAGCCATTCGCTCCTCCATGCGCCGGATAGTTTCCTCCATTTCGCGAACCATGGTTGAAAGACTAGGCTGAGAAACTGATTTCCATGTTAGTAATTGTGTATGTTGGTCTGAAAGGTTTGGTTCTTACCTCCATCTCGGAATCGGCATTTTGCCCGTCACCGGGGAGATCTGGGACGGCGGGCGCGGCGACTGCGGCGGCCGCAATGGCTTGTCGGCGAGCTTTTCGCCTCAAACGGGACTTGACACGACGCCGCTCTTGGTAGTTGCTGCTACCCATTTTGTTTTTTTTAAGATAGGGAGGGTGGGAAGGTGGGTTGTGTGGGTTGTGTGGATGGTTCTTAAAATTGGGAAAGACGAGGAGGCTTTTGAAGTAGGTAAGGTGTCTTAAACAAACAATATCAGCAATACAATTCTAGTGGCCCAGACAAAATATATAATTATTCTACTAAACATCCCCTGCCCTCTAATTATTTACCTAGTTGCTCAAGGACCTACCTAATTCGAGAGAAGCGTTCCTCAACGTTAGCGCTTATAACATTCTATGTAGAACGAACATTTCTTTGTCTTTGACGTTGTCTGTGATCAGTGATGATGGTAATCAGTTCGGGGCTGCTTTTACATAAGGAGCTTTCGTAGGGTTGCCTTCTTGAATGTTAATTCCAAGGTAATTATAATTAATATCTCCGAGATAATCACCATAACTCCGACCCCATCAACCCACCATTCGGTGTCATGTACCTCCTAGTTCAGATAGAATTGTCTGTTTTTATTCTGATAATCATGAAATCAAGGCCAAGCTCTCGATGGATTTCTTTGAAGACGTGACCCAATCCAGGTGGCTTCGTTGACCTTCTCGACCAAAATTCCGAGCCTTCCTTCCACCTCCCAACGCGTCCGAATTTTCGCGTTTCGAGATTCCGATTTTACAGCACGCCTATTTAGTCCTATTGTTGCCTTGAATTGGGAACACTTATACTTTTAATCAGTGAACTATTATTCTGGCCCTACCTTAACTAGAAAGGTATTTAATCCCCCCTCCTCCCAGAAATCTCCTCCCACCTTTCTCTTCACGCTTTTCCCCCTCGGCACCCTTTTTTTTTCGTCACGGTTTTCTCTCTCTTCAAAAACTTTCCCTTTCACTCAACCCCAGGACAGATATTCCAAAGTAAGTATTCATAATTCTTCCTTCTCCCATCCATCGAGAACTAGGGCTTTTATTCATCAAACTTAAGCTCACATTCCTTCCTGGTCTTTTCGCTAAAAAAACACACAGAAACAAATAAAATGCCCTACCGTAAACTGGCCGAACGGCGCGCACGCAAAGCCGCCCGGGCAGCCCAAGCCCGCTCATCGCTGCCGTCAAACACCACCCCTGGCGGTGGTGTTGCCGCGGGCGCCCAAGTAAGTTTGCAGTCTACCTGCCCTCTTGACCTCTCGAAGAACCTAAAAATGATGGTAGAAAAGCTCGCCGGGATGGAAATGGAGGACGCGCCCCCCTCCAATGCGCTTGCGGTAAGCCATCGATCACTTCAATGTTCCAGGCCCCGGAACTGCTCCCACACACAACCTCCAATATCCCCCTACCTCCCCTCTCACCTCCTCCCTATCCCATCCCTCACCTCCTTCCTACCCCGTTCCTCACATTTTCCTCTCCCTGCACCTGTATGTCCCACCACAACATCTCTGGACAAATCTAAAGTCCGCCTACATCCTGGCAACGAATCGGTCATTCCTGTCTTCCATTCCGGACATATGCGCTAGATTGGGTGGACGGGGCTATTCACGTCAGCGGGACTGCACGAGCGGCGAGCCTGTTAGGCATGCCTGGCATTCGGAATCCGTCCGGTTTCTGAGTTGCCTGCGCCCGTCCAATAGAGACACCAGCAACCTTACCATCATCTATCTTCTCGGTCGTTGCGTGGCTGCGCGGCGGGGAAGTCGTGTGACGTATCGGCGGCTCTGGAAGACTCAGTTGATGACCCTCGCTGCTTAGCAGCGTTCGTCCTCGGCTTTTTTATCTGGATGCCTCGGTTGGATGGTGCGGCAATACATCGCAGTTTTCGGTTTTCCTCGACTTACTCAGCTTTGATTCATCTTTGCTGACTGGACTTAGCCCGCAGAAAATACCGAGCTAGAGAGCGACTCCTTCGACATGTCTCTCGTCAGCGAGGCGTTCGGGGCTGCGATGGTCACTTCCTCCGAGAAGAACCTCCGCGACCTGCTGCGGGCTGTCAACTTTAACGTTTTAAAGCTCGCCAACGTTGCTTTGAGAATCAACAACTCGCCCGAGTCGGTGGCTTTCCTCCTGGGCACCGCACTCATGATGGCGGATGAAAAGGCTGCCGAAGCTGGCGCCACGGCAGAGAGGGCGGAGGGTACGGCCGCCGCGGCTCGTCAAGAGGCTAACACGGCCCAAGCCAACTTTGACGAGTTGCGGCAAGCCCTACACCAACAAACCCAGGCGATGGTTACGCAGACTAGCCATATTGCCGAACTGAAGCACCGCGTCGAGGAATTGGCCCAGATCAAATGTCAAATTATTGTATTGTACAATGAGACCGACATGATCAGCAAACAGCATAAGATGAAAAGCTGGCGTCTGGGTTCGCCCGCATATAGTCGAGCGCTATCGTTGCCAACTCCTTTTTGGAGACCTTCCCGCTCCCTGTTATCGGCCAGGCATCTAGCCCAAGTTGTTTCAGTGTCAGGATGGCACCCATGTTGTAGTTGGCACCAATTTTGTGTGTAAAATGCTCTTTCATATCGCCTTCTGTGACACCATCGGGGAAGCGGTCGATGATGGGGTAAGGAACCATGCCATGAATAGGTGATGGGAGTCCGATGACTTGGATCTGTTGGTATTGTCAGCACCTGTTACGCGTTAAAAAGGGACAAATGAGCAAAAGACCAACCTCGACGGGAAACGCGGCACTTAAGACAGCCTCAATCATTGACGGCTGGATGATACCTGTGACGTGTCTGATCTGGTCCTTCTTGCGACCGACGATATACACCCACCCGTCATCGTCAATAGTAGCCAAATCGCCGGTCCGAATCCAGGGGAGACCCTCTTCTTCATAAAAGGTATCCCGATTCACCTTCTCGTCCACCGACCCCATTAGAAGGTACCTCCCACATACTGCATGGTGCCCCAGATGCAATTCCCCAACTTGACCGCGCGGAATCACCGTCCCTTGTTCATCCACAATCTTGACTCGTCCTCCAGGCGTCACCGTCCCCACGGAAAGTACGCCAGAATGAGTTGGAATCCGCAGAGGTACCCCCTTGGGCCAACCCACCGCGCCAAATACCTCCGACATGCCAAATGCCGGGATGACAGTTGCGGTGGGAACCACGGCATGTGCCATGGCCAAAAACTCCTCCGACATGATCTCCCCGCCCAGCGCTACTAGCCGTAACGACGCCAGCTTTTCCAGCGAATATTCCGAACACGCTTTGAGGTGGCTTAGCTGTATGCGCATCATGCCGACACTCGTGGCCCGGCAGATCTCGATCGCCTTGACCACCGCGTTCCATGAGAAGTGGGTGCAAGCAACCACGACCGTGCCGGCCATAGCCCAGGCGATGTAAGGGAGGCTGGACGCCATGGCGGCAAAGTTAGCGCCAAGCGCAACGGAGACAAAGTTTTCGTCTATGCGGGCGCCAGCAATCGGACCGCTGGCAGTCAGGTTGCGAACGGTTTTGAGGACGCCCTTGGGGGTCCCAGAGGAGCCGCTGGTGAAGTAGATTTGGGCAATACGATCGGGCGAATCAGTGGCATCGACAGTGGCAGCATCGACGGTGCTTTCGCTCTCGGTAAACTCCATCTCGGCGATGTCGAGGAGGCTCACCCACCCGTCCCGGGGTTTGCTCAACCGAGACAGGCAGATGCCGAGGAACGGCGTGGGCTGGTTGGCATCTGCTGCTTCTGCCCTAAGTTCGTCCGCAAGCTGAACCGCCGCTTCGTCCTCGACAGCCACTACGGTGGGTTTCAACGCAAAACACATGCGCAGCTCCTCCTGTTGATGTGTCGTCCGAAGCATCTGCGGCAATTGGTTGAGCACGCCCAAACACTGGACCGCCGCGGCCCAAACCAACAATGCCCAGTCCGCGCTGTGAGGGACAAAGTTGAGCAACAACGACTGTGGTGGGACGTGATGCCGAGCCATAACCGTAGCGAGACGGGCACCGCCGCGACCCAACTGCGCGTAGGACCACGTTAGGAGTTCATCCGGGCCGCGGCTGGCCGGTGTCTGGACAGGTCCTCGCCCAACTAGGCGTGCGAGGTGGTTGGGCGATTGTTGAACGGAAATGAGGGCGGCGCGATCCGGGTTGACATCGGTGCCGCTTTGCAGAACCGACCAAACGGAGCTTTTATAGGGGAACTGCGGACCGCCATTGAGATAGGATAGGCTTTCCTTGGTCTCTGCCATCTTGGCGGTGCGTCGATTTGTCACAAAGTTGCGCGTGTAGCTGAACCTCAGCTCGAATTGGTCCCTTCATCAAGGCATCAATCAACCTGCGGTGGGACGGCTCAATTTATACAGCAAGAAAAGGCGATGCGGTACCCTTCAGCGCTAGTCCGCTGGGCTGCGCTGATGCCCGACATCCGAGACACGGCGGCGCAACACATCGGATCTGCAGCGCTGTGGGATTGTGGGGATTTAGCACACGGTTGGAATCGGGCAAGTCGCGTCGAATCCTTCGGTTCCGGACGCTCACGCGGGAGGGAGATTACGATGAATAGCGTTCCGTCATGATGTAAAGGATTCCATTGCTGATAATACGAGCTCTCAGGACCTGAACGTAGTTGGACTAGCAAGTTTCCGTGAATACCAGGAAATGAGGTTCCTGGAAGTATTGCTCCAGACCGAGCTGTCGTAAGGCGGGGGATAACCTAACGTTAGTTAATTGGACCCTAACCCTGACCCCTTTTAAAGCTCCCCACGCCCGAGCAGCGGAGCCGTCTTGGGCTCCCCACCAAAAGAGGGGACTCTCTTTCATCCCGCAAATAGCCTGAATCAGCCTGGCGTCATGTGCAACGAGAAGCTGTTCGCCTCATATTCGCGCATGAGGCCTAGACGATGGCTGGTACCTGCCGACCTGGCGAGAGGCGATGGAGCAGAGGTTGCATGCCTTTTTAAAGGGCACGAACCGGCCCTTACAAGCTGCATTTTAACACCCCCAACTTCCCCAACTCTTTCCCCAAAGACGACCCCTCCATCACAGCCACCAACGTCACCATCGCAGTCGCCCATTTACTCTCGTCCTCAACAAACCACTGGAATTACCAAACGCCCCCCGCCAATATGAGCGACGCACCCGTATCCTTCCTGCCCCTGGGTGCTATCATCCAAGAGCTCCGCGTCGCCGGTATCAACATTGTGCAGGGCTTCCCTGAGCAGTCGCACTACGAGAGCCATAACGACCCTTTCTTTGGCGAGACCATTGGCCGCGTGGCCAACCGCATCAAGAACGCGCAGCTCGACTCCCTCAACGGCGGCAAGAAATACACCCTCGCCGCCAACAATGGGCCCAATAACCTGCATGGTGGTGTTGTCGGATGGGGTAAGAAAATCTGGAAGGGACCGACACCCGTGGGTGTGCGCCAGATTCCCGGCGCGGAACTCCAGGACGGTGGGGAGAGCGTGAGGTTCTCCCTGGTCAGCCCGGATGGTGATGAAGGGTTCCCGGGAACCGTGGAAGCGAGTGTGGTGTACACCGTCGGCAAGCAAGTGCAGAACGGGAAGGATGTGACGGTATTGGGCATTGAGTACGAGGCCGAGCTTGTTGACGGTGCCGACGAGACCGTCATCAACATGACCAACCACTCGTGAGTCCCCCGCGACCGTCTCAAGCCCCCAAATAAGGTGATACACGGAATCATTAACGAAACTCCCCTTTCATTAGGTACTTCAACCTCACCGGCGGTCCCTCCATCGAAGGCACAGTTGTGACTCTCACCACTAACAACTACCTTCCCGTCGACGACGGCGGCATCCCCACCGGTGGCCCGCAGCCGTTCAGCAAGATCGAGGGCGGGAAGGCCTTCGTGTTGGGCGCCCAGGAGCCCGACATTGATGACTGCTTCATCCTGGAGGACTCCCCCAACACAGTGCCCCTCGACACGCGCGGGGAGCCGCTAACCCGCCTCGTCGCTGCCCATCACCCGGAGTCTAAGATCCACCTCGAGGTTCTTAGCACCGAGCCAGCCTTCCAATTCTACACGGGCAAGTACATCAGCGTTCCCGAGGTGGCAGGTGTCGCTGCTCGCAACGCGCGGAGTGGGTTCTGCGTGGAGCCCAGCCGCTGGGTAAATGCTGCGAATGTGGATGAGTGGAAGAGCCAGATGCTGTTGAAGAAGGGCGAGAAGTACGGCTGCCGGATTGTGTACCGTGCGTGGCAGGAGTAAGGGTCAAATGGAAGACTTGGCTAGCTCTCCGGTAGTTTCACCAGAGACGAGCAAAATAACAAAGCTTTACAAGCCAATGGATCTACTCCAAAGCGTCATCTTCCTCCCGTAAATCGTCCCCTTCCGGTACCCTGTCGTCTCGAGCCGGTGCCTTTGCCTCCTGCTTCCTCCATAATTCCGCCAAGAATGCGCTTGTACTAGCCTCTTCCACACCCTTATCTTCTCGCTTCCGCAAAAACCGCGGAAACCGCAGACTCAATCCACGATCCTCCCGTGCCAATCCAATCGCCGCTATGTACGTCGGACTCACCGTGATATCCGCAAACGCGACCTCCCAAACCTCCTGAGGCTCAAACCACACATCGGGAACCCCACCGGCGTACTCGACGAAACTGGGCTTTTTAGCATGCGTATTTTTGCTTGTTCCAGGCCCGTCTTCATCCTGCCCTTCCTCCCCATCTTCGGTGTCAGCTGCGTCCGGAAGCTCCTGTTCATCTCCATTCCCAGTGCCATCATCATAAAACGCCCGATTCGCTTTATAAAACGCGTCTGTAAATCCTGACATGCATTTACACACGGCTTCAAGACACCCCGTTTCATCATTTCGCACTGCCAGCAAGATAGGCGACCACCACCGCGCTTTGCGCCCCTGTCCGTGCCATGCCGCGATCGGGATGAGGTCGAGTGTCTCGGATGTTGCAGAGTAGTCCTTTTTCACTTTCAGCCAAGAATCGAGACGCTTGTCGGGTTCGTACGTTGCCAGGAGGGGCTTGCGGCGTGAGGGTTTAGGTGGTGCCGTGTCTATGCCTGTTGATTTGGCTTCCTTTGCCTTGTGATCTCTCCTAGTTGTTGGTTCCGTGGCTCGTTCGGGTGTATCGAGGTCGCGGTCATTCTGCTGAGGGAGATTGTCGAGAATTTTAACCATAATACCCTCACATTTGGTCTCCAAAGCGGATTTGAAGAACTCCAATACCCGCTCCGAGTCCTGAGAGGTGGCGTCGAGGCTCTTGACCCAGGTGAAATGATGCGGTATCTCCACAAAAAGTGAGCGGAGCAAATCTCGCCTCCTTCGAAATGGCTGTTCAAGGAGGGACTGTCCGTTGAGATACATCAGGTCGAAGGCAAATAAACACACATCTATCGTGACGGCTCCAATCGCAACGTCCTTTCGAGCCCGGTTGGTGAGCGTTTGGAAGTTTTTCAGATCGCCAGTTGCACGATCGACAGCCACCACTTCGCCTTCAAGAATGAAACTCTCAACCCCGTCGCCGCGAATTTTCGGGACAAGAGCAACAAGATCCGGGTACTTGTCAGTCATGAGTTCCAGGTGCCGCGAGAAAATGGACACCTTCCCATTGGAATCGCAGTGTACCTGTGCTCGTTGACCGTCATATTTGTACTCACAGGCGAATTCGCGGTCTTGAAGTTTGATCAGCATCTCGGACAGGTCGCGGGTGATGCTTCCCAACATAGGCCGCAGTGGGATGTGTATTGTGAGCCCACAGCGGACAAGCAGTTCTTCGGATATCCCCGTTTCCAGTAAAGTGGGAATGAGGTCGTTGTAATCGGGATGCCGGGCATATGAAGCCTTGACAAGCTCCTCCCCCCTTGCCCATACCTCAGCTAGGTCTTCCTTCTTGAGCTTGGCCAACTCCTGCGGATCTCGCGTTGCGAAATCTGCGCCCGGGGGTTTCGACAACAAGAACGCTCTTGACAAGGCAATAAGCATCGTTGTCTTCACCGCACCAATACGGAGCTGTTTCATGTTAGCGTCATGGCCGAACTAGAAGGATCTGAATCAACCTACATGTTGGCACAACGTTCGCACAATGTATCGACTCTCCTCGCCTCCCCGGGCATCCTGCAACAGTCTATCCACAATTCTCTGCTTAGCATCCCCACTCCCTTGTCCTTGGGCTTTGGAAATCTTGACCAAAGAACCAAACACGCCCTTCACGGTGAGCGGCTTCGGTTTGCGCAAGGTAAAGCTCTGTTTCTTTTTCGCCTCAAAGGCTACGTCACCAGGGTCGCCGACCTTGTTATACAAAGCCTTGAGAGCTCTATTGTCGAGTCCACAGGCTTGCTTCAAAGCCTTGGAGATAGCCGAACCGCCGAGACCAAGCTCCATGGAGATGTATGGCGGTGATATGGCATTGGTGGCTAACCAAACAGCCGGGAGGAGGCTCTGGTCATCCCCTTCGATCAGCAGACGAATGCAGTTGACAAGAGTGTCGACAATCTTGATTCGGCTTTGTGTTCCATTTACAAGGGCAAAACAACGCGTCAACAAGGCGTACGAAGCGTTGCCCCCATCGGAAGCCCAAGATTGCTGCAAATGAGGCAAGTACTTCGACGGATCAAAAGTGAGCGGTGTTTCATCCAGCGGGATAGATGCCGTAGTCTGATCCCCGGACGCGGTGACTGACGAAAGTGACAATGTACTTGGCCCTTTTGTCGTCTGCAATCCAACTGGCGACGGAGGGATGGTTGGTGGCTGTGGAGTGGGGGTGGGGATCGTCGTAGGCATATCGGCATCAACATTTCGGTCTCCGGATTGAGGTGGTGCTGAACTAGAACTAGAATGAGAACAAGATCCGTGTCTAACCTCCGCATCCCACTCGGCCTGGAGTTTCCTAGCTAGTTCTTCGTCTGTCAAGGAGTCATCAACATTGGATGGTTGGTCGACAAGCCCTGCGTTCGACGAGGGTTTGGATGCAGAGGCATTCTGCTTTTGCTTCGCAAAGAAGTATTCCAGGCCCTTGGCGGGCGGGGCTTTCTGCTTCCCATCCGAATTCAGTTTTCTCTTTTTTGCAGGGCTCGACATTGTGAATGCTCGGGAGATGTTGAACCTCAAATCACGAGAACGAGTGAAAAACGAAGAAAATGGCATCAAATTCCAGCCTCGCCATGGCTGTGGAAGTGCGGTTCGCCGTCGGATTCCAATTAAGAGGCGATGTGATCAATGACGTGAGCACGCTCGTGGCGCGTTTGACTCCGCGAGCCCGTCACGGAAGCACATGACCCACATGGCAGATCTCAGCTTTGCGGAACAGACCGCCTTCCTCATTTGGTCAACACACAAAATGGACTCCCAAATCTGAGGCCCCACTAGGAAGGGTTGAACCCAACCCCCAAGGACCGAATTTTCCTCTTACAACCCCGCGACCGCAAATCACAACCGCCCACCATGAACGGCAACGGCGAAGACCCCCAGGAGCGGCCCGAGCAAATCCGGGGCATCATAAACGGGCTTGAACGGTACAACCCCCAGGCCGCCGAGGTCCTCGAGGCCTACCTTCAACAGCAATGCGAGGAGAAATTCTGTGACAGCAACGCCAACCGGGCGCTCCTGAAGCTGTGAGTCGGGCCCCCCAGCTGCGCAGTTTTACAGCATGACACTGGTATCGCCAGTGTTGCTAGTCCCCTTCTCTTCCATGATGTTTTGTCAACGTTTCCTATTAGCCTGACTACGGCTGGGAACAATAACCCAGCCCTCAATGAGGTCTACATATCCGACCTGAATCGAAGAGCATTCGCATTCGCTGTTTTTATTCACCCCGACAATGCCGCAGGCGACAGGTGCTAACCAAAATCGCTGCATCATAAAGGTACCAACTCAATCCCGACAAGATTAAGGATGAAGTGATCACCAATATCCTCGTCAAGGCAATGACACAATTTCCCTCGCCACAGTTCGATCTATCCCTCCACCTCCTCTCGCCATCACACTCCAACCCAGGGCCCAACTCATCCTCAGACCTCTCCGAGGCCGTAGCGAAACTGCGAGCGCTCAACTCGCAGCTTGAGGGCGCGCAGTATGCCCGCTTCTGGGCCACCCTCGATAGCGACGATATCTACGCCGACTTGACGACCGATATTGCGGGTTTCGAGGAAATGATCCGGGTCCGCATCGCTCAGCTCGTTAGCCAAGCATATCGTGAGGTGCAGACATCAGTTCTTGAAGGCTGGCTCGGTCTAGACGGAGAAGAGGAAGTGCACAAGTTCGTCATTGAGACGTGCGGCTGGAAGGTCGCTGAAGGTGGCATCGTGCAGGTACCTAGGAACGCCGAGAACGAGGCCAAGAAGACTGAGATTCGCGAAGACGTTACGGTGGATATGTTTAGCCGTGTCATCAAGCGGTCATGGGAGGACAATGCGTAATGGTGGCTCACACATTTTTATACTCGGGCTTGACAATGGTTTACTCCATAATTTCGACGGGGTGGTCGACGAACCAACGTTGCCCCCGCTCTTCCTCCTCTTCCTCGTTCAACGGCAAGTTTCATTCTTGCATCAGGCGGCAAAAGCTTCGGCGTTCAGGGGTTGCGGCGGCATAGGGTACGCCGCGGGTGGGCGATAAAGGGGTATCTAGCTAGATTACCATGGGTTCTATGTTTGAAGATCATAGCCTCATTACATGCGGCGATGCCAACACGACGACATGACCAACTACTGTTCCCTTTTTGATCCAAGCCGTGTCTTTCCCTTGCCTGAACTCCTGCCACGGATTAATCAACTAAATCTACTACCTCTTCATGGTCAGCTCCTCCCACTGCACACCAGCCCACTCCTCGACATATCCGGCCTCGCCAACCAACACCCCCCGCTCCTGACAGTCCCTTTCACATACTCCGACAATTACCGTGCCCCAGTCCATCCCATCGATACTATCCTCCTCACACTCTAACTCCTGAATCGCCTGCGGTGTCAGCTGCACCTCAAACACCCGGCCCGCACCACAGTTAGGACATCTTGGCATCCCTGTGCTAGTTGTAACCTTCTCGTGTCCACCTGTAGCCCCATGTAGCAACTTCCCAACCGCATCCCCCTTGGAATACAGCAAAGGCTGCCCAGAAAACTCATACCGAATACACTGATCCGAGTTCTGCCCCACGCGGTCCGCAAATTTTTGGAACGTCGCGTCCATACTGGACTCGAAGACTTCCTTGTCTTCTTTATCCTTCCCGCCTCCGCTAGAGGATCCCGCTTCATTAGAATCGAGGTCCATCACACCCGGGTTGGTCGGTGCGCTTGGTAGCGTGACAGGGTCGAGGGTTTCGTATTCAGCGTCGGCGAGCCAGCGGATCGGGTAAGGTGTAGGAAGATCAGACAGGGCTGGCCATGGTTGAGGGGGAGGCGGAGGGCCTTTGGTCTGTGGGTTGTTCAAGGAGAGGGTTTCGGCGAAGGTTTTGGAGAGGTCGCTGGGAACCTCCTGAACAACAGGTGGGGATGATGGGTTCGCCTTCCCAGCCGTGGGTTGTGACTTTACGAAGGATGTGCTGCTGGGCGGCGTGTTTGCCGCTTTGGGTGCAAATGGATTGCTTGATGGGGTAGATGGTGCAGCGAACGGGTTGGCGCGAGGAGCTGCCGTCGATTTGACGCCAAAAAGTGCTTCACCAAGACCCTGCGATACCGCATTCGAGGGTGTTGTGTCCTTGGGCTCAGCTTCTTTCTCTGGGGCAGCAGATGGCGCTTCCGCGGTGGCACGAACGCCCCGAATGACGCGGATATTCCCTTCCTTTCTCCGACAACTCTTCCTCTTACAGGTGAAAACATATAACCTTCGTTCGTGTGTCGGGAAGCGATCGGGGAGCTCGGCGTTGAGTTGCAGCATCAAAACCATCAAGTCCTCACAGACTTTACATTTTGCCAGGGCGGCCGAAGGGGGCTTTTCTGTGTCGATCCAGTCCTAACATGCAATTAAATTAATAGTCTGTCGTAGACAAGGCGGATTACAGAACTGCGGGCGCGTACCGGGTAACCTCCAAGTTTGCTGATTTCCTCGCCATTGGCGTCGGGGGAAGCGTATCCAAGAAGAACATTGGTCTCTGTGTATTCCTCTTCTTCGCCCCCAGACGAGTCACTGTCATAAGGCGCCATCGTGCTTGTACAGAAGTCTCGTTCTGTTAAGGATGACTCGGCGGTTGGGCCTTTGTAATTTTTATTTTTGGCGGGGTAAATCAAATCTCTGCCCCGCCATCCCACTTGACATCAACCTAGGACCACGCTGCCTTAGGAAAGTTCTCGCCAACATTGGTTACCAGGCAAAAGTTTAACAATGGACAACTCCAGTTGGATTTTTTGGCACATCACGTCTATTCCCATGAGTTACATCTAAACAGGTATCATATGGACATAGATGGGACCCTTTTACTCTTCCGCGGCACCAGGGTCCGGTCCACCTGATCGCCCCATTTGCCGAGCCTTCAGTAATTCATCGCAAAGGAGCAAGTTTGACGCAATGCCACAGCTAGAGGCAATGCAGTTCCTCAGTACCCTGAATGAGTCGTAGACGCCTTCAAGAGTGGGATCCATCGGCTCGCCTGTCGCAAGGTCGAGGCCCACAACATTCCCGTCCCGGTGCTCATCTTGAAGAGTAGCAACTAAAGTACGAAATGTCAGCATGGTGATGATAACCTTACCCCGAGACCCCAAGAGATATGAGACTTACGGGCATCCTGGATGTCCAGGCCAGCGTTGGCGGCAAGAGTCTTGGGAATAATCAGAAGAGCATCGGCAAACGCGTCAACACCCCACTTGGCCTTCCCTTTCACTGTCTTGGCGAATGCATCGCTCTTCAAGTGGGATGCGCATGCAACCTGGAACGCACCAGCGCCTGGCACCACGCTCCCGTCCACAATCATGTTATAAACGCTCCGTAGGCCATCACGGACGGCATCCGTCACCTGGGTGATGGTGTGCTGATTGGGGCCCTTAATCAGAAGAGTCACCGACTTGGGCTCCTTCACATCCTCAACGAAGGTGAACTTCTCCTCGCCCAGCTGCTGCTCGTAAACCAAACCTGCCCAACCGAGAACATCGGCGTTCATGTCGTCCACGCTGTTCTGAGCCACGCCGCCACACACGAGCTGGAGGCGCTCCATGTTCCTCCGCTTAGCTCGCCTGAGAGCCAAAATCCCGTTCTTGGCCAATACGTCCAGAGACAAGGGGTCGATACCCTTCTGGTTGATAATGACGAAGTTCTTCTTTCCATCGTTGCCGCACACCTCCTTCTTGAGTTCCACGATCTTCTTCAACTTGGCATCAACGAAGCGGCGCTCGCTCTCGACAAGCTTGTCCCGCTGCTCTGCGCTGGAGTAGAAGAAGCTCGAATTAATCTCCGACTTTTCGTATTCCAAGCTGACGTTGAGGGTGAGGATGTAGGCATTTTCGACACGGGTCGGCATGTCAGGATGCCTCGCGCCGTGGTCGAGGGCAAGGCCACGGATGAGCTGAGTATCAGATGCGGTGCGGTGCTGCATCTTCATGATCTCCACCATGTGCAGGTCGGGCTTGGCCGGGGCCTGGTAAATAGCAAGCACGGCATCGACGATGTCGGGTGTCAAACTCTGAGCAAGAGTGGCGGGGAGCTTGGTGGCAAGGGAAGTCCGGGCGACGGACAGCAGCAACTCGCGGTCGACCTCCCGGGGGAGCTTAAACTGGTCAAGAAACTACGAAAGTCAGCTAGTTGGCCCCCGGTTCCTCGATACCACAGAAAGCAAACCTTCAACGCCTCATTCTTGGCGATCTCAAAACCGTCTGTAATGATACGGGGGTGCAAGCCCTCTTGAATATAGCGATCGGCCTGCTTCAGTAGTTCGCCCACCAGCAACACCACCGACGTTGTACCATCACCACAAATATCATCTTGCGCTGTCGCTGCCCGGGCAATCATTACCGCGGTCGGGTTTTGTATTTGCATCTCGCGGAGGAGGACATTTCCATCTTTGGTCAATTTAATCTGCAAAAAAGTGGTCAGCTGCGGTCAGGTCATTGCCCCGCGAAACGAGCTCGATCGTACCTGGCCGGCACCATCCACCAACCTGCATCCTCTATTAGCTTTCACAGCCTACTCTGAAATTCTGAAACTGTGACATACATCTTTATCGTGCCCAACGGGCCAAGGTTGGATTTGAGCACATCTTGAAGGCCCTCACCCGCGGTGATGTTGACCCGCAGCGCTTCACCCCGCCTCTGTAAACACGTCCGTTAGCAACCCCCTGGTTCGGCGGCTTCCCCCCTGTTTCAGGATGGAGCGTACTCTCGATTCGGCTTTCGGGTTCAGAAGCTGTGCGGCGGACATGGTGATGGTGGCTGGAAAAGAGGCAGGTCCGATAGTTTGCGGGGAGGAAGAACGCAAAGGTGGGTTGTTGGGCTGGAGCTCCTGGCGATCTCCAACTTTTTTTCGCGGATTTCCATTCCAGGCGCCAAGCACTGCTGCTCTGTGGGTTTGGGGCGGAGGAGGGGCCAGGCAGCGTACATAGCGGGGCCCTTGCCTGGAGGTGGTTATGTAAGTGGTCGCCGCACTGTGCCATCGTCCGGACTTACCCACTCTCCGGCAAACAACCTTCCCTCCCAGGGGCATCCATCAACCGAGCAGGGACCTCCACTGCCGACGGGACCTCAAGCCCCTCCTTGACATCCAGCTTACAAGTTGAACAACCTCACCTAGGTCTCATCGCCGAGCGAGTTTCCATCCTGCCCGTTGTGCGGTGTAACCCAGCTGGCGAGCTCTCGTAGGTCGCCAAGGCATTAAGCCGACTGGAGAGCCAGGGCTAAGCTCAGACCGGGCGACCAGTGCGAAAGCAGGGTCCAAGACGGCGCCGCATTGTTCATCAGAGGTCCTGGCATCTCCCCAGCTGCCTTTTCTCCGCCTATGGCGCTATTCACGTTCGCATTCGCTCGTTATTGAGACACGTATTCGTCGACGGCATACCCGACATCTTACGGATGGGAATGCGACCAACCACTAGTAGTGCTGTGAAGTCAGTGACGCCGTTCCCCCTCAAATTTGACAAGTTCCCTGTCGCTCCCACCACGCGCAGAACCCTTGGTATTGTTTATCCGCCAAAGAATACAAATGTGATCCTGATCCTGAGTCAACGAGGAGTAACGCCTAAATTCTCCCTGACAAACCCGCATTTTGAGGCATATAACCCCGCGAGCGATCTCGTCAGCAACTCGTTGTTGAGGTGAACAGGTACCATCATTCTATCCCTTCGGGCCCCACGCGCAACCGGAGTTACGCAGCCCCGGCTCGTCAGCACCCGTCATATTGATCCCTCCCCCAGCCAGAACTCAAGCCAGAACCATCATCAGTCTCACATTTTCCACCATGAAATTCGGCATCAAATCCATCCCGGCCATCGCTGGGCTGCTTGGGCTTGGACTTGTCCAAGCTACAAGTGATGATGTTCAGCAAATCGCCATCATCGGTATGTTTGTTTCACCGTGTCATTCCTTCTCGTACTGTCCTGGATGCGCGCAGCGCAGCTGAGACACGCCCTGGAGAACCACGCTCATGAACACTGTGTACAAACAGGAGCCGGTGCTGGCGGCGCATCTACTGCGTATTTCCTTCATCAATTCGCAGAGGAAGCCGGCGTCAAGCTGAATGTCACACTCTTCGAGAAAACGGACCACATCGGGGGCCGGACCCGCACCATCAACCCATTCAATGACCCGACGCAACGCGTAGAGCAAGGGGCCAGCATTTTCGTCCAAGTGAACCAGATCATGTACAATGCGATGACCGAATTTGGCCTTGCTACGACCGGGAGAGATTCCGATGCAGGGACTACGGTGGGGATTTGGGACGGGAACAACCTTGTGTTCACCATCGACCAGAGCTCGCCATCTTGGTGGAACACCGTGAAGGTTATCCGCCGGTACGGGCTGGTCGGTCCGCGAAAGGCCAAACAGCTAACCGCCGAAGTCATTGGGAAATTCCTTCGCATCTATGACTCTGAGTTCTTCCCGTTCGAATCGCTCACCCAGCGGGCCCAGCAGCTCGGGTTGGTTGAGGTGACCAAACTCACTGGTCAAGAACTTCTTGATAACAACGGCGTAGGTCCATCCCCAACGAGTGACTCTCACGTCTCTAACTAACATCAACACGTTACAGGCCGGTGGTCTTTATGCTCATGACCTGATCCAGGCCAGCACGCGGGTCAATTACGCCTCAAACCTCCCCAATCTCCACGGCCTCACCACCATGGTAAGTAGTGGGAATGGGCTATTCAGTCGGTCGTACAATGTCTCACCACAGCGTAGGTTTCTTTGGCTGCTGAAGGCGCCGTGGCTATTGAAGGCGGCAATTGGCAGATTTTCCACGAGATGGCCCGTAGGTCTGGCGCGCGGTTGGCTCTCAACACCACGGTCGCCAAGATTGACAAGACCCCCGCCGGGAAGTACACCGTGCAAACAAAGTTCACAAACACCCATGGCAAACCCACGACCCAATCCGACACCTTTGACAACGTGGTGGTAGCCGGGCCGTTCCAGTTCACCGGTATCACAGCCGGCAAGGGTGTTTTCGAAAAGCCACTCGAAAAGATCGACTATGTCAAGCTGCACGTCACTATCTTCTCATCGGCATCCCTTCCAAGCCCCCGCTACTTCAACCTCGCCGACTCGGCAACGGCCCCAGCAATGATTTTGACGACCTTGGCTGAGGGTGATGGGCCGGATTCTGGTGTGGAAGGGGTTGGGACGCCGGGTTTCTACAGCTTAAGCGTCATTTCCACGGCAATCAACCCAGAGACAAAGCAAAAGGAAAATGTCTACAAGATCTTCTCTCCTGACGCGGTCACCCCTGAATTACTAAGGTATCGTTCTACCCGACGTTTCCTTCATGCCTTTTTTTTCCTCCGTTACTCTGATTATGGACACTAACAAGTCCTTGCGATAACAGCCGCCTCTTCGGAGCCGACGTTCCATCTGGCGTGACTGGCGAGGACAGCCCGATCTCGTGGTACGTCCCGCACGTATTTCACTCCTATCCCAAGACGTCACCCCGAACCACTTTCGAAGACCCCATCGTTGGTTCGGGTGTTTATTACACATCGGGCATGGAGAGTTTTATCTCTACGATGGAGACCAATGCTCTCGCCGGCAAAAACATTGCCCGCCTGATTATCGACAACATACAAGCGACCCCTATAGGGCCGGTGGAGGTCAAGACAAGGGATGCGTTGATGTGGGAACAAGTACAGAATGTTTTGGGGTAGACGGACAGTTTCTGTCTGGCGGGTGTATGGTACATTACGGCGAGAAGGCAGGGGACTTTAGGAATTGGAATACTCGGCGTTGACGGTAGCTTTGCGATTCTATTTTAACAACTGAGACAGTTTAAATAACCATAAGGTAATAATAACATTCAATTTTCTGTTGACAATTTCCAAAATTTAGATGGAACTTTGCATTCGTCTCCTCACGGAACAGGACGTTGCCGGGTGTTGAATTGTTTACAGGCAGTACGACACTTCAGACTGCCTGGCCTGCCTGGTGGATCCACCTCAAGAGCTGTGGCGATTGGCTAAATGCACCGCCACACTTCTTCCCCTCCAGTCAGTTGCCCCGGCGCCCAGACGTCCTGCAGATGTGATTCTTATGACGCAGTCTTCAGCTTAAGTTGCAAAAAGCCAAGCTGCCTCCTTCGTCGTGTGGTCTGACGACAAAGCGATTCAAGGCGGCAGGCACAAGCGGTCACCCCATTCTTATCCTTTTTACTCTGCGCATTCCCATCTCGGCGCTTGCCCCTTGGGTTGCAATTTCCACATCTTTTTCCGGCAAGAAACTACAACGAAGCAAAATGTTTATGCTCAGGAATGGTAAGTCCCCACGCTTCCAGGATCGTCAAGCCTAGCCCACTTCTTGTCTCATTTTCTTCCAAACAATAAAACTGACAGCGCTTTTCCAGTCGGAAAGCTACTCTTCGGCTCCAGCAACCAGGAGTCGATGATAGAGCTGCCACAAGGCCAACTTTACCTCGTCCGACCGCTGTCGCCCAAAGGGTATTCCGAGCTTATCTTCAAGGACGCCTCCGCCCGAATCCGACGCACCGCGCAAGATTTCCAATATCAACTCGTAGTCCAGCGAGTCTACGAAGAGGGAGAAGCGGAGCTGCTCGCCGAAGAAGAGGGTGACGACGCCGAAGCGGACGCGGACATTCTTGCAGGCGAGCGAGACGAGAAGACTTTTCTGCTCGACGAGGCCCTCCATTTCCGTGTGGAGAACCGCCAAGAAAGCGAACGGGTTTTGGCTTGGCGCGATCTCAGCGGCGACGCGGGCGACGTCTACGAATTCGTCTGCGACCCCGCCATCTTGCCAGCGCAGGTCGAGCAATTCGACCAAGTTGCGAAACGGTGCCAATACGAACGCAAGTACCGGAAACCACACACGACAGCCAGCGAAGAAGACCTACAGCAGTTCGAGTTCGACGAGCAACCCATTCCGCAGGCCAGCCCCCTCCACAGCCCAACCGTTGTGAGAGCACTCGACATGTCCGACTCGATGTCGCTTGGACAGGCTACCGCGAATACCAGCGTGAAGCGCGAGGCGCTTCCCGATCCTGACACCACGCCGACAAAGAAGGGCAAAGAAAGGGACATGAAGCCACCTGCCGTAGGAGATCATCCTGAAGCCCGCGAAATCTTGGCCGGGGAGGTTGCGGAGCTCCATTTCTTCGACTTCCCGTCAGGGGCATTCGTTCTCCAGGATGCGTCCGTCACGGCGACGGTAACCGAGACCGGCGATTGGCAATACTGGCTCCAGATCAAGAGCTCCGATCGGGACTGGCTAGGAATTCCAGTGGTTGCAGACATCAACCCGGTCTTCAACTTCGAGTTCCTGTCCTTTATCTTCAATCAATTTTCCGACAATGGCTCTGCTTACTCATGGCTTCTTCGGTTCAAGGACCACGCCACGCTCGAGCGGTTCCAAGCCGGCCTCTTGCAGGCACTTTGGGAACAACTGAACGAGACGAAATGGTCGAAGATCAAGGACAAGGATCGGGACTACGTGGCGGATGCCTTCAACGATTTGACGATGGAGGATTCCGATCAGCCCTACGAAGAAGAGGAGGAAGAAGTTTTCGAGGAGGAGCCCGAGGACGATGATGACCGGGCACAAGCCGAGCATTATGACAGCGACGAGGAGGCAGATGACGTTGACTACAAACCGAAGGACTCCGATGTCAACAAACAGCTTGCCGTTGGTTACAAGCACGACCGGTCGTTTGTGGTGCGCGGGTCGAAGATCGGAGTGTTCAAACACACCCCCAACAACCACCTTGAGTTCAGCACCAACATTTCCAAGGTTGAGACGCCCGATGGCAAACTCTTCTCTCCTAAGAAGGTCATGCTCCACAATGAGGACCGGAACCTCATTCTGCAAAAGGACTCGGATCCCAACAAGCTATTCCGCATGGACCTTGAATATGGCAAGGTAGTGGACGAGTGGAAGATCCACGAGGACATCCCAGTCATCACTTTTGCTCCGGAGAACAAGTTTGCGCAGATGACGCACGAGCCAACGTTCCTAGGCATCAGCAGGAACGCCCTCTATCGTGTGGACCCGCGTCTTTCCGGTAGCAAACTCGTCGATGCTCAGCTCAAGCAATACACGAGCAAGAATGACTTCTCAGCCCTTGCTACGACCGAGAAAGGATACATTGCCGTCGCCTCAAACAAGGGCGACGTCCGACTCTTTGACCGTTTGGGTATCAACGCCAAGACACACATTCCCGCTCTGGGCGAGCCGATCATCGGTCTCGACGTCTCGGCTGACGGCCGCTGGGTGCTCGCCACTTGCAAAACCTACCTACTTCTCATTGACGCGCTCCAAAAGTCTGGCAAGAACGAGGGCAAGCTCGGCTTTGAGAAGCCGTTTGCGGCCGACGACAAACCACAGCCGCGCCGGCTCGCACTCACACCCGAACACGTCGCGCAATTCGCCTACGAGACTAGCAAGGGGGTCGACTTCACGCCGGCCAAGTTCAACACGGGTGAGGGCGCCGAGGAGACGAGCATCATTACTGCGACAGGTCCGTACATTATTGAGTGGAGCCTTAGGAAGGTCCTCAGCGGGCGCAAAGCGCCGTACTTGATCAAGCGGTACACAGACGACGTGAAGGCAGATGACTTCAAATTCGGCACTGACAAGAATGTCATTGTGGCGCTGCCACATGAGGTCAACATGGTCAACCATGCCCGTTTGAAGCGGCCCACGAGGGAGAGTATTGCGGGCGAATTTGGAATTGCGGGCCGCGCGGCCGCAGGGAGAATTGGTACCCCGGGGAGTGGGCGATATAAGTTGGGGAAGGACGATGTGGTTAAGGAGGCATTCTAGGGGGATGATACCGCGGCAGTGCACATTCGATGATGATCTCGTTTTCTTTTCCATGTTGGAGTTACTGGTCCCCTATGTTTTGTGTTTGTTGAAGGTTACTCAAAGTAGCCAGGTCGATACCTCCAATTGCGTTTCTTTTTCCCCTTCTTTTTCTTCCTCCTTAAGAACGGGCGGGGGACCTCGGTCCGAGTTGAATGGTACTTAGTTTACACACAATTTGTACCCAACATCTCGGTTGGCTTTTGACGGGCAGTTCAGGTTGGGTGCCCCATAGTCGCGAGTGGGGAGCAATGGATTTGCTCTTTGCACCCACGTCTTTTGCACTTGTCATGTATGTAGATGTCACAGTTTGGAACTGACGGTTCAACTCAATATACACTTGCAATCTTTTTTACTGCAAAACATCAATTTGGTATCTTGTGCTAATCTTCTACCCCATCATCCCTCCCAATTTAATACGTCCCCCTCCCCGCCCCAGCACCGCCCTTCATCTGACCCGTCTTGCTATCCACCCGCGGATCCAACTTATTCATCAAATCCGACTTATGCGGACCCAACGTATGCGCAGCAGTCATCGGCCCCCCAGCACCTACCCCCGTACCTGCCATCTGTGCGGCCGTCGGCTGGTTCACTCCTCCACCTCCCATCATACCGGCCTGGTGGTGGCTGTGGTGCCCAACACCAGCACCAGCATGTCGGTGGTCCCGGTCAGAATCCACCCGCGGGTCGGCGGCGTTACCTAGACGCGAGGTGTGTGGGCCGTATGTGCCTTCGGGAGCAGCACCACCAACACCAGCAGTGGTACCGTAGTTGTTATGTTCCGCGCCGTATCCGGCACCCATCGTGCCCGTGCCCATCATTCCCCCGCCAGCACCGATACCACCAACACCGGCATTGTGATGGTGGTGTCCAACCTGCGCGTGCACGGCCTGGGAACCCATCCCGCCATCATGTGTGCGGCGGCTGTCCAGGTCGGAGTCGACACGAGGGTCGAGGGCGTTGGCGATGCGGGACTTGTGGGGACCGTATGTACCCTCTGGCACGTTGTGGGTGGGTTGGGCCATGGGCTGGTGGTCGTGGGTGCTGTCGATGCGGGGGTCGACTTTGTTGAGGATGTCGTGCTTGTGGTGGCCGGCTGTGGTGGGGGCTGGGCCGGAGGCCGTGGATTGGCCGTAGGTGACGCCGCTGGGGGCGGCTTGCTGGTGGCGGATGCCGCGTTCGTGGGTGTTGTTGTACATGATGGGTGGTGTTAAAAGTTTGTGTGTTTACGGGTAGTGGTTGGTTTTAGAAGTGGGTTCCTGAATAAACTTGATGAATGTTTATGATATGTCTTGTCTTTAATGATCAGTAGAGAATGATCAACCTGAACTCAAATCTAGAGACGGCAAAGACCTCTTCATATATCCCCAAAAGGGACATCAAGCTGTTCTGTACACACAAGTCAACCTCATCATTGGTGATATCACTAAACGTCATGTACGTGACAGTTGGCGACTAGAATATGCGCGTCTGGGGCGGATGGGCGGCAAATACGGCATTTCCCCATATTTCTGCAACCGAAACTTCTTGTTTCCTTCGAGAACGCGGCGGAGTTGAAGCTGCTCGCCAGTTTGTTTCGACTTACATGACCCATCGAGTGCCTAAAGCGGTAGGTATGACGTCAAACGACTGGACCCCGATTCCCGAGATTCCCCCGTTCGCCACAAGCCCTTGGGATGCACCATTCTCGCCCACAATGTAAACAGATTCGGTGTTATTTCCGAATAGTGTAGCGAAATTCGAGTGGTACAGTGGTGTTGAATTGTCTGGTTAAATCGTGTAGGGGGAAAATGAAGTTCCCAATGAACCAAGGTATTTTGGAATACAAAATAATGATAGGTTCGAAATATGTATTTGCGACTAGGTATCATGAAATAAAATGCACAAAGAAACAACTCGTAACCTCATAATGCCATCCCATATCGGATACGCTCCGCCATGCCACCTCAGTTCTAATAGTCCAAAGTGAAGTGAAAGTTCATAAAAATCCCCCCAATACATTTCCCAAATTACCTCCTAACCTCCTTCCTCGGCCCATTCACCAACCGATTCACCAACATCCCCCCAACCGCCGAACCCAACGACCCCAACTTCCCACCACCAGACCCAGAATGCCCCGAGTGCGAATCATACCGATCTTCCCGCCTCCCCTCCGTCGCACCACCAATCACCCCCGCACTCAACGCCGCCGTCGCAATCCTCCCTCCCTTCGCCCCAGTCCACGGGCCAGGCTCCTTGCGCAGACGGAACGCCTCCGCCGCACCGGCCTCCATGGCCGCCTTGATCCCTTGCTGCCAGCGGCTGCTGCTGCGTCCGGACGCGTGCGGGTGGCCGCTGCTGCTGACACTTTGCCGACGGCCGCGGGAGCGGCTGCGGTGGCGGCTGGGTGAGTCGCTGTGGTAGCGCCGGGAGGAGGAGGGAGGGTAGTACCGGTCGTTTTCGCGGGGGCTTTTGTGGGCGTGACTATGGCTGTGGCTGTGGCCGTGGCCGTGGCCGTGGCCGTGGCCGTGGTGGCTTCGGCGGGGTGGGGAGCGTGAGGAGGAGGAGGAGGTTGAGCGGGAACGGGAGCGGGAATGAGCCCGGCGGCCTCTGCTGTTGCTGCGGTAGCCGCGGGTGTCGTCGTCATGGTTGTCTTGGGTCAATCCCAAGCTGGTGCTTAGACTTCTCCCAATTTTGCTGAGAGCGCGGCGGCCCATGGACGGGCGGCGAACGGGCTTGGGACGGGAACGAGAGCTGTCGCGGGGCATCGCCCGGTCATCGTAATAGTCTTTGTGGTGAGCCCTGTCGTCGTAATAGTCGGGATTGGTTCCATAGTAGTAGTCCCGGTTATCGTCGTAATGGTGGCTACGTCCTCTGCCACGGCGGTCCGACATGTTTGCTGACTTAGGTTGCGCAAGCTCCGGGATATTGGAGCTCGAGTTCTGTTGACCTGGTGTGAAATTGCTGTGCTGAATTGGTTATGGAGCCTTTCCGAGGGGAAATTGTTCAAGGAGAGCCACTACTTGACGTATAATTTATCTCAAGAGAGTTTGCGAAAGTCAGGTTGCATTGTAGGAGAAAGCGCATTCAACACCAGCTGCGGCCGGGTGGCCTCTCGGAGGGCCCGAGGAAATGTTGGTGGCTCAGCAGCTGCACGTTTGCGTCATAGGCGAAATCGGCGCAGACAACGTGTGGCTCAACACGCCCTCCAGAGGCTTTTCAAGTACGGTCCACCGCTGGATGAGATATTATTCCGGAGCCCAACAATGCGATCCAGGCTGCTCGTTCTCGAAGTTTTTACCCAGCCACCTTTTAGTTTTGATCACGATGAGATTCGAGAAGTCGAGTTGTCCCTGCTCTAGGAGGGTGCCGGCCGGCGTTCCTGGATATCTGATTGGCCCGACTCACCGCCGGAACCCCACCGTTCCTCGGAGTTCGGATGAGCTCCCTCCCAGTTCTCGATCATCAGATGTTCATTTTGTGAGCTCCACTTGAGTTAGGAGGAAAGGAAGGAAGAATACACGTGTATGTATCGATAGGTATTGGAGGCTGAAGATTCCCCTTGGAAATGCTCAAAATGCAGCCAAGCGTTCTTACAAATACTCGAAGCTCAACAGCAAGCCTATAGATGACGTCATTGATACAGGAGCTTTTTCCCCGCGAACTTTTCTCCGCCCCATAAAATCCATCTTTTGACCAACCACCCGCAACAAAACAGCCTCTTCAGTGTGGCTCACCTCGCTTGGTCGACGTGTGTGGCACCCCCACGGTGAATATGGGGACGGCAATCGGTATCAACTCGTTTCCCCTCATCAAGCGTCATGATCAACGCTAGGCACCGTGGCGTGCTGCGTGCCTGGCGAAGCAAGCGAAGAGCGAAGCTCCGTAGTTACTAGGAAGCCGGTAATTACCTTTCGCCCAAGTTGGCGTTACATCAAGAGCGAGAAGAAGATCGAGATCCAAGACCATGAATACGATGACGTTCCTGATCGCTAGATTTCATCTTCGTGGATTGTGCCAGGTTTGGATTGGCCTATAACAGATACAGACTTGCCATGTCTTACAAAATTGGGGGCAAGCTCGTAAGCTCGTGGGAACGACATATCGGATTTTCCATCATTGAACATACACTAGCCAACGGCGTATGACGATTCCCAGGGCTTTCTTCACGGCCGCCTATCAGGACTCTTCCACGCCTTGAACGTTTCCCCTGAATCGGCCCCAAAGAAAAGCCCTCCACCATGGCACCAACCCCAACCCTCCCGCAAGCCATCTCCCGTCTACTCCCCCGCCAACAACCCACCACAACCGTCGTGGTGGACCCAGGCAACAGCAGCAGCAGCAGCGGCTCCAACCTCGACGGCGGCGCTATAGCCGGCATCGTCATCGGCACCGTAGTCGGTCTCCTCCTGCTCTGGTGGATCATCCGTTGCTGCATCGCGCCTCGCGCGCCCGACCCTTACCGCCAGGGCTGGTACGACGACACGGCGCCACCGATGCGCCGCACTTCCCGCTCTCGCTCTCGCTCGCCCGATGATAGCTACCGGCGCCATCATCATCATCATCATCATCACCACGGCCATGGACCGCCGAGGCGCTATCATAGTGGACGCAGGTCGTCGACGCCACGCCCGGTTGTGCTTGAGGAGAAGTATGTGGGTGTGCCGAGGCGGCCGTCGGCGACGTATGCTTATGCGCCGGCTGTGGAGGGGAGACGGTCCAGGAGTCGGTCGCAGGGGGGGTACTATGTTAGTGGATAAGGGGTGTGGAATATTAAGCCCGAACAAGAGACTTGTTGGTGCTGTGGTGGCCGGAACGGATATAGGTGGGTGGGAACAGTAGCCGCTGGCGGATGCCGAGGAAGGCTGTGATGATGAGATGGGTCTACAGGGCGTTGGTGGTTCCTTGTTCTGTTTCTCGGCCGACCGTGCTGTTGGTCGTTGGTGATTGCAGGCGATCAAGCCTACATTCTGATATACGGATATTCCGAATTTAAGGGGTTCGATAGATGCTATCCCACTTCACATTTGCTTTCTCTGATCGAATTGCCCCTGAATACCTGTGAAAATACCGATTAGTTCCTTATGTGGTTTATACTTTATCTCGTTCCTGGTGCTAGAGGCATCTGGTTGGCTGCCTTCAGTTTCATGGAAGGGTTTGCTGGGGTTTGGGGGATAAAGAGTTTCGTCGCTAATCGCGGAACTTTCACCCAGGAGCCATGTTTGGGAACACAGCAGCGTAGGAACTTGTAGCCGCGCGGATATGCTTAGGCGTGGATGGAGGACCACGATATCTCTCAGGTGTGGTGAGGTCGTGGGAATGGTCGCAGCTTGGATAGCGAGCTAATGCAGGAACGGCCGTTGAGCGCTGAGACATTGGGGTTAGGCGCCATTTCGACGCATGTACGTTGGTTGTTGGTTGTTAATGAAGAGGCACAGCAAGTCTAGAAGCGCTAACGCCGAAGTGTCATTCGTCTGGCCTTGACTTCCGCGCAGCATGAGGCTGCAGGTCATGGCAGCCCGCGTGGCGTGGTCAAAGTGGTCTCCACGGTTTGGCCATCGAAGCCGAAGCGCGCGACAAGGCCTCCATTGGGCCCAGTCGACTGGTTGGTATCACCAACAAAGCCATCTGAGCCGCTGCCACATGGTTTCCAGGTTCGAGATGACGTTCCCTTTCGTCCATTCTCACCTGTGAAACCACTTTTCGGGCGTCTAATAAGTCGGCTCCTCTATTCGCATGGTAGAAAGTGTTGGTTGGCCAACTGGTGATGCAAGCGTTGGAAAGTATGTTAGCCCGCACAGCACGTTTTTTAACATGAGTTTCGACTGGACGTGAGTTTTAGCTCGGCGTTGGGATGTCGGGTGGGTGGAAGGATCTTTGGGGGCCCCAATGCGGCTCCGTAGCCCTAAGAATAGTTACCACCAAATCGCAGCTTCCTCAGCAATGCAAATGCGGCCCAAAAGAGCAAACAAAGTCCCCCTCACCACTCCCCCACGCCTCAGCTCATGGCCATGCCTCGCTTGTCCTCGCCGGTCCCGAGCCCATTGACCATTCTCCGTCCACCACAACCTCAATGGTGTGGACATGGTCAGTCCCAGTTGATGTGCTGAACTTCATCATCCTCGAATGTGCTGACCATCCCCGCAAATTCACTGATTGGCATCACCTCACCAGCGTTGAGACACTAATCTTTTTTTTCTTGACGAATTCGGTAATTTCTCCAGTTGCCGGTCGGGTTATTCTTCGCCAAACGTTCGATGCTTCCCACCTGGCCATGTCTCTGGCCATTCACACCACAAGCATCAGCAGCCTTTTTCCCTTTTCCCTTTTCCCGTGAAAATCCCCCGGGCTCATCGCCGTTCTGAGCCGTTGTCGTCCTGTCACATCACACTAGCAGCTGTTAAGCGCCCGGCCTGCACGACCTGCCTCTGTGATGGAGCCCACGCCAAGCCAATTTCGGCCGAGTTCAGCGGTCGGCAGGCCTGGCAATCGGAGCGGGCAGTTGAATCAGCCAATCAGCGGTCTGCCAAGATCGACATGGCCTGTTCGACACGCCAATGGCGTCCCGTCATCGCGTGATTGTGGTGAGGAGGTCGCTATTTTTACTCCACTGAACATGCGGGCAGTTCACGATCCATTGACCAAGGGTCGACGACTCGACGACGACAGCACGATCGCAGCCAAGACGGTCCAAACCTGGGCAACGTGATCTGGATCCATCTCGGACTTTGCATGCTCTCACCGCTGAAAAACATGGCTCTCCACACGGGGTTGCCGAACCTCCGATATAAGGGTCGCTTACACCCGCCACGCGGGCAAGACCCTTGACGATCTCCCTCTTTGACATGGCATGAATTGACCTCAACCCCCTCATCATCGACAACTCAGACGAAACGGCATCTTGTGCCTTTTGCCTTCACAGGCTCTGCCATTGGCTCCCCCACAATGTGCACTTACGACTACACGCCCTACACGGGCTGTGAGGGTGGCCCGCAGCATTATTACATCCAATGGGTGAAATGCGACATCGCATCCGAAAAGGGCCGGTATTGCTCGCTCGACACTTCACACAAGGTGGAACAACTGCGGAAGTTGTCTTCCAACGTTCTGTCCTGCCCTCTCCATGGGCCTATCGCCGTTCAGCAATTCGTCCTCGATTCAGCAAACCCAGAAGCAGCCGCACAGTTTGAACCAGAGGCACCAGGGAGGACTCGCGCACGCAGCACCACTCGGCGGGGCGCTGCCTCGAGGGGCAGGACGCCGAAGAGGGGCGAGTCGGAGAGAGATGTCGAGCAATCGACACGAAAGGAAGTGCGCAAACGGAGATCAAGGCGGGAGATGGTCTCGGAATCATCAGACTCGGAGTCAGCAGCCTCAGTCTCATCCCGACGGAGGACTGCGGAGCGGCCGAGGAGGAGAAGCGACCGGGAACCAGCGGAGCCGCGCAGAAGGCGGGTGTCCCGTGCCAGCTCTCACAACCGATCCACGTCGGCGGACATTGAATCCCCACCTCCAGTGCCCTCCTTGACGCGGTATGGCCGGAGCGAGGTCTCATTGCCAACGAAGATGGAACCTGAGATGCAGGGGGATGACAGGTTATCCGCTGCCGGGCACTCACTGGCTCGCCCCAAGACCTCCCTGGACATTCCACGCGTGGCCAACACTGTTGGGCTCCCAACCAGCCCGGATATGCACCGCCGGGGGAGCGATCAACGGAGGGGAAGTGAGACAGGGTCACAATTTGGAGGCGTGGGTGATGGCCACCCCGAGCCTGTCCCGTCGCTCAAAGACGCCATCACTCCCACGGACAGCTCCCCGGATCATAACCCGGAGATGCCGTTCAGCACACCTGGACGTCGGACTCGGAGGACGGGATCTCGATCGGTTCGTGACCTGAGTGTGGACCCCATGATGCGGCGCATCGATGAGCATGTCGCTCAAGAAGGGGATAACCAGGTGACGAACGAAGTGGCCCCCTCAGAAGCTCACACTTCCACCGCAACATCACCCGAACCGCTGCAGGCACCAAACCGACCATCAGCACCAACCCCAGCTCGGATGTCCCACCACAGGCGAACGAATTCCAAACCACAACTCAACAACCTCAAGATCCCTCAAAACCGCGATAAATACCAGCGTGACGCTTACTCAGCACCCACCGCCACACCGCCTGAGACGGACATCACGGCAGACCGGTTCCAAAGCCGCACTATCTCTCTCCGCAACGTGGATGTTTCCCCCGTGGCACCCCCACTAAGCCCCCGGAGTCCCCGGACATTCTTTTCCCATCAGAGCTCGGAAACAGCATCCATCCACAGCAACCGGTCCCGTCGCTATGAGGACCAGGTCATTGAGGCTCGCAAATGGGCAGCCGCCCGCGAACAAGTCATGGTCCCCAGGGCGCCTGTGGATATCCTGGCGCACATGTCCATGTCCGAGACCAGTCTCCCGCTTGCAGCAGCAGCGGCGGCAGCGGGATCACAGATGCCCGGTGTGGCCGGCGTCCCCCCACTGCCGGTCGGCGTTAGGGAATCAGTAGACAGCGGGTACCTCAGCGGACACCATACGCAGCGCAGCTGGGAAGCCGTCAGGGCATCAGACAATGCGACGCCGAGGAGCATGAGGGCGGGGAGGAACACGCTGCAGAAGATGCCTCCTCCTGTCTCTATGCATACGCAACAAGACCAGGCCCAAGCCCAAGCCCAAGCCATGGGTCTCGGGCTGATGCAGGACGCTTCGCGCCGGACGACGCCGGCACCGCTGAACTTGAACATGGGCGCTGGTGGGGCCGGTCTCCCGCCGTGTGCTCTGCCTGTGTCGTTGGTGTCGCCTGGGTTTGCGCCCACCGAGGCGGATTTGACTGCTGCTGGGAAGGGTGGCAAGGGGTTGTTGCATAGGATGGGGCTGAGGCGGAAGTTTAGCGGGTTGGTGGCGTGAGATGAAACTAAGAACTTGGTGAGCCAGCCGAAATTGGCACGGTCTCGTCAGAACTGGACGTTCTTTTCTTTTCTTTTGAACCTGTGATACCCTGTACCATAACACTGAACTACAGACACACTGCATCGCACACGCATGTTTCATTTCTCAGAGGTGGCGAGATGAAGATGGCTGAGGTGGGTGGGCTAATTACAGCTGGGAGAAGTCATGACCTGATGAATAAGGGGATAGATAGTGTTGCTACCACTGGCAATTCAAGCGTACTGTACCTTGCAAATAAATGTTACAATACTTCAATACTTTGCGAGCAGATTGACAAGCAGTGTCTAGTGCAGTGTTTCCAGTCTCATTTTTACTCCAGGCTTCCACTCCTGACTCAAGGGGTGCAATTAGGGGTACATGAAACGTTGCTCCCATGCTATTATCATAAAAAGAAGGCCATCACAGCCAAACAAACAACAACATGAACGTGAGCATGTAGTTACCTATCTACACCCCCACCACCTAATCCACAATCCCCTCCGGCAAAATCGACACATAATCCAACGGCGCCGGCTCCAACCCATCCGGCCGTCCAACAATCTTCAACGTCGCTCCCTTCTTAATACTCACGCCTTTAAACGTCACCCGCGTTGCCGTATGCCCATCAATATACGGCGAGGGCGCCCGGCCCAGATTATACTCCAGATCCCCGTGCCACTGACCCACACGATCACAACCGATGTACAATTCCCACGTGGAATTGCCAATGGCCATGTCGTAGTAGTTCACGGCCACGTCATATGTGCCTGTGGCGATGTGCTGGAGCTTGGTGGAGGCTGTGCCGATGGTGGTCGGGCTGGTGGTGTTGGATTTGGTGACGATGGCTTTGAACTGGGCGCCGCTGGCGGCTTCGAAGGGGGACACGGTATAGGGGATGTAGTTGGTCAGGGTCATGGATTCGGCTTCGATGCGGTAAGGGTGGTTGCCCACGCGGTTGTCGGCGTCGGCGATCCCGGATTTGTTGTGGTAGAAGTTGTTGATGCTATCGCGCCAGATGAGGGCGTGGCCAGCTTGGTAGACGAGGCGGAAGAGGATGTGCTCGAAGCGCTCGTCGTCGATGCGACCGCGCAGGGTTTCCCAGAGGTCCGGGAAGGTTTGGGCTACAGCGGCGCCGTCGTAGTGGGAGTCGTAGAAGTGCTGGATGACGGTTTTGCCGGATTTGAGCACGTGCGTGTAGGGCACGTGGTGGAACCAGAGGAGGAGGTCGTCGGGGGTGGTGGCGATGTCTTCGTAGCGGGCGGCGATTTCGGCCGGGTATTGGCCGGCGAAACCGGTGCCGTTCCAGACTGTGCGGTCCATGCCGATGCTGAAGGCGTCGGCGCGGGTCCATTGGCCCCAGGGATTGCCGTCTTGCGAGGCTGGGTTGGGGCCGTAGTGGCCGAGGAGGATGTCGGTGAGGGTCTGAATGCCTAGGTTGCCGGTGTAGCTCTCGTAGGTTGGCCAGGAGACCATGGAGAGGTCGCTGATGACGTCGATGACCTTTTGGTCGGCGCTAAAGGTCAGCCGGATCCATTCCTCGAGGATACCGTCGGAGGTCAACGACGGGTTCCAGGCGAGCCGGCCAAATGCAAACAGGTTGGACATGGCCAGGTGGCTGCCGAGCCAGGTCGTGTTGGTGCCGACGTTGGCGACACCTGCGTAACCGCCGACGCGGCGGTGGTGGAAGCGCTCGCCGTTGATGATGTCACGCGTGCGCGAGGGCTTCCCCTCGGCGCGGAAGTCAAAGTCGAGGATCTCCTTCCACATCGGAGCCAGGTACACCAGATGCGCCTGCTGGCCGAGGTACTCCTGGGTGATCTGCAGCTCGATGGCGGTCGGGGTTTGGACGAGCTTAGTGAACAGCGGCGACACGGGCTCGCGCACCTGGAAGTCGATCGGGCCGTACTTGATCTGGATCACCACGTTGTCTTCGAACTTGTCGTCGAGCCCATCAAAGTATTCCACGGCCGCGTTCGCCCGGTCCGCCTTCCAGTCGAGCGTCTCGTTGAGCGAGGTTGAGTCGTAAACAAACGCGCGGAAGACGATGGTACCGCCGTGCGGCTTGAGCGCGTGCGCAAACAGGTTCGCGCCCTCGGCCAGCGTGCGGTTGTAGGTCATGGGGCCGGGCTGGCCCTCGGAGTTGGCCTTCACGAGATAGCCAGCCATGTCAGGCACCCGCTCATACAGGTCATCCGTGATGTCCTTCCACCACTGGATGACCTTCTCATCCAGGGGGTCGAACGTGTTGAGTCCACCAAGGGTGTTGGGCGAGGCGAAGTTGAGCGACAGGCCGAGCTGCACGCCGTACGGCCGGAAGGCATCGGCGATGCGGCCCAGGCCATCCATGTTCTCCGGCGTCAGTGTTTTGGCATCGGCGTTGACATTGTTGACCACGGCGGCGTTGATCCCGATCGAGGCTAGCAGGCGCGCGTACTGCCCCGCGCGAGTGAGGTCGTCGCGCACTTTGCCGTCCCAGAAGAAGATGGAGTCGCCCCCGTAGCCGCGCTCAACGCTCCCGTGGGTACCACCGTCTTGCATGTTGTCCCACTGGTTGACCCAGCGGATCGGCGCATCCGGGTTCGAGGTCACCGTCACGTCGGATGTGTTGCCCCGGGCCAACAGCGAGAGGTAGTGGAACGCGCCGTACAGCGTGCCGCGCTCGTTCTGGCCTAGGATCAGGACGTTGCCATCGGACACGCGGAGGTAGAAGCCGTCGTCGAGGAGCTCTGGCAGGTCGGCTGCCGCGTCTGGGTCGCTCTCGGTGTAGGCCGTGACAGTTCCCACGGTGGCCGTGGTGGTGTGCTTCTTTTCATGGCTGCCGACGTCTTTGGCGGCTTCCACGTCCAATTTCTTCCCGAAAATGCCTTCGATGCCCTGGGAGAGCTCTTGGCCGGCCGTGAAGACGGGCAACCCCTCAGTCGCGTTGAGGGTAACAATGGCAGATGGGAGCTTGTAGGAATGGGGTTTGGCTCCCTTGATCGGGGCATAACGAAGCCATCCGGCCAGGCCATCTTCCGCAGCCGCGAAGCCGACAACCACGGCGAGTAGCAATGAGCACCGCATGGTTCAGGAGGGGAAGGAGAGGCGTCAGAAGTGACAAAGAGTGTCGTCCCAATGCTGCCCTTTGTCCCCAAAGCTGGGAGGATCACCCCCGGCCTTATGAGGTTCCCAGATCGCCGGATTCGAGAGTCGCATCGTGCCTGTTGCCAAGAGGTCGTGATTTCCACTCTTCAATTTATCCTAAATCATTCCCTTGGGACTAACCTCCGCCAAGGTGAGATTATGGAGAGTTCACGCCTTTGGTCCTCGTGGCCAACCCTGGCCGGGTGCAGGGAGCCGGCAAACGGTGTCAATCGGGGGTTATTTTTCCACCCATCCGATGTCGTTCTCTGTTTTCTCCGCACTGGAAGTTGGGGAAACTGGGGCCCAGGATGGGGTAGTGCGGGGGCTAGGAAACGCCTGGAAGACTCGCTTTCGTTTTCTTTCCACACTGCTAAGTGGAGAATATTGGTGATGATTCCAACAACGAAGCATAGAAGGACTCGTTCTCAGTTCAACCCATTCCTCTGCCCGGTTATCTGGAAAGAAATTAGCTCGGGAAGGACCGTCCGACCAATTGAGGGATTGACTCCGCGTTTCCCGTCGAGGATCACGGGATTGTTCATGCCCAGACCCCGGAACATGGTAACGAGGCGGCCTCCAAACGAGCCCTCCCAGCGCCCCTCTCCAACAAACTATTTTTGGGTATCAGGCGGGCCGCAGGACCTGCGAACAACACCAGGCTTGGTCAACACCTCCGCAATATCCGGGCTCATGAGAAGATGTTAATTCCTTAAGAATTGCCGTCCTCGCTCGGACCGGGCTATTGATGAGATTCTGGACCTTGTGAGCCCTATGCGTTAGATAGTGGTGGGGTCTAACAACAACATCGCAAATTAAGGCCCTTTGGACGGTTGCGCTTTCGCGAGACCAAATGGGGATCTTGGCTGACCAAGTGCTTGCTGAGCGCCCCGGTGCATGAGAACAAAAATAACCGAGAAGTGGGCCAAGGAATGGACATTACGTCGCGTTCACCAGCCGGACCAGCTGAGCGACGTTCAACATATCAAAAGTTTCATGGGAATGCAAAAGGAAGAAATGAAAAAAGAGTGGGCGACCCCGGAATCGAACCGGGGTTTCTTCGGGCTCGCATATGGACGAGAAGACCACAACGAAGCGTCCTGACCACTAGACTAGTCACCCTGGGATTGTTGTTGGGGCACCTTCCCAAAACCCAGTCCTAATAATGCCCCTCTATGACCCACTTTAAAATATCTAAACAAACACCAAGCCACATTTTTTGCCTCGCACCCCTTTACACATGACACCACTCATAAACATGACTAGATTATATCATTGATCTATTTCTTGTATTCACCGTGCTCAACTGCCTGCGGATTGTGCTGCACATGATGCCCATGTTGGTCCGTAAACAAAACCTAGAACGTGAGTCAACTCTCAAGACCCTACCAACAACACAACCCCTATTTAGAAAATGGGTCAGATACTTCGTACCTTAGGTGGATGTTTTACGCCTTCTTTCGCTGCTTCCTTTTGTGAGGTCACCACCTTTTCGACTTCGCCCTCGTGCCTGCCACCCCGCGAGCGAGCAAACACATGATCGCCCGGCTGGATGGGCTCGTTATTCTTGTCTTTGACTCCAGAGGGCATGGTTGTCTGGTTTTCCGATGTCAAACTGCCGTAAGTGATTCTTGGTAGGTGAGTATTGTTTGGGGATGCAGGTTCATGAAACTACAGATGACTTGTTTATGCCACATGTGTCGATAGTGGCCTTCGAATTCTGAATCAATTTTACACTCCAGTCACCACTTTATTGAGGATATCCTCACTGATCTGAATGACGTCATGGGAAGTACTCAGCTCATCATGCTTCGTCATGGAAACGCCGGCGGATTAGATCATGTTAGAGTTCCGCGTTTATCCAGTGCCTTAACGTTAACTACAATGATGAATTGAGGTTTGTCATTGTGGTAGGGAAATTAGATAGGTTGAGTCAAAGGTGAAAATAACAATTTAATTAACGTATAGAAATTGATGTTTACCTCTTTCTACTTTACACATTAAGTACAGAATTTGCTGTTCCAGCCGCCGAATTTGGCAGGGCAGCGCCGCCATTTTTAGGGCTCCTTGACAGTGCGGGGTGTGTAGTCATAGCCTAGTAACATTTGCCTTTAGTTGTACCGGCTAGCCCTCTCAGCTGTGTGGAGCTTTCTATTTTAGGCCAGCTGAAGCGTGTTCCCTTGCCCTGCCTGCCAACGAGTTCACCCGGCAGGCAAGATTAAGCCCGCGACCCCTCCCATGTTTCCCTACCAGCCAATCGAGCGTCCTCCGGTTTTCAGTCAACCACAACAGGTCAATGCGATGGCGCAGCAGTCACCATCCTCGCCTCACCTCAGGCACCAATCTTCGCTAGAGAGCATCATTGAATTCCAAACCGAGTCGCCTTTAAGCCCAGGCGCGCGCGACTGGGCCAGGCGTAGATTCTACTGTCTCACGGACCACTTTGAGGCGGCCGCTAAGAATGGGGACAGTGGCAGTGACAACGGTGGTAACATCGGCGGCGGCGGCGGCGGCAGCAGTAGCTCCCAATACAATCGCTCGCGGCTTATTCGCCTTACGTACGACCATGCTCGCTCGCCTCTCTCGCAGGATAACTTCCTACGAGCTTTCTTTGGCTCGCTCGAATTGTCTATAGACGGCGACGAAGCCCTAGACGAGCAGATTGGGGCGAAGTTTTTTGGCTTCGCAGATTACCTCTTCAATAACTTCTTCCTACCCCGTAAGTTAAATTGCCCTCCCTTACCTTATATATTTATACCCCTCACTAACTTCTTCTATTAGTCAAAGCCTCTGCCAGAAAGACCCCCCAGCCCTCGCCGGCATACCATTCTGCTATTCAACGATTACAGGGAGGGGAGGGATTTGTAGGGACCCCAGAAAGAATATCGGCCTTACGTGGTGCCTGCCTCATCCGCGACCGTCATCGTTGTGTTATAACACGGAGATTCGACTATAGCGAAGCACTAAAACGCTTTGAGAGTACTAGCAGTGACCCCCGAGATGATGATGGCAACTCGCTCAACGAGGAGCAGCCCGGGACGCTTGAGCCCTTGGAAGTCGCCCATATTCTACCGCACTCTTTGACAAGGCTCGGAAGTGGCGAAGAACTGGTACTTAGCCCTAGTTATCTACGACCGTGGCCGTTTTCTAACTTAGCTCTCTTTTTAGACCCCCTCCAAGCAAGCGGCCTTGGCTATTCTCAATATGTTCGACCATGGAGTCGGGCACTTGATCGAAGGCGTCGATATTGATCGGCCACGCAACGCCTTGACCCTCACCCAAAACATGCACAACTTGTTTGGCAACTTTCATATCTATTTCGAGCCCGTGATAGACGCGGAACCTCACACCTATCGGATCGAATCATTTCTCGCTCCCCCTTTCGTAGGGGGGCTTCTTCCCGTGACCCGCACGCTCTTCCTGACGGACAGCCACACAATTGATCCACCCTCGCCACGGCTTCTAGCTATCCACCGTGCCATTGCACGCATCCTCCACCTGTCAGCAGCAGGTGCCTACATCGACAAGATCCTCAGAGACATGGAAGACGCCGGGGAACAGGGGGCCCAGGCGGACGGCTCGACAGATCTGGGCCGTCTCGTCCACCTTGGCCTGTGGCTGAACGGTGTTGATGCCTACGCCTACTAAAATAGCCAACTTTCCTCTTTTCCTTAGTACAGATTAAGCAAATGAACTTGTTAGCATTGAGAGCATTGAGTGTATGGCCGTGCGAGCGGGGCAGTTCGGACGCGGCGCTATACCCAATCGGGAAGGACGCTATCCTCAGCGGGTGCAACAGCATGTTCTGTATTACAAACACTTAATTAACTTCGTTGAATCCATTTCCAAATTTACTTCAGTCATTAACCTGTATCTTGCATGATATCGAACTCGATGCATCATTTCCGGCGTGACTAGCCATATAATTATCCAACTATGAAACTCCCACTCCTCTTTCACAGCTTATACCGGACGCCCGTATTCCAAATCTCTCCGTGCCTCAAACGGAGAACCCTCTTGGGCGTTTTTCAGCGCAATGTACTCACTCCCCCCCTCCGGGGCCTCAACTTCCATCCTCCTCATCGTGATCTTCTGAGGCTTGCGACCGGTCACCAAGTGGAAAAAGTACGACCCGTGCATGACCTCATGATTCCCATCCTTCCCAATCCACACATTACCCAAGAAAGCCGTGATCAGCACAGCCGTCCACATGATGGGGACGACCGAGATGTACGCCCAGAAGATACCCGACTTGGGATCCTCGTGCATGGCGCCGCTGCGGTTGTTGAACACGGTCGACATGATGGTCAATGTGATGGTGCCTCCGAAAGGGTAGGCAAAGGAGGCTAGGCAGGTGATGGGGGCCGTGCTGCCGGGGAAGTAGGCAAGGCCGTGGAGAGTGCTGGGGTTGGTGTTGACGCCGATGCCGAAGCCGGTCAGGGCCATCATGCCGTACACCAAGTTGAGGTAGTCGGTGTGGACGGCGTAGGCGATCATGCTGATGCCTACGGCGGAGCATGTGGTGCCGAGGACGAGGATGGGCAGGGTTTGGCGAGGGAAGGTGTTGACGAAGAGCATGGTGGTGTAGACACCGACTAGAATAAGGGGGTTAGTTGAGTCTCCCTGACAGGAAAAAAAAGGGGGAGGGTGCAGGGGCGTTAACTTACCACCCATGCCGGGTAAAAAGTACAGAAGCGACAAACCAGCCTGGCTGGCGGTATGCCCCTGGACAAGTGTGAAGTACAAGTCCATGAAGTACATGATGGCAAACATGCCAGCGCCGTTAGCAAAGTTGATAAACAGCAACAGCCCGACATCCTTCTCTGTCAACAGACCCCATGGCATCATGGCCTTCTGGTTCGGGAACACCCTCGACATGAATCTCCCCGGGGCCATCGACCGCTCATATACCACCCACGCCACCGCTAACACTCCTCCCACGATCAACGTCACCAACACGGGCACCGAGTTCCACGCATAGGTGCTCCCGGCCCATGTGAAGCCTAGCACCAACAACCCAAACCCCCACAGGAACAACAACTGTCCACCATAATCCAGCGTTGCCAGTCTCGCCCCCAATCTGTCCAGTCTCGACTCAGGCTTGGCAATACCCGGCCCGCCTTCCGGACCAAATCCCGTCAACACCCTCTCAATCGGCGCCGGCCCGATCAACTCCTTCCGCAACAACACCCAAACCAACACAATCCCAGCCACCGCCACGGGCAAATTAATCCCAAAACACCACCTCCAACTCGTCTGCGTCAGGTACCCACCGGCCACCGGCCCCACACCATAACTAATACCCGACACAGCCGCAAAGACAGTCCAGTTCTTCGCAAACTCCCCAAGCGACACCCGGTCCGCCAGGATCGTGCGGACGCAGATGTTGATCCCGGCCGCACCGACACCTTGTAGGGCGCGACCGAGGAGGAGCATAGGGAACGCGGTGTTGGGCGCGGCCGTGCAGAGAGCTGAACCGATGGTGACGGTGACGAGACCGAATTGCAGCGTGGTGTGCCGGCCGAGGACGTCGGCGAGCTGGGCGCACATGGGCAGGAAGGCGGCGGAGGTCAGGTTGAAGGCGGTGATGATCCAGTTGAGTTGGGCGAGTTGGTCTGGAGGTGGGAGGTTAGTTAGGGGTTGGTTGGGAACTTGGGGGAGGATTTTTGAGGGCGAGTATGTGTGTATGATCTAGGGGGGTGGTTAGGGATGACACTTACTGAAGTCATTAGCAATAAATACCACCGCCGACGCAATGATAGTGGTATCGAGGGCTTGCAACGTGAAGGGTAGGAAGAGACCCAGGATGATCTTCCATCGGTATGAACGCCGGCGTTTCTTTTCGGCGCGCTCCTCGGGAGTTTCCTTGGCCGCCGCACTCGGGTGAGTGTTCTCCAGCAAAGCACCATGTTCTCGTGGTGGTGCTCCTGGTGTTGGTGCTTGTCCTATTGCAGTTGCTGTTGCAGCTGCTTCAGCAGCGGCAGCTTGCCGCTTTTTCTTCACATGCTTGTACGCGAGATACATCGTGGGAAGGTTTGTCGTTTGACGGGACGTAGGGGCGGAAAAAAAAGGACAATAAAAAGACCAATTAGGGGTCAAGCAGCAAGCTTGACTTTGCCCTGCTGCGGGCGATGTCTCGGTTCCTGGGGTGTTGATGCTTGGCTCTCTTGGGTTGGAACGAAATGGACGTTCTGGATCACGGCGGCTCTTGTACTACATATACACACCTGGGCTCCGTTCCGCGTCAGCTGTTGACGTACTCTATCGAGCTTTGTCGGTTGCGCCGAGACCCAATCTGGTATCCTGTGAGGCAGAATGGGTTGCCTCGAGTTTTCGAAACGACTGCCATTTTGGGAAGAGGACCCCTGTTCGGGTTGCTCCTGAGTCCCAACCACGACATGGGCCCAAAAGTCCGGGCGACAAGCTCCACGATCATCTTTGGCCCCCCCCCCTCTTCAGGAAGCCCGTCTGCAGTTCAATGCTCGCGCTCGTCCAACAACATTGAATCGTCTTGTAATAAAGGTCTAAATAAAACTAGAATCTTCAGCTTGCTACGCTTAGCATGTGGGAAGGTGCCGAAAGAAGGGTGGGAGCCAGAAAAAACGATAGGCGAAGCTGCTTCCCCTCTCCCAAGCCGGCACCACCTCGCCGAAGGTGCCAAGCTCAGCCCTCCCGAAAGCTTAGCATTCCTTCGTTTGACTTGCCGGCAGGGTACCAGCAGCTGTTGATTGGATTCCAAAACACCAATGGTCTGGACGGGCTGTCCTGCACTTGTGTGGCTCTGTCCCTTCGCGTTTGCTCGTGCGGAGGTATGTACATACATACGCGTAGTTATTCATAGTCAGAGAAGATATCTTCTCTCCTGGAGAACACCGGTGGGGTCACACCGTAAAGAAATCTTAGTGGACTCCGTTTCCACGGTTTCTTGTCGCTCTCAGGTTGTTTTGCGGCTTCATCCATCGTGGCTTGTTGAGGGGCCAAAGACGATGGGTTTGGTGGAGGATGGTTCAAGGATTTGCTCGTGGGCATTCCTTGTGACGATTCTCCTTTCGCATGCGATGCAAATGTCCTTGTCGTGTTTTGGCCTATCGTTGCGGCTCAGTTCACGAAACTAAAAAAAAACCTGGAGTTTGGGACCCTGACACGGGGGAATTAACTCTCCGCTGGGCCACAGGGCTGACACCCCGCCCACCATGGGACTTCACGTGGAGGCTGGGCTGTGGGGCGGGGCCAATCATTTCTGCCGCTGTGTGGTGGTACGACCTGTACGAAGTCTTGAGAGAGATGTCGCTTTCGACGGAATAACAGATCATTGAGCCGTTGAAGGGAGATGATTTGTGCACACGACGTGTTTTGCATGATGCCCCATTCTATCTATCCCTCGAAAAACAGAAGATAAGTACGAGACTGGCATAACTAAAAAAAAATCATCAGGTGTCGCTGATCGACGTGATATTGAGTCCCGAAGAGGAAAAGCCTCATTTCCCAAACCACAGCTTTGAGCTGCCCGAGATCCCCGCGCTTTGTTCCTTTTTCTTTTTCTTTTTTTTTTTTTTGGTTTTCTGCATTTCTATCCCATGATTCCCTGGGTCGCCCATCTCGAAGAGCAAACCAAACCCCGACCGCCGTCTATTATCCTCACCCGACTCTTCACTGATTACCCTCCCCAGACACGCCCGCAACGGCGCTCTGCACCCCTTCGACCGCCTGGCTCGCAGCACCTGCAACACTCTCGGCCGCGTTCCTCAACGCCAGCTTCGCCGTGTTAGCCGCGCTGTTCCGCTTGCCCTCTTCGGCAGCACTAATGCGCGTGAGCTCGGAAACGAAACTCTGCCCCCACCAGGCGCTCGTGTACTTGAAGACGTAGCGCTCGAGCTTGCGGAAGTTGGCTTCGCGCTGCTCGGGCGACATCGTGACGGCATCGTGGACGGCGTTGGCCAGCTCCTCCGTGTTCCATGGGTTGACGATCAGGCTTCCATTAAGGCTCTGCGCGGCGCCGGTGAACTCGGACAGGATCATGACGCCGTGGCGCTCTCGCTGTGTCGCAATGTACTCGTACGACACCAGGTTCATGCCGTCACGCGTCGAGCTGACAAGGCACACGTCGCTAACGGCGTAGAGAGCTGTGAGCTCGTCGAAGTTGACTGACTGGTGCAAGAAGTGGATAGGCATGAACTCGATTGTACCGAACTTGCCGTTGATACGCCCAACGAGCTCGTTCACCACCGCCCGCAAATTTTGGTACTCCTCCACGTCCTGACGACTTGGGACCGCGACCTGCACTAGGACGATCTTGCCGATCCACTCGGGGTGCTCCGTGAGGAACACTTCCAAGGCATGTAGCTTCTGCGGCACGCCCTTGATGTAATCGAGCCGGTCGACTCCCACAATGAGCTTGACGCCCTCGAACTTGCGCTTGAGAGCAGCAATACGGTTCTGGACTTCCTCCTTCTTGAGCGTGTCGACGAATTTCTCAGGATCGATACCGATGGGGAACGCGCCGACTGTCACGAACCGCCCGTTCCATTCCACGCCATTTGGTGTTGACGAGGTTTGCCTAGTAAGAGGGTGTGGGGTTAGTAAGACGGCTGTGCGCGCTGTCCGGGTACACCAACCCAAACGAGATGACTTACAATATCCTCGAGCAGCTACTCAAGAAATGCCTCGCGTAGTCGTACGTGTGGAACCCGATCAAATCGCAGTCGAGGATGCCCAGCAGCAGCTGTTCCCGGACGGGTAGAATGCGGTAGATCTCGCTGCTAGGGAAAGGGGTGTGCAAGAAAAACCCGATCTTGATGTTCTTTTTTGTGTTGCCAATTTCCTCCCGCAGCATCTGCGGCAGCAACATCAGGTGGTAATCATGCACCCACACCAGGTCGCCGTCCTGCACATCTTTGGCAACTGTCTGGGCAAACAACCTGTTTACCTCGCGGTAGGCCGCCCATGCAGATTCGTCGAATGTAATTTCGCCGGGGTGGTAGTGAAAGAGCGGCCAGAGAATCGAATCTGTTAAAAGCGACAGTTAGTAGCTGAGAAGATAAAACAAGACTGTGCGTTGGGGACGTGATATAAAAGCCAAGCTCGCGGAAGTAAACGTACTAGCAAATCCGTTGTAGTGGCGATCTGCAAGCTCGTCGTCGACAAACACCGGAATCGCATTGTGCTTCTCCTTGAGCTGCTCGCGCAATGGGCCAGCTTCAGCCTCTGGTACCTCCAAACCGGGCCAGCCATACCACTGGAAACTTGTGGTCTTGGCGAGGCCGCTCAGGCCAGTGACGAGGCCGCCAGAGGACATGGAAAAGCTGTATTCGCCATCTTCGGCGCGCTTCTTGATCGTGATGGGCAGGCGATTAGAAATAAGTAGTAGCCGGCCAGAGGCAGAGGCGGGGTACTCGACAACACCAGGCATCGTGACGGTTTGTGGACTTGACAATCCGGCGATGTCAGGGTGGGTGCGTCCAGCGACTGTTTCCGGAACCCGCGTCTCACAAGGGCTGGAGCGACACTTCAACGGATGGCGGGGTAGGAGGTGAAGGGAATTCGGTGGAGGAGTGGTGGTGGAGGTCAGGCGAGTGGTTTGGTAGTTCCCCCCCAAAAAAAATTGGCGGTTCCCGTGTCGGTTTGGTGACGTTATTAATGGAAATCCAGATCCTCAAAAGCTTGGAAACAAACCGTTGATACACAAAGGACCCGATGGCGGGGCAGTTACGGTACAGTGGGGAGCGGGGTAAAACACTCGACGGCGCAGAGGAAGAATTCGCTTGGGCCTATGGTGCTACAGAGGCATGGAAGGCGCTGTTTTTTTCTCGGCCTCTTGGTCAAACAAGCGAGCGGCATTGGAGCTGCTCGCTTTTGACTGTGAATGCACACTCCCGACACTCCGACGGGAACGAGACGGGATGAATAGGAGCCTCAATGGACCCTGTCTTGGGCGTAGACAACCAATTTTCCGACGAAGCAGGGGTGCCAAGAGAGACAACGAGGGCTCATGGAGAGGAACGGTGACGTCCACCATCCGCTCCACAGGACCACCGTGACAGTCCCCCAAAAATACATATATTACAGGACGAGGAATTCTCGGCACCCTCAGCATTCCTGGGCGCGTTCTGGGCAACCCAAACGCGCTTACCGGGCCGTTTGCACGGGCGGAAGCTGCAGAAATAGCGCACCAAATGGCCTGCAAGGTAACATGCGGGTGTGACACGCCGGATGTGGGTGAAAAGGTTGTGACCTGAGGTCCAAGACGGGATGCGAGGTTTTTCGAACCTCCGACAGTCGTAGTCTTCGGACCTTCTTTCTCCCAGGCACACTTTTCCGTTGGCCCTTTGCAGGTCCCATCGGCCGCATCACGAAAAATACCGCCATTCAACCAATCCCCGCGCAATGAATGGCCACGCCCGCCACTCCCGTACATTTCCTGCCGCCCTGGGCCAAACCCGGCCCATTTATGCAACATTTTTTTGTTCCTTTGTCGACGTCAACGATGAGCCCAGGACCCCGAGCCGTATCACACAACCAACCCCACCGGCGAAAAGTTGGCTTTCTCGCCCTGCCGCGTTGCGGTCCGAAACCCCAGCGGCCGAGCCTAGGTAGGAATCCATTCTTAAGGACAACATGGGTAATTGAAGCATGGTAATCAATAGTTCCGAACCGTCTCCACGGTATGAACAAGAACCTAGAAACTTCTGAGCAACTTTCTCCCTCTATGGTACTCCTCCAACGACCCAGAGACCAGCGATGAGTCTCTTTAAACCTGTCAACATGATAGGTCGCCTTTCGGAGCGGGTTTGTTGATGGCGAGCGGCCTTATCAGCCACCATGTGGCAACCCATGGAAGCGAAACGGCCGTGACTTGATTGCGTAATTCTCCCCTATCGCTTCTCGCTTTGCTCCCTACCTAGCTTCTTTGACCAGTTTTTACGGGTTTTACGACGCTCTCAATACGATCCTTGACCTTCATCAGCTGTTTAGGCTCTGCACCCTAGCATCACCGACCAACCACACAAGCAACGACGAAAACAAGGCCAACCCGATTCTAACCTAGGCTAGTTGAAATCAAACTCTCAAAGAAAAAGCTCAAGCATTTTGGGACAACTTGTGGCGTTGTGACGGTTTGTGCCTGACACACTAAGACCAAAATAAACAGTGTAAAAAAAAAAACTAAAAAAAGGTCCGAAGGTACGCTGAGGTTCATTGGTCTGTCAATGTCTCGGATTGTATGGACTTTAAACGATGGCTGGTATCGGTCTAAACCTTGGGACCTGCGGCCCGCATCAAAGTTGAAAAGGACTCAACCAAACAGGGGTGAAATCGGCGATATGGTGACCACTAATTAGATATTAGTACGTGGAATAATTATTCGTACCTAACCCACAACGCTCAAGTCCAGGAAAGGGGCCGTTTAGTTTTGACGCTTGGCCTCACATTGATAACGACATCAACATAATGCAATGAAACGGGCTTAGAACGCTAGTTGATGTCCATGGCCGCCAGCTTTCCTCCACGATGATTCTTAGACGTGATCATCCAGCGACGGGCTATTCACGGCACCAAGGTAGTAGTTGTGTATCCTTCCAAGGCTTTTTGTGTGGGCCGATACAACGATCCCTGACTAACAACAATATTCTTGATAATTAATTACTGAACTACCTCATCGTTGCACAGTTGCACATGTCAATAGCCACTGCCTTTCCATTTACTAAGTAGAAAGATATCAACCTTTAACTACGTGAGATAGATTCAACCGGTTTGAATGTCCAAGACTGATCCACGAATTGAATCGCGTTCATTTCTCGGCTTAGAGTCTTCCACCATGAACCCGGGGCGGCTCGTACTCGTACTGCAATTCGGAGAAAAAGTACGGGAGCGCTAATCAGAACCCAAGTTTCGGAACGCCAAACCGAGAGCGAAGTGCCTAGGATAAAACACGAAAGCGAACCAAATGTAACCCCCAAGGATGTCTAAGCAAATAAATACCTGCAGCTTTGCCCCGCGATTCAAGTTTGAAACCAGGCTGTATCTCATAACGTTAGGTGAGCATCCACGCAGGGACGCAATATCTGCAAAGAGGTCGACTAAGAGCGCCTACTCGGCTAACTAATTAACCCTACACCACCACCATGGCGCTCTTGACCCTGACTCTTGGGCAAGTTCTCGCCGTCGGGCTTACAACCGTACGTCGCTTCGCCTTCTATCCCATAATTACATCAGACCGTGTTGTTTTAAGCAGCCGCCACTAATACCCCTAAACAGCTTCTCCTCTACACGATCTCTTACCTCCTCTACAATGTCTTCCTTCATCCTCTCCGTGCTTACCCCGGGCCTCTCATCATGCGTGCCACCCGTTGGGACCACAGCATCCGGCACATGCGCGGGACCCTGCCGTTCGACGTGTTAGCACTACACAAGCGCTACGGCCCCGTCGTGCGCATCGCACCGGACGAGCTCGCGTTTGCGGACCCCCGCGCGTGGAAGGATATCATGGGTCACAAGGGTGGTGGCGGTAACAACGCAGGACACGAGGAGGACATGCTCAAATACGACAAGTTCTATAGGCCGGTGGAAAGCGTGCCGCGGGATATTGTGAATGCTGGGCGGGAGGAGCATGCGTTGTTGAGGAGGACCATGGCGCATGGATTTAGTGACCGGAGTATGCGGGAGCAGCAGCCGCTGATTCAGGGGTATATTGATTTGTTGATCCGGCGGTTGAGGGAGAACAGTGGTGATGGGGGGCACAAGGTGGATATGGCCGCGTGGTATAATTATACCACGTTCGATGTGATCGGAGATCTGGCGTTTGGCGAGAGGTGAGTTTGGTTTGTCATGGTTTTGGTCTGGTGACTTGCTGTTAACATTAGCAGTTTTGGGTGTTTGGATAACTCGGACTACCACCCATGGGTCAAGGCCATTTTCGAGGTTGCACGCGCTGGAACTGTGTTTCAGTGCTTGGCGCACTATCCAGTTGTTGTGAAGCTTATGCTTGCTCTCATTCCCTCTAGCTTCAAGGAGGAGAGGGAAAAGCACATGCAGATGACGTTAGAAAAGCTGAAGCGGCGCATGGAGGCTGGGAAAGAAAGGGCTGATTTGGTGGAAGGACTCCTGAAGCGGGCGGACGAATGGGTATTTACCGGAAACGTGATCCCTCCTAATAAGACCGTAAACTAACCGCAAGTAGGGACTTACACTTGAGAATCTCCAAGCGAATAGCGCCATCCTCATCATCGGTGGATCGGAAACCACGGCGACCCTACTATCAGGGGTTACATATCTTCTCCTCACGAACCCGGAGGCTATGAAGAAGCTGACGCGCGAGATCCGAGGAGCATTCCAGTCTGAAGAGGAGATCGACTTTCCAAGTGTCAGCACCCTCCCCTATCTCCTCGCGTGTTTGGATGAGGCCCTGCGGATGTACCCCCCAGTCCCGACAGGACTTCCGCGTGTCGTGCCCCGAGGAGGTGCCAACATTGCTGGAAGCTACGTCCCAGAAAAGGTAAGCAGCTGGACACCCCAGAGTCTTATGAGCAAAGAATTCCCGTTGACCAGAAACTAGACCGTGGTGGCCGTCCATCAATGGGCCATGTACCACAACGACGCCCACTTCAAAGATCCATTTGTCTACCATCCCGAACGCTGGCTGGGCGACCCGGCGTTTGTGGACGACCATAAAGACGCATTTCAGCCGTTCCATCTTGGCCCTCGAAACTGTATCGGAAAAAATCTCGCATATATTGAGATGCGTCTCATTCTTGCTCGGGTGTTGTGGAACTTTGATTTGCGTATCGCGGAGGACAGTCTGGACTGGATGGGTCGGCAGCGGGTGTTTAACTTGTGGGAGAAAGGGAGGCTTCATGCGTATTTGACGCCAGCTGCTCGGCAATGGAGGGGAAGAGGTTCGGCTCGCAGAAAAATTAGGTACATTGACCCAAGAGCGATTCGTCATTAGAAGCGTAGATTTCGTACGTAAGGGGTATCCAAAAAAACAACAAGCACCAAACCCAAAAATCAAAGTAAACCCAACCCAACAGCGACCCTCTCCGCGCCTCAGACACCCCATATAAGCCAATATGTCAGACTCATCGCTAAGACAACCACCGCATCCCCCCTCGCAATGCGCCCCCCAGACTTCTGACCCAAATCCACCGTGATCGCCGTTCCTCCGCTAGCGACAACTTGGCCATTGGATGCCATGACTTTGTTCCCGGTCATGTACTGGATGTTGTACACCGGGTCGTTCTCTAATGCCGTAGGGGTGCCCAGTTGGCTGGGGCAGGCGGGTTGATTGGCAGTCGGCCAATCGAGAGTGCAGAGCTCGTCGGTGCCCCAGGAGCAGATGGGGTCAAGGATATTGTAAAGGAGATGGTTCTTGCCAACCCACGTATCTTTCGACAGGCAGCTGGCAAGGTAGTTCATGCTGTTGGATGCGCTCAGGGGTAGCTTGTTGCCGTCGGTGTGAATCAGATCGGCGCAAGCGGACGGGTCGGCGTCTTCGTACTCCATGGCGACGGCGCCACCGGTGGTGGGACGCTCGGTGGCTGAGTAACCTGTGACGAGGTAATTCCAGGCATCATAACTCACGTCGTGAGCGCCTTCGGACTGGTCGATACGCAGGAGATGAACCGTCCTCCCATCATAGCTAAGCGACACGCAGATCTTGTTGCAGTCCACGGAAGACGGCCAGTAAGCGATGCGATTTGTGTCGACTTTGCAACCTAGTACGCCAACGGAGGACGAGTAGCTCTCATGAGGCGTGGCCCAGATGGTCTTGGCGGAGGCGCGCGCTGTGGCGGCGAAGAGAGTCAAAAAGTGGGCTGTGCAGCGCATAATTGCCGGGATGACGATGAAGATATGGTGTTTTGATATGTTAATGAGTGATCGATCTCAAATGAATGTGGGGACGGACTCGGAGTAAAGAATTATATTATTGAAGAATTCGGAAAAATTAAATGAATGGCATGGCACAATGGCCAGAGGGGCGATGGTGTGTGTGCAGGACGAGACGCGCCTGACGGTTGGAGGCCGGTGTTGAGGAAAAAGAATGAGGATTCCGGCGACCGCGGCGTGGGATGGTGGGATCATGGATGGGATTGTGCAGAAATTGAGATATCCTAAATAGGAATAGTACGGCAGAAATGTGGGCCCTTCTCACTTGTTCCTGCATCGCAGTTATCTCCGATTGGAAGGCCCGTGCACGTGGAGAAGTGGAGCAGGTCGTTGATCTTATCGTTCATACCACAAAACCCCAAATCGTGTCGGAACCTGGATCGAAGGATACGAACTGTGATATTGTCCATCACATTTTTGAAGGCCTTGGAAGATGATCGGGCAATACTTTGCGGAACGCGTAGGAGCTTGATCGAAAAGACGGAAAAACCTATACCCTGGAGCGGCTCTGCCCGTAACAAGGACTGTGCCGAGGTTTATTTTTGTCCTACCCTGGATCTCTTAAGATTTGGGTTGGAGACCGGGAAGCACGGTACCGTAACCGTTTAACGTTCCCATCTAAAGTTCTGTTGGACCTTGCTTTGGCATGCGCACATCAACCGCCGTTATTGGGGGTACGGTCACAACCTCACTGGCGTCCATCTCCCCGCCACGGTATGAATAAGTAAAGGTCCAGCCGGAGCCCGCGCCGCCGTGTTCGCCTCGCTTATTCACAACCACAATGCCGCTCGATATGTTGGGGTATTTTCGTACCATCCGCCTCACGACATCCTCGGCAGCCTCCGTCGGCGCCATCCCTAGCCTCAGATTTTCGACTGCCTGGTAACAGGGCAGGAACCGCAGCATGATGTCTCCATCGCCCGTTGCGCCACAACCACCAACATCCCCATCCACATACGAACCGCTTCCAACAATCGGCCCATCACCCACACGGCCGGGAATCTTGAACGCCGCCCCATTCGTTGATGTTCCCGCGGCCATCACACTATTGCTATCAATGGCTACCATCGAAATAGTGTCATGAGACGCCTGCCCTTCGGCCTGCACCACCCACCCCAACCCATCATCCCCCAAACCGGGGGTATATGGCCCACAAAATCTCTCCGGATCCGGTAACACGCCGACCCTATAATTCCCCTTACACCCACCAGCCTTCCATTCCTCACATCTCGCTCTGCTCTCCGCCGTACTCAGGTCCTCCTCCGGACCAAACCCCATCTCCACCGCAAACTGTGTCGCCTGGTCCCCAACTAGCAACGAATGGCGCGTGTAATCCAACACCGCGCGAGCAACGGCCACTGCATCCCGGATCCGTCGCAGCCCAGCCACCGCGCCCGACTTCATCGTCGTGCCGTCGATGATGAGTGCGTCAAGCGTAGTCTCACATTGTTCGTCCGGCGACCCACCGAAGCCGACGGTGGTGTCGCATTGGTTGCGCTCACATGTCGCGCAACCGGCTTCGACGGCGTCAAGGGCGAGGGTCGGGGATGGTGAAGAGGAGAAGGGGGAGCGGAAGGGGTGGGTGAGGACGTGGTACGCGGCGTCAGTGGCAGCGGCGAAAGGGCCGGACCAGGTGTTGATGACGAAGGGAAGGTTGGGGTTGGGGCTGGCTGTTATGGGTGTGAGGAGTGTGAAGAACAGCATGAGGCTAGAGCGAGCCATCGCTGATGGGTTGGTGAGTGAGTAGAGCCAGGTGATTGTTCCTCCTCAAACACCCCGCGGATCTCTTCTAAGCCTGGATTAACAGGGGGCGCGACTGTGTTTGTGCGCTGAGTATCGCGTGAGCGGGGAAGTTGGAGAGCGAGTAAACAAACTCGACTTTCGCCAATCTTGGCGTGTTGGGGGTTAGGGTACGTGATGAGTAACCCCTCGCCCGCCGCCGCGTTCTCGGCCTGTCCGGCGAGGAGGAGCTCGTGGGGTGTTCCGGGCGGCGGGCTTACCTAGTGTCTTGATCACAAGGAGTGAAGCGTCCCAAGTCGCTATTGCCCATGCCAAATGTGTTCTGTTGTCGCAGGAAAGTCCCAGGAGTGCCGGGTTTATGTGATAGGGTCCGTGCATATTCCCTCGTCCCTTGGATCCCGGTCGCAGCCCCCCACCACGCGTCACCGTTTTGCACCACGACGGGAAGGAACAGGAAAGTGTCAAGAAACACGGCTTGTAGAAATTTAATGTTTACACGCCGCGGCCTCAAGGAAAAGCACTCCTCTGTTGTATTTTATCCTTTCATACCATTTTTTCTCCATAACTCGCGCAGGGGTCTGTCACCCATCGCGCATTACCACCAAAAATGGTTCCTGATAACATTACCATTACGCGGGGGCTAGCCGACGTGGTACGGAGGGCCTATCACGGCCCCGACCGAGAGGACCTCACCGTCAATTATGCGCGACGGCAGGTTGAGGAATCACTGGGGCTGGAAGCAGGATTCTTGAGGAGGGAGGACTGGAAGGTCAAGAGCAGGCGGATCATCATGGATGCTTTGGTTTGTCGCAGCCCCGTCTCTGATGAATCTTCATATGCTAACAATGTGTTTGTTAGAAAGAGCTTGAGGCTGCCGACGCGGAATCTTCATCACCTCAGCGCGCTAGTCCTACCAGAAGACCGAAATCCGCTTCTTCAGTTTCCCACAAAAGCTATACCGCAGGCGGCGGGGCATCAAAAGAGACAGAGTCACACTTTGGGGCTGCATCGGGGGCGGGCGACTTGAGTGAGGGGGAATTTGCATCATCACCCCCTCCCAAGAAGCGCAAAGTGGCCAAGTCCACAAAGAAGAAGATTGTGGAATCTGAGGTCGAGGAGGAACTTTCTGCCCACAGCAACAGCGGAAGCGACAGATCCGGTGTCTCAGGCGGGCCCGCAGCGACATCAGACCCCGAAGACGTCCCAAATCCGGCCGCTGCTGAGGACGAGAGTGAAGTCTCGGACGTAATCGATGAGCCACCCAAGCGGAAACAAAAAGCCAAGGCCAAAGCAACGTCCAAGCCCAAGCCCACTGACACTGCTGGCGACTCGTCTAGCGAACTTTCCTCCGTTGTTGATGAAGGCCCTCCCACCAAACGGAAACGCGGCACAACGAAGACCCAGAAGGCCACCGCCGCTTCAAAAGCCACCGCTGCCAACTCCCCTGAGGAAGCTCAGATTAAGCTCCTGCAATCTCAGCTCGCTAAATGTGGCGTGCGCAAAGTTTGGGGGGCCGAATTTAAAAAGCACGGTGCAGATGGTGGCAAAGCGAAGGTTAAGTACTTGAAGGATATGCTATCCGAAGTCGGAATGAGCGGCCGGTTCTCCGAGGCCAGGGCGCGAGAGATCAAGGAGGCACGAGAGTTGCAGGCAGATTTACAGGATGTCATGCAAGGAGAGAAGAGTTGGGGTGTTAGTGGGGGCGGGAGGGGGACGAGGAGGCGCGCGGCGGCCGCCGCTGCCGGGAAGGGGAGGGCTTTGAAGGAGGAGAGTGACGAGGAGGACGTGGAGGACGATAAGAGCGACGAGGATGAAGAGAGCGAGGCGGGGAGCGAGGCGGGCAGTGATGCAGGGACTGAGGCGGGGAGTGAAGACAGTGAGGAAGATGGAGGCGCGAAGCTAGCCGTTAGGGGCAAAGGGCCGGCGAAGCGTAGGGCAGATTTGGCGTTCCTTGGAGATGACAGTGAGTCGGAGTAGGTAGTATGGGATATTGCGGCGGTTGTTTGTGGCGGGTTGGTTGGTTCAGTCTGTCGGCCGCCAGGCGGGGACGTTGCACGCATGCAGCTTGTTTTGCGGTTGCCTGGAGTCTCGAGATACCCTTATGCTTCATAGCTCCATGTGTACAGTACAATGTCATTGTTATTCTGATTGCCATTGTTATGGGGTTTTGTTTTGGTTTGTTTAGCAACGGAGGTCTCCACCTTCCGGCTCTAATCACCATTCAATGGGAGTCTAGCTTGGGTGCGGTCCTCTTCATCTGCGGGGCAATCATGCAGCACCCAGAAGTCACTTTGGCGGAGTGGTTAACGCGCTGCCCTGCTAATCCACGGTTAGCTGCTAGGCAGTTCCCTCGGGAGCGTAGGTTCGAATCCTACAGGTGACGTTTTTGAACTATTTTAGTTGGCGATGCGGTTGTGGTTTTGGCTTGTTCTGCGAATATTGGTGTCGTTTATCATCATCTCAGCACCACTGCACCAGCTCGTGTGGCTTGAGTGATTCTGCATCAGGGGAAAGATTCGGCGGGCGCTCCGCCGATTTCTGGAACAGACGGAGCGGGCGAGACGAGGATAGGTGATTCCAGGATCACAGTAAACTTTTCTCGCCTCGTTGAAGACACTTCATCGCCCGGGGAAGCTGGAGGACGTGGATATGACAAGCGCGGCCGGGAGCTGCCCTGATTTCGCGCGGCTTGTAATATTCGTTCAACGTGCATTCATTCTTTGCGCAATGAGGCTGAAAACGGCAACCGAACCCAGAAAAAGAACAAGATTGTAAAACTGCAGAGTGTGTGAGTCCATATTTCTGTCCGCGAGTAGTACAGTGACGTACGGCTCTCCGAGAAACATCTCGCTCTTCATTATCCGTTCTTGCTTCAATGAAGAGGCGCCTCAGGTTAGGAAAATTAGCCTGGAAACTGATAAGCGTGGTTCCAAATTGGCCGAATTACATGACCTACCATGATACGTTGGCTCACAGAACAAAACTTAAAGTTCCCTAGCAGCTTGGAAGAATCTCACAAACTAAAAGGAAGCGCTTGATGAAAGAATGTGGGACATTTGAAGAAAGCTCCCCACCTCAGCCACAGAGACACCCTTAATACCCCACCAATTGCGCTGTGGCTGAAGCTCGCATCACGGCGCCAAGCCACAGGTATCACTCTGATTTCAGGGGACGGTCCGTCCAGAACATTTGGCAGTGCGGCGGACGCACGAGCGCCTGAACCCACCCACTGCATCTGCGACAGCACCTCGTGAAGCCTCATTCCCCGCGCGACATCGCGAACCGCCATAGGGCACTCGACCACTTGTCACGAGTGGACGACCAAGTGCAAGTTTTAGCACTCGGCGTCACCGTTTTCGCTCGAGTGAGGCTGATTCACCGCCCCGCCCCGACCCCAAGGTCTACGATCTCCCCACTCCCGCCGAGTTGAGGGACAACGTCGTCAACACACCCCGCTACTAGATCGAGTGTCGAAAGGATGGCGCAGGCCGTGAACCGCATCCGCGGGGCCTTTGCGCCCCCGCGTAAGGGTGAGACTTTTGAGCTGCGGGCCGGCCTGGTGTCGCAGTATGCCCATGAGCGGAAGGAGGCGATCCAGAAGACCATCATGGCCATGACGCTGGGCAAGGACGTGTCGGCGTTGTTCCCGGATGTGTTGAAAAACATTGCGACGGGGGACTTGGACCAGAAGAAGTTGGTTTATCTGTACCTCATGTAAGTTATTTTGGGGTGTGCTGATCGCAGTCAATGTGTAGTTGACGCTCGTGGACCCTTTTGGACCCTGCTGACGGGCCGCATGCAGGAACTACGCAAAATCACACCCGGACCTCTGCATTCTCGCCGTCAACACTTTTGTCCAAGACTCAGAAGACCCGAATCCCCTTATCAGGGCGCTGGCAATCCGAACAATGGGCTGCGTCCGTGTGGATAAGATGGTGGATTATATGGAAGAACCACTACGCAAGACGCTACGGGACGAATCGCCCTACGTCCGGAAAACTGCTGCCATTTGTGTGGCCAAGCTTTTCGACCTGAACCCGACGATGTGCATCGAGAATGGCTTCCTCGAGACGCTGCAGGAGTTGATTGGGGATCCGAACCCCATGGTGGTGGCTAATTCGGTGCAAGCGTTGTCCGAGATCACGGAGACGGCCCCCGAGACGAAGGCGTTGGTCATCACACCCAACACGTTGAAGAAACTACTCATGGCGTTGAACGAGTGCACGGAATGGGGACGTGTGACGATTCTGAGCACACTGGCAGACTACCCCCCCGCAGAGGCGAAAGAATCGGAGCACATTTGCGAGCGATGCCTGCCACAGTTTCAACACGTCAATCCCAGTGTCGTCCTGGCCGCTGTTAAGGCCGTGTTCATCCACATGAAGTTGGTCAGCCCTGAGCTTGTCAGGCAATACCTAAAAAAGATGGCACCTCCTTTAGGTATGATCGTTCCCGACCAGCCCCATTACAAGTTACTGACCTGTTCCCAGTGACTCTTGTTTCTTCCGCCCCCGAGGTCCAATACGTTGCTCTCCGAAACATCGACCTTCTCCTCCAGGCAAAACCGGACATTCTGAGCAAGGAGCTCCGAGTGTTCTTTTGCAAGTACAACGACCCGCCCTACGTCAAGCTCCAGAAACTCGAGATCATGGTTAGGATAGCGAACGAAAAGAACTTTGACCAGCTGCTCTCCGAGCTAAAGGAATATGCGCTGGAAGTTGATATGGACTTCGTCAAGCGGGCTGTTAAGGCCATTGGTCAGGTGGCCATCAAAATCGAGGCGGCCAGCGAGAAGTGCGTCAATGCCTTGCTCGATTTGATCGCCACCAAGGTGAATTACGTCGTTCAAGAGGTCATTGTGGTGATCAAGGACATTCTTCGGAAATATCCCGGGTACGAGGGCGTTATTCCCACGCTGTGCAAGTACATCGATGAGCTGGACGAGCCAAACGCGCGTGGTTCCCTCATTTGGATCGTGGGAGAGTATGCGGAGAAGATCAACAACGCCGACGACATCTTGTCAGGCTTCGTTGACGTCTTCGCTGAGGAGTTCACTCAGGTTGGTCAATGACCCTCTTCATCGTTATTGGGCCAGCGCAACTAACATATGGCAGACACAACTGCAAATTCTCACCGCCGTAGTAAAGTTGTTCCTTAAAAAGCCAAGTAACAACCAAAGCTTGGTGCAAAAGGTTCTTCAGCTCGCGACGGCTGATAGCGACAACCCGGACATCCGCGACCGTGCCTATATCTACTGGCGTCTCCTTTCTGGCGACCTGGATGTTGCCAAGGTATGCCCTTTCATTTACCCCTTGATCTGCATCACCGCCCTACTTACACACTCACAGAATATCGTCCTTGCGCAAAAGCCACCCATCACCACCACAGTTTCCAGCCTCCCGCCCATTCTCCTCGAAAACCTCCTTGCCGAGCTCTCTACCCTGGCTTCAGTTTACCACAAGCCACCGGAGTCGTTTGTCGGCAAAGGTCGCTTTGGCGCCGAGGCTATCCAACGCGCTGCTATCCAAGAGCAGCGTCAAAACGCGGCCGAGAACCCCATCGCAGCCTCGGTTGCTGCGGCCACTGGGACCGCCGGTGCCGGCAGCGGAGCTCAACAGGGCGGCAACATTGAGAACCTTCTCGATATCGATTTCGACGGAGCGGCACCGGCCAGTGCCGAACAAGGCACGCCTGGTGCGGGCACGCCAGACCGGGTGGCGAGTCCCACGGGCGGAGCTCCCGCGCCGAGCGGTGGCATGGCGGATATCATGGGTCTCTTTGACGCACCTGCGCCTTCTTCAGCCGGTGCTAGTGCCCCCGCTCCGGCGTTTGCTGCCGCTGCTGCTGCAGGTGGCGGTGGTGGGTTTGGCGCACCTCCGAGCGGGAATGGGTTGAATGATTTGATGAGCGGGTTTGAGGGGATGGATCTGAGTGGGACCAGTGCGCCGCCTCCACCGGGACAACAGTTGGGGCATGGGAACGGGAAGACGGCAGAGCAGGGGAAGGGGAGTGATGATTTGTTGGGGTTGTTTTAAGGGTGCGTTGGGCGGGGTAGGTAGACGAGGGTGGGACGTGAAAACGTTGAGTTTATGTGTCACTCAAGTCATCATGATGAACCAGGACAGGAAAATGGATAGATGTGTTTCTGATCTGTCTTTTTGGGCTGCATCTGATCTGTTTGTTAAGGCTCATCCATCCCTTGGGTTCAAACTGCGCGGGCGGTTGAACGCTTTGTTTGGCTTGGATAAGCAGCCCGCTTTATTGGGCGGTGCATATTTGGTTCGTAACAACGAAAGGCTAACTGACTATTTACAGACTGAAAACACAAAAACAAGCTACCTATGTACAATTGGTCATGACCAACACCAAGACGGCCCCCGGCCCAGGCCCATCATCTCCGCCAGGCTATCCCACCAACCTCGTCCATCGACCTCCCACGAGTTATCTCCAACACTCCACGCCACTCAAAATCACCCACCTCGCTTTGCTTAGTTGTTAAACTTAGCCTCCCGACCAGTATACTTAAGCGAGAAAATCCCCCGCTCAATCGAGTTAAGCAGGATGTACCCAGACTTGAAGTACGGGTACACCGACCAGGTGCCGAGGAACTTGACCTCGCCGTTCACATCGTCGTCTTCCGGGTGGCAATCGAAGAACCCGGTCTCCTCGAAGTTGCCGCCTGTCGGGTCCTCGTGCACGCCGGAGATGTCGACTACGCGGAGACCGGAGCCGTAGTTGGCTTGGTAGGTGAGGCCGTTGAGGACCTGGTGGGGGGAGGAGGGGGTCAGTGGGGGTGCTAGGGGGGTAAGGGGGGATGAACTGGAAGGGAAAGGGGGAAAGGGAAAGGGAAAGAGGAACGAACATATTGGTTGTGGTCGATCGACTTGGCCGGGCTCTTGTAGTAGCCCGTGTTGACGGGGTTGGTCAAGTCAGAGATATCGAAAATGTACGTAGTGGTATGGCCGTCAGCATTGGGATCCGTGCCACGCATCTCGTCCTGCTCGTCGTCCAGCAGGAGATACTTCATGGTGTCGTCGGTCAGCCAGCCCTGGTGGGTGTAGGCGGCACCGTCATACGGGGTGCGCGAGATGATTCCCGGGTTCTGGCCGTCCGTGACGTCCATGATGGTCAGGGTGTCCTCGTTGTAGTTGAAGCACACTTGCCGGCCGTTGTATTTGTCGCTGGGACCGTTGTACGTCACGCACTGCGAGTCGTGCACGTAGCCGTCTTGCGGGATGCAGCCGGGGGAGGTTGGGTTGGCCGGGTCCGACACGTCGATGATGTACATGCCGGCCGCGCAAGGGGTGTCGCGGGCGTTGGCGCCGGACTCGCCGCCGACGGCGTAGATCGTGTTGGACGCGGCGTGCGACACGATGTTGTGGGTGGAGCCGAGGGCGTCGGCGCCGGTGAAGAGCGCGGTGAGGTCGTTCTGCGTGCTGAACACGCGTGGCCGCCATGCGCTTGCGTTGACGGTGGCCTGGCGGCTTTCCTGAAGGAGCCGGGTGAGGTCGAAAATCTGCACGCCGTGGCCGGCGGCTTCGGAGCCGATGTAGGCGTGGTCACCGATGACTTTCACGTCACGCCAGCTGGAGGCCGTGGTCTGGGTGTTGAGGCGGCCGATGTATCGCAGCGAGCCGTCGTCCTTGTTGATCTCGACGAAAGCCGTGCCGTCCGCCTGGCCGACAAGGCCGAACTCGCGGCCGTCGGGCGAGGTCCAGCCCCAGACGTCGTTACCGGCCTGCTCCTGCGAACCGAGGTCCTCGTGGCTGAGGAACCCGTGCAGGTCGACGTTGTTGCAGTGGTAGCCGTTGGCGACGCCGTTTTTGCAAGTCGTCGCGGATGTGACCTTGCTGTAGAGGGCAGATCCGCCAAAGAGGCCCTGCTCGCGGGCTTCGGCCCACTGCTTGGTCTTGAGGGCCATCATCTCTCTCATCTTGCTGGGCTTGGGGGTAGGACCGGCGGAGACACCTAGGGGGGCCAAGGTGGCCGCAGTGGCCAGCACGCTGTTGAACTTCATGATGGGCTATGGAGAAGAGAAGAAGAATGACACAGACGAGGCTAGGCTAGGTCTGGGAGAAGGGTGATGGGAGAAAGACCAAGAGTTGGATGAGGAGGGCCTGGGTCACAGAACTCAACTGCTTTCTGGGACTTTCCTCGCACCAGGGAGGTTTTGCAGGACTGGTCTATTTGTACTCATGAATGGCGCAACAGAAGGTGAAGACAAGCCGGTGGTCCTCAACGAGTCAACTCCCATTTACATTGTTTATTGTTGCATTGCACACTGTTGCACTGCTCAATTCCACCTCAACAATCGAAATCGGCAACCGTCTCTGGGGAAAACCCCCGACAGTGCGGCCTACACGAGATCGACGACACCATTCGCTGTGCTGTGCTGTAACTGGTCATTCCCACCGTTTCCCTATCGAGGAGGTCCAAAGTGTCTAAGTCCTCCCAGCAATGCAACAAACCGCGTGCGTGGCCGATCTTTATTGAAACGGGAAGTCAAACGCCAAGATATTTTGTCTTCCCACTTCCCTTTCCGGGACGAGTCTCCCGATGCCGTTGCACCGCTGCCTGGGGTTGTTGTTGTAATCCCTTTGCTCCGATAGGTCCGATTCTTCACACTCTGTTTGTCCATCTGTGCTTCCCATCACGGGTGCCGTGACTGCCGCGGCCCGACGTTTTCGGGTTGGTGACTTTCCTGCGAAGGGTGGTAGTTTATGAGCTCCCGCTACGGGGCCAATCGTGGGCCGCGGGGCACGGCGATCTGCCGTGGGGACAACGCTTGATAACTAACTGCCAAGAAAGGCTTCTCTGGGATCCAACGCGACGGTGCAAGGTGTGTTGGACGAAAGGCAACGAATGGGAGAGAGGGGAATGGTAAACCGGGTGATGGTGTGACAACGGCTTGGATGGACTTGCTTGGAGGTTTCGCCAGAAGCAGCAGTCCAGTAAGTAAAGCGGGTGGGGTGCTGGGTCACGGAGACGTTGCTGCTCATGAACCTGCTAATTAAGGTATGTTCTAATTAGGTACGGATTCGCTGTGCTGTCTCTATCAAGGCACAATTTATTACCTCTTCATCCTACCTTCGGACTACCCTAGCTTGTGAGCCGTGTGATGGGTGTGAGGAGAGGTGGGAGACCAAGTTTATTGATTAGGAAGATGAGTGCATCCAAGTATGCACTGTGCAGAGTTGAGAAGGTGAGGTTGCGCAGTTGGTATCTTGTAAGAATACCAGGGCATCCCGAGATGGCAGTGGTACATAAGTGATTAGTTAAGGACTCGTGCAATTAAGATACCAACTATAAGGGCAACGGAGAAAGCCGGAGGTTGTCATGTTGAAGGCAAGCGGAGAAAAGCGGGAGCTGCGCCGTGCGAGACGACGAGTCCACATCATTAACTTGCGGCCGACACTAGATTCTTAACAGCAACAAAGAAGTGGTTTATGGAGCGAAGCATCAATAAATCATCAATTATTACACAGGTAATCGTTTGCTGGAGAAGGCAATCTAAGAAATTTCGGGTACTCGAATAGGAAACCTATCACTCTGGCGGCCCAATTCACCGCGGTAAACTCTTCAAACAGAAGTTACAGGATGGGCCAAACTGTAATGTGAATCTGCCACAAACATCACTCATGTCGTCTGATAATTTACGGTTTCTCGGTTACACGGGCCGTTGCAAAATAGTAATGCGAGGTTTGGCGCGAAGCTTGCTGCGCCACACAGCTCTGCCCGGAAGGATAAATAAATACCGTAACCCATTTATAGGTAACGAGACTCAACCAGGGGCCAGTTCGATGGCCCAAATGTTCAACAAACACATTTCGGCTTCTTATACACCAGATCAGCGGGGGCATGCTGAAACAATTTTCGACCGACTGGTCCGACGACAAGCAAGCTTCTGGAATATTCGTATCTCCTGACTGGCCAAACCGGTTTCCAAATCATATACGAGCGACGCCCAGCCAAACATGCACAGGTGCAGCACAACGTCTCGAAGATCGAGTTGCCGTTGATTGTATCAATGATGGAGATTGGAGTGTGCTAGACGACATGTGAGACATTCTGGCTAACCACCTATGAAGCCGACCTGGAGACCGCCCAGCACGCCCGCGGCCCGCGTCCGGATTCCGAAAACACGATGTGAGCAACACAATGCGAGCGGTTGGAGGGCATCAAAATGGAGTCTCAGAGGGAGAAGTGGACTTGTATCCACTAGGTAAGGCATCCAGTATAAACAGGGCCATCCCGCCCCTCCCGTTAACACCAGGTCCCAGCTCTCTATCACTGCAGTCCGGTACTGCAACCCCACTCTCTAGATCGATCACTCCTCCGTTGCTGACGGATTTTCCCTCTCTAGCCAGCCCACTACTTCATATTGTTACAGCGGAAACGCTGACCTTCCTGTCACGATGTACGCCGTTCAACACGTTCAAGCTAGCCACCACGCTCAACCCGTCCAACGTGGTCCACCTGTTCAACCCGGCCTTCAACCCGCTCCGGGCGTCTACATCAATGTGTACGCCAATAATCCGCTGATCATGCAGTACCAGGCCGGACCGCCGAAGGAAGCTCCCAAGAAAACATTTGTGAGGGATATCAGGGACGACGACACGAAGAAGTATCGCCTAGGTAAGGAGCTGGGTAGCGGCAGTTACGGCGACGTGTTTGAAGCAGAGAAGGTGTCCACTCGGCAGGTACGGATACGCCTCCCTTCGGCCTTTTCCTACCAGCCTTATAATCCCTTGCCACCCGGATCTTGCTCACAAGTTTGACCTTGCCCACTTCGGTCATGTATGAACTAACATGAGGACACCGTGCGTAGAAAGTGGCCTGCAAGGTGCAGCACGTCGATAGCGATTACCGAATGTGGGCAATCCAGCGTGAGCTCAACGTGTGGCAGACGGCGTGCAAGGGCAGCAAATTCGTCGCCCAGGTGTTCGACGCGTCGTTCAGCCACGCGGACGGCGCGATTCGCATCTACACAGAGTTACTAGCCGGGGGCGACACGCTCGCGCTCATCAGGTCATTAGATAAAGCGGATCTCCTCCATCCGGTCATCGTCCTCGGGCTATCACTGCATCTCGCGCAGGGGCTCTCAGAGATGCAGGCGCGCAACATCCTCCACCGGGACATCAAGACAGACAACTCGCTGTTGACGATGAAGATTACGCCCCAGATGAACAAGGCACTCTGGGAGCTGACCAAGACGGGTACGGTCAGTGAGCGCCTGTATCATCCCCTGGTGGAATTTTGGGACCAATTTAGCACGAATGACAGACTGGCCGTCTGGACCGATTTTGGTGTGTCGCGAGTAGAAACGGACATGAAGGAGCGGTCGACCTACTCCATGGTACCAGACGCACGGTGGACACCGGGCACGTCCGCGCCGGAGCTTTTCTTCAACAACCACCAGTCGCTCCAGGCCGACATCTACAGCTTTGGTGTGCTGATGCACACGCTATGCACGGCGAAACCGCCACCCCCTCCCGGCCAGAAATTCCCGCGCATCCATAGCGTATACAGCTCGAAACTGCAGGAGCTCGTCGACTGGTGCATGCAATTTGAGCTCGAGGACCGGCCTGCGGCTGGGGAGATCATTGTGGAGCTGTCCAAGCTGTGGACGGCGAAAAATAACGAGGTCAAAGCGGTGTTCAACGCCCATAAGGACTTCAGGGATCGTGTGGCCTGGCAACAATCGTTTCTGCGCCAGGAGGCGCTCCAGCGCCGGGTGGCCGCCGAAGCGATGGCCCGCGACCAGGCGGCGGCTAAGGAGCGAGAAAGGGCGTTGGAAGCTTGGAATGAGCTGCAGAGGGAACAGAAGAGGATTGAAGCCCAGCAGCAGCAGTCCGGGAACAGTCGACGCGGTCAATTTACGAAGGAGGATCGGGCCAAACACCTCTCAAAAACCGCGAAACTCGATATCACGAAGAGCAGGACCCAGATGCCGCCCAGCGAGGAGGTACAACAGATAATGGCGTGGCAACAAGCCTTGGCCGAGCAAAGGGCCTACTACAATACCAAGCTGCAATATCTGCAAGTCTACGGTGTAGTGCGGAAACAGAACGCCGCGGCTGCGACCGAACACAAAAAGAAGAGTAGTCCAGCGCCATCGTCGTCCACGCCCGGACACCGTTCTGGCAGCATAAACCCCCCGGTTGGAGGTACTCCGTCGTACTACACGCAATCCCCGCAGGCCACCGACATGCCCGGGGACAATGCAACACCCAGGGCACATCGGAGCTCTCGACAGGCCCAGTACACCTCTGATGCTACCCCTCGTCCTCATGTGGTCCAATCCGAGCCCCGCGTCTCAAGCAGGACCCGCTCCTCCTCTGTTAGTGCCTCCAGCCGCAGCTACAACCCAGGGCATGCTAGTGCCAACTCTGTCTCGTCTAGAGGCAGCGCGTACCCGACCCCCCAGGCGCAGCCGACGCCACAGAGCCATGGCTCGACCCCAACCAGCGCCAGCGTGTACTCGACCCCCCAGGCGCAGCCGACGCCAAATAACTATGCCTCGTCCCGAACCAGCGCC